AAAGTCAACAATGGCTTGCGACAGAGCACGGCCATATCACATTGTTCGGCTAGAAAAAATTTCATACTTCAAGGATGCGGCGAGATACACAGTAAGATACGCACGCTTCGGCTCCAATTCCTATCTGCCACTTCTGCTGTGCCAATGGCAGTTGGATACGGCCATACGGAGGATTGCACTAATACTCGCCATCTCGCTCCGTACTCGTATAACAGCATATTCTGGGCCCCGCCCACCCCACCAGAACCTTTTGGTGAATGTTGCTTAGCATTAACCCTGCCTAATCCTTGTCATTCCAAATTAGACGGAGAATAATATTCTGCAGCCAGCACCCCTTGCATCACTATTAAAAAGGGGGGGTTACCTGTTTGGTTATCACAGCCGACGAGGAAAATATGTGATGCAACGGTTTCATTTCCCAAGTATCAACCGGAAGATCAAGAGCAAAAGGAAATACAGAATCATGCAAAGCGCTAATTATAAGTCCTCAGCAGCGGCCATTGTTTATCAGCCAGTGTTCTGGCTATTCAAGACGCACATATATGTACTCAATGCGCAGGATAATGATATTGTGCTCTTGGCCTCAAGTAGCTTCCATGCTATGTATCCTACAGACACGTCGTATTGCTAGTCAGAGGCGATACAACCGGGCGCTGTTTCCAGATCGTCACAACCAAACCGGAACGTTGCCCGGATTGCGAACAGACTCTGAGCGGAGCTCGTAGGACTTTTGAAGATACAGAGTACGCAGCACAAGCATGAAGAAGCTCCACTACGCGTAAGTAGCATGCCCGCTCGCACGTTAAATACATGGATATGGATACAATGAGCCGCATGTAAAAGCCGCATGTCTGATTCTGCCTCAATCGGCCTCATGCCTACGACGTAGGCTCCCTGCTACCTCCTGAGCCGAAATGAAGGCTGCTCTGCCCCGATCGAGAAGCCCTGCTACGCAATATACCGCCATGTATGTACATGCCCTGGCTGGTGCCTGCTATCACTGTAACAGGCCGGCATTTCGTGGAATCTTACATAGTACTGCCGCCGTTCTGCTCCGTATCCCGACCTTTTTTCTTCTTTCGTAATCAGGAACACTCTTCTGTTTAGCTCTCTGCTCCTCGGGGCTAGCCTGCACCGCCAGTCAAAGCAGGCCTTGGCTTGTCGGTGTGGGGTGGGATCATTAGTGAGATATAGCTCTGCGAGTACGAGGACTCGTACGAACGATGCAAAGCGAGGTAGAGAAACCCTCGCGAGATGAAATGCTCTGCTTGCAGTCATGCAACGTGGTGGCACTCTAGCGGTCGAGTCCACGGCGACGAAGTTGGCTGATCGCTAACACGGGGCCTCTTGCCAATTGGGCGTTTCATGGACGAGTGGCCATTATGGCGTGGCTCGTTTGCTCTTGCTGCATCTCTAAAAAAACAATATTCCCTCTCGTCCCCTCTTGTCTCCTCTCGTCTCCTCTCGTCTCCTCTCGTCTCCTCTCGTCTCCTCTCGTCCCTTCCTCTCATCCGCCCCCTACTTACCCCCATGGTCTCCAATACGAGAAGGGCATTTCCCTGTCGGCGACGGAGCACGGAGCACGGAGTACTCGAACGGAGCAGCGATCCAATATCCGATTTGCGCCCCTGCGCATATGAACGAAAACGACCAGGGGGGTGTGGGACAGTGCGCTTGTGTTGGCAGCCCAAAAGCGCCGAAGAATGCCTGCTGCACATCAGGTCGGCTATTCTAGTCCTCGTACGTCGTAGATTCCTAAGCTGCTCGTAAGTCGAGAAGACCGAGCATCGCAAGGCTTCTCTGGTTCTTTTATTTGCTCCTTCAACCCACCCGTGGTTACCAAGCATCGCCCCTTTCTCATGCCGAGGCTGGTAACCCTATGGCTAGCTGCGTTGTGAACCAGAGCAAAGGCAATTAATAATAAAAATCGATGCAACCGTTCGATCAAAGCTGCGGCATTTCAGGCATTTCGCTGCCAGTACTCCGCAAGCCACATAGCAAGCGACCAGATTGTGGGCCCTAACCTTGCGCTATTTCCAATTTAACCCATTTCCTAAGCCTTTGCCAGTCTCTTCATGAACACTGACAGGCCTCCCTGTCTTGATTTCAGTTTTAATCACCACGAAGGCAAAAGACAGCCACGAAAGGACGAGATCCGGGTACTTTTGGTTTGCGTGATACGCGAAAACCCCTGTCGGTCAATCTCAGTTGGACAGGCAAGCTTGCGTATCCTTTCTCGCAGCTCTCTCCCGTGACCGTTTCCGTCTGGCCTTCTCCGAGCTTCATTCTCGTCTCTTTGTCACCGTGAGCTTCGGCAGACGCCAGTCTCCTGCACGTCGGATCGGTTCTTTTGTCTGGCCTTTTTCTCCTTTCCCAACTCGGGACATATGGACATAGCCAAGGGTGGTCGACCGGCCTGACCGTTCTGGTTGGCACTCGGTCAAAAATACAACAAAAGTCAGTGATCAGACAAATAACAGAGCAAAGCTGGCATGCGAACACACATGCTGTTGGTGTCATCACACGCTGCACCCCCCCCCTCCTTTCCTTCCTCTCATCCGTTTCTCCTGCTTCAACAAATCTGCACCCCCCGCTCCACGTTCGTTTACGACGGCTACCCCCCTCCTCTAGTCCGCATATGCACGAAGTGCGTACTCTGTACGGATCACCCTTTGCTTCTTTCGCAGCCCTGACCCTCGCTTTCCTTATACGGCGCTTAGCGTCGACACAAGGATAATGAAGAGTAGCATTGCTATTCAGAAACCCCTAGCTTCAAGCTCTACAGGCTGCTGGCCTGCTGAGGCAGAACCTTCTCCGGACCTCGGTGGCCATGCGCGTGAAAGTCCGGATAACCATAATGCCCTGATCGCTGGCCACAAACCACACCATAACCATGCAGCATGTGTCATGCTTTTTCACTCCTCTTCAACCCCCCTCTCTGCCTGTTCCCTTGGCTCCTCAAATCGTCTTCCGGTAAGAAATACGGCTATTCTAAACGCACCGGAGGTGTTCCAGAGTGCGGGAAAAAAAGAGGGCTGAAGAGCTGAGCGCCTAGAGAGTAGCAGGCCCCAGAGGGTTGTTTCCTATTCTGGGTGTTTTTGCTTTGTTCCTTCCCTTGTTGAATTCCACAGTAGATTTCTCCATTTTATGTAAGATATTTGGTCCTGCCTTAAATTTCGTAGTCGAAGAGTGCGTTTAATTATTTTATCTCTTACTTATATCCGTTGCACGAGTACATGTTCACAATTCCCCCTAGTCAATGTGCTCTTCTTGTCTCTTCCGCCTCGGGCCTTCATCTCCAGTTTCCATCTCAAACCACGACATCGATTCATGCTCTGTTGGATGTTGCATTCAGCTTAGCTTATATAGACCCCAAGCTCGTCCGTCTTCCCATCTCCGCCCTTCACCGTCCCGCTTATTGTAAAGTTCCTCGCTCTCGGCTCCTTCTTCTCCCCTGCCTCATCGAAAGGCTGACCGCTCACTCGCCTTCTCCCGCCCTCTTCTAGCTCTCGACCGCCACGACTACCGCTAGGACCTGCCCGTGTCCCCGCGTCTCGCTACAGCAGCTGTCGCCAATCTTCTCCTGCATGCCTTGAGTGTTGTATCCCAGCTGCCCAAAACAGCAACTGAGCCAAACTGCATTACCGCACGAACTTGCGGGCCAGATATCCACACGCGCCCACCCCCTGTCATCTTACTACAGACCGATCAGGTACTCCAAAGTACATAACCGGGGGTCGAGCCGACCTTCGTCCAACGATGCTAATAAACACAAGTTTTACAAGGCACACAACACCTACAAACCACTCAGCTCACACCTCCAGCAAAAAAACAACCTGGCCATTGCAATCTGTGTAAGACCGGAAGTACGAGCAAAGTCGAACGGACGAGAGAGACAAAAACAGCAGCTTCCTCTGTCATTGCAGCCTCTCTGTCCCTCCCAGTTTCCATTTCGTTTTCCTACTGTTGTTTGCCACCTCATCTGGTTCAACAAAACGGCTGGAAACCAGGACAGCCGTCAAGCTACACCAGTCCACTATCTGCGGGAGCCATCCTTGTTGCGCTTCTGGCTTTGCAATCTCGACAGTGTCTCGTAATAACGAGCTTACAGTGTCACCCAGGCTGCTTTCCCGTCGGCACGACCATTACAGTCACTGGGCACACGCCCCCTCCACGAAAATATCTGCTGTCCTCAAGCCGAATCAAACCCGTCAGCTTTTTAGACGCTGCTGCCAGTCATACTTCTCGATACCCACTGTTGCTTTTAGTACCGGCTTCCAGACATACTGCAGAGACTCCCCACTGTGTCAAGTCGTTGCAGTTCTGTCGTGACCTGCTCTTCTCTTTCCGGTAATTTCTCTCCTCATTGGCCAGGCCACCTTCCTCAATCATATGCCATTTGTGCTACTATTTTCTCCCGCCATCTTCTGTCTTACTTTGTCTTTCTTTGATTCGTGCTCTCTTTTTAAAACCATCAAGAGCCCCTCTCCATCATTTGCAACCTCACCCCGCCCAAAAACACCCTAGTTCTGACCGTTGATCGCTATCGTCAAACGAAGACTTGGGTCTTCCTACGCATAGCCCCCAAGGCCTACCAAAAACTCTTGTTATAGAAGCAGGCCCCGTTTCCGCCATTGATGGGTCTGGCTTGAGCTCCATATCACTAGAAACTATCTTCATACGTGAACACCCCCCATTCCCGCGTCTCCTAATTTCTGTTGTCCCCAGCTTCCTTCTCTTTGTGTATTTTCCCATATAAATCTTTGTTTTCCTCATTTTCTGTACTCTCCTAACCCTCCTCTTCCGTTCCCACTCTTCATCGCCCACCCCCCTCTTTGGTATTTCATTCTACTCATTCCCACAACACCTCTTGCCTTCTCCCCTCTGTCCAGGACAGCTGGTTCTTGTTCATGGCAGTCGTCGCCCCTCCGCCTCTCCAATCAAAGTTGGAATACTGGACAGGTTCCCATACCTCGTGTGCTGTCAAAGCAACAGAGCAGATGACAGATATTATGTCCCTCCAGTACCCGCCGCCACCGAACGGCACCAATATTGCTCTTCAGCAGCCCGGATACTTGCCTGCAGAGTACTCGAGCATTCATTCACCAACCGGACTTGTACAAGACACCAACATGCCTCCCAAAGGGCGCCATGATCCCATAACAAAGAACCTCAACATGAGGCTCGCGAAGTCCTTGTCTACGCCTGCTTCATTAAAGTCAGCTGCGGTGCAACAGCAAGTTTCCCTTTCACAAGATCAAAACGCTCTCAGCTTGGCCGCTGAGAAAAGAAGAAATAAGCTTGGCTACCACCGGACTTCTGTGGCGTGTGGTATGTAAATCTTTATTCTTTTCAATAAAAAACGCTCGTGGTGGTCTGTAATAGGTTGCCCGTGCCGTTGAGAATATGATTATTGAATTCCAGTCTAACTTCGGGTTGTTATCGTTCTCACAAGGCCACTGTCGTCGGCGCAAAATCAGATGCATACCATCAGCGACAGATATCCAGGGACGATGTGCCAACTGCATCCGTCTCAAGAAGGAATGCAGCTTTTATCCAGTAGATCAGCAACCACCAATTGACACGAGGAAAACCTCCATGTCCCGACCCTCGGTAGGCCTGTCACCACCGTCATCAAAATCATCTACAGCGGCTCTAGTTTCGAATCATAGCATTGGCCTCATAAAATCCGAGATCATCGAACGACCACCGAGCTCGAAAGTACTGACCAAGCATTCGATACAGACTATGGCACCCCCGATAATGAAAGCAACTGGGACGGAAGCATATTCGCCAGAATCTAAAAGTAGGTATAATTCCTTCCTTGAAGACACACGACAAGACATAACTAAATGTCTCTTTATAGTGTCCTTGACGTCTTCTGTTGGCCGAGCTTTTGAGTACAGCAACAGTGGGATGCCGAACTGGATGTCCGCAGACGTCAGTCCCAACTCGGCGAAGCCGGGCGACTTGGGTACTCCCTGGAGACCATATCCGCAGGAATCTCCCACCACACCAGTCTTCACGTCGTATACACAGCACACAACAGCACCATCGGCAACTTGGGCGCAACATCCCGAACCAGCAGCAAGAGAGGACATGTGGTATCCCACACCTACCCCAAGGTCCCTCTCTTTTGGGACAGAAAGCGTGGTTGGCAATCACGCTCAGTATCCGCCTATTTCACAAATGACAAGCGGCCTGCCAACTCGGCCGTTCGACCGCAAATCTGGATCCATGCCTGAAATATATCATTCTTCGATCAACACTGCCGGCACTTCTTTGGACACAGTCTCGCTTTCGGCCGGGACTGAAGGAACTCAGTCATACGATGGCTGGCAGCCGTACTCGTACGGCAAGCCCAACGATTCATCCGATGCCTACGTCGGATGGGGTGGGGAGCAAGCCACATCTTCGGCAACCGAAACGCACGCGACTTCGTCTAATGTGTATTACACCGGCCGATAACAACGTCTGGGAGACAACTGAACGTCGAGATTATCTGTCCCATCTCAGTGGCTGTCCCTAGGGCATATCAGTCTTCCGGTCAGCTGTGAGTGCTGATGTATGGGCAATTCCTCTGGAAGGGATTTGGTTGCAATCCGCAGCCTTTTAATCGAAGCTCAAGGCCTCCCTTCGCCTTTCCATTTCAAGTCTTTACGCAGACGTACGGAATCGAAATAGGTATTTCGTATCAGAAAATGACACAAATTGATCGGTCTTTCAGACAACAGAGGTCCGATACTCGTCTGCCTTGCACTTGGGTACCAAAATCGGAGCACGGCAATTCACTCAAACACGATTGTACGAGCCCAACAATATGGGATCGCAACACAGAAAAAGGCCCCAGTAACATGTCGTGCCCCTTGAAGCGCAATGAGAAGCAGCAGGAAGAATAGAACCGATAAAAAAAATAGTCGAGGGGGAAAGGACGGAAACATTCCGAACCGGTATGCGAAGTGACAACCGACAACCACCGAAACCCGTTTCGAGGGGATATTGACAGCTCGTTTTATTGAACGCGTCGATCTGCGGGACTCGTCTCGACTTCTCCTATCCAGGGAGGTGAGAGCACTTTTCTCGGCAATATGCAGTCCCCGGTACGAGACACAAGCTGGAGCTACGCAAAGGAAGTCTTGCTCTAGTGGCAAAATTTGTCGGTGCGAGTACTAGCACAAATTGAATGCAAAGAAGGGAAGCAACAAAAAGATGGGGTAATCATGACAGGAGATAATAAGAGGGAATACTTGTGATCAAGCCCTTTTGGGACAGGTTCAATAGACGGGAACGGCAAGTGTGGAAGCATACACATCACGCCAATGCATTCCATGTGTGCTCATTGCATAATAGATGGGTAGCAGGACGACAGGATTATGGGCCACGGGGTATCAAACGAGAAGTGCACACCAGTTTAGGTCTCGTGGAGCATAATATCGGCATGGGATTCGACAGGACATACGTTGCGTGCTAGAATAGCGCATTGGAGGAACCCCGGGCTAGAGGATTGCGAACGAAATCAGACCTGCTCGAACCGCAGTATCTGAATATTTGGATATTCTGCTGATTGTTGGTTTGTATAACGTATGCAAGGCTTACTGTTGGCTGGTAAGAAATACGTAAATTTTAGGATGTTGTTATGCTTATTGTTATGATTTCTCAGTTGCCCCGATAGTAGCAACGGTAAAAGGGGAGACCAGAAGACAGAAGGGAGAAGGTGTACACACTGTCCAGATATCATTTCTTGCTAGCTCTTTAGTCTTGATAGCGACTGTTTAGCCCTAAGATGACTTTGTTCTTATGTTGAGCCATTAGACACTATCTAGACCTCATACAAAAGCTTGTACCAAAAGAGCCCATGCAAAGAAGCATGCCGTCACATTCGTAATTCTTAGTCCTGTAACCGGTGCAGCAGAACAAGCAACACAATGTGTGCAAAGAGACTCAGCACGGTTAGTAAAGCCACGCTATTACCACTCGTGCGGAACTTCTTCTTAGTCACTACTCTGCTGTATATGCTGGGTCGGCGGCCTGGATTCGGAGCCTCAACGCCGGCATTGGAGCCCGATTCCCGGATGACGTCCTTTAGTTCTTCTTCCGTGTTGAAGAATTGGCGGTTGCCCTCATATCGCCGGTAGATAGCTACAAGCATCACGGCTGCGCCGTAAACGGCAAAGAGCGCGCCAATTGCATAAAACTCGGACGTGAAAATCTTGAGCACGACCAAGGCAAATGAAAACTGCGACAGCGCCGTGCGCATGTACGCGCCTTCAAAGGTACGCTGAGCAGCACGAATCTCAACAAGCCTGCATCATGAGTGGGGTAGGGTCAGATGGCTTGAGGGAGCACGAGTGAGATAAAAGGCCGACCTACTCATCAGAAGTCAGAATAACAGACCGGGCGCGGTGAAGACGTAGCTGGAGGTGATCCTCTGGGTGCGGTTGCAGAGCCTGCGATGATGCATGTCAGAGTGTATGTTAAAGCCGTTACATGGTGAAGAGAGATTATGCCAGCACGCACCTCGAACATTTTGCAAGTCTAGGGTTTCGCAACAAGAGTGATTCTTGGATGGCAATCTGGAATGAATCGAATACGGCCGAAAAGCGTCGCCTTGGAAATTACGCGATTATACACCACAATTGCGACGCAACTTGGCCATTCTCCGAGGGCCTGTACGTAGCTCTAAGTGCCCTGTGGAGGGACGACAACAAGAAGAACAGACGCGTCAATTGTGTGTTTTCTTCTCGTTGCAAATCTCAAAGACGCAATGATCCGGGAAGAAGCTTGCGCTACTCTGTTGCTACATATTAGCATGTGAGATATGTACTTACGGAGTACATTTTGAAGCTATGTGCAAAGTAGCTCCCCGGTGGCTCCAGCCTGATTCGTCATAGAGTTCCACTTCTATGTGCCTCAGAATCCAGGCATTCATGCACCATATTCCAGTCTGGCCTACGAGCAGACAAGCGCCTATTTCTGGTAGACCTCAATACTGCCGAACCTGCACCGAACCCATCGCCGTACAAGATACGAGATACTCATGCAACGGCGACGGTCCACACCCCGAAAGCACTACGATTCCTCCGGGTCCCCCCTTATCACAGACAGCATTGGTAGTGGCCACGCCAGTGCCGCCAACAGAGCTGCAAACACCACGTCTTCCCGTCGGACGAGCGCGGGCATCGAACTGCGCGAGCTACCGTCCCACGCCAGCAGCAGCAGCATCAGCCGGCCATTTCACCGCGTCGCAGACGTCCCGGATAACGCCTACTTCCCACCATCATACCACGCACAGCGCGTGCCGTTTGAGGACACGCCGCTCATCATGAAGCCACTCGTTAGCGCCGTGCAGGCTTGGTCTTGGTGCGTACATTCCGTTGCTGCTTGCTGCTTCCTGCTTCCAGCTGGTTGCATCTTCTTGCCGGATCGATTGGGGTAGACGCTGCAGGCTGAAAGTCATCGGCTCCGAGCTCTCCTGATAACAGACGTGCTGCTGACACTTGATGGCTGAAGCTTCGTCATCTCGGTGTTTGCCATAGTCATCCTGTCCACTTTAGGCCTGCTCTTCCGCGGTAACCACCATGAGATGGTCGGTGGCATGAAAGACCCTGAGAATGGGCCGGAAGTTGCGGCCACCATCTTTGTGGCTGTTCTGGTTTACGCTGTACGTCCCCATGGCAAGAAAGGGAGAAGCTCCCTGTCCCCCCCCTTTCTTGTCTACATTTCTGTTTTATCGGAGAGCGCCTGCTGACATACTCGCGTTCTTATCGACAGGGGTTTTTGGTGTTCTGCGGCCTGCAGGGAATGATGCATCTTCGTGAGAATCGGCGAGGCGCAATCGCATTGTAATGAGTGAGGAGACGACAGTATTATGAAGGAGAAGAGGATAAGGAATGTCGAGAGAGTGGTAGGTAGTGGCGACACGGACACGCTGTACATTTTGCATTGTTGCTTGTTTCCTGGATTATGTACTGGTCCCTCCTCTGGTTGCTACTGAGCATCAGGTTGGGGGTTTACGCTTTTGTTGTTTTGCCTTCTCATGTATCCGTAATCTATAGACACAGTTTTTCGCCGATAAGACAAATGGTAGTCGATTGTAAGATATGCTATAGGGACCTTTGAAGTTTGGCATACTATTTGGTGAATCTTTTGCAGAAGGACCCTATGTCTGCTGCCTACGGATTACGTACCACAGATGGCATCACGATATTTACAGCCATCGGGCGATGCTTCTCTTCGCTTAAAGTGGCCTCGGCTTCTCAAAGCCGGTTGGCCAATGACTTCCCCACTTTATAAAGCAGCACCCTGGTTGAGGCAGCAGGGTAAAGAAAGAAAGAGTTGATTGCTTCAGCTTGGTCAGGCAGGAGTGGGTGGTGCGGCTATCTGCATAACAGCATGTACGACATAACCTTGCAGGCGAGCAAGCTGCATTACCGTCCCAAGTAGGCCATTCCGACGACTCCTGGCTGACTGCTCTGCATGCATCGGCCCCCCTTCCAAATTCACATGTCTTCCAGATTGTTCTGCGCATCTACAAGTCTGTCTTCAAGATTCTTACTGGTTTTCGATATTGACCGTTCTGGAGTCGTCCATGATAGATGGCTCAAGATGCGGTACCGTGTCAAGGTGAGATCGGTTGAGGAGGCCTAGAATTGGGGTGTTTGCTTTCTCATAAGTTTTTCCATTCGCCCATTTATTAAGTATCTTAGGACATTTTATCTTCTAGTTTGCATTTATTCATTACTTTGGTGATTGTATGGTTGGGTTTCTATCCAGGAGGATGGAGAAACAATTTGAAGATTCCCAAGATCAATCTATCCGGGCGAACAAGTATGTACGGCAGAAGGGCAACAGGAAGCGGGGCAAAAAACAGCAAGAAAAAGCAAGTAGCCAAAAACAAACAGGGCTAGACTACGCAAGGGGTGATGATGACAACGCCAGAGAAGTATGCTGGGAAGAGCAAGCACATTAAGAGTACGGGGTATACATGAAGGACCATGAAGAACAGCGCGAGAAGGGGAAAGGGGTAGAAGAGGCTGAGTAGAAAGATGGGAAAGGCAAAGGCAACGGGCGAGGAAGAATCAAAGCTCGTCGTCGTCGGCAGAGGCGGCAACCTCCTCGCGGACCTTTCGACACCACTGGTAGATGGCATCCTCAAAGGCAGCGAGGGCAGCGGTGCTGTTGTTGCAGACGACGGCGAGGGCGTCAATCTTGAGCAGGATCTCCCAGCGCAGCTCAGCCGCCTTGACCCAGTAGCGCAGGTTGTCGGCGGCGCGATAGGGCTTCTGGGTGTCGGCGTGGAAGGTGGGAATGGCGCCGAAACGACGTCGCGACCGGCGGACGGCGCAGTTGTGCAGCCGGACGAGACAGACGCCCGACTGCAAGTGCTGGAGGAAGGGAGTAGAGGCGACGGGGCCGTCGTCGGTGGTGTCGTCGCGGGGCGTGTCTGCGCCGACGTCGCTGCGGTCGATGGGGATCCAGTCGGGAATGACTTCGGTGGAGTATCCGACCAGAATGGACTGCATGAAGGCGTGTTCGCGGGCATAGGCGCGGAGGCGGTCTTTGCCGTCGATGCCAGGGCCAGCAGGCCAATCACCATCCCGCAGCCAGGTCCAGCCAGCGCGCTCGGCCTTCTCGGCGGCAAACATGGCGTCCTCAGCATCGAGCATGGCGTGCAGGCTGGCGATCCAGGCCTCCATGGCGCGCAGCTCATCGCGACGGGCGCCACCGGCAAAGTTGCGGGTAGCCATGCGGCGCAGAACATCCATGACGCCGAGCAGCTCGGAGCGGACCTCCCGTTCGGGCTTGATGGCGTCCAGCAGGTCGGGATGCTCGTGGCTGGTGTAAAAGACCTTGGCGGCACGGATGGCCAGGGTCATGATGTCGAGGATGTGCATGCCTTGAATCTCGTACCAGGCAGTGGTGGCGACGCTGCGGACGCTGGTCACGCTGTCGGCATGGTTGCGCACGCTGGTGAAATAGTCGTTGGACATGGGTGTGGCGGTCTCCTCGCGCTGCGGCGAGGGCGGTTCGGCGGCGAGGGCAGCGAGCTCGGCCTTGGCAGCCTTTGCACGAGCGCGCGCTGCCATGCCGGCACGGATCTCGGCAAGGGCCTTGCTGCCGTCGGTCAGGGCAGCCTTGAGGTCGGCACGCAGCTCAGCCTGGGTGGGCGGCTTGGGCAGGGTGGTCTCGCGGAAGCGATACGTGCTGACAGTTGGCGGAAGCATGCCGTCCTCATCGTCGTCGGGATCCCAGTCATCGTCGGGGGCATCGTCGACGGGAAGGCCATCGTCCTGGACGGGCGACTCGACAAGGAGGTTGTCGGGGTCGTCGGGCGCAAAGGAGTTATAGTCGTCCTGGTCCGGCTGGTCACCGAGAAAGAGGCCGGGAGGAGCAGCCATCATGGAGACCGGGCGGGTGGTCTTTGCCGGCTGTAGAGTCAGATAGCTGGCCGGGTCGAGCTGAGAGAGATCGAGGGTGCGAGCCTTGCCGATGCCACGACGACGACGTTCCAGCTGGCCCTTGAGATCGAGCAGGCCGGTGCGGGCAAAGTAATGCTGCAAATGGGTGATGCTGCCAAGACTGAGAACACTTTCGCGCGAACGAGCACTGGCGGCGAAGTCGGTGCCCTGTGGCCGCATATAGCCACGACGGCGGACAAGGTGCTGGTTTGGCAGCGACGGTGTGGTGGGATACGACTGCAGCGACGGAAGCGAGAGCGAGCCGGGAGCAGCGGCACCGGTCTGCAGCGAGAGCGGATAGCAGCCGGACGACTGGCGACTGAGCGAGTTGGCCGTGGACGAGGCATCGCTGCCGAGAGACTCGCGCGAGTCACGGGTGGTGGTCGAGCCGTGAGACAACGACGAGGCCGTCGAGACACAGCGCGAGAGCTTGGCCGGACCCAAGCCGTGTGGAAGAGCGGCCGTCGGGACAGCTTCGGGCGGCGGTGATGCTGGCCGATGGTCGTTTTGCGGGTGAGCCATGATGGGACGTTGAGTTGGGTTAGTTGGGGGTGGCAACGTTGATGTTGGACCAGACCAGGTGGGCGAGCTGTTGGTAAGGTGGCGTTCAACGGTTGTGGATCAAGGCGAAGACAGCCGAAAGGAGGACCAGTGAGACAGCCGATGCAGATCCAAAGCCGTCCAGCAGCAAACAATCAGGACAGCCGAAAGGAGCGGCGGCAGTCGACGACAAGCATGACGACAGGGACAGGCAAACGGGGATCAGCGGCAGCGGAGAGGCGAGCAGACAGAAGAAGCGAAGCAGACAGACAGACAGACGGCAGACGGACAGACGGGCAGAGAGCAGAGAAACGGACAGAACGCGCAGAGAATCGCAGAAAAAGTAGAGCGAGCAAAGGCGGGGAAGTATGAGTGTTGTGTGTTGTGCGCTGTGCAAAAAAGAGGGCGAATTTCAGGGGAACCGCTGTTTTAGCTGGCGGAAGGTCCGGTGGCCTTCAGCGGTCTTTGCTGGCCTCGGACAGCGACACTACTCTGTACAGAGCAGGCCCGTGGCGAGCTGGTGGGGCGCGCTAAGCCGCAGAGAGACGAGGGGAAATTTGCGAAAGGGGCCCTCAGGGGTGTGACACCCGCAAATTACGCAGCAACGGAAAGCACCTGAGCTGAAGCTCTTGCCGCGTCGTGGAGGTGACTAATACTATGTATCGTACTACGAGTACTCCGTACGGAGTACATAGTAAAGCCACGAGACAAAGTGAGCTGTCTTCCACGAGACGGACAGTGTCAACAACCACCAACACACACTGTGAGTCCATCTCCCGCATCCAACAACAACGCAACACGCAACACGCAACACGCAACAAGGAACACGCGCGCACTCGTCCAGGCTGCCGCAGCCGTACCTGCATCCGGGCCGCCCACTGGCAGCCTGGCCGTCACCTGCTCGCCAGAGGTGCTGCCTAGGGATACGTGCCGTTACGACTCGCAGTGGGGCTCCAGACGGAAGCACACGCCGGAGTACGAGCTCCTCGTAAGAAAGGCACCTTCATTTTAGCGATCTGCGCGCAATCTTGCGTCTCGCGACGCGTTCCTACAGGCAGGTCTGGCCACCGTGTGAGGAGGAAACCAGCGGCCACTGCACGGTGGGCGGGCGCGATCCCGGTAACCTCAACGGCCGTCCCAGCCTGTCGGCTGCTGCTAACGTCGCAGCCCGCGGATCGTGCCTGCCTCGTATCGCACTCACAAGCTGGCCGTACTCGTAATTTGGCCTATGCGAAGGGCAGTGGCGTCGCCATCGCTGTCTCGCCCTCTTGTCGTGCGTTGCACCTTCTTGTTTTCTCCGCCTTTTTGATTATTATTGACGGGCTACCTTTTTGGGCGCAACCAGACTTGACAGACCTGCCGCTTCTTATCTCCTTTTGCCCTCTTCATCTCCCTTCTCTCTCTCTTCTCTGCTCCTTTCCGGCTCTCGCTCTGCTGTCGACCTGTCCAGCTGCTCTGCGCATCCTCCCGCTGAGACCCCAGTCTCCATCCGCCTGCATCCTGCTACTGCAAGCGTTCAGTCTGCTGCTGCCTCACCGTCTTCTCCCTGCAATCGCCCTTTTCTCCTTCCCGGAACAGCTGCAAAGTCCTTTTCCTCGGCCATCACCTCACAAACTGTCAAGCACCCCTGGCGACGCCAAGTGGATTTCATCGGCAGTCCACACGACAAACAGGCAGAAGCCAAAGAGAAAGGCACCCCAAGCCCGGCCTGCAGACACGATAGACCACAGACCTCCGCCCCATACCACCTCCCAGCGCGTGCGCAAGCCCACCTCGATGCATCTGTGCCTTACGGCCAACTAACGCGCACACTGGCCAAAACGGAAGAGGGGGGGTCGCAGGGCATCGGCCAACCGAAGGGGAGAACGGAACCAGCTGGGAGAGAAGACGAATCGCCAGAGTCCCAAGTGTCCCAGCAGTCTGTCCCCGGAATCGTGACAGGAGCCTGAGTGGCCCAACGGCCCAAAAGGCCCAAATTCCAAAAAGCCCAAAACGACAAGTCTGCATCGGCCTGTGCTTAAATGACCTCCACGTTTGTCACATCCGCTGGTGCTGTCGGTGCTGTCGGTGCTGCCGTCACGTCTGTCCCGTCTGCTGGGCCTGACGGATCGCCATCAAATGACAACAACGGGCGCCGTTATCCACAGTCGGAAACTGACGGCCTCCACCAATCTCAACCTCCCATCTCGGCCTCCTTTTCGTCCCTCTCTCCTTCTGCTATCGACCACAATGGCGATCGGCCCGTCACCATCTTGACCTTTGCCGACCTCAGCCACCACCGATCCGACGACGACCGTCCCGGCTCGAGCAATCCCATCCCGTCTCCCTTCCTGCCCTCCTCCCCTTTGGGCCAGCTGCCACCCCTGATCACGCAAACGCAGACGCCCTCCCCGTCGCCCTCACCGTCGCGGCTCTCGCAGTACAGCGGCTTCGGCTACGATCCCATTGGCCTCTCCCCTGTCACCGGCCACAGCGACCGACCAGACCGAGCCGACCCCATCCACCTCATCCCCTCGCCCGCCTCCTCCTCCTCGTCTACTCCCATCCACCAACCCCAGCCCCGAAAGCCATCGCCCGGCCTGGCCGCCCGGCTGAAAGCCCTGGGCTTTGGCACCACCTCCACCAAGGCCTCGTCGCCCGCCTTGCCTCCACAGCCTGAGCACATCGGCCGCCTCCCCGAAGACCGGCTACGAAAGCTCGACCAGAAGCACCAGGCCGGCTCCGTCGTCCCCGTCATTGAACGGCGCGGCCGTCCCTGGAAGGGCGCTGGTGCCGCTGTCGCCCGCTTTGCCAAGGGACGCCACAAGCAGCCAACCGCCGACGTCGACACCGACCGCAACCTCTATCCGAGCGACGACGACTCTTCCTCTATGCTTCTTCCCGAGATCGACACCGTCCCGCCCCTGGAGATGGAGATGGACACAAACAAGTACCGCTTGCCAGACCATACAAACGAAAATGGCACCAAAGTACAGCTAGATACCCGCCAGCAGCATCTTGATCGGGACATTCAGCCTGTCCACGAGTTCGCACACAACCCAGCAGCTGAACCCCCTGAACCGCCTGAGCCTCCCGAATCTCCTGAATCTCCTGACTCTCCTGAATCTCTTGCATCGCCCAAAGTCCCTCCCCCTCTTCCGAAAAAAAGCCCTCCTCCGCCACCATCCACGCCCCCACAGACGGACTTCAGCTCAGATGTAACCTCTTACTTCAACCCGCTGGGCCTACAACGCGCCGGTTCTATCTACACATTATCGCGCGTGTCCTTCGCTAACCAGCTGGCCCAGCTGACATCCCTCCAACTGCCTGATGCCGAGTCGCTCTCCAGCAAGGTCGCCGCCATCCCGACGGCCCAGGCGGCTACGCGTGCCCTGATCGGTGCTGCCGAGCAGATCCGGAACTGGGTGTCCAAGGCTTCTGAGGTCATCGATGGCCTAGACAGCGACGATGACGTGGAATGGGCGGCAGCCGGTGGCCGCGAGGGCTTGGAGGAGGTCGAACATGCCATTGTCCGGTTCGAGGAGCTAATCAATATATACGTCGGGGCCATTGAGCAGCTGCAGAACCGTCCGGACATTGCCAGCGTGAGTGCCGACGACCTCCATCGTGCCGTCATCCAGATGGAGTCCATCATGGACGAGTGGCAGAAGATGCGCAAGACCCTGCAGAGCGTCAAGGCCCAGGTTGAGATTGCGATGGAGTGGGAGGAGCTCTGGAGCATGGTGCTGGGCGACATCCAAAACGAGATGGAGGAGCTTAGCCGGCTTGTCTTTGAGATGGAGGAGCGTCGCCACAAGTCCATCCTGGCCAACGGGGCCGCCGCCGAGGACACGGAGGACACAGAGGGTGCCGATGGCGCTGATGGTGCCGATGGCGCAGACGGTGCTGACGCTGCCGGCGTCGATATTGGCGACCTCGAAACGATCGTGGAAGAGACAAAGGAGCAGCAGCAGCAGCAGCCGAACGCGCCGACTCGCGTGCCCGCCTCGTCTGGCAACAACCGCTACAGCATTCCGGTTTTCCCGCCCAGCGCCAACCCGCCTGAGGGGGGAGCCAGCACAACCCCCGGCATATCCCTGGACGACTCCAGCCTCCTGGCACTGTTTGCTCGCATGCAGCCGCTCCGTGCATCACTGGACTTTCTGCCGATGCGGCTGTGCGTGTTCGAAGCCCGGGCGTCGTCGTGCTTTCCAACGGCCTGTGAGGAGCTCGAGATGCGGCGATGCGGCCTCGATGGCAGCTACAGGAAGCTCGAGAAAGATGCCGAGTCACTGCGGAAGGAGCTTGGCGAGGACCGCTGGGTGGCTGTGTTCCGGGGAGCGGCGCGGCAGGCGCAGAAGATGTACGAGTCGGTAGAGCGCAGTGTGGCCAAGCTGAGGGAGGCTCTGGATGCCGGCCTGCACCTGACGAACCAGCCGCTGATGGCGAAGAAGACGGAGAGCTACGAGACCAAGAAGGTGCATTACGGCCCGGCTATTGAGCGGGTCCTGGCGATCATTGACAAGGGCATCAAGGACCGTCTGACGCTCAACGGCGAGATCCTGCGGCTGCACGCCGAGCTGCAGGCCAAGTGGGACGAGCTCCGGGACCGCATGCACGACGTGGACATGGGCCTCGAGGACGTGCAGGCCGAGCAGGCGAGCCAGCAGCTGCGCGACTCCATCTCGAGCATGCTGTCAAACGACCAGTCGACGGGCGGGAGCGGACGCGATACACCGCAGAGCTCGCCGCCCTCATCCGTGATCATGTCGTCGCTGGGCCTAGACAAGGGCCAGAGGGCCTCTGGCGGTGGAAAGGCCGACAACAAGGGCACCCCGACAAAAATGAAGCGCCGGTCAGTCATGGGCAACAGTCAGCTGCCACAGCTTGCCAGCCGGCGGAGCATCTGCTCGACAGCCGCGGCTGCTGCTCAGGCGCGAAAGCCGCTGCGCTTTTCCAACTACATGCCTCCTGGCAGCCCTGGTTTACTGTCTCCGAGTCGCGAAGGTTCGGTGACCCCGGTCCACGGACAGCGGTCAGCACCGACACCGAAAGCAAAAGCGAAACCAGCACGGCCGACACCACCGCCAGACACACGTCCTAGATGGAACAGCTCGACTGTCGGCATCGACACCGGTCACAACTTTAAGCCGCTCAGCCTGACGACGCCGAGTCCGTATGCCAAGACACCCACTCTCCGCCGGACACCGTCAATGACAAGCACGTCCGGCTCTGGGGCGAGGGGCATGACGAGGCTGCCCACACCAAGTCCGCTTGGCCGCAACGCGTCTTCACCAGCCCCGCCAAGCTCTCCTTCTCACAGCCGGCCGGGGACCAGTGGAACGCCGTTCCGTCCTCGTCTGAGCTCACACTCTTCGCAGTCGGGTGCGAACAACCGGCGCGCATCGATGCAGCCGGCCTGGAGCATGGAGACGTCGCCAAATGGGCCACCACGGTCTGCAAGCTCCCTGGCCATGTCTCGCCGGAGCGGCCTCTACCCCGGTGTCTGGGTGAGTGGAGAAGGAGGCAACGCCCTGGACGGCATCTCCGGTCGTGATTCGCCACAGACGAGGCGGAACAACTCGGCCAGTGAGCAACAAAAAAAGACGGAGCGGCCCAGGTGGAGGCCTTGAGTCCGTGGACGGCTTTAACGAATTATTTCTCGATTTTTTTTCTTTTGCTTCATCTGGAGCCATATCTGCCAGCCATATATTCGTTTCTCTTGGTTTCAGTCCGGGTTGACGGCCGTTAACGGGCCTGATGAAACTCTCCCTGTTTTGTTTTTACGCTCCCTCGATAATATCCCGGAAAAGGACAAAGAGGTGGTTTGTCTCACAGTTGCGTTGTCGTTCTGTCGGTCTATTTTCACGCCAGATGAAAGGTGTACTACTCTGGTGCTCGGCGTTTTTCTCTCTCTTGCGCGGCTGTAAGAACAGATACGGAAGGGCAACTTGGTCGTTTAGCGTGTCTATTTATTGAACGTTTTGCTTGTTTCCACTTGCCGCACTTGTGATTCTGCACCTGTCGATTGTCTTGCTTCTTGCTTCTTGCTGGTATTTGCTAGTATTTGCTGGTATTTCCACGCTCTAAAATGACAAAAGGCCTCCATGTAACCGACTCCTTTCTCCCATTCCCGTCACCCAAAAGTTACGCCGTCCTCCCGGTAAAACGGGAGGGCTTATGATACAAGACCGTCCTCAGAGAGGCATCATGCCAATGCCGCCTCGTCCGCCAGCCGAAGCCGAGCCTGAAGCTGAAGCTGGGGCCTTTCGTCTCGATACTCCTCCACCACTTGTGCGGCTGCGTGAGTTTGAGCTTCCGCCTCCGCCCCGACTGCTCCCACCGCCTCCACCGGCTGCACCACGACGAGGTGGCTTTCGACTTCCGCCAGACGACCAGCTCTTGCGAGAGCCTCCTCCAGATCGCCCGCCACCACCACCAGACTTGCCTGATGGCTGCGTCTGCAGCGTCTCTAGCTCCATCCGCCAACGCTCAGCCTCACGTGACTCGCTCACCGACGGCTCATCGTCTTTGTCGTCCTTGTCGTCCTCGTCCTCGTCTGAGCTGATCAGGTCTACCACGGCCTCATAGTCCCGACGCAAAGGCCGAGCAGCAGCAGCAGCCGACACGGTCGTTGTCGCTATCGGCCGCTCTGGGCTCTCGTCGCGGCCAAAGCCCATCATCTCCTGATACATGACCTGGTACCGCTTGATCAGCTGCACAAACCGGCCGCCGTACCGCTTCACGTGACCCTCGTCAATGCCCCGGATCCGCCGCATCTTGTCGAGCGAGTCCGTCCAGCCGATGGCCATCTCGCGCAAATGGCTCTCGGTAAACAGGATCCGCAGGCCCTTCTCGTTCCGAATCTTCTCCTCGATCCGTCGTGCCTCGTCAGCAAAGGCTGCGATGATGTCGGCATGAATCGGGTCGATGTTGGCCTCGGTCAACCGCGAGTCATGTGCAATCGGTCCGCCCAGCTCTTCCAGCCTGCGCTGCCGCTGTGGTGGCCGGATGACGTTGTTGCTGCTGCCTTGGTTCTCGTACCGGAATCGGTCCAGCTGGACTTTCCGGGCCTTGCGTTGTGCTTGTGCCGGATGTCTTGGCGGTGCAGCCTCTTCGAAATCGTCGTCGTCGTTGTCCGAGACGACAAAGTTGTCTTTGGCATACCCGTTTGCGTGCAGAGGACCGCCAAACTCGTCGGATTCAGCGTCGCTGCCATCTGCCTCGACATCGTCGCCTTGGTCGAGAGCGACGGCTACGGCCTTGCCCTTTCGACTGCTCTTGGCTGCTGCTCGGCCTGACACTGAATCGTCTCCGCCAGTCGCCTTGGCCGTCTTAGCCTTTTTGCCTGTCTTGTTCGATGCCGTCGTCTTCTTAGCAGCAATCGGGCCGGCTACATCGGTGCCAACCTTAGTGACAACCTGTAGCTTCTTCGTGCCCGAAAAGAACTCGCCTGCGCGACGGCCCAGCTGCAGACACGGTTAGCTTCTGCTTTTCTGTCTTTCTGCCACTTTCTGCTCTCCCAACATCCGCCTGGTGCTTACACTGAAGTACTGGATCGCAATGTCCATCCGGTTGACCTTGTTCTCCTCCTTCAGGGCACCCTCTCCCAGAAGCCGGTAGATCATCATGTGGATCTCATGTTTCTTCAGATTCCTGGCAATCCCATACATCTCTTGCAGCGAGCTATGCTCCGGTTCAGGCCGCCGTTTTCCCTGCAGAATATCGCCACACTGGATCATCGTGATCAGCTCGTACGCTTCCACCACTCGGAGGGCGGCCACCGCATACTGCGTGAAGTCGGTCAGGTCAAACTTCCCGCCATACTTGCAGTTGTCGCACGTCCCACCACATCCGCTCTGCTCAAAGTTCTCGCCAAAGTAGCGCAGGATTTCCGACCGCCGACAGTCGCGCTTGTTCTCGCAGAAATCCACCATCCGGTTCAGCATCTCCCGCTGCCGCGCCTTCTGAGCCTCGCTGCCCTCCGAGTCGGCGATAAATTTGCGCAGGTTCTTGATGTCGCCATAGCTAAAGTAGAGAAAGCAGTCCGAATGGATCCCGTCCCGGCCCGCTCGCCCGGTCTCCTGGTAGTATCCCTCCAAACTCTTCGGCAGGTAGTGGTGGATGACGAACCGAACGTCCGGCTTGTCGATGCCCATGCCAAAGGCGATCGTGGCCACCACAATCTTGATCCGTCCCTTTTGCCAGTCACGCTGGATCCGCGTCTTCTCGTCGGCCGGGATGCCGGCATGGTAGTGGTGCGCCGAGATGCCAAACTTGTCTCGCAGCTTGTCCGCAATGCTGACCGTCGATTTCTGCGATAACGTGTACACGATCCCGGTCTGGCCGCTGTACTGCGACTGGATGAGCTCGGCGATGTTCTCCACCGCGCCTTTGCCCTTCTCTCGGATCTCGTAGTACAGGTTGGGCCGGTTGAAGCTTTGGCTGAACACCTTGCAGCCGTCGATGCTCAGGTTGTGCTTGATGTCCACAATGACATTTGGCGTCGCCGTCGCCGTCAAGGCCATCACCGGCACGCTGGGAAACCGCCGCCGCACCTCGCCGAGCGCCTTGTAATCCGGCCGAAAGTCATGGCCCCACTGGCTGACACAGTGAGCCTCGTCGATGACGAGCCGCGCCAGCTTCTTCTTCCGATAGAGCGTCTCCAGGCCTTGGCAGAACTGGCTGCTCTTGCTCACCATCTCTGGCGTGACGTAGAGCAGCTGCAGGAAATGCTCGGGGTTCGCCTTCGAGAACAATGCAAGGATGTGCTTGCGAGCAGCTGCCGGCGTGCTGCTGTTGAACGCGCTCGCCGCAATGTTCAGGGCCTTGAGATGGTCCACCTGGTCCTGCATCAAACTGAGCAGCGGGCTGACCACAATCGACACCCCATTTGTCCTCCCGCTGCTGATGACCGCCGGCAGCTGGTAGCACAGCGACTTGCCGCCTCCCGTTGGCATGAGCACAAAGGCGTCCTTGCCGGAAAGCGTGGCGTTGATGGCCTCGAGCTGGTTGTGCCGGAAGCCAGACATGCGAAATCGGTCTTTGAGCGCCTTGCGCACTTCCTGCGACCAGTCAAAACACATCAGCTCGAGGGGGATCGCCGGCTTCTTCGCAAGCTGACTCGCTTGTTTGGCACCGCCCAAAGCCATCCTCGGTGATTTCTTCGCGTTTCCAGACGCCGGTGTGAGGATTGTCCGCGAAGGCCCAGGCCTTGCCGTCGACCCAGCATTAAACGAGTGTTGCTGTTCAAAGCTCTCCGCCACCTGCAGCATCTCGATATCGTCGCTGAAATCGCTGAAGAACTCTTGCCCCCGCGCTGCCGGAGGAGGCTTATGGGGGGTTCGTCTGCTGGAGGCAGTGTTCGTTGATCCCGCAGGCCCGTAGGCTGGCGTGGCACCGTACCCGGAACCGGAAAAGCCTGTACCAAGTATGGATGGGAGGTCCTCCATCTCGTTGAATATGTCGTCGTCATCAAAGTAGTCTCCTTGACTATGGAATTTGGCATCAGAATCTCGGGTCGTTGCTGCTCGGGGTATTGTGTGTATTCTTGCTGGCAGATGGCCATTGGGCGAGTCGTATCCGTCGGCAGCTTGTCTACTGCGTTGCTGCGGTGGTGGAAGTTGCGTCTGGAGTATGATCTGAGAGTGGTTCGTAGCAAAGGTGCTGCTGCGGCCTGTCATGGGCGTCGAAAATCCCTCTGGGTGCTGGGTCGCGGGAATGACAACACTATTGGGACTGCCGGCATCAAAATCGCGCGGACAGCTGGAAGGATCGATTGCTGCTTCGGAGAGGCGCGTGCGAAGGGTCTCTTCTTGGTCCTGGAGTTCCTGGCTCAGGTCGTCTAGGCGAGACTCTTCCGATTCGGTGTCGAGATGATTTTGGTACGCCTCCGTGATGGAATGAAGCAGAGCCTCCTGTTCATTATACAGATGGGCAAAGGCCCTCATTTCGTCGACAAGGCTGTCTAACGGCTGCTTCTCCCTCAAAATAGGTTCCTTTTCTCCTTTGATTTGCATTCGGCGTGCCTGTGGCCATTTTTCCCGAAGGGCTTTTGTGTACTCGGTTGTGTTATTTCGTATCTTCTCCTCGACCAAGTGCTGCTTCCATCTCAACGCCGGCCAATACGAGAGAATACTTGGTCGTTGTGTCTCTTCCATATCTTCGTCATCGTCGTCTTCTGCCGATGCTGGAGCCGGTGCTGGAGCCGGTGCTGGAGCCGGTGCTGGAGCCGGTGCTGGAGCCGGTGCTGGAGCCGGTGCTGGAGCCGGTGCTGGCTTGTCCTTGTCGGCAGAACGTTCCCCTCCGATTGTACTATCGCCACAGCCTACTGCCGGCTCTTGAATGATAACACTCTCATCTCCGGTCTGCATATCGATATCTGCGCTAGTGCCCACCTCCGATTTCTTGGTTGTATTTGGCGGTATCGGTGCATGTCGCTCTGCCGTCTTTCGTAATGGAGTGTCTGCTACATGCGAAGCAGTCTTGATATTGGGGGAACAAGGTTTCGGAACACTACCATCTTGCTTCTCCGGTTTTGCCAGCGAGGCCACAAACGAGGCATTGCGGGTCGGCGGGGTGACAAACTCGTCCTCTGAGTCCATTACCACATCGCTGCGGCTCGACAGGCACTTCTGTTTCTTTGTTGGTGTGGGCTCCCGGACTACCGACAGTTGCTCCGTCTGTTTCTGTGGTGGTGATAACCGCGGCGTGGTGGGCGATGAGAAGCCCACAAGATCATGAATGTCTGGAAAATCGGCATTGCCGTCGTCGACGGTTTCTACGTCCTTGCTCTTCTCAGTCGCGGGCTTTCTGGAAGGGGTACTGCTAATATCGCAACTCTTCCTCTTCTTCCCGCGTCTTGAGACGGAACCCGGCCTTGCCGAGTAGTCCTCTCGCCAAATGTGTGTGTCCTCCCGCGGAGCTCCGCCCGGAGAAGAAGAGCCCGTGTTGATTTCGTCTCCGGTCAGGTCGACAATGGAGTCAAAGTCGTCCAGATCAAGATCGGAGCCAAAGTCGAGCGCATACGGAGACGGAGCGACTGGTGTTTTGGCCTTGCGCGTCTGTGTCGCAGATCCTGGCGTCTTGTTCGGAGTCCTAACGCTTGCCACTGCAGTGGTCTTTATCCTGCCCTTGGCATCCACGATGGTCAGGCCGCCTTTCGCCTGAACCGCAGACGGCCCAGGGGTCATGAACGCCGTTGGCGGCAGAGGCACCTTGGACACCTTGGGCACCCTCTTCTCCACAGATTGCGGCGGTGGCCTTGCGTCTCCGCCGTACGGCTGCATGGTTGGTGTCGGTCGCGAGCTGGCCGAAAAGGACGATATAGTAGATGTAGGGGTGGGCAGCCCAAGGTCTGCGCCTCGTGGTAGTGTCGATACCGCGGTCGAACTGCCGGACACGACGGCATCTTTCCGGAAAGACGACGCAAGGACGGCAGCGGTCGAAAGGCTGGCCGTAGAGGTGGGCGTAGCCAGAAACCCGGGTCCAGCTCCTCGAGACGAAGAGCCAATCGCAGGATGAGTGGCCTGGAGATTTCGCAGTAGCCAAGGAAGCTGTTCGGCAAGATTGTTGATCGTCATGAAGGCCGTATCGAGGAACAGACGTTCCGCTATCTGCCCGCAGTCATGAGCTTCTGTCGTGGCTGGACGCAGCTGCAATTGCGGTCCTCCTGCACAGCAGCCTGGCTTGAGAAATGAGCAGATCGGGATTTGGCTGCTATTCTACTTTTATGCGTGCAGCGTTTGTGGTCATAGGCAATGCGCATAGGCGGAAGGAGTGGTCGGTGGCGTTTTTCTCCGACCCGCCATATTAAACGCGTCGAGCAGCCAGCGTCGCGTAATCAGGTGGCAGCCGTCCGTGGAATAGATGTGGCCCCACCAGGCAACCTTCCCTTTCTGGCCACAACCTCTTGCATGGTCACAACTAAAGTAGATGTCGGCGAAAATTACACTTCGTTCTATTGGGAACTGCTTAAACAAATCTATCAGATAGAGAACGCCCAATCGTCATCGCATGCTTCGTGTATCATCCGTGAAATCGTAAACAGTAAAGACACTAATTCTAGTTGCTGCTCTCTTAACCAAAACATCCCCAATACAGGATGCAGGTCATACCTCTTCAGCATCCACCTTGGGCTTTTCCGCTTCATTGAAGAGGTATAGCAAAGCCACGAGCACCTTACCTCCAGCCGATATCAGTACGGCCACAGACGACCCAACGTTGCGATAAATGACTGCACCAAGCAGTGCACCCACGATTAACGAGGCAAGGAACACAACCCGCCTAGTCCGAGGACGGTTGTTCAGCACTGCCAAGTTCGGATCGATGACCAGGTCAACCCATGCAGCCGTGGCCATAGCTGTGCTGATCTCGGTCATGGCCATTGAGCGGGATTGCACAACCTGGCTGCCAGCTGCGAAGGAAAGTAGGCCAACGACGACGAGAGCACGAGTACCCTCGACCTGGACGCTATAGACGTTCTGGATGGCGCCTGCGGCAAACACTAGGCATGCTTGAAAGAGGTTGCACCCTATCAACCAGAGTCGGCACCGCGGTCCAATGATGTGGCCCAGCTGTCCAGTCAGGCAGCTGGCGAGAAGGAAGAAGCCAAGTGCGCAGCCAATGTTGGCAGTCAAGAACATTTCGCCGTTGAACCGGGGGATGACGATGGCGAGCATCAGAAACACCGTGTTTCCAGTCTGGTTCGATGTGAAGCAGTGGTAGTCGGGGAAAGATACAGCATCTTCATCGCAGCCGCCACATGTTAGTCCAACAATTAGAACATAATAATGGACAAGACACACAAAGCAACCGGCCTGGACTCACCCTGCATGCCGGTGAAGATAGTGAGCAAAATCAATTCGATCTCTGCAATCAAAGATGGCCGTATGTCTGCAGTTAAATGCTTCCATACGGTATTCTCTGATGTTGATAGCCCCGATGGTGTCTCTGGCGGGCATTCTGCCGATATGTTTGCGGTACCGAGCTGCTTGTTGTCTAGTCTAAGCGTCTCCTGTGAAGATTGCGTTGGGGGTGCTATCCGTCAGGAACTGTGCTCTTGGTTCCACCGAAAGTTGCGAGGTCGTCATATTGATATTCCTTCGTGTGGTAGGTTATCTGAGATCTAAAACAGTGCAAGTCAAGGCTGCACACATGGATGAAGGATGTGCTCAATGCGTATCAGATTTCGAATGTATATTTTGACGAGCCAAATTTGGTCAAGATCCAAGAATCACAAATAGGTACTACAGAACATATAAGAAGAGATCTCTATATGAATATTAAACTCTGTTTAAAACAAGTACGGTGGCGGTGACGGGGCGGCTGTCGGTGATACTCCCCTTTTACGAGCCCGTCCACAGAAAAGATTGTGAGTTCATAGTGAAGGCGGCCCAACGGATTCTACTCCGTCAGTTCCCGAGATCTAAGCGGCATAGCATCTGGTCTACATGGGAACGCTCGGCTTGAAGCCATGCTTACACGGTAGCGAAAGCAGTAAAACACTCTCGGTACGACTGGAGAAGATCCACACGAGGTAGTGCCACGTCATTGCCACAATGGTATCTCAAACGGAAACTTTAAGACGGTGAGGATGGAGAAAAACATCTGGTGCAATATTGTCGGCTTCGAATTGGCCATAGAGCCCACATTCGTCATCAATCTGTCAACCATCTGGAGAATGATTGGAAGGGCTTGTCACCGCTCATGCAATGATAACAGAGCTCAGCTGATTTTGGCAGGAGGATCCTTCTTTTTCCTCTTTGGCAGGTCTTCCGGGGCGATGGCAATCGCCGCCGTTAGATGCGGCATCTGAGGCTTAGAAGCCGTGCTGGTAGCCGGCGTGGGTCTAAGTGTGAGTATGTTATTGGCTAGTTAAGGGCCGACAGCCGCTGACAACCGCCGACGACCGTATCACGTGCAGCCCATAGCCGTTGTCAAGTGACGACGAGGCCGAGCAATGACAACATACGGAGTGTATGAGCTTCCAATGCGCAGATACTTGGGCGTTAGTGATGCATCGAAGATTCCGAGTGCTGAACACAGCCGAATACCCTAAAGTCGCTGCATCAAGCACCATTTACCTCTGCTAGGATTGATAACCAACAGGACCTCAACCATTTGTCATTTAGCAGTCTTAGTGACTCGTAAGACTTTGTTAGGGGTTTCGCAAGTTTGGTCTGCGATGCGTATGGAGTGATTTTTGGCAAAGCATTTCGAAGGCTGTGAAAAGAAGTAGTTGCGGAAGTGATGTATTCTGTATACTTTAGGAGTTAAAATCGGAACTTCTAAAAATATGACAGGTTCATTAGTCTAGTGGTTAGGACACTGGATTTTGATCCTCAAAATTCATTCCAGGAACGCCGGTTCGAGTCCGGCATGAACCTTTTTTTATACCTTTGTTTCTTTTTTACTTTCCTTATCTACGTGTGTGTGCAGACTGCGGCCTTTTATATCAAGCCAGTCACCACTCTGTTGTACTCTGTACTCCGTACGCCGTATATAGAGTTACTCTTGTAAGAATAGAACATGTTGGGATAAACTTAGGTCTATAGAGTACTCCATGGGCTACGAAAGCGAATGTAAGCGTTTTCAGTAATCAATAACTCTAAATATAATTCGGTCATCAATGCGGCAATGCTCCTAAGATCGAAGTCGAGGCCATATTCGTCAACTAACGAAGCACTGCATGATCACTGGCCGCGGCCGCTTAGTTGGGCAAATCCAGCCACTATGTACGACCAACGCATCGGGACTTCCAGCGATAAGACCCCAACTTTTATACGTCATAAAAGTATTAGCCTTAGAATCGCACGACTACTTGCGACACAAGCGAATCAATATTGTGTGACAGCTGAGTCATGCGACTGGGGCAATGGCAAAAATCGTACTCCGTACTTGCAGTTTATACACTTTTCAATAAATGTCTCGAACAGGAAGTCCTTATATTGGTTTCTCCGCCTGCGGAGGTTGAAGGTCTGTGCTCGTTGTGATTGGTCACATCCCACCATACGAGAAAAAGGGATACAGGATGCTAAACCCAATGCGTGTCTGAATGAAAAGTTTTGCCATCACAACGCAACAGTACGCAGTATTGGCCGGGTTTACTCCGTACTCCATAACACGTTTGTATCTTAACTGCGGAACGGCAAAGCTGCGGCCGAACAGCGACGGTCTCTAAAGCAACCTTAAACATGGGGGTTCTGCACAAAGACGGAGAAGGCGCATCCACATTGACGATACAAGCAAGCAAATTGACCCAGACGTCCTTTTGCAAGATTCAACGGCCTGGAGCCTCATGTCTCTCATCTGCATAAAGACATGTCCTTGGATGCGCCGCGGAGATGACCAAGTCGATAACGTCAATTAAGAAGGAGTTGCAGGCGTTCTTATCTCAAGTCGGTGTGGTCTGTCCACTCTCGCAGCTGCCAGGCCTAGATAAGCCTATTAGAGCGCAGCGACAAGGCCCTAGATCACGCCGATCCACAGCCATAGGCAGGCCAACACGCAGCATTGCGACAAAGCTCTTTGATTTCGTGCTCTGGACTCTGCATGTCGGCCGGCCCATCATCAGCGCATCCAACATTTTGTCGTCCCGCAGTGTTGCCGCCTGGCCGATGCCGTTGATCGGTACTTATAGACTCGTATTCGTGCATTCTGCGAATGTCTCAGCTTCCTTTTTCACAACAAGCTGAAAAGCTCATTTCTCGCGCGTTGCTACCCCCCACAACCCCTGTGCTCGTTACCAGACTCTTCTTGCATCGAGGCCGGAGTGTGTGGAGTACTTACGACGTGTGGGACGCAGTCGAGAAGACGAGAAGACGGGTCCACGTTCCTGAATTTCGGTTCTGCTCCCAGAACATAACACCTGCATAACGCCACTGGTGGCTTGCATTGGCCCAGCTGTACTCTGTCTTTCACACGTTTTGGCATTCTCGCTGAAACTCCCTCCCTGCTACAAGGCCGGTGAGTTTGACATGTTCTGTAATGTTCTTGCCCACATTTCCCTTCTCCTGGCTGCTGCGTCAAACATCTCCGGGTCTCGTCGAGCCAATTGATAGCCGAGGCCAGGCAAGGTTCGTTCGGGCACTAGGGCAGACGCGAAACTCCCGTCCGGAGATGCTGTGACCCATGCCCTTCCCGTTCTCACATTGCGTGTTTTTTGCGGTTGATTACCTCGTGCTCAGCCTGCATTGGATACCATGCATATACTGACACATTGTCTTCGCAAGGTCGCACTCACACAGCTGGCTTATATTATGGTGCCCCGTTTCCTGTATCAGTCCATGTCCATCTGTGTGCCAGTGCTTCTCAACGATCGCTTGCGCCATCTTTGATCCCCAAACCCATTGCCTGCACAATCTACCCTATCATGGCGATCGGCTTCAAGGTGAGGGACCTGTGGAGGGCCCCGGTCCTCAATCCGATCAACCGGAAGGCCCGATCGATTCCCTTTCTCAATCCGATCAATATGTATGGCCGGGTCTTCTTCTTCGCCTGGTTTGGCTTCATGATCGCTTTCTGGGCGTGGTATGCCTTCCCGCCGCTGGTACGCATGCAATCTGCCACCTTCCAACAGTACGTGGCAACAAGAGCTAACACTTTCTCCTGTAGTTAACCGTCACCATCAAGAAAGACCTGAAACTCACACCGGCTCAGGTTGCCAACTCCAACATTGTGTCTCTAAGTGCAACGTACGTATCCTCCCAACGCTCCCTAGGCCGAGGCTAAATGTGCCGAATGTCTCTGACCGATGACAGGCTCTTGGTTCGTATCATATCTGGTCCGTTGTGTGACCAATTCGGCCCTCGAATAGTGTTTGGCTTCATCCTTCTCCTCGGCGCCATCCCCGTCGGCCTGTCGCCGCTCGTGCAATCGGCCGGCGGCCTCTACACGGCGCGCTTCTTTACCGGAATCCTCGGCGGCTCCTTCGTCCCGTGCATGGTGTGGTCGACCGGCTTCTTCGACAAGAACGTTGTGGGCACGGCCAATGCTCTGACGGGCGGTTTTGGCAATGCCGGCGGGGGGGTCACCTACTTCATCATGCCGGCTGTGTACGACTCGCTGAGAAAGCATCGGGGCTACAAGCCTGACAAGGCGTGGCGCGTGACATTCGTCGTACCGCTCATCATGGTCATCGCGACGGGTGTGGCGCTGCTCCTCCTGTGCCCAGACACTCCGGACGGCAAGTGGAAAGATCGCGAGCTGCACGCCAAGAAGAATCTTGAGGAGCACAACGTCCATGTCGCGGCGGCGCCGTCACCGGTCGTCGATGTTCCTGGCAGTATCATGGACAAGCAGCAGCGGTCCCGGACGGAGACGAGCAACGGCGGTGGGACGGAGGATGCGATCAAGGACGACATCCGGTTCGTCGACCACGAGGCACACCTCGACAGGGATGAGATGCTGGAGACGGCTCAGGGCGAGATCGTGGTCAAGCCGACGGCCAAGGAGGCTCTGGAGGTGGCGGTCTCGCTGCAGACGGTGATGATTGTGCTGACATACATGTGCTCGTTTGGGGCGGAACTGGCCATCAACTCCATCCTGGCGGCGTACTACCTCAAGAAGTTCCCGAAGCTGGGCCAGACGAAGGCATCCGACTGGGCGGCGATGTTTGCCTTCCTCAATCTTCTGACACGGCCGCTCGGCGGCATCATCTCGGACCTGCTCTACAACAGCTACGGGCGCAACCTCTGGCTGAAGAAGGGATGGATCACGATCTGCGGTGTGCTGAGCGGCGTGTTCCTCATTGTCGTCGGCCAGGTGGACTCGCACAATGAATCGACCGTGTACGGGCTCATCGCGCTGGCGGCCATCTTCATCCAGGCCGGCAACGGTGCCAACTTCTCGCTGGTGCCACACGTCCACCCGTTTGCCAACGGGATTGTGTCGGGCTTGGCCGGTGCTGGCGGCAATATGGGCGGCATCTTCTTTGCTGTGATCTTCCGGTTCATGGACAACGGCACCAACTACGCAAAGGCGTTCTGGGTCATTGGCGTGATTCACATTGGCGTCAATCTGGCGGTGTCTTGGATTCCGCCTGTTCCCAAGAACCAGATTGGTGGCCGGTGAGCGTGTCTATGCAGCAAAATAATAGCGTAAGATAGAATTGGATGATATTTGTACATGCACCCCTCCTTTGTTACTTCGTATCCGCTGCATCCTTTGCCGCGTCCAGTATCTGCAGCTGTCCGTTTGCGTCATAGGCCACGCGGCCATCGTTTACGGCACGTCGAAGGTCGTCCTACAGTACGGTACGGTTGCCTGTCCGCGGGTCCCAGTCCCAGCCTTCCTTCATCCACATCCAGCGCAGACAGGCGCGCAGTTCCTTGTCGCGTGGCAGCACGCGCATCCACTCTGGCTGGAAGGAGTGGCAGCGGCCAGCACGGCCCTGCCAGCTGTCGGAGCGGCCGAGCAGGACGTCACGGCAGAAGATGCGCCACGAGTCGACAGTGTAGGCGCCTTGGGTGAGATGGCCGATTTCCCACTGTGAGTCGCCGGCGATGGTGCAGCCTTTGCGCGCTTTTGACTCTGCCTCTGCCTCGGGCAGTTGCGGGTATCGCCTGACGGTCGAGCAGATGCCAGGGCGCGGCGGCTGCTCGAGCCACTGGCGGGCGTAGCGCTGGATGGTGGCGCAGCGCACCGACGACATGCCGAGTGGATGTAAAAGGGTGACGAGGGCGCGCGGGCTGGCATCGGCGAGCGCATCGGCCGTCGGATAGGCTGCCTTGACGGCCCAGAAGACGGGCAGCGACGTGCGGCCGGCGACGCGGACGAGAAAGACGAGCGCGACCAGCAGCCAGAACAGATCGTCGGCCAGGTCTTCCTGGATGAGACCGAAGCGAGCGGCCGTCAGTGGTGCAAACGGTAGCCCAGAGACTGCTCGCTTGGGCGTCCTGGGCGTCTTTGGGGGCTTTTTCTCGTCGACCTCTCTCGACGTGAAGAAAGGTGATGTCAGCTCCCTTTTCTGGTCTCGCGGCCCGGCTCGGCGCCCGGACGTGGATGATGCTTCCTCAAAGCTCGTCTTGTGCGAAGGCGGTGTTTCGGGGGGCCTGGCAGACAATGGCTGCGCATTCAGGATTGCAGTCGTCGTGAAGACAGCAACAAGTCGAGTCGAAGCCTGAGCACCAGACGTGATCGACTTGTCCGAGCTCTGGGTGACATTATCGTGACCTTTCTCATTGACTTCGGCTTCATTGTCGATATCGAAAAAAGGCGAGACTTGGACTTCTTCCGGCTTGCTCGCTCTCTCCTGCCGCTTTCGGCTTTCTTTCTTGTCTGTCTTGCCGTTCTCGGCAGGAGCGCTCTCACATCCAACTGGCAGCACACTTAGCTGTCGGAGCAATTCGATTTCCCGTCGAGGTGCTGCATCCGAAGCAAGAATATCGGCAAGAAAGGCTTTGGCGAGAGGATCGTCGGCCACGTCAAAGTGCTCCAACAGATCTAGGGCGGCTCTCGGCGTAAGCAACGAGCGCCCTTGTCCGGCCATTGTCCCGATGCTTGAGCCTGTGATGGGTTTGGGTCTTTGATTTGGCTGTTGAAACGAGACGACGTGAATTGGAGGGGCAAAACGACTTGCCCCAGCAACGAACAGGCAACGGTTGCGGTCGAGATGGCCTGCACGAACATCTAGACGGGGTTTGTATTGACAATAAAATAAAATGGGAAATACCAAAAACAAATCTTTGATTTACATTTGGCCGCCACAACTCCCCTCTTCACCATCCTTCTCCCCCAGGAATGGTCTCCGACTCCGCCGACATCCGGTCCGTCAACGAACGAGGTGTGTTGTTCCTGTTCGCCTTTCTGGTCATATTTTGGGTTGGGAGGGAGTGTTCCGTCTCTCAATTACACACATACAGCAGATGCCGAGACCGAGAGAGAGTCGGGGCTCTTCCAACGACACCATCCGGCCGCCATCACCGGTCAGACCTCTAGTGGCCGACATTCTTGGGCGGGTCGTACACAATCTTCCGCGACTTCAGCCAGGCCCACTTGTACCGCTTGACCCAGACGCTGATTGCGAACAGTATGGTCGTGGAGACGAGCACCTTCATGCCCATCTTTTTCCGGTCGTCCATCTCGGGCTCGGCCGCCCAGTTGAGGAACTCGACGACGTCCTTGGCCATCTGCGACGTGGTCGCCGGCGTCTCGTCCTCGTACTCGACGATGCCGTCGAACAGAACACGGCCCATGGCAATACCGGTGTTGGGGAAATAGGGGTTGAAGTTGAGCCCGGCACCGACCTGCGCGCCGGCAGGCGGCTCATCCGGGTAGCCCGTCAGCAGCGAGAAGACGTAGTCGCAGCCGCCGTGACGGCCCTTGATGATCAGGCTCAAGTCGGGCGGCAGAGCACCGGCATTGGCAAACCGCGCCGCCTCTTCGTTCGGGTACGGCGCCGGCAGGTAGTCCGACAGCTTTCCGGGGCGCTTCTCGATCTCACCCTGGTCGTTGGGCTCCGAGTCGTACTCGTTCTCCTCGGCCATGGCCTTGGCCTCGTCCGACGTCAGGATCGTGCCGACGAGCGTGCGGTACGGCACACGGCTGAGAGAGTGGCAGGCCGCGCAGACCTCCCGGTACACCTGGAAACCACGGCGAAGACTGGAGACCGACAGCCGCACGTCAGCAACGGCTTGCAGCACACGGCAGCGCATCTCGAAGGGGGCACTTACGCCTGGTGGTCGTATGTCTTGAGAAGGCCCTGGTGAGCCCAGGGGTACTGGGTGGAGTGCAGACTAGAGGCAGGTCAGCATCTTCCAGCCCATCCGGAGCTTCCTTTTCGCTGTCGGCTGCTCGCAAAATCCCTCGCCCATCTGCTCAGCCCGTGCACTTACCCTTCTTCGGCAGGGGTCATCGCCTGGGCGACGGGCCCATAGAGGTGGTAGTACCAGGCAACCGAGCCGACGGCCACTGCGGTCGACGCGGCTGCGGCAACGTTCATGCGCAGGTTGGAAGCCGCATCGCCGGCGGCAGAACCGGAGCTCGAGGTGGAGGCTGCACGCTGAAGAAGAGAAAAAAAGTCAATTGACTGTTTCGTCGGACCGGCAGCACGGCAGACACATCAGAGGCCGCAAGCAGAGACGGGCAAGACCGCGGCCGGAAGCCGCTGCATCGGGGAAATGAGGACGACATAAAAAGCAAGAGACGAAAATGGAGAGGAAATCAATCTACCTTGGCCACGTTAAAGACACTCGGGCGGGCGCCGGCAAAGGCCCGCGTTGACCGCAGGCAGGACCTTGCCAACATGTCGGAAGAGCTTCTCGTCGGTCGGGGAAGGGTAATGCGGGTGGTTTGGCAAGGCAATCGGGTGCCAATGTCGAGTGCGACGGATTGAGAGTTACGTGGTGGATTTGTGCCTCAGACCATTTCGAGGCCAAAGGAAATTGAAAATTGCTTTGCGGCGTACGGGAAAGCAGGCATAATTCCGGTTTAGCCCGGCGCTCATTGGTCAACCCGGCTCTCCCACCATCACGTGAGTAATCACGTGATGCTCCGGGCAAAGGGCATTCAATCACTCGTTCCCTAGCGCGTTGCTGCCGCCCCGAAGGCGTCTACAATTATCGTGCTGCTGCGGACATATTCCGAAACCAACTACAGGAATATTGCCCATTTGTCTTTACAAGCAAGGATGCATATGCACATGAAAAATGACTTTTGATGCACCAGACTACTTCTCAAACGCCCAGGTCCGACGAGAGCAATGCAAATGGCCTTGGAGTCTCGTTAGGATCGTCCTGCCGCTGTGGTGTCTCTGGCCAGGATCTCTCTCCGCTTCTTCACAGCAGTTGCAAGGACGTCCAACACACTGACGGTGTCATCCCAATGTATGCAGGCATCGGTGATGCTGACACCGTACTTGAGCCCAGCCTTGCCTTCCTTGGGCACCTTCTGGTTGCCTGTGATCCCGGACGAGTTAGCAGACGGTCGAATGGACGGACAGGAGCCAACAGATAATCAGACGCACCCTCGTTGATGTTGCTCTCGATCATGACGCCCATGATGGCGGTCTCGCCGGCGCTGATCTGGCTGGCCAGCTCGGCCGCCACCTTTGGCTGGTTTCGGTGGTCCTTGAGCGAGTTGCCGTGACTGCAGTCGACCATCAGCCGCTGGGGCATGCCGGCGGCCTGGAGGGCGGCCTTGGCCTCGGCGATGCTCTTGGAGTCGTAGTTGGTGCCCTTGGTGCCGCCGCGGAGAATGACGAAGCAGTCGTCGTTGCCGACGGTGCCGACGATGGACACGACGCCAGGCTTGGTCACGGACAGAAAGTGGTGTGGGTGCTTGACGGCGCGGATTGCGTCAATGGCCACGCCGAGCGTGCCGTCAGTGCCGTTCTTGAAGCCGACGGGGAAGGAGAGGCCCGAGGCCAGTTCACGGTGCAGCTGGCTCTCGGTGGTGCGCGCGCCGACGGCGCCGACCGACAGCAGGTCGGCCAGGAACTGCGGCGAGATGGTATCGAGCATCTCGCTGGCGATGGGCATGCCGCGGCTCGTCAGGTCGACAAAGAGCTGGCGCGACAGCCGCAGGCCCTTGTTGATCTGGAAGCTATTGTCGATGTCCGGGTCGTTGATCAGGCCCTTCCAGCCGACCGTCGTGCGCGGCTTCTCCAGGTACGACCGCATCACGATCAGCAGCTCGCCCTTGTGCTTCTCCTTCTCGGCCAGCAGCAGGTCACAGTACGTGAGCGCGGCCTCGGGGTCGTGGATCGAGCAGGGTCCGATAATCACGAGCAGCCGTTGGTTCGGGTCCTCGTTGTTGACCACGGCCTCGGCTTCCTGCCGACCGCCGAGGACCGTCTGCTTCGACTCGGCCGTCTGCTTGATCTCATGCTGGAGCAGGTCCGGTGGCGTCAACGGGTTGTATCCGCGAACTGGACGACGAGGACCTTCCGTTAGCAGTCTGGCCCGAGCTGGGCTGCCGGGGGTGGCTTACTGCGCCAATCCTCGCTGTCTGACCGGTTACCAACATTCTTGTTCTCGATATAGAACTGTGGCAGAGAGCACGTTAGCATCCCGGACGGACAAGCTCGTAAATGCAGGGCTGTAGAGCACCTTGACTTACAGACATGGCGAGGGGAATATGCAGCAACAAAACCAGCTGCTTTGGAAGGGCCGGTATATTCACAAAAGTAAAGAACACAGGACAAGGCAACAAGTGCTCAAAAAGTCTGGACAAGAGAAGGCGTGCCTGGATATGCTAGAAACTATCTATTTTAATTTTTTCAATTGGAGTGACTCAACTTGCCACACACGTTGCAATGGTATTAGTGGGGACCGATTGGCAGTAAGTAGTCGGCACATTGAAAGGATTGTCATCACTACATGGATTGGACAAGAGTGGCGCCGTCCAAGCTGGTACTCTGTACATGTGCTAGCCAAGACTGCACCGTAAGTGTGGCGCCATTACCTCAATCTTTCTTTACTGGCTCTGCATCGACACCGTTCAGCCACCGGTAGAGCGCTTTCAGCATCACAGTGCTGCCAGTCATGAGCAGGGCGGAGAAGCCGAAGAGACCCATGCGCTGGGGCTTGTTCAGCAGCTCGAAAATCGGGTACGGATAACTGTAGCGACAAGGTTATTAGGGTTTGATTACAGCGGGAGAGAAACGGGACGCACAAGTGGTTATAGCTGAAGCAAATCTCAACCCAGCTCCAGTAGGTCAGCGCGAGAACGAGACTCAGTTCTAGAGCGTCCCTTGGCGAGATGGTCCAAGGCGGGCTGAACAGGAGCAGATCGAGTGCGAGGAAGGCAGCGGGCGCAGCATGGAAGCCAATGTCGGCCAAGAGTGGAAGTTCTACCTCCAAATCGGGTGGGAAGACAAGGTTCTTATCATAGGCACGGAGGCCCCAGTAAAGGATGCTGATGAGCACTTCTAGGGGGGCCACACAGACAGCGAGTTTGTTTTTGGTCGCAAACACCTCTGGCAGCAGGCTGATGTCGGCAGCGTAGGCCACCATAAAGGTGAGAAACGACAGGGCCAGTCCGAGGATAGTGAGATACTGGAAGTCTCCGCCGAATGATCCAGCCGGAATTTGAGGAAAGAGAAAGATGTAGACAAGCGAGGACATGAATGAGCATACGCCAGCGAGGTGGAAGAGGTAGGAGAAGGTGCGCGATGGCGACTCTAGCCGCTGCAGGGAATGTTTTTCGTTCATTATGGCGGTAATGAGATAGAGGAGGAGGATGGGAGCTTCAGCAGAAAAGACAACAGAGAAATTCGATTATCGTTCTGCAGATGTCGGCCTGTTGGTAGTGGCTGATCGCACCTGCTGTCGTGGCCGGCAGCCCCGGATTGGCAAACGATAGAGGTGGTGTGGCCCGCTAGCGCTAGTAGACAGCTAGAACATGGCAGAAAAAAAGCACGCCAGAGACACGTCAGTGGACACGGACACGACCTCGACACCGACGTCGAGATTCCATCGCGACACGTCCGAGATGGCAGACGAAGCACGGAAAGATGGCGCAGAGGCGACGGTCCACAAGAGAAGCCATGCCGAGTTCTCTGAGCAGGAAGCAGGCGGACAGGGCAATGGTAAGCACGGCCTCGACTTCCTGAGCTGATCTCGACTGATCTCGATTGATCTCGATTGATCTCGACACGGGGAAGCTGACTAGTGCGGGTGATGATGCAGGCTCCGGCGTCGACTCGGATTCGGACTCGGACTCGGACGACATGGGCCCGCAGCTGCCATCGGCGGCAGCAGCAGCGCCGAAGAAGAAGCGGCACCGGCTGATGCACGAGAAGCTGTACGTCTCGGCACTGCCCAAAGCGAAGCGGTACTCCAAGTCGCTCATGCACAAGGAGCAGGTGGCGTTTCTGAGCATGACACCGGGCACGGACTTCCTCATCACGACCTCGGTGGACGGCGTGGTCAAGTTCTGGAAGAAGATCAACGAGGGCATCGAGTTTGTCAAGCAGTTCAGCGCACACGTGGGCACGATCACGTCGGTGTCGGCGAGCCACGATGGACGCAGCTTCGCGTCGGCGGGCGTGGACCGGACGATCAAGATCTTTGACGTGATGACGTTCGACCTGCTGTCGACGATCACGCTGGACTTTGAGCCACGCTGCATCTGCTGGGTTCACCGGCGGGGAGCACCGCTGCCGCTGCTGGCAGTGTCAGAGGCAGAGAAGCCGAACATACACATCTACGACGGACGAGGCGAGGCGGGAGCACAGCAGGCGGCAGCAGGGCGGTCGAAGGTGGAGACTGGATCGACGCTGCTGCAGCCGCTGCACACGCTGACGGCGATGCACCGCAGCGTGGTGACGCTGATGGCATACAACGAGGCGTTTGACTGCGTGGTGTCGGCCGACGTGGGCGGGATGCTGGAGTACTGGCGGCCCAGCGGAACGTACAAGACACCAGACAACGTGTTCCGGCTGAAGAGCGCGACGAGCCTGTACGAGTTCAAAAAGGCCAAGTCGGCGGCGACGGCGCTGACGATCGCGCCGACGGGACGGCAATTTGCGACATTTTCGCTGCCAGACCGCAAGGTGCGGGTGTTTGACTTTGCGACGGGACGGCTGGCACGGGCATACGACGAGTCACTGCGCACGGCCGAGGACATGCAGCAAGCCGGCACGGCCGTACAGCAGCTGGACGCGGTGGAGTTTGGACGGCGACTGGCGGCAGAGCACGAGGTGGAGACGGAGGCGCTGCGAGACAAGGCGAACGTGATCTTTGACGAGTCGGGACACTTTCTGCTGTACGGCTCGATGCTGGGTGTCAAGGTGGTCAACACGGCGACGAACCAGGTGGTGCGACGATATGGGGCGGACGAGAACTTCCGGGCGTTGCAGCTGGCGCTATACCAGGGCCAGCCACAGAAAAAGGGCGTGACGACGGTGGCGATGGCGGCGTCGAGCAACCCGCTGCTGCAGGAGTCGGAGGTGCGCGACCCGATCCTCGTGGCCACGGGCGTGGGCAAGCAGCGGTTCTACCTGTTTACCAACCAAGAGGACGCGGCCAAGGGCTCGCGTGACGTGCTGAACGAGCGGCCGACGGCCAACAACGGCGGCCACGGCAGCAAGAAGGGCGGACGGGCAGCCAAAGAGGCTGAATCGGGCAGCGGCGCCGTGATCCACACGACCTACGGCGACATCCACATCCGGCTCTTCCCCGGATCGGCGCCCAAGGCGGTCGAGAACTTTGTCACGCACGCCAAGCGCGGCTACTACAACAACACCATCTTCCACCGGGTCATCCGCAAGTTTATGATCCAGGCCGGCGATCCGCTCGGCGACGGCACCGGCGGCGACAGCATCTGGGACCGGCCATTCGAGGACGAGTTCAGCTCGCTCAAGCACGACAAGCCGTACACCGTCAGCATGGCCAACGCGGGGCCCAACACCAACGGCAGCCAGTTTTTCATCACCACGGAGAAGACGGTACGTGCACGACGCGGACGCAGGCACAGGCACAGACGCATGCATGCAACTTTACCCGCTTGTCTTTACCCGCCTTTTTTTTCCTATCTGTGGAGCTCTGTACCTGCTAACAAGCTCTCCTGCAGCCGTGGCTCGACAACAAACACACCATCTTTGGGCGGGCCTACCAGGGCATGGACGTCATCCACCGGATCGAGAACGCCCGGACATACAAGGAACGTCCTGAAGAGGACATCAAGATCCTCAACATTGACGTGTTGTGATTGGTGAAAATTCCGTCGGGGTGAGCAAGTCGATTGGCCGGCTGACTGCTCTCTGCCGTCTCTCTTCGTGTACTTATTAGCGCCGGAAAGCATCGGCCTGTCTGCAGGGCCTGGAGCATAGACGAGATACCGAGTAGACAGCCAGCTGTCCTGCCTCATTTGCCGCCCCTGTCATGTTACCTCGCCGTCCTGCAGGGCTGCATCATGGCCTTGCAATCCCCGGTGGCGGATAGCGGCAGTCTCCGCTGCTCTGTCAGCCCGCTGCTTTGTTGTCCGCCATCCACGATGCTGTCTACATCTCGTGCAGCGCGCGCTATATGCAGACGCCGTCTGGACTTGCTCAAACGAGCCGCCCAGGCGTCTGCGTACTTTGTACGCAAGTCCCATAATTCCGACGCATCCCGCGCCTGTCGTTCTGTGGACCGCCATTTCTTTCGAGCCTTATCTAGCCGAATGCTGCTGTCCACTATTATACACCCCCCCCCCCCCCCTCCTAATCCCCCCAGGCTGTGCATCCCCCACCTTATGTCGTAGGCTGATCAATGCTATCTATGTATGTACCACCTGCAAGGCAGGAGCCTGCAAGGCAGGAGCAGCGCGCAAAAAGAGGGAAGGTGCGCCCCTCTCTTAGCAAGAAGCGACTTTGCCCGAAAATACGGTGGGAAGTGGGGAAAGGGGACTTGCATAGAAAGACAACCGAAACACTCTGAACTGGTAGCATCCATCGGACCACCGCAGCACAACGCCAGGACTATCTACGACTAGGCCGGCCGGCTACTAATAAAAAAAACGCTCCTACCACCTGCCAGCCCTATCTCACGGCCTCTTTCTGATACATAGTCCCTCCCAGCTGTCCATCCATCATTTTTCTCCTCAACGTCGTACAACCCCCCTCCACCGACCCCTCCCCTACCTCATCGACGCGATACCGTAAACAGGGGCTGCAGCGGGCGGCCGTCCAACAGAACACACACCCCAGATCGATCCCGAGGAGCATGCTATCGCCCATGCAACCGCTGCCCTTTTCTGTCTTTGGTCAGCAGCTTCTGCGGCTTTGCTGGCCCTGAAACAGACCGACCGGTCGGCTGCCAGAGAAAAAAGGCAGGGGAAGAAAAAACACCTTGCCTTTTTTGTCTTTTTTTTCTGCCAGCTCCAGCGCTGAACACGTGCAAATTTGCCAATGCCCCGACCGCGCAACCCAGATGGCCGGGAGCCAAAGAGTCGAAGCCGGAACGGCTGCTGGTGAGTTGACACTCTCCCCGTCTCCTCTCCCCACCATCTATCATTGTACACCGCCCACGACTGCCTGTTCGTCTTGCCATGGACGTGCTGACATGCTGACATGGCGCTTTGCCACAGGTCTTGCAAGGCCAGAAAAGTCAAGTGCACCGAGGAACGTCCAAGTTGTGCCAAGTATGGAGCATCCCACCAGACACCACCCACACCCCCTTTCCACTCTGTGCTTGCTGACGTTCCTGAACGGTGATCAGATGTGTCAAGGGCGGCTATAAATGCGACTATGGCATCCGTCTGAACTGGGATGGCCGTCGGAGCAAGCGGCCACACCTCAAGGCCGTCCAGCTCGGCGAGGGCGTGATGCTGGACGGCATCGATTTTGCTGATGATGGCGGCCAGCCAGATGACGGCCTCGAGGCCGAGACCTCCTTTCGCCAGCTACCATTGCCACAGCCCATTCAAGGCACTGACTCCTCTCCTCCCTCCACCGCCTCTTCGGCCTCTTCCATGCCCTTGACCGCAAAGGGCTCTGGACAGTCGCTGAGCTTCATGCCGGTTCACGTGCCCTCCGGACCCGTCGCTCCCTCGTCACGGTCCTCAAAGGCCGTCGCTGCCAGCACGACCAAAGCCGAGCTATCTTTTCAGAACTTCACGCCCGCAACGGCATCCTCGCTCCCGACCACCTTTCGCTTCGAGGTGCAGACTTCGGCCGCTCCCGTCCGCAGGGCGTCTGCTTCGAGGGCAAAGCGGACGCCCCGGGTTGCCGACACAGCGCGAGCCTCGCTGTCTTCCGTGGGCGCGGACACCTCTCTGGCTACTGACGATGTTCGGAGCGTGTCGTCCTCGGTGGGAACGGCCGACAGCCGGCGCCTGACGATGAAGCGGCCGCGCCTCGACTCGGACGTGAGCGAGAAGGACTTTGCATGGCAGTGGCCCATCTCCCCCTCGGCCGGCTCCGGGTCGACGCAGTCTGTAGCCTCGCCCCGTCAGACCGTGTTTCCGTCTATAACCTCTGCGCGGGCAGCCGGTGAGGTCTCCTCGCCACGACCTAGCGACGACAGCCAGTCTCTGGCATCGCCCCACACCGCCAACACCCTTCTGCAGCTCCAGGCCGCCAGCGACTTTCGCCGTCTCAGCGTCAGCTCGCTGCTCTCAGGGCCGGTCGACCTCGCCTCCGTCAGCACACCGCCAACTATGTCGGCAGGCCCGGATTCGCCACTGGAGGCCGCGGCCGGCCGAGGAGAGCATCGGTCAAGCGGCAGGCATAACGGCCGGCACGAAGACAGGCACTTTGTCTATTATTACGGCATCGACTGCGGCATGCGTGACCTGGACTTGGGCACAAACGACGATGCGAATGCCACATCTGGCGTGGCCATCGATGCTGGCAACTACGAGCCTCCACGCGACAGAGGACAGCCGCCGCTCGAAGAGGACTCGGGCCATGATCGGGGGGGCTACTACACCAATCCGGTGGCCGTTCGGATCCCTCGTGCACTTGGACAGCTGCCTCCCAAACTGACGGAGAATCCAATGAACATGCTGGTAAGCCAATCTTGCCTTCTTCATGTCTGGCTCCCCTCTGACAAGACGCAGTACTTTCACCATTTTATCAACCACACAGCACGGATTCTCGTCCCCCATGATGACCCGCGGTCAAACCCGTTTCGCACTATCCTCCCTCAGATGGCTCTCATGAACGACAACCTTCTCAGCCTGTTGCTGGCTTACTCTGCTGCCCATCGCGCACACGTCTTGTGCCAGCCGGAGCCGGCTATGCGGATAGCCCTGTGGGTGCAGGACATCTTCCCTGCCCTTCGCAAAGCGCTGGACGACCACAAGAAGAAGATTTCCAACGCCAACGTGGCGACAGCCATCATGCTGGCATCGCTGGCCATCCTGTCGCCCACGACATTTGGCTACAGCATCCCGTGGCAGACGCACTTGATGCTCGCTAGACAGATCATTGCTGCGCGGCCCGAGGGCCTGCGGGTGGATCACCACAGCACGCTGGAGGGACAGGTGTGCTCCTTTCTCTGGAGCTGGTTTGCTTATATAGACGTCTTGGGCGGCCTGAGCGGCGGACCGACCGACGCCTCGCCCGCCTGGATCCTAGACTACAAGGTGTACAACCCACAGGACGACGATGAGATTGACTGCATCATGGGCTTCACGACGCGCTGCGTCTACATTTTGTCGCAGATTGCCGAGCTCGTGCGTGCATGTGAGCCTGAGCGACTTCGGCTGCAGGGTACCGGCTCGGAAGCCTGGACGCCGAGTGAGGACCTCGTGCTCAGGGTCGAGTCTCTCAAGGTGGATGTGAACGACAGCAGGGTGCAGGTTCCGCGGCCGTGTGCACACCTACACCGGACCGGCGACATCTTCCGCTGGGACCGGAAGGAGATGGAGGCGACGAACGAAGCCTACCACTGGGCCGCGCTGGTCCATCTGGAGCGCCGGGTGTTGGGAAAGCCGTCGGACCATCCGGACGTGCAGGGGCCTTGTCTTCGCATAGTGGAGTGCATTGACCAGGTGCGGTTTGGCGGCACGGCAGAGAACTGCCTGCTGTTCCCGCTGTTTACCGCCGGCTGCGAATTGACGGATGTCGAGCTGCAAAAGGGGATGCTGAAGAGGATGATCAGCATTGAAGGCACCGCTATGATGCAGGTAAGTCCAGCGCCCAGCTGCGTTCACCCTGTCTCGGCTGTGCAGCTGCTAACATGTGTGTCTGCAGGTGTCTAGTGCGATGGCACTCATGAAACGGGCTTGGAGTACGAGGAAACCATGGGAGACGCTTTTGACCAGCGAGTTTATCGGATAGCGTGCGTGTGATGGGCAAGGGATATACGGCGGTTCACGACTGGTCTCATGACGAACAGAGATGCCAGAACAGAGGAGTTTGGGACTTGGGAACAACGACAGTACTGATGGATGCTAAAACTGGACGGTTGGAGCGGAATGGCTTCCGGGGCTCTGCCACGCTTCTCATAGCGGGAGAGACAAAATCAGGTTATGTGAGCCGATGCTGGGCAGAGGTTACTAGAGGGAGGTTGTCTTTTTAACTTTTTCATACATAGGCGGCAAAAATAAAGAGGATATGGGCCAACCGTCTGGATGTGTCCAGTAGCACTTGATTTGCTGACGCATGCATCCTGGTGTACTGTCTATGCGGGAAAGAACGCTTTGTTACCGAGCTCTTTCCTAGTCGACGACTTCTGCTCCCACATATACACGTGACTAGAACGAAGCATTCCGCATTCGAAAGGCGGCATCGTTGGATGGTTGATAAGGCAGGAAGAATACAGTTGACAAGAAATGAACTTTTTGTGTAAACCGGCAGGAAAAAAAAGAAGAGAAGTAGAGAAAGGAGACGGTAAACAAAAAATGCACATCCTAGCCTCTTTGGTCTGACGCTTCCCCCCTCAACACGAAATGTAATGTAGCCTCCATCGGATCGCCGTCCTACTGCTGCAGCTGGACGTAGTTGGACGGGAAGAGACCCGACTGGCCGTTGTAGTGGCCGAACCACCAGTCGTCGTCGGGGAACTCGACGCCGGTGACGTGTGCGCCTTCGGGAAAGCTCAGTTCTGTTCTGTCAGCATACGTATCTCAACAGGACATGGGACCACGGGTGCTTACCGTTGTCCTCTGCAGCCTCGTAGTCGTACTCGGCAATCGCCCAAGGATGCTCCTCGACGGCGGCGTGACCAGCCTGGGGCTCTGGCTCGGCGGCCGGCGGCGGCGGCGGCGGGTGCACCTCGATTGCCGGACCCTCGTCCACGTCCTCCTGCAGCTGCTCGGCATCGTCGGTCACGAGCTCCACGTAGTTGCTGGGGAACAGGCCGGTCTCGCCCTGGGAGTTGGTGCCCATCCACCAGTCGGCGTCGACCTGCTCAATGTTGGCCACATACTCGCCCTCGACCAGCTCGATCTCGTTGTCCTCGGCCTTCTCGTAGCTGTACTGAACCAGGGCACTCAGTCCACTGGCAGCAGCAGCAGCGTGGTGCTCTGGTTCTGCTGGCCGCGCTTCCTCTTCCTCTTCCTCGTACGTCGGCACGGGGACAGGGCGGGAAGCCGGTGGCGGCGCCGGCTCCGGTTCCGGCTCCGGTTCTGGCGAGGGAGCACGGGCAACAGCAACAGGCAGTCGGATGGGCGACTGTTCCCGCTCATGCGACTCTTCCACCTCCTCTTCCTCAGCCGGTGGCGGCCGCGATGGAAGCCCGGGAAGCTGGAAGCCTCCCGACGGCCGGGAAGCCGAGGGAATCGGTGGCGGTGGTGCACTGTCCTCTTCCTCGTGCAGGTCCCGCGACTGTTGTTCGTGGTGAGAGATGGCCGAGGCCGACGGGACATGTTGGCCGATGGGCTGGGTGCCCTTGAAACGGTCACGGAGCGCGGAAACGCCTCCAGTGTTGCTGCTGGTCAGCTCTGCTGGCGGCTCTTCCGACTGCGACTCTCCCGTCCTCTGTTCGGTCATGGCAGCGTGGCCAAAGCTGCTCGTCGGCACTGGCGCCCAGCTCTTGCCCTTGTAGCCGCTCTTCCACTCGCCACCACTCTTCTGAGACGAGAGCGGCGATGCCTGCGGAGATGTCGGTGCCGGCGAGGGGTGAGAGCCTCCGCCTTCCCTGGCCTTCTTCTCGGCCCACAGCTGCGCCGGCGTCTTGCCACCCTTGTCGGCAAATGTGCGGCTGGCGTTGCCTACCAACGGCGCAATGGGAGCGGCTCCGGCGCCGAGACCCAGGCCACCAGGCGTCGGTGCCTTGGTGCCGGTAAACGAAGACGCGCCGGCAAACTTGCTTGCCACCTTGGGCTTGGGGAGAGACGTTATCCGCTCCGCATCCTGGGACCCGCTGAAGGCAGCGCTCCGGTCGGCGAGTGACTTTGGCGTCGGCGATTCGACTGCCGGCTCGTCGCTCTCGTGAGGGACTTGAGCCTTGGCCCGGATGGCCGCAATGTCGACCTTGCCTACCGGTTCGTAGGCACCCTTGACAACCACCGGGCGGTCGTCGTGCTCAGTCCGTGCCTTGGCGCGGATGGCCGCAATATCCACCTTGCCCACCGGCTCGTAGGCGCCCTTGACGATGGTCGGTCGCTCGTCTTCCTTGTTCTTGGCCGAAGCACGAATGGCGGCAATGTCGACCTTTCCGACCGGGCGGTAGCCGCCGCCAATGACGCCGTGCTCCCCGGCTGGCTTGCTGCTGGACGCAAAACGCGGTGCCGGTTCGGGCTGGTGCTGCTTCGTGAGCTCGGCAAGATTGACCTTGGTCGGCTTGTAGGCAGACTGGACCTTCTCGAGCTGAGTCCGGGTGATCTGAGGAGCGTCAGCCCCCCAACCATCCTCGTCCACGTGCTCCTGTCGCCGGTTGCGAGCGGCAATCAGCGGGTTTGCCGCCGAGGAGCTCGTAGGTGTGTAGACTGGCTTCTTGGCAATCGGAGGTGGTCCACCTCTGGAAGAAGCCGGGCCAGAGCCGCCGGCCGTGTATTTGGCACCGGAAGCGTCGGAAACCTTCTTCATGATGCTCTCGGTCTCGACGTCTTCCTGCGAGCGGGCGGTGATCTGGACGTGGTAGCCGTGGAGGATCTTGGACACGGCCGTCAGGTGGCTGGTAAAGTACCCCTTTGTTCTCTCCGGCACGCCGCCGCCGCACCAGGCGATCAGTACGTTCTTTGGAAGGCCGCTGTTGGGGTCCTGCACGCGCACAAAGGCAAATTGGATGCGGCCGTCGTTGAGGTCTTCGACCAGCTCCTCTAGCTCGCCCGCTGTTCACAGTCAGCTTGCCGCAAGGACAACGTCACCAGAACGGACAAACAAGAAATACACACATCCAGTGCCGTCGACCTTGAGAATGCTCTCTTTGGCACCAGAGTTCTGGAACGCGTTGAGAAGTGGTGCCTGGACCGAGAACAAGGCCCAGTGTGCCGGTGCCGAAGCTTTTGTGCTGTTGAGAACGGACTCGTAGCTGCTCCGAATTGACGGACCGTTGATCGACAGGTTGAGAGAAGCCATGGTCGAGAGTGCTCTCGCTGAGAGATAGGCAGAAAAAGGAGGGGGAGAGGGCAGACCGAGGGGAGCAAAGGGAGGATGGGCAGAGATGCAGGCACACACGACGATATAGAAGCCTGGAGAACAAGAGTCCCCACTAGTGGTAAGTTCTAGGAACGACTCTGTTCAGCTGCGGATGGACAAATACGGAGCGGGTTTTGTGGTGATGCCGGTTTCCCCTTTGCTGGGAAAGTATTATGGAAGAACAGCAGAGCGGCTGTGCCTAATGCAGAGTGGGGAACACTGGTGAAAGGCGGGGCTCTTCTTAGGGTGGCCACGCAAAGCGAGACCATCGGCCGCCGAGCTCTTGGTGCTGCCTATTTGCGAGCTTGAACCAAGGAAGCCACGCTGTTTCCGGATTTGCAGTTGCTGTAAGACGCAGAACCGGCAGCTCGGAGCCGTGCGTAGAAACTCGCTCGCACGGTATGCACTGTATCGGGGATAAAACGCCGGAAACGACGATACCGCTACCGAGTTGTTGCTGCCTCCCGCCACCTCGAGGCGTTTGCGACAATAGCATGTCAGACGAGCAGAAAGGGCACTTTTGTAAGATACGTCACGATTCGCATGTACAACTCAACTAGGACTGACAAGTAGGAGATTAGACGATTCTAAAGCGGGTTTGTAGATTTAAGGCAGCCGGCGAGCCGAATGGCTCGCTCGCCTCACTTTCCTCATTACCGGTCGACTATCAACTATCTGCATGCGGCCTCGTCGTTGGTATTGAAACTAGAAAACAAAGGTGGTCCCTCAAATAACAAAGGGAAACAACAGAAAACGAAAGAACCCAAGATAGGGCCAGATAGGGCCCAAAGAAAGGCCAGTGTAGAAATCCCAAAAGAAAATATCGTAAATGTCCAGCTAACCATCTCCAGCTGTAGACATCGTTACCCAGAAGGCCCAACGGTCTATCGCGCCAGCCTTCCGGCACCGTCGCCACGGTCTTCCGCCAGGGTGTGAGCGAGGAGCGGTCGTCGCAGATGCGCTGCAAAGGGCAGGCCAGCGTGGTGGTGGCCCGCACGCATAGAAAGCCATATCCGAAGGGCGGAAGCGTCTAGCACATTTCGCAACAGTCGAGACAGCAGTCCATAGATTCGTCGCAGACACAGCAGCAGAGCGCTGCGCCCATGCAAGCCTTCAGACAGCTGTCACCACCGCCCTGTCGCTGCGGCGGCGGCGCCTGCTGGTACTGCATACCGCCCTGAGGCGGATAGTAGCCAGCCTGTGGCTGCGGCGGGCCGTATGCCTGGAAAGGTCAGCAATTGAACGCGGACGTGAGGCTAGACGATCGAGAGGACAAGAAGCTCACCTGCTGCGGGTACTGGGGGTAGCCCTGAGGCTGGCCGTATTGCTGCGGTGGGCCCTGCTGGTAGTACTGCTGGTTGGACATGGTGAAGGGCGAGGCGATTGATCCAGAGATTGACCTGGGAAGCGCGAGCGGTCGGTGAGGATGGGCGGTCGCAAAGGTGAGTCTGGAAGCGATGCCAAGATGACAAAACGACGAAAAGGCGAAATGACGGAAATGCGGAAAGCGAAATCGGTGGCTGGACAAAGCTGGTTGGATGGGAGTTGTTTTGGGTGAGGACAGAATGAGGAAGATTGCTTCTGCTTGGGTGCCTGGCGGACTTAAATTATCAGGCGGAGGGTGGAATGGCAGACCTCCTCAGGCCAGGGGTGTTTTAAGTGTTTCCAAGGCCCGGCGTCGTAGCGGAGAGCTCCTAGGGCGGCCTCTCATTCATTTGTGGGGGGTGGGCCAACGCGCTGAAATACGAATCAATCGGACTGCTGGAAACTCCGCTAAAGACCGCACTACAGCGCTACGACGAGCATGACCAGCCACGTTTACTGCGTCAGCATTCTACGATTATGTACTGTATGTGCAGCTCTCCACTTGATACAGTGGGCCTCTCCTCCGCTCATTATCGGCTTAGCGTGCAGACCCTAGCAACCATTTTTTCCGTTCTTTCTTTTCTCTTCTGCGCCCCCCTTTGCCTGGAAGGAGGAGCCGACGGATCAGCTGGAGAGATCGACAGCTGTTGTGTATTACTGCTTACATAGTATGTATGCTGGATCTAGCGCCTTGCTGTGTTCAGTGTTTGGGATGATGCACATGTGTTTCAATAGTCATGGGCGCCAACATGTGCCACTCTGCCGCTGCTCCATACGAGTATATGGAACGGAGCACGGAGTACTCCATAGTTGATGCATGTGTCGCAAGCAGGCACCCAGCCATCTGCTCGTCTGTCTCATCTGCCTGCGGCGCAGCACATCCCTACGACGTACTGGCTGATGGCAGACGCTGCACGCTTCGATCGATCGTTGCGCGAGCAAAGCCTCGCTGGTGGGCCGTAGAAACCGTGGCGACCCAAATCAGTCCGGCACACCGCTCGGAGATACGTAAGACAGGACTCGTACACCCTGTGGCTGCGTGCCGTGGCTCATGCTGTGGCGTGTACGAGTATTCCTGCTGCAAGGCCTTGCCCAAATGACGCAAGACGCGATTGCGCCAATAACGCAGCCCGCTTACCTTCGGAGGGGTTCCTTCTTTGTGCGGCGGCAGCCGTTCATCGGAGAGCAAAACCCAAAGCGCCGGCAATTTTGGTCAGCTTTTGTATCTTACTGTTTTTTTAGGCGCTGTCATCTGACCAATTGTCACCCAACGCCACCCCAACCACACGTCCTGCAGTCAGTCTTCGGCCTCGTATCTTCGACCTTGTCGTCCGTCCTCTTCTGCTCCCTTCTTCCCCCATCTTCGTCTCAGCCAGCACAGCTGCCAAGCCAACAATGTCCACCATCCACGAGATCAAGTCCGTTGAGGAATGGGAGGCACACCTGCAGTCTCTTCCGCCGACAGCGCTCCTGATCGTCTCCTTCCATGCGCCTTGGGCCGCGCCATGCGCCCAGATGGCCACTGTCCTGCAGGCCTTGGCCGACGAATACCCTGCCGACCGCTCTGCGACCTCATGGGTCTCCCTCAACGCCGAGGACCTCAGCGACATTAGCGAGCAGTACGACGTCACGGCCGTGCCCTTCCTCGTGCTGCTGCGTGGCGGCCAGGTCCTGGAGACGGTCAGCGGCAGCAGTGCCGTCAAGGTACGGGCAGCGATCGAGACGTACGCAAAAGCGACTCCAGCAACAACGACAGCATCTGCTGCTGCGACGGTAGGACCGACGACCACATCCGCCAATGGCGTGGCGCCACTGTTTGCCGCACAGCAAGCCGCCGAGGCAGACCCGGCCAAGCAGAAGGAGGAACTGTTCAAGCGGCTGGCCGACCTCGTCAAGGCGGCACCGGTCATGCTGTTCATGAAGGGCACGCCGAGCGAGCCGCGCTGTGGCTTCTCGCGGCAGCTGGTCGGCCTCTTGCGCGAGAACAGTGTCAAGTACGGCTTCTTCAACATCCTGGCAGACGACGAGGTGCGCGAGGGCCTCAAGGAGTATGCCGAGTGGCCCACGTACCCCCAGCTGTGGGTCAAGGGCGAGCTCGTCGGCGGTTTGGATATTGTGAGTAGCGCATGGCAAAGAGATTACCTTGCGAACCCCCCTTTCCTCTTCGGCCGAGCACCAGAGCCAGGACTGACAGCAGCAGGTCAAGGAAGAGCTCGAGAACGACGCCAACTTCTTCCACGAATTTAGCGTCAAGGCTGCTGATACTGCCGTTGCATAGACGGCAGATTGGAACATAAAAGAAAATGAAAATGAAAATGAAAATGAAAATGCGACCAAAAATAAACAGACCACCGGGCATCCAGAGCGATGAGGACAGGGAATAATATACCCACTCAGCAATAGCAATAATAAGCAATTAAAAAAAAAAAAAAAAAAAAAAAAGGACCGGCCCCTGTTGCATGCAACCGGAAACAATACTACCAGCGGACATTGCGCAGAAGCAGGCAGGAAAAGAGATCGAGATATGGGGAGATACTCCGTACTCGAGTAGATTGCACAAGGGTTTCTCTTTCTCTTTCTCTTTTCTTTTTCTTACTTTGGGAGACTGTCAGAAAAAGACTGGATCATGTATTTGAAGCTGTTTTTGGCAATTGCATGGAGTTGTAATTTCAGTCTTTCTTCCCTCCTGCTCAGTTACCATGGCCGAACCAGATGCTGTCCTTGGGCGCGGACCCCGACTCCAGCTCGTCGACGGGGGCATCGCACAGCGCACGGTTCGCAGCCGGGATCTCCCAGCCGGTCATGTCGTCTGTACGCGACAGGAACAGCATGGCCATGCCGCCGTCGCCGTGCCAGATCATGTGGCAGTGGAAGCGCCAGACGCCGGGGTTGTCGGCGACGAAGCGCACCAGCGTCCAGCCGAAGCCCTCGACCGTGGCCACATCGCGCCGCAGCGGGTTGTCGATGCTGCTGGTGTTGCCGGGGTCGAGCAGTCCGCGACCTAGGGGCGCCATGTTGAAGGCTTCGTAGCCGGGAAAGTAGCCGTGACCGGCGCCGAGCACAAACAGCTGGTGGCCATGCAGGTGCAGCGGATGGGTGCCCTCGTCAAAGTTTTGCAGCACAAGATCAACGACTTGGACGTCGGTGTGGCCGATGACCAGCTCCGACTGCTCGTCAAAGGCCAGCCTATTGATGCCGGCCACGCCGTACGACTCGTTGCCGGCCCGCAACCCGTCTACGGCTCGATGCAGCGCTGGCGACAGCAGGTTCGGTCGGTACGACGAGCCGTTGAAGAAGCCGCGCTGCAGCTGCCAGTTGCCGATCTCGAGGTTGACCCGCAAGTAGTACGACCGGTCCGCATGTGCCGGCGCCGGCCGTGGCGGATACGGCGCATAGTTCCGCGTGTGCATGTCCTGACACAGCACGATGAACGCGCCGGCATCGTTGTCTGTCGTCGGCAGACGGGCTGCGTGGATTGCGTCGTCTGATGGTGCCGTGTAGCGCACCACCGCCTGCGTCATCGGGTTGTCCTGGCCGGCGAGTGTGTACTCGGAGAAGCAGTGGGTGGCGATACGGGCGTGCATCCAAAAGGCGGAGTCGCCACCCGTCGCGTTGGCCGTGAGCACGACGCTGTAGCGCTGGCCCGGCGCGATGAGGATGCTCTTCTCGGACGCTGGCTCAATGTCGACACCGTCAATTTCGGTCAGCGGCAGGCTGTGGTGGTGGTCGACGTTGATCTCGAACCAGGCGAAGCCGCCGACGTGGATGAACCGCAGCCGGTGGCTCGCGCCCGCTGCGAGGTCCAGGGCGGCCAGCCGGGCAGTCGAATTGTCGCATCGCCGGCCGGGGTGCTGATCGCAGTCCACCACGTTGACGCCGTTGATCAGGGCGCCGTTCGGCATGGGCGACGACTCGCTACCCTTGGCCAGGGCCGTCATCAGCAGCCCGCCAGACGGGTCGTGGTACCAATCCTGCACCATGACCACGCGATCGGACTCGTAGGGCAGCAGCTGCTTCGCCGGCTCGTCTCGGGCGTGGATGATCAGGGGCCCGACCAGGCCGTCGAGCGCGTCGGCTCCCTGGTGGCCATGGTAAAAATCTGCCACAGGAGAGGCGACGGGTTAGCTGGGGCTACTCCGCACACGAGGCTCTCATCTGCGTTTCCGGCCAGAAGACGTACAGGTGCCGGCCTGTCCGACTGCGGCAAACTCGTAGCGGAACGAGCGACCGGGGGCTATGGCACACTGCGTGGCGCCCGGTGTGCCATCCATGTGGTTTGTGCCGTTCTGGAAGAGGCCGTGCCAGTGCAGCGCGGTCGCATTGACGGCACGATTCTCGACGTTAACCACAATCGTGTCGCCCTCGTTGCAGCGGATCATCTCGCCGGGAAACTTGCCGTTGACCGTGGTCAGCAGCCTGAAGACGCCGTCCGGGTTGGCCTCGACGTTCTGGATGATCCAGTTGTACTCGCGCACCGTAGCCGGTGCATTGTAGTCCCAGTCCATTCCCAGCACATAGTCGGAGTCTGGTCGACGGAAGGAGTTGGCGTCGTCTGCCACCGCTTCGGCCGTGCTGGTAGCCGTCGGTGCCGCAGAGGACGGCAGAACTAGTTCTGCTGTGGATTCTGTTTCTGTTGGCACCACGTCCACGTCTGCAGATGGTGGTGAGGACGACGATGGCACGGACAAGCTGTCAAAAAAGGCAATCTTGAGGAGAAGTAGCAGCGAAAATAGGCTGGCAAGCAAGAAAAGCAGGAAGAAAGCGCTTTGCCACCAGTGCGTTCGACGAGAGTGTCTGCCAACACGCCCAGGATCGCGGCCGTCGCCATTGTCGGTATTGACATCTTCCAGGAGCTGCCGGCTTCGGTCTCTTGATGCTGGTTCAAGATAAGATGCATTCAGCTCCGCTGTCAGCATCTCCACGTCACCGTCCTCGCCAAAGACGACAGCATGCCCTGCAGCCATGGGATGTATCACGGCGCAGAGGCTTGCATGGCTAGACGATTGAGCTGCCCTTCACGATGCGTTTGAAGATGAAAAGGCTTGTACAAGCATTACAAGCAGAGACAGGCTCATTCTAGCTGAGTGATGCGCGTGGCGCAACGGCGGCTTCTGGTTGGACGGCTTGCCAGAAGATGTTGCTAAGAGGAAGGAGCTATTGAACTAGCTACGGATACAGTACTCCGTACAGGGCCCATAGTGATAACCGTATCATCGCACGGTAGCTGATCGAGGTCTGTCGCGTGCTCTTTTCGACTCCGTAATACAATCTTGCTTCATGAACAGAGTTCGGAGCATGTCTTAAGCATAAGGCACTATGAAGGCACCCGTAAACCCCGTAGGCCTCCTAGATTGTGGAGATCGTTTCTCAGGGGCTGCTGGGTTTAAGGCTGTGCGAGCAAGAGGGAAGGGACACTTTCATTGGCTGGCATCCGTCTCAAAAATGCACAACACTCGTGGAGAAGACAGCGGTCGACCCTTTGATTGGCGCGCAAAGCTTGGCACGAATATTTCAAACTGTCACTGGCTCTCCGCTGAGCGATGCAGCCAATCCCGTCTGCATCGTCCTATTCGGTGGCAATGAACAGCGGAGCTCTCTTTGACGGAAACGCATAAAAGAGGGCCTCGTAATGGCCGAATAGGCAGGTCGGGTGAGGAAGGATCGTGTCCACTGGCTCTTTGCCTTTGTGGACCACTCCTTTGGTCATCGCTCGTCCATATATACGCGTGCTTGTCCCATCTTCTGCCGTGCTCTCGCCTTCCATCTTCCGCAAGTCTCAGCCTTTCGTTTTCGCCGCTGCCGTCTCACCTTCTTTTTCTCCTTGCACAATCACGCTCTTTTGTGTGCTCACGTTCGCTGGTCGCTACCATTCCATTCTTTTACCTTTCTTCGCCGTGAAAGCAAACAAGGGAACAAGGGTTACTGAACAAGCATTGCCTCGTGCTATCTCGCAGACTATTTATCATCCTCCGTGTTCTTCTATCCTTTTCTCATTCTTCGACTTTTTGCTCTTATACCCAATCTTCGCCATGGCTTCCTACGTCCGCCTCCTTCTTCTCAGCTCCCTGTTCGGCAGCCTGGCTGCTGCCGCGCCCATGGAGAACCGCATCTTTCGCCGCACTTCCGCCGCCGACCTCGTCGGCCAGATCATGCCCGGCTCCTTGTCGTGCTCATCCGCTCAGTTCGCCGACGAATGCCGCACCAATGTCCAGGCCGCACCCTACCTGATCCAGGCGATGCAGCAGTATGGCCTCAACACCGCCGGCCAGATCGCTGCTGTGCTCGCCGTTGTCGGCTACGAGTCCGGCGACCTTGCCTACAAGCACAACGTCTCGCCCGGTCGACCCGGTCAGGGCACCAGCAACATGCAGATGGCGACATACAACGCTCTCTATGCTGCCTCTATTTCCGCGCTGTCGTCGGGCGTGGCTGCCGCCAACGGCGACGTGTCCGCTATCCTGTCCCTCGTCACCGCCGACGAGTACAACTTTGGCAGTGGCCCGTGGTTCCTCACCACGCAGTGCTCGTCCGACGTCGTGTCGGAACTGAGGACCGGCACTGACGCCGCTTTTTCTGCATACATGGCTTGCATCGGCGTTGACGCTACCGACAGCGGCCGTTTGGCTTACTGGAACCGTGCCAAGACTGCCTTTGGCTTTTAGAGTAGCCTACTTCTTCTTCACTCTTGACGTATTCTGTTTTGCAGCGAGGGCTATCTGCCTCTTTATGATACAATACTACGGGACATTTATTGGCGGACTTTCACACTATGAGATACGAAGACAACGTTATTGTTAGTGCCATAAGTGAATCGTGCTTAAGCATATATTGAGAAGGGTATTTTCCTATCAATACAGGAGGATGGTGTTGCTAATTACTTGTTGTCCTCGTCACACACGGCTATGCCAAACCGAGGACAGAAAACAGGCCGTGCAAATCCGCCTGTTAAACCATATCGCAGAAGGTACCCCCTCATTGCTTTCATGTATACACACAAGGGTATATTCTCGTATGTCCTGTTTCTAGACATACCCTGAATCCCATTCTTACACTGCCAACACGTAGGCAAAGCACTCTTAAGGCATCAGCCTGTATTGGGGCCCGAGCCCGGTCCTGTACCTGACAAGTCCACATTTCCAAAAAAAATGTTAGCGTCAGCTTCTGCCGACCCTGGAACAGGCACTTCCGAGCTGCCCGGAAAGAACTGGAAGGATGGATCTCCAGCAAAAGCCCCGGATTGGGCGTAGTTTTGCAGCGTATCCTTTCCAAGGTCAGCATAACTTGTTATATTAACTCTCTCCACGCGATCACCGGAACGTACCCAGTCAAAGTTGGATGTCAAGTCCATGCTTTCATCCACCAACGTGCCGGGATAAGCGAGACCTGGGGCGGCAAAGTTGAAGGTAGCCATGCTGCTGAGATAGTCGCCTTGGAATTCGGGTGGTGCCAAGTCCGTGCCACCGAGCTCGTTGCCCATTGTTGCGTCCATTGTGCCGTATGCCACTCCCTCTGGGCTCTGCATCGAGGTCCCGAACAAGCCGTTGAGGTTAGGCCCGGCTGTCGGAGCAAGACCGAGCGGTGCCATCATATCGGATTCGAGCGGCGGCGGCAGCTGTGTGTTGCCGGGCGTTTCCAGACACGAGTCTGGCGGTGTCGGGTTGGCGCCAAGTGCCGGAACATCTTTGCACATTGGCACCACTTCGGACGGGTTCGTGGGCGGCGTCTCCGTGGAGCCCATCTGTTCCAAAACGACCCGCAGGATGTTATACGCCTTGAATGCCTCCATCGAGCCGTCCGCGAGCGGCCGCCAGATCTCCTTTGTTGTCTCCAGTACAGACCGCATCTCGATGCGCTGCGCGGGCGTCCAGAAGTTCGCTACTTGTGGGTCTATAGTCTCGCCGCTCTTCTCGGCTGTATTGTTGAAGCGGACCTCCAGTGCCACCAGCATCGCCGGCAACAGAAAGTCCTTTGTCGCAATGGACGACACGTACCACTTGATCGACCGCAGCCGGCCGCTGGGCTCGGACTCCTTGGCGAGTGTGCGAAGGTGGTGTAAGGTTTCCAAGGAGGCCTCGATGGCGGCTCGCCTTGAACGGTCGTAACGAGCATTTTGCCGGGACCGAGGCAAATATTTGCGGTGCAACAGGCACATGATCTTCTGGTATAGGATATCAATGTTGAACCGTGCTATGATCAGAGTCAGAGGGTCCCGTGATCTCTCCAGCGGGTGCAGCTTCAGATGTGGTGGTAGCTCATTCTTCACAGCTCGCAGGCGGCTGTCAAGACGAATGATTTCGTCGTAAGACACCGGCTTTCCGACGCGTGTCGTTGCTTGCAAAATATTGCCCAGTTCCTGACACAGCTTGACTTTGGCAATCATGTAGCTGATGGGCGTGGGTTCAGAACTCGGCCGCGGGGGAGGTAGCTTCTTTGTGCTTGGATCGAATTCTTCGTCAAATATGTTGAGCGGCAGCTGTGTATCACAGTCGTGCTCATAGATCATATTCGGTAACGATACTTGATGTGAGAACATGACATCACACATACGCACCAGCGCCCATGTCCTCCTTCTCATTTCCTACAAGGCGGGCAGTCAGCACAGATATCTTCTAGCACAATTACAGGCATCGGGGAATCATACCGCCTGGAAGGGTGTGATGGACGGAAACCATTTTGCATCTCGATGGTAACCCATGCGAAATGCCACCCGCGTAATCAGGGAGCCGATCAGCCAGAGGCCCAGATCCGCGTCCCAGCGAGACGAGTACTCGCCAAAGACATACAGGATCATGGTCTCGACCGTGTACTCGACCGGCTTTGTGTAATCGGCAACGACCAGGCACTGCACCGTGCGGACTCGAAAAAGCGCCGCCAGCTCCATAGCACGGCCCTTCCATTCCGGCGGCTCGTCGCCAACCTTGTGGTAGCTAAGCATTGCCAGGCAGAGAATAGAGTACAAGAGGCCCAGCCACATGATGGGTGTCTTGGACGGGTCCTGCCAATGGCTGCGTAGCTGGGCGTTGAAGGTGGGTGCGTGTATAATGTTGACCGCGTTGTCCATAGAGTTGAAGTAGCGACCACAGAGGGTGAGAACGGTCGATTTCGGCGGCAGCTCGGCGCGGAGATCGGCTTCGGTGGTCGGCGGAGCGCCGTGAAGAAAGGTTGGGGCCTCTCGGGAGGTGGCCGGCTTGCTCTCGAGAACCTTCTCGTAACTCGACTCCAGCTCCTTCTTGTGCATAGTGAAATAGTTCTTAACTTCGGTAATATCGGCCAGTAGAGTGTGCCAGTGCTCCTGGCCGACATACATGGACTTTCCGCGATCCGTGTCGACCTTGAGAACACCGAGAGAGGTCGCCAGGCCGTCGTCGATGTCGCTGTCATCCGCGTCGTCGGCCGCCTGGTTCGCGCTTTCTCTTGTAGACACCAAGCTGTCTGCCCTGGGCGGCAAGCCAACCCCTGCGCCAGGAACCATGCCCGCGGCAGATGCGGCCGTAATAGGATCGACATCGGCTCCACTGTGCATCAGCGACAGCACCAGACCCTCGAGACGGTCGATGCGGTTTTGCATGTCGTCGGGGGTTGCTGACCCTCGGTTTTGGTTCTTCTTCCGGTTCACGGGTGCGGCATAGGAACAGGTCGAAGTGTTGTTCCCGTCGCGCTTGACACAATTGCTACACGGATGGCCTCGGTCGCATTTCCTGTAATACTTTGGTCAGTGCGACTGCTCTTACCTCGAGTTGTCGGGCAGGCGGCATAGTTACAATCTGCGCTTCGGTCAGTACAAGCGTACACGAGAAACACACACTCTCCTACCGTCTGGGCAGCTGGATATCTACTTTTTGGTCCGACATGGATAGCAGCTCAAGGGCACTCGGTTTCTCTTGCGCACTACCCGAAAATGTTCCTCGGGCGACCGGGCGCTCGATGACGAGTTCGTCGAAGCCGGTGTAGGTGTCATGGCTACGAGTATATTGTTTGCGAGCTTCGGAGGAAGAGTGTGATGCGGGCGATTGCGTTCGCCTCCGCAGAGTGCGGTGCCGGCAATGGTCGTGTAGCGAAGAGTCAGACGAATCTCGCGTAATGCAACGTTTCCTGGCCTTTCAAACGGCTTTTGGCGGCCGTCGTAGATAGACAGACACTGTCTTCAGGGACTAGGAGAGCGCTCTTTCAGAGCATCCCAGGCGGCACCGATGGCCTTCGCGACGAGTTGGGGGCGAATGCGAACTCGCGTTTTCGAGATGTCTTTTTTTGAGGAGTAGTCAATGTCATGCGATGAAACCAGTCAATCCTTTGGGGCGCTCAGTTCACAAAGGCAGACGGCGGAGACCAACTTATTTGCCGAGAGGCACGGAGATTGTAGAGTGGCACAGAAAAACGGCAGAACACGAAGTCGGAAGAACCCCAAAAAGATGATTTGAAGGTGGCAGATGCTATCGTTGATGGCCGGACTTAATGGTGGGTGTATGTACTAAGATAGATGGGCGCCTTAACGCATTGGAGGGGTTCTGGGCGGTCTCACAGCTTAAGCACCATCTCACCACTGCAGCTTACTATTTTAGCATTATGCAGATTCGCCCCGCCTTCCTGAAGCTGTGGTTGGTCAAAACCAAAGAGTCCAGGCATCCACGACGCGAAGTGGCTTTCGCAATGACGTCCTCTGCATTGATGACTAGCCTACGGATTACATCTACGCCGTCTTACTGTGAAGCTCTAGAATGGAGCGCACTGTGATCGTTCTGACTAATGCCAGCAACGCGGCCTCTCATTGGTCAGACAGATAAGAGTGGGGACTAGCCCCAGTGAAATCTCTGCACCAGTGAAGGCGCGCCATGTACCCTCTCCTAGCTAGTTACAATATGCAGATCATCAGCCACATCGTGAAGACCCCATACAGTGCACCGCTACCCCTGTCATAAGCATCAGTTGTGACACTTACATATGCAAGTGCGTATTTCATCCATACTCCGTTCTTACTAGCTCGGATGAGTCATCTAGTCAAACCAAGCTATGTGATTTTTTGTTTCCTGATATCAACATCTGCTCCTGTACCAAAGCTAAGGCCCATACAACGACTCTCGACACTGGACGCGTTTACCGAAGTTGCTGGACGAATGTCTGGCTCTGTCCAATATCTCTGGCTTTAGTTTGTCCTGGATGATTCAGCCTGAATTGGGGACTCATGCTCATTCTGGATCGTACAATACGTTCAGTATTGAGCGAAGTCAGAAAGCATTGTGGATGTGTTGTGTGCGACATAATTTCCACACTATTGAAACGCTCCAAGACGCAAGACCACATTTGGGGAGCGGCTGATTCTTGTTGTGCGGCTGTCCAGTGTCGCGATAGACTGCCTGTGGCAATCTGGTCTCCTAAGTGTTAGCCTTCGACGAGTGTTGATCGGTATAACCTTGTGTTTTTGCATATTCCAACTTGTGGAGCTCTGAAACTGGAAAATACATTCAGCTGGCAGGTTTCTACAGTCGGCAGAACTGCCTTGTCTCCAAACTCACTTCTCTAGTCGGTCGCAGCTTCCCGTGATGCGTCTGCTCCTTCCTTTTTTTACTATTGCCCCCACCTTCAGTGCCCTTTGGTGCACCGCTTCTGAGTTTCTGATTTTACAGAAGTAAACATCCATCTTCGTTCCTCCATCTTCTCGCAAGATTTCCTCTTGACTTTTGCCCTCTCCTCTATTATCTGACTCCATCGACTGTGCCCGATCTGGGATCCTGGGTGGGCTTGACGATTGTCGAGTCGAGTTGCACACCCCTAACGGACGATCAGAGTGCGTTAGGGGCATATTTGTTCAACACAGGTTTCTTTGGGTGCTGACGAGATGGATGTCACGCCTGAAACTGTGCGGCTTTCTATCACAGCCAGTGTCGCAGCTGTCAAGGACGATGGCGGAGACATTGGCGGCCTTGAAGACACTGGAAATGTGATTGAGCCTTTGAGAAAGCGCAAATCTCTCGGGGATGGTCTCGACGATGCAGTACGGATAGAGGAACCCCAAGCCGGGGACCCTAAAAAGGTGAAGGTGGGCGACGATGGCCACCCCGAGCCTGCTGGCAAACTACCTGTCGTTGTCTCGGGCAGGGAGAGCATACCCCCAGAGATTTGGCATCACATCTTCACTTTTTGTCCCCCCAAAACATTAGGGAATTTGTTGTGTGTCAACAAATTGTTTAATTTTTACCTCGATCCCAATTCTGCTGCAACGCCGACCGTGCCGCCTTCTCCTCCCAAGTCTGCGACCAAACTTCAGAAGCCGAATGCTATCTGGCAAGCTGCAAGACGGTTGTATTGGCCCTATAACCCGGGCCCCCTAAAGGATAAGACCGAACTGGATATGTGGCGCTTGGCCTGCTCGCATGTTTGCCAGTTTTGTGGCAAGAAAGACTCGCGGCGTGCTTTGCCTAGCAACGATCCATTACGCTTCGGGCCCGGAGCCGATGGCGTGACCTGCATCTGGGCATTCAGAGTACGATGCTGTGGTGCCTGTCTTTCTAGCAGGTCAATAAAGGTAAGCTTGGGTGCTTTTTTCTGTCTCTTAATGGTCTCCTAATCCACCATAGGAAATGGACTTTCTTATGTCGAATGTCCCCTCCTTTCTTATACCAGCTTTGCCGTTTGTGTTTTCTACGCCGGATTTGCATACAGTCCCCCCTAGCTTCATAGAGCGGGCCCAGTTTCCCGTATCTCTGTCTCTGACGAAGCTATTCTGGTCCTTGGACGTTGAGAATCTAAACCGAGAGTTTCTAGCTGCTAAGGAACTGGGAGCCCCTGCTGTTGAGGAATGGCAGAAAGGGCTGGATCTACGAGGGCAAAAACAGAGATCCGACGTGGCAAAATGGGAGAAGTTTGACGACTCCGGTGGTCTTAGCAAAACATTGCTTTATCCCGGCCACCAGCAAGCTGCAGCCGCCGCGGCCGCGCGTTCCATACCACAGACACAAGATCAAGCTAAGAAGGACAAGGCGGCATTGCCAAGAGTGGCTGCATTGCCTCCGCGCCCGTCGTCTAGCGTCTCTCTTTCACCCCAGTGTCAGTTGTCGGCAGCTAGTAAGTTGCTGGTTGCCAGAAGTGTAAATGAGCTTTATTCGGACGATTTCAAACTGACATTGCCATAGCCGCAGCCCCAACATTTGGACTGCCATCTTTCCTTCCTTCAAAAGTTCTCCTTACAAAAGTGCCGATTCCACCTCGAGTTGAGCGCTCCAAGGAGGAAATAACGCAGCTGAAAGCCCAAAGGAGGGCCGAGATTATTCGCAGAGCAGAACTGCTTAATCCTCCCATAACCGAGGATATTCTGGAGAAGACCACTGCTTTCCGTGCTGCAACACAAATCATCATGCCTTTGGATGATATAGCCTGGGAAGTTCTGAAGCCGCGATTTCTGGCACAGAGAGCACAGCTGTCGAAAAGTCCATCTGTGGCAAATGCTTCCAAGCAAACAGCACTGATTCCGGTTATCAAGGAAGTATCTTCGCAGGCTGAAACAGCCAAGGGAAAGACCGACGCAGAATGGGACGAGATTCAGGGTCCGGTCCGGCTCAAAATCCTCAAGTACGCAGATGAAGTTATTCGAGATTGGGACAACGGCGAGAAGGTCAACAAAGAGAACGCACCCGCGTTTGCCATTGATGTGCTTCTGCATGTGCGAAAGCGTTTTTACATGGAGGTGGAAAAAGACGCCACAAGTGCTCGTTCTCAGAAACGGAAGCCAATTATCGACCCTCCCGAGGGACCGTTCACACAAAAACTGACGTTGGAAAACATGAAGTACGTCTTCGACATGAAGGTGCGCCCCCTGACGGAATCTCTGCGTAAGGAGCTATTTTTGTGCAGTGGCTGCGAAGGCAGTAACAAGCTCTTTGGATTCGACGGTGTGGTCCAGCACTATGCAGCCAAACACACTGAAACGCTCAGTCGCGGCAGCATCGTCGTCTACTGGAGAGCAGAATGGCCGCTTGCACCTATTTTTAAGGCGCTCACCCGGCCGAGGAAGACTTTTCACCCACTTCCTGCGATTCCTCCATCGCTACCCGGCCCAAAACCAGTCGGCCTGCCTCCTCAACCTAGTTACAGCTCAGGCACAGCCGCACCAACGTTATTTACATCGGCATCGTTGGCACCTCAGCCATCCTACCCAGCGGTGGGGTCGTTTCTTCCGATTGCGTCGCAACAACCTCCGCTTCAAAGTCCTTTTGCTTCGAACGTCACCTATTCCGCAAGCCAGCCAGTCTTTGGGTCACAACAGCCAGTGCCACAGCAACAGCAATTCATAGTTCAGCCGTATGCGAACTCTGCACCCAGTGTAGGACCTTTGGCCATGGCTGCAGTTTCGCAGAGGTACGGAGCAGCACAACCTCCGTCCCAATTTGGTGGCTCGCAAGATGTGTTGCCACCGGGACCAGGTCACATCGGGAACCAGAGCTATGGAAACAGCGTGCACCCGTCTACTTACGTTAGCGGGTTTCCAGCTGAGAAGAAGCCAATACTGCCGTCAGCCAAATACAAAGGAGACTACAACAGGATGGCCATGCGTGCTCGTGAGCTTTGGAGGTCGACAGCAAACATGGTGGACACACCGGGGGCTATCCGAGTTTTTACAGTCCTGAGTCATCTCGACAGTTTTTTTCTGTCGAAAGTTGGAGAGCCTCTACCGATATCCCTCTTTCTCGAGGGGCTGTCGAATCACAAAGAGATGCGTCCGGTTCGAAGCGTTGACGGCCTTTCATGCAAGCCGTGCCGCAATAGAGTTGGAACTGTACCTGATGAGGAGAAGCGGAAAAGCTTTTCGTTGCCTCAGCTGGTCAGGCACTTTGAGACGTATCATACCGAGCCGACTCAGGGGAAACCCCGGCGTGGCTTGCCATCATGCAACTGGTTCGCTGACATGCTGACTATCCCGCCTACGCACGCACTCCGAAGCATGGCAGGTCGCAATGGACGGAAATACCCTCTTCTTTACGAAGCTGCGGTGAAATTGGAGAGAGAGACGGGCGAAAAAGAAGAGCGGACTCGACAGAAGCCGGCCCAGGTACCCCGAGATATTGCGTCCTCTTCAAAAGCGCCTGGGGAGGTCCGCAGTAACCCAGTCACACAAAGGAGCAAGGAGAACCCACGAGGGGGGCAGGACTTTGATCATAGGGATCGAGGTGGATCGTATTACTCTGCCGATCGGTATACACCGTCTCGGAGCAGGTCAGCCTCCAACACGCAGCAGGGCCGCTCAAGAAACGACAAGAACAAAGAAGGAGGGGGGCCCCGGGACAGGACGAAGGAAGACGATGTTGAAGTGGCGGAAAAAGAGACGCGACAAAAAGAGGCAAATCGAACGATGTGGGAAACGGAAAGGGGGCAGATGGCACAGACACAAGTGGCGGCTGCTGGAGCAAAGGCAGTACCACAGGCAAGGAATGCCAGTGTATCACACCGGCACGAACAAGCACCCAGACAGGCCTCGCAAGCTCGCGATACCTTCATTAAGGCCGATGAACCGGATCAATGGGGCATGCGTGGTGTGCCACGTGCACGACAGGATCGCGAAGAACGGGACCTGATCGGAGGGATGGATGTGCACCTGACACATGCGCAGGAGTATCAGGAGCACCAGGCACCGCCGACAGCACCCAGATCGGTGCTGTGGCCGGTTTATGTGGACGAGCGAGGAAACGAGGTGGCTCGCTTTGAGCCCCCATCCAGAGAGGCGGGGCAACGGTCCAGATCGCCTCCCTATGTGCGGTATGCGGCCGCAGTGCCATACCGCAGTCGAAGTCCGCTGGCACGTCGCTATGCAGGCGAAGCCGTGTACGAGACGCGAGCAGACAACGGCATGGTCATGTACGAGAGGTATGCAGCTCAGGCATCGCCGGTCTATGCGCATCCGCACCAGCAGCAAGTGCCTCTGCGGCAGCCGGGATACTACCGAGTATACGTGGACGAGGGGCAGATGGAACGACCGGTGGAATACGAGATTGTCCGCGTGAGGCGGCCAGACAACAGCGAATATCATGTTCGCCTGCCGGTGCGCAGAGAGTTTGCAGAGCCGGGCGGCACACGGTACTATTCTGGTGATGGTGGCCCAGAAATGGCAGCGGCAGCAGGAGTGGATGCGGCATACTACGAGGAATACGACCCGCGATATCCGGCAGCAGCCCCATCATCAGCACCAGCAGGGCCCGGAGGCAGACGACAGGTGAGGTTTCACTAGGACAAGGTGTTCAAGACATTAGAAGGGGCGAGAAGCAGAAAGGTCTCGCTGTCGCGTGTGCATCAGGAGGACGGAGTAGTTGCATTTATAATGGTACAGCAGAATAAGCGTCGAAGCAATGCAAGCAGCACAGGCGAATGCAAAAGCATGCAAAGGCAATATACAGAGGTGGATGAGATGGAGGAGACAAGATTCAGACGACCTCGCCGATGATCTTGGCGGCCTCCTTGTAGGTCTCGAGCAGCTGTTCACACTTTTCGCGTTCCTTCTTGACGCCGTCGTCTTCGTAGAGCAGTTCCTGGAAGAGGGTCTCCTTGTAGAGCTCGCTGACGAGTCGATTTTGCACCACATCTTTGCAGTGGTTGACCAGCAGATGCATGATGGCCTTGGGCACCTGGTCGCCGATGGATTCGCGTACAATGTTAAAGTAGGATGAGATGAGCGCACGGATGAGCTCTGTTTCCATGGCCTCGCGGTCGGTCAGCGCCGGCTCGCCGCCGAAAAAATCGTTGCTGCTGCTACCGCCACCACCACCGGCTGTCACCACGCTACCGGCGACACTGCCGGCAGTGCCGTAGTCGTCCATGGCGGATGGTGGTGCTAGCGGTGACCGCAGTGGCCGCTGGTCGTCGGGCCTCCGCATGCTCTGACTAAACGACGGCTCCGAAGCCTGGCTCACGTGACGTCCAATGTTGGCCCCGAGCGCCGATGCCGGCGGCGCCAGCGACGAGCTGTTGGCGCCGCTGTTGCCGTTGATGCCCGACGACGATGGCGGCAGCATGTGGGTGGCACCACCTTCCTTGCCGAAGAAGTAGTTGAGGAACGAGTCCTTGGTGCTGCCGAGAGCCTGCGGGTTGGCGTAGCGCGACGGCGACTGGCCGCGCACACTGCCGCCGTTGAGAGCCGCCGCAATGCCGCCGTTGTGGTCACGTGCCAGCGATGCACTGCGGCCGTTGCGAGAAGCCGCCGCCATGGCTGCCGCTGCAGGCCCGCCCTTGCGCAGTGACGCCGATGCCGCCGCCATGACGGAGCCGCCGCCACCACCACCGCCTGCATTGCTGACGCTGTCCTCGTCGTCATCTGGCGTCTCGGTCCCGTGGTAGCCGTGTGTGTTGCTGCCGGCCACGCTGGCACCCCCCAGCTCCTTGGCTCGCCTCCGGTCGCGACGCTCGCGTTCCTCCTGGATCAGCCGGCGCCGCTCACGCTCCTGCTTCTCGTTGACCACGTGGCTCATCGCCGCCGCCGCACCCAAGAAGTTGGGGTGGTTCGTGTTGATGTACGCCCGCTGGATCGAGATCAGCGACTCGACATAGTTGGACGCCGGGCCCAACCGCTCCCGCAGCAGGTCTGACACCACCTCGATCAGCTTCGCTTGCAGCCGTGGGAACCGGCTCAATTCTGTCGAACCGCACGTGTGGCAGATCTTGATGAGCTCCTCGTACACCAGCTCCACGCAGCGCTGGCTCGGAATCTCCAGCAGCTTGATCTGCGGCTTCACCAGCAGGTCAAAGGCCATCTCCGGCACAAAAAGGCTCGGCCTCGGGCCTGTCGAGTTGCGGATCGCCGTGCGGATGTCTAGCGCCGACAGATTCGACGTCGGGTCGATCGACTCTAGCGCGCTGCCAAAGACTGAGTTAAAAATGTAATAGATGCGCGCGCCGCCGCACAGCTCCTTGGTCGAGATCTCCGTCGACGTGCCATCGATGGACGAGATAAACGACGTCGCAAATCGCGTCATCAGCTGCAAGATCAGCGATCCGCGGTGCTCCTTGCCGCTAAAGTGCATGTCGCCGTAGCTTGCCAGCTCCTGCTGCGTCTGCCCCATCAGCGTGTTCAGCCGCGCCTTGATGTCCGGCAGCCGATCGCGAATGTGCGTCATGAGCGTCGAGTTGAGCGTCTTGGCTAGGTATGGTGTTCCGCACCGCGCCGAGATGTTGCGGTATGCTGGATGATGCCGGAAGAACTCTACCTCCGACTTGAGCGCCTCATCCATCGGCTTGCTGCCCATAATGTCCTGCTGCGACCGATTCACCACGCCGATCCACCCCAGCTTCAGCGGGTACACCCGTCCGCTCAGAATGTCCAGCGCATTGGTGCCGTGGTCCATCAGGTCGATCTTGGTCAACACTCCGATTGTCCGCCGGCCCAGCGGGTCGACATGGCGTGCCAGCTTGAGCGCTTCCGAGTTGACAATGTCCACGTTCGCCGGCGACACCGCCAGCACGATGCTGTTGGGCTTGGCAATGTACTCGGAGATGAGGTTGCGCGTCTGCTTCTCAATGTCGGTCGGCTGGTCGCCAATCGGCACCTTTGTCAGGCCCGGCAGATCGACCAGCGTCAGGTTGAGCACGTGTGGCGAGTAAATCTTGAGGTTGATGGGTTGCCGCGTGATGCCCTTGTTGGTGCCGGCCACGCGTGCTGTCTCGTTCTCGATCTCGCGCCGCACCTCCGTAAAGTCGATAAAGCGCCGGTTCGGCAGGTGGTGGAACTCAGCCCATTCCGACCGCCGCGCCGCATTGGGGTCGAGAAACTGAATCCGGTTGTCGTTGATGGCGGCCGCCCCATTGGCGCCCTCTTCCTCCGGCACGTTGATCAGCTGCAGAATGAGAGGCCGCCTTGTCACGATCCCGCTGCCGCGGGGCAGGAAGTCCCGGCCGACAATGTTTTCGAGCACGGACGACTTGCCCGCCGATTGCGAGCCGACGACGACCTAATCAGCAGCGGAGTGTTAGCGGGGCATGTCGAAGGGGACGGGACAGGGAGAGAGAGAGGAGAGAGAGTGCAGAAAAACAGGGAGACAGGTGGGGCGGCGCACTATTTGGGGCAGATCGAGCGAATCGTTGCCAATGGTATTAAAAACGAGGTCTTGCAACTTGTTGACGGTCGTCAACAAATCATCGCCGAGGACGGCCATTGTGGATTGGCCGAGGATTTGGCTGCTGGACTGGTCTCGGCTCAGGACGCGTATCAGCTTGGGCGCTCTGGTGTCGGCAGTGGTGGCGGATGGTCGTCGACACGGCCGGAAAGAATTGCGGACGGGTGATGATGCAATGGGAGAGACGCTCGGTGGAAGCAGATTTTGCCGGAAGCCGGGAGAGCTTGTATTTTGAGCTGTGCGGCCAAGTGGGAGACACTAGGCCTAGTAAGTACGTAGTCGAAGATCGTAGCCGGGAGTGGGCCGGGATGTTAAAGGACGAGACAGAGAGAGAGAAAGAGAAAGAGAGATGCAGAGATGCAGGGGAAGACAGGAAGAACGAGAGGGATGCAGAGGGCGGAAAAAAAGAAAGAGGAAAAGAAACGGGACAGGCCAGCCGTTGGTGTGGCGAAACGGTACAAACGAACCTGAGGGAGCGACTCTGGACTTTGGGTTTCAAAAGAGCCAAAAGAGCCTAATAGAGGAGACGACGTAGGGACAGCAAGAGAATGGGTGGGGATTCGAGATGAGGAATGCCGACATTGGGTTTTGGAATTTTATTCCGTGGGTTTATTCTGGGCCTGCAGAAAAAAAAACAGACCCGCGTTGCAGATGACGAGGAGGGACAACGGAAGTCGTGCAGGATCGTCGTGCAGCGTGGACACAATATGCTCCGTCGAGTCGCGTGAAGGTCTGGCGCGCTGCGTGCAAACCATACTATGTATTTTCTCTTGTCCCTGTTAGCATCTGTCTTTCTTTTCGTCCGGGGACCACGTACGTATTGTCCGGCTGTGATTGGGGAGTTGGGCAATCGCACACCGAAACACACCGCCACAAAGCACGTGAAAGCGGCCGCCACAGTTCTCTCTCTCTTTTTTTTTCCTGGAAGGGGGACGGCCAGGCCTGCTGATTGGTTCGTTGGCTGGCTTTAGCTGGCCCCAGTGATAGTCATTCGATTTCTTAGTGCGGTGCAGTGATTGAACAGGCAATCGTCCAGACTCTTGGGCTCTGTCGATCCATACGAAGCCCTACGCATAAAGAACAGACGGATTGCTGTCGCTGGTCGAAAGCGTCTGAGCTATCGTGTAAGTGTGACCTGACCGATCGGACATGTGGACGTGTGGTCGTGTGGTTGAGCGGTGCTGACGAGGACAGAGAACGAAAGCAAGCATACACACACGCCAAAATCCAGAAGCGATGAGCGCTTTCGGGGGGCCGGGTGGTGGACTCGCAACGCAAAAGCCAATCCCGTAAGTGATGCTGCTAGCTGCCAGTGGGATGGTGGAGGCTGACAGCAGACAGTCCTCAGCGAGGCAGCTTTCCGCTGGACCATGAAGGTGAGTGAATGGGTGAGAGGCCGAACCGAAAGACGTCCGACAGCAGACATGCCCTGACAGCCCAGGCGAATGCAAAAAGGTCATGATGGACTACCTCGGCTGCATCAAAAAGGTCAAGGGCATGAACGACAACGAGTGCCGCAACATTGCAAAGTCCTATTTGTCCTGCCGAATGGACAGGTGAGTCGCCGGACAGATGTCATCGGTGCTGTGGTGCGTCTGGCTGACATGGAGCAGGAATCTCATGGCGAGGGACGAGTTCAAGAATCTGGGCTTCAAAGATGACACCGAGACCAAGGAGGTCGAAAAGAGGCCAGGAGAGCTGCGATGGTAGAGGGTAGCGAGTCGAATATAATAACCCCCCGTAAATAAGAATGCAGTCACCAGTCCACCAGTTCAGCCCTGGCATCACGCCGGCTCTCTTGCGTAAGCTAGACGGCGGATTTCCCCGCAGCCGCCAAGCAGGCATATGCGCCTCGGCTTTACAAGGATTGTCCATGATCGATCTTGTTGAGAGTCGCGTGTCGCCTTGCCGTCGCCGTCGCTCGTGTCAAAAATGCAGACACGTTGCCGCCAGCTGCTGTCTGCCGGGCGGAAGCGCCTCAGCAGCACCGCTGCCTCCTCTCCCTCACCGTCGCCCTACGATGCCACGCTCGACCACCTGCGTATCGGCCGTCATACGCGCGTCATCTTCCAGGGCTTCACAGGCCGCCAGGCCACGGCAAATGCGCGCGAGTCGCTAGCCTGGGGCACCAATGTCGTCGGCGGCGTCACGCCGGGCCGCTCCGGCGAGCATCTTGGCCTGCCACTGCTGCCCAGCGTGGCCGCTGCCGTGACAGCGCTGCGACCACACGCCACCGGCATCTATGTGCCGGCTGCGCTGGCACCGGCTGCCATTGAGGAGGCCATTGCTGCCGAGGTGCCGCTGGTTGTCGCCGTGGCTGAACACATTCCGCTACACGCAATGCTGCGCATCTCTGCCGTCCTGCGCACCCAAACGGCGTCAAGGCTCGTCGGCGCCAACTCGCCCGGTATCATTGCCGCTGTCGGCCGCTGTCGTATCGGCTTCCAGCCGCTCTCCTGCTTTGAGGCCGGCCGCGTCGGCATCGCTGCTCGCTCTGGCACCCTTAGCTATGAGGCTGTCGCCTCCACCACGCGTGCTGGTCTTGGCCAGAGCCTCTGCATCGGTGTCGGCGGTGATGTTGTGCCCGGCACCGACCTGCGAGAAGCTCTCACCATCCTCGCCACTGATCCCGACACTGATGCTATTGCCCTCATCGGCGAGATCGGTGGCACCAGTGAGCTCGAAGCTGCCGCCTGGATCCGCGAATATCACATCCGCGAGCCGAATCCAAAGTAAGTTCTCTAGGCGTCTCGTTCCCTTCTCTCTGCTGACCTCTGAGACCTATTGTTGCCCTTGTTGCTGGCACCAACTGCGTGCCCGGTCGTATGATGGGCCATGCTGGTGCCTTTTCGCTCCCCGGCGAGCCTGACGCCCATGAAAAGATCCGTGCCCTGCAGATAGCTGGTGCCACCATCGTCGATCACCCAGAGAAGTTTGGCGAAGCTATCAAGGCACGGCTGCAGGAGATTGTCAACAGCAGCAGCAGCAGCAGCGCAAGCAGTCTCTTTGGGCAACGGAGCACCACGCAGCACCGGGGATTGCACACGGCTGCTCGAGGACGGAGATTGGGCGATGACCAGAAGAGGGTGTCACTCGGCCGCACTGCTTCCGTTGGTACCCAGCAGAGACGCTCCATCTATCTGGCACAGGACGCATCATTCGACCTGCTGCGGAAGCACGGCGTCAATGCAGCTGAGTACTCGGGTCACGGCGTGCGTCGCTACCTAGCCATCACCGTCGATCGCTCGGCCAGGTCGCCGTGTGTGCTAGCTGCACCAGACTTCGACTGTGACAGAAGTACCGTTGCACTGAAGCGTTTCCCATTTGCGTACGGTCCGTCTGGCATCGACGGTCTGCTGGTCGAGCGCGTGGCCGCCCACCTGGGGCTGAGTCTGCACGCAGGCAGTGTCGAGGCGCTGCGCGACCTGCTGCGGGCGCTGTACGATGTCTTTGTCGGCCAGGAGGCCTTTCTGGTTGAGACGGCTGTGGTGCAGCGCCTGGCCCAGCTCAAGGTCGTGGGAGCGCGGCTGGGTCTCGACGATGCTGGTGTGGGTGCACGCGAAGCAACAGCCACGACGACGATAGCTGAGCCTGACGAGGCCGCGGCCAAGGAAAACGGCATCGTGTACATCAAGCTCGGACAGTCGGACGCGGCCGAGCCCGCCCACATTGCGACGCTCGTCAACGGCGCCGGTCTTGCCATGAACACGGTCGACGCGCTGGCCGGCCTCGGTGGACGTGCCACCAACTTTCTCGATACTGGCGGCAAGGCCACGAGCGAGACGGTGCGTGTCTGCTTCGACGTGCTGCTGCGCGACCCGCGCGTACGCGTCATCCTCGTCAACGTCTTTGGCGGCCTCACCCTTGGCGACATGATTGCCCGCGGCGTCCTGCTAGCCTTCCGCGAGACCTGTGTGACTGTGCCCGTGGTCGTCCGCATCCGTGGCACCAACGAGGCTGAAGGCCAGTGCATCATCCGCGAGAGCGGCCTGCCGTTGTTTGCCTTTGACAGCTTCCAGGAGGCGGCCGCCAAGGCCGTCGAGCTGGCGGGGACAACAGATGGGAAGAAAAATGATAAGAGGTTGAATGAAGCTGGAGAATGATGCAAATGGCTGAAATGAAATGTCACTGAAATCGAAAATGAAGCTAGATTTGAGTCTGAAATGGGAACCAACAAACTATGCTTTTGTGTGGAAGGTGCGACCCAACCGATGCAAACTGACCAATGCAAAAGAGATGTACAATACAACAGCCATATCCAGATACCACCCCCAAGCGGCTCTGAACGCACCATTTCATACCCGCTCCACCACAAAAGCCCATTTCCCCTTGAGCAGAAAAGACACAAACGGCGTCGTCTGGCGGGAGTCGTCCATCTGGTGGAGCTTCCAGGCGCGGAGCAGCCACACTGGGGGCGGTCAGCAGGGAATCCACAAGTGGAGGAGGGCGACGTACTCGACAGAAAGGCGGCAATGTAACATAGGCCGGTGAACAGCTGCACATGCAGGTATGCGCCGACGCCGGCGGTGCGCAGGCTGAGGCCGATGACCTCAGCAAAGGTGGCAGGAAAGGCGAGCACGACCCAGAAGACGGACAAGGCCGAAGGCAGCAGGGCGATGCCGACAACCTCAGCGGTAACGGGCGCGACGGTGGCCCAGAGGATGCCGGCGAAGCCGCCAAGGAGGCTATAGACGACGAGACCGCCGTAGTAGCGACCGGCAAAATTCCAGACGAACAGGGCGGCGAGACCGGCGACAAGAGTGCCGAGACCGGCGACATTGATGCGGCCAACGCGGTCGCTGGCAAGTCCAATGAGCGGCCGGCCGATTCCCTGCGACAGGTTGAAGAGGGCGCCGACGAGAGAGCCCTGCGAGGCCGTCCCGCCGACCGTTTCGGCATAGTCGGGCAGCGAGAAGACGATGATGGTGTAGCTGAGCAGCGAGAAGAAGCCCCAGCTCATCAGCAGATAGTACTCGGGGCGGCGGAAGAGGGTGCGGTCAAAGGCAGCGTGCACGGCACCGACCGATCTGTTGCGGTCGCGCACCATCATCGTCGACGCGAGGTTGACCACGCACGACACGATGGCGATGGTGCGGAAGGCCCAGGCCAGGCCCATGTGGCGGATCATGGCGTTGGTCGCGAGCGAGTACGTCAGGCCGCCAAAGCCACTGCCAGCCGTCGCCAGCGAGTTGGCAAACGACCGGCGCCGCACGAACCACTGCGGCACGACGCCGACGCTGGCCACAAAGATGAAGCCCATGCCGAGGCCAAAGGCAACACCCTGGGCCAGCAGCAGCTGCCACATCTGCTTGGTGAAGGAGGCGCCGACGAAAGCGACACTAAACGGTCAGAGGGAGACGACAGGAGAGACGGCAGGCCAGACCACACACACTCACGTCTCAAAGAAAACACCAGTCAAAAGAGCAGTGCGTGTGCCGCGACGACGGATGCAGATGTTGGCAAAAGGCGACACGAGAAAGGCTGCCAGTCAGCGACGAGCAGACGACAAACGACAGACGACGGGACATCTCACCAACTGAAATGGACAGACCGCCAATAAAGGCAAACGCAATGGCACTGGCACCGCCAATGGCGTCCGTGCGGAGGTAATAGGCCAGGAAGACAGCATAGGACTGGGGACGAGAGAAAGAGTCAGAGGAGATGCAGCAAGGCCGAGGACAGCAGCCGGCTCACTGACCGAGTTCATGCCCCAAGTGTGGGCATTGAGCAGGAAGACGGCAAGCACGACGACCCTAGCGGCCGAGGTTAGACGGAGAGCAAAGAGAGCCAAATACACCAAACTTACCAGCCATAGCCGCCCTCTTGGAACTCCTCTGCAGGCGCATCCGAGGCGTCGTCTGTTGAGGCTGGTTCATGGTCGGCTGAGAGCCGGCTGTGCAGCACTTGCTTCTCGTCGCCGGCGGTCTTCACCCGAGACGGCGTGCATGCCACGATGGCCTGCTCGACATTAAACGCGATGGACATGAAGAAAAACGAACTGGAGCAACAAGACCAAAGCAGACATGAAACTAAGGCCAAGCAGGTCTCCTACGACCAAGTGCATTTTTTAACGTCCTCCCACTTTTCTGGTTAGTCCTCTTTCGGCTGCCATGGTTGCATCTGCTCGCTCCGGATCACTGAGCGCTGTGCGGGGAGTCGGCGCTCCGACCTTTGGTGGAGACGTCACAGCTGCCGGATATCGGCGAGGCTACGACGAGTGATTAGTCAGCATCAATACTAGCAGCGCCCTTGACTCATCCGGCCTACAGCACACCGCACGGGAGTGCTGCAAGCCCTATATGCACGCTGTATGCACGCAGTATGCACGCCAAGCCCCCTATCTTATCGCGCCATCCAGATGTTGTCTAGTCAACAGAGCCTAAAGTGGAGTAAACAACACCGCAAGACTACGGCAGCAAAGCTCGGGCAGAAAAGGAGCAGGTGAGATACAATTTGCCATGATTTCATTATTATCATTATTGCATGGTAGTATAGGGCAGCCCAACCGCAACCGCGCCGCCCTCTTTGGGACAACAAACAGGGCGACCGCATCTCGACCCTTCGACCGGCCCCATTCTCCATTCCCCATTCCCCATTCTCCATCTCCATCTCCATCGCTTCTGCCACCGCCTCTTTGGACTCCCCTTTGTGTCTCACCCTGGCCGTCGCTCTTCGTCGTTCTGCCCAGCAACGCGATCAGCCTCGGACTGTCCCCAGTAACCATCTGCCACCCCCCTCCCCTGCCCGATGGCTTCTATTTAACCGCCGTTGGCCTGTTCTCTGACCACTGCTCACACAGCCTCAGCAGCATCACCGCAGCACTAGGGCAACTCCGCCGTACCATCGCCTCGATCATCACGCCAGCATCCATCGCAACGTCGACTTTGACTGGCCGCCATGTCCATCCGAGCGAAGCCGCGGGAGCGGTCTTCCCGCAAAATGACGCCACCGTCGGCCAGCTACATGTCCGACGACCAGTTCTGTGAGCAGAGCCCGACGCCTTGGTTGGAAGACGATGGATCGCCTGAGACGGGACCAGCACCCGGACCAACCCCTGCTAACCCGACCACAGCCTCCTATCTATCCAGTCTGCGCAACAGCCGCGTTGTCCGGCCGGGCGGAGCTCGACCGCTTCCGTCCAAGCTGTGTGGCCTCTCGCCGGCTCGCTGATCGTCAAGCCGCCAGCGGCACGCTGCCACGCACGTCCAGCGACCTGTCGGATGTGTCGGTGGTCGGCAGCCTGACCTCCCGCTACTCGACCATCAGTGGCCGGGGCCGCGACTACTACCCCGAGAAGAAGACGTCGTCTCTTCGCACCCTGCCACCACCACTGCGTCCCGACGAGGTCGTGCCGACTGACACGTACATTGAGCGTGGTCAGCGCTGGATGGAGAAGGAGGAGGCCGTGTCTCTGCGACATGCCCTCGAAGATATGGACCTCAAAGGCAACAGCAGCAGCAGTAGTAGCAGCAGCAACAGCAGCAACAGCAACACTGCTACAGGCACAACACGACCACTCTCGACCGTCACGACAAAGGCCCTTGTGCCTGCACCGGCTGCCGACGGCACGACGCCCGAAGACGCCGACGAACACCGGATCTACCATGCCGCGCTGGACGAGGCGGCTGAGCTCGTGTGGCAGCACCAGAACGGCGTCAAGCCGCCCGAACCCGGGACGCCCTACTCGTACAAGCAGCATCTGCGCAAGAACAGCTACGCCTATGCCCGCACAGCCAGCGTCGGTCGGTATGGCGACGACATTGAGCCGACCGGCCTGGCGCGCGACCCGGCTGCTCGCTCAGTCTCGGACAGCTCAGCGTCGTCTGTGGAGGGCAACGGATTCACGTCGTCGCACAGCCGCTATTCGCTCAGCAGCAGCACTCGTCCGAGCCTCGACCAGCCGGCTGCCGTTCCCGAGGCCACAACCACAGCCACAGCCACAGCCACAGCGACGATCCGATCTTCGGCGTACACGAGTCTGACGGGCGGACCAAGACCGATGGCAAAGAGCAGCAGTGCGGCCAAGCGACGGAGCAGCATGAAGCGCAACATCAGCGGCGAGGTCGAGAAGCCGTTCTCGGGCGACCAGATCTACGAGGAGCCCGAGACGGCGACAGAGAAGGACGGAGACGGCAGCGGCGACAAGACGGCCGAGAGCAGTGGCAGCAGCAGCAAAAGCAGCAACAGCATTCTGCGGGCGGCCGTCGAGAACACGGTGCACGGCAGCAGCAACACGTTGGCGGCGGTGTCGAAGCTGGTGTCGCGCTATGAGATCCACCGCAACCCGCCGTCACAGTCGCGCAACCCGCAATACACAACCAACGCGGTGTCTAAGCCGGTGGTCACGGTGCAGCCGCAGGCGAAGCAGCAGCCGCCGAGTGAGCCAGGACGGGCCAAGGCATCACGGCAGAGGCTGCAGGCGAGCGTGGTGTCGGACGACGAGGACTCGACGGACTCGGCAGCGGGCGTGGTGGACGGCGTGCCGCGTCTGAACGGCGTGGAGATCCGCAGCGATGAGATCCGACAGGCCACCAGCATGAAGTTGAAGGACCGCAACCCGAAGCTGCCGACGCCGTCGTTTGTCAGCGACAATCCGGGTCGCCCGATCGTAAGCTTTGACGCCAACTGGAAACAGGAAGCCCCCCCCGTCGTCGCGGGCCAAGAGTCGGCCACTGATGCGCAGCTAGAAGGCAGTGGAAGCGGGAGCAGAGCGCGATTCGGCAGCAGCAGCAACAACAGCAGCAGCACCGCCACACCAGAGCCACGTCCCAAAGGCTCGCCCTCGCCCTTCTCGTCTGCCGTCCGCGGTCGCTTCTCGACAGCCCCGTCGGTCCCTGTTGTCGCGCCTGTGGCGAGCTCTTGGTCAACGCCGCCATCACGGCAGCAGCAGTCACCAACACGCCGCGAAGGCGCTATGAGCGACAGCAGTAAACCAATTCACAGCCGCAACGACAGCAACCCACTACCCACCATCGCTGTCACCCCTTCGGAACCGCCGCGACCATCACACCGAATGTCCATGTCGATTCCCTCGATCTCGGTCTCGGCAGAGCCATCATCTTCTTCACGCCCTCCGATCCCGACGATTGTGCTACCCGGAGACGACGCCGACGAGTCGAAGGTGTCCGACGACAACAGCACAGCACGACAGCAGGGCAGGAGCCGTCCGCTTCCGAGCATTCTGACGCCCGACCAGACCCGAACCTCGGCCACACCGACGACAGCGTCGCGACGACCCTTGCCCACGCCTGGCAGCAGCAGCTGGCCGCGGGGACACTGGTCACGGGCGCCGCCGTCCGGGTCGAGCGCGTCGAACACGTCGCACGCGTCAGCAAGCCGGGCCACGGCGCTGTGCCATGAGTGTGGCTACGCGATCGAGGGCCGGTTTGTGGCGCTGGCCGGACAGCGACAGACTGGCTCGACGGGCTCGACGAGTGCGAGTGCGACGGGCTCGACGGCAGCAGCGGCAGGTCTGGAGCGATTTCACCCGGGCTGCTTCCGCTGTCATGCATGCGGGACGTCGCTAGAGGCGCTAGAGATCTCGCCAGAGCCAGACAAGTCACGTGCAGCACGGCTAGACCGAATCGCACGTCGGGCACATGGCGAGCAGCTGGAGGAGCGGCCGGGCGAGACGATGGCCGAGGACGGCGACGGGCGGCTGCGCTTCTTCTGCCACCTGGACTGGCACGAGCTGTACGCGCCGCGCTGCCACCACTGCACGACGCCGATCGTGGGCGAGCACGTGGTGGCGCTGGGGCATCACTGGCATGTCGGGCACTTTTTCTGCGCCGAGTGCGGCGATCCGTTTGGGCCCGGGGCTACCCACATTGAGAAGGACGGCTACGCCTGGTGCGTGGGCTGCCAGACGCGGCGGACGGAGCGGCGGGCGCCACGCTGTCGGGCCTGTGGCAAGCCGGCCATTGGGGCGTATGTGCAGGCGCTGGGCGCCGAGTGGCACGACGACTGCTTCCGCTGCGCCGTCTGCGAGGGCGGCTTTGTCGACGGGCAGATCTTTCCGCGGCAGGGCAAGGGAGGCCTGATGCAGGTCGTCTGCACCGGATGTCGACAGCGGGAATTGAAAGCAGTGGAGGGGGGGGGAAGAAGTGTGACTGACGGAAAGGAAAAGGATAGAAGGAATTACAGACAAAGGTCGCATCGGCATCGGACAGACAGACGGACAAGCATAGCAGTGGTGTTTCTGGTTGGCAGACTGGCCTGATTTGCGTTTGATTGTTTTCTTGTTTGCCTCATCTCTGGCATTGTTGGCTCTAAATTGAATATTGGCTACTTCATACGAGGAGACACTTGTGACTGTTTCGTACGAACCGGAGTCCAGAGAGACGTGGTCTGAGTCCTAGGTGAAATCAATAGTGCAAATGTACCTCTACATATACGAGAGCGTGGCCAGCTCAACCGTGGCGCCTACGCCGATCTCTCTGGTGTTTTTTTTGGTCTTTTCTTCGGTTTATCCCCATTGTCTGCCGGCACACTTGTTCTCCTTCCAGACAAATCGTCCGTCCTCATCTTCTGCTATCCGCTCAGCAAGCTGCTGCACCACCGACTTGCTCCTGGTGCACCTCAAGCGTGTCCGAGTCCTGCATCTCTAGCTGTATTTGAACAGAAACGGTCAGCACGCGAACAAAGACGGGAAGCAGGCCTCGTTTGCTCGAGTCCGACGTACCGAGTCGGGCGTGTCGCTCGGCTGCACGCGCTGTCCCTCGAACAGGAAGCGCACCGAGTTGAGCGACTTTCCCTGGCGGTCGCAAAAAGCCGACATGAGCTTTTCCAGCTTGGTCGTCCGCTTGATCTTGAAAAACACCTCGTTGTTGTTGTCCGTCACCTTGATGTTGAGGTGCTCGACCGGTGCCGGTGCGCCGGCACTGCCGTTCTCCTCCGCATGATTCGGCGTGTTCTCGCCCGACATGATGGATGCGTCGACAGATGGGACTGGGGACTGTCACGGTCAGCTCGCGTGGCAGTGGGGGATAGATCGCAGGGGGTGGGATGCTTTTCATCTTCCACGCCGGTCGGGTGAGGGGTAGCTGAAGCTGGCCAGACGACAGCGTAGCATTCCAGCATTCTTGGGTCATACGCATCGATGCGACAGATCGGGCAGCGTCACCCGTCACGACGACAGGCGAGATGGATACGGCCGCCCAGAGAACGACGACAGCAGGGAAGAGGCCTGGCTCACCTGGGAAACCGGAACCGGGGGCTCGGGCTGGCTGGCGTGCTCTTGCTCTCTCGGCAGCCTCGTGCTGCGACGGATGCGACGAGACGAAGTTGGGACTGCGTAGCGATCGGCGACGGCGAGGCGGGCGAGAGCTCGACTGCGGGCGGTGAGGACAAGGTCAGCGAAGCGGCTGGATGGTCTGCTCGATGGCTCGTCGACAGGACAGGATCGCGGCGGGTTCGGGGCGGCGAGAAGGAAAGGTGGAAGGAAAGGAGGGAGAATGTCGGATTTCAGTGCAGTCAAAAGGACGGCGATTTTTGAACAGGCTTGAGTGAAGTGAGGGGAAGAGAAGGAACGGGGGCGATACAGCGCGCACGACAGGGGGGGAAGGCGCTGCCAGCCTTTCGGGCACTGCTTGGTGGGGCGTTAGGGGGGACGTCTTCCAGGCGGTCAGGCCGGCTGGCTACGGGCTCCTGGGATGGGTAAAAACCCGTGCAGAAATTCACGACTCGAGGTCCACACGTTGGCTAGGAAAAGTATGTATTACTAAGCATTCACCTGAAGTCCAATCCACATCGAGATCGAGTCGCCGCGCAAACGACATTGTGCCCGTTACATTGCCATTGTCGTCTACATCGCACTTCGTTCTTCCGTCCCGAAGACGGACAGCCGCTCTACCATGGCAAGACCTACGCCGCAGCCTAGTCCTCTTGAAACGACAACTGACGTTCTGGCCAGTCATCCAAGCTCGAGCAAGACCTCGCTACGCAGCCGCCGTGCCATCCGCGTGCCGTGCGTTGCTGCTCTCCGCTTCTCTTGTCTCTCCTGTAACTGACCCGTGACTCCGTTCACAGTGTGCTATACAAGGTGGGCAGCAAGCTCTTACGAGTACTCGTAGGCAGTCCCTACTGACCCACACAGATTGCCTCGCCAAAAATGGCTACAACCAGGATCGCTGTCAGCGCCTAGTCGACGCTCTTTACGACTGCTGCGATGCGTTTTATGCTCGTCAGGGCGACACTGCCTCTACGCCTAGCTGTCCCAGACCTGACCTGCTGCGGCTCAAGCTCAGCCAGCGGAAGACTTGATGGTCGGCCAATCCGGCAACAGCTGCAGCAGCATAGTCAAAGTTGGCATGGCAGGTTTGTACGCTCATCCAAACAAAACGTCCGCCCGAACTGAAAGTCGGGCAACAATCTAGGAGGAGTGAATTTTCTCTTGGCCATCATTGAGCACGCTGGAGATCCTTGTAGGACCTGAACAAGAAATGACGTCTTATTCCGAGACTCTAATATGAAAGCCGTAAAATGACATTGTAGAGAAAAAGAGAAGAAGAATATACAGAAGCCAGCCGGGCGAAAAACTCTTTATTTATCGACAATCGATTTTTTTCGCTTGTGGGGTAGATCACGTGATACGCTACCAGCCACAGCAACCAACGGCGCAGCTCAGCTGTCCCATTTGGGAGAGCGCGCGACGCGATCGCTGCTGCTTTTCTGTGAAGCTCAGACCCTCTTGAAAAAAAAGGCTGGAAAATAAAGGGAGCCGTTTGGAGGTCTGACAACAAGACGCCATCGACAAGAGCGAGCAGGATTCGAAACTCGCACCGCCTTCCCTGCTTCTGCATGCTCGACCAGCACCGTGCAGCCCGCTAGGAGCGGTCCGTGATTTTCTCATCTCCAGACGCCCAAAAGACGCAGACATCCACACGCATCCACACATACACAGCCCGCAGAAAACAACACACTTCGCTACCGAATATGGCCTTCCTCGAGGACACGCGGGAGGCCACGGCCGACGGGAGCGACGAGTTGGGCGCCGAGATGGGCGAAGAGGTCGAGGTGTTTGCAAAGTTCCTCGACGAGTGCATCCTGCCGCGGGGATCGACAGCCGAACAGCGGGCACGCATCTTCAAGCTGGTCGACCACTACTACGGCTATGCGCGCGAGACGGCCGACGTGATGCGCGAGCGAGCCCGCTTAGCTCGTCTAGCCCGTGGCAGTAACGACAGCACCGGCAGCAATAGCAGTCACAACGGCAACGGCAACGGCATCGGCAGCATGGGCCTAGAAGTGCGGGCTTTGCAGCTGCACGATCGGAGAGACGGCGAGAACGGAGAGAATCAGGTTGCGGCATCCAGCGCTCGTCAGTGGGAGGAAGAGGCCCAGACTTGGGACCTTTTGCGAAGACTGCTGCCGTTGCGGTATCGCGACAGAATAGCAGCAGCAGCAGCAGCAGCAACAGCGCCAACACCGACAACAACAGCCGGTCGTCCTCCGCAGACACGACGGGAATACTGGGCCGACTTTGTGCTGTCAGAGCCAAAGGCACGTGAGCGCAAGACCGTGCTCGAGTGGCTGCAGAGCAGTGCCAGCAGCAGCCGACGGCCGATCGAGGAAACGGTCCAGGATCTACAGCACAGCGCCGAGCGTGGCGAGATCGTGGCCCACGGCTGGCTGCACACGCGCGGTGCCATCAAGCAGCACAAGCGACTAGTAGCAGCCTCGGAACCGCTCGATCCAGCCAGCCCCGATCTTGCCCAGTCCAACCTCGAGGTTCCGGTGCGGCTCGTCACCCAGCTCGATCCAGACGTCGTCACGCGCCAGACCAACCGCCGCCTGGCACCGCAAGATGCATTTTTCGAGCAGGCTATCTGGCTCGGCTGCTATGAGCTGTTGCGACGCGGCCGTAGCATGGCCGAGATCCGTGATTGGTGTGTCGAGCGCACAGAGCTGTGGAGGGCCGCCTCCGTCTCGGCTCTGCCGCTGTCAAGCAGCAGCGACGACGACAGCGACGACAGCGATGCGTCCGGCTTCGACTGCCTCTCCATGGTGCTGTGGCGCCGCATGTGCTACCGTCTGGCCCAGGAGGCGGCTTCCAGCAGCCAGCCTGAGCGGCGCTATGAGCGCGCCGTCTATGGCATCCTGTCGGGCGATTTGGCCAGCGTTGAGGCCATCAGTGTCTCGTGGGATGACTTGACGTTTGCCCGCTACAACGCTGAGCTGCGCGCCCAGTTCGACGGCTATCTGGCCCGCCAGGCCGACAGCTCTGCTTTACACGCTTTGCAGCTGCTCCACAGCGACGTGCCGGTCGATGTCACCGTGTCTGCGTCGTCCTCTGCTGCAGCTTCGGCAGCCCGAGACCGCGAGGACCGCGTGCGCCGGGCAGCCAACACGCCAGCCAAGGCGCTGCAGGCGGCCATCCTGGACGAGAAGCTGGACGCCTATCTGTTCCAGCAGGGGGCTTTGTTGGCTGAGCACGCAAACGCGATCCAAGAGTCGAAGCTGCTTCCACGCTATGACACGTCGGCAGCCGTCGTGGCAAAGGCCGGCCAGCAGCAGCTACAGACATCCGAAGGCCGTCGGTTTGTCGACCCGTCAGATGCCCACTGTCTGCGGATCCTGGCGCATGTGCTGATCGTCGTGAACGCGCTGGACCGACTGGATGGGCGCGGCAAGGATGCGGCAGCGCTGGGCCCGCTGGCACGGCGCCACCAGACCGAGGAGCATGTCATCGCTAGCTTTATCAGCCTGCTGCGGCTGGGACGGCTGGAGGAGCTGATCCCGCTGTATGCGTCCAAGCTGCTGGGCGACCGCTGTTATACCAGCATGGCGTTTAATCTGATCCACCTGGAGGAGCGAGATGTGCAGCTTAGGTTGCTGCATCTCATGCGTCGTCTCGGCCTCGACGTGATCAAGTTTGTGCAGGTGCAGCCGCAGTTGTTCTTGGCCGACGTCGTTGAGGGCGCAGCGGGCGAGTGTCCAGCGCGGGAGACGTTTCGACTGCTGCAGGACAGCCCGCCCACGCTCAAGTTTGGGCGCTTGCTCCGGCCTGGCTTCTTTGGGGGCACCTCGGGTCTGCCGGGCGATGATCAGGATGACCTGGTGATTGTTGACCGCAAAGATGAGCTGCTGATACGATCGCTGGAGTGGATGATGCTGGTGGACGGACTGGTGCTGGAGACGTGCGGCTATGGCGTGCGCATATACAAGTATTTCCTCAGTGAGTGCTTGCGTTTATTGTCCTTGAATCTCCTCTTCCTTTTTACCCTTTCCGCGCTGACCTCATAGAAAACGAACATCTCTCAGCTGCACGAGTCCTGTCGTCACGGGTGCCGTGTTGCGAAATCATTCGGCAAAAGACGCGATTTGGACAGGACATGTCGGATGAGAACGACCCATGCTGGTGGGAGGAGCTGTTTGGGACGCAGTCGACGGGCAAGGCTGGCAGCAACGGATCGGCAGTGGGCGACGTGATAGACGATGAGATGGCCTTTAGCAACGGGGTCGATGGGGTAGACGCGATTGGCGGCGAGCCGTCGAAGAACGAGGTGGCGGCCCACGCGCGGCCGCTCTTTGAGCTGGAGTGCCTAGTGAACGCGCTGGACTGTCTGGAGACGACGTCGATGCTGTCGGCCATGATGGCCAACACACACACAGATCCGGCTCGTGACCGCAATGTCGCCAAGAACATTGACGAGAACACCAAGTTCCTTAACGGTTTCATGCGGCCGCTGCTCAGCGGCTGGCTGCTGCATTCTGTAGATGGTGAGCATTCTGTGTCCTCTGTTTCCACCTCACTCTACCACTTGCTCACACTCACAGATGATCGCGATTCCCGGGCGCTGCGCGAGACATATCTCCCGCAGGTGGTCATTGGCTTTGCCAGCACACTGCAGTTTGCGGGCACGACATCGTCGCGTGACTACCTGCTCGAGTGCATGGAGCTTGCGGCGGCCGTGGCGGCCCCTGGCAGCGACTTGGCGACGGTGCTGGTTCAGACCGGCCGGATGCGCGAGCTGGTAGAGTCGTTTGCTTCTTGCAGCAAAGCGTTGGCCATCTGGACGAGCGACCTGAAGAAGGGACCGGGCGCGGTCAGCAAGAAGACGCGGGAGATGGGCTGGTCGCGCGAGCTATGGTCGGTGAAGCAGTAGGGGGAGAAGGCGGGGGAAGAGCCGACAAGAAGACAGATCTGAAGAGGGAGAGAAGAGTGATGAGAATTGAGAAAATGGCACCGCGGTAGAAATGGACTCATCAGACGGTCAGGAAGGAGCGAACCTCACAGATCTTAGTCATCAAGACAGCACAAGAGCATCGCAATAGTAGCAGACAAAGGCGCACAGAGGATCATATAATAAGGAGTTTTTTTTTTTTTTTTTGGCTTGCACATCTACAGCTGGGCCAGCAGGCCGGACACAAAGGTCTTGAGTTCGCTGAGCGGCACGTCCTGGCGGAGGCCGAGCTGGCGGCACTGGACCTCACAGAGGCCATCGAGGGAAATGTTGGGAGCAGATGAGTCGGTAGCGGTGGCAGTGCTGCGTCGCCAGGCAGCGCCGACAATGACGACGACCGGATAGCCGGTCAGGTCGGCGTCCTTGAGCTTGTAGGGTAGCGAGGCAGCGGGGCGGTCATCGAGGAGGGCGTCGAGGCGAGTCTCGGTATTTGCAGTCAGCTCATCGTATACGCGCTCGGCGACCTGAGCGAGAGGACTGCCACCAGCGGCGACGACGGCAACCTCAAACGGCGCAATGGCGCGCGGCCAGCGCAGGCCGGTCGGGTCAGCCAGATGGTCGGCCACGGCACCAAGGATACGCGAGATGCCGATGCCGTAGCAGCCCATAAGGGGGGTAATGGTGGACGTGGCGGGAGTGTTCTGGTCGCCCTGGACGCGCACGTTGAGCGGCTCCGAGTACCGGGTGCCGAGATAAAAGGTGTGGCCGAGCTCGATGGCGCGCTCGACCTGCAGCGAGCCGGCAGCACCACAGTCCGGACAGTCGTCGCCGGAGCGAGCAGGCCGACTGTCGGGGCCGATGTGTGTGATCTCCGTGTTGCCGGCAAAGCCACAGGCACGACAGCTGGCTACGTCGTCCTCGCCCAGCGATGCGGCCAGGTGGTACTCGTGGCTGAGGTCGCCGCCCATGTCGCCAGAGCTCGCACGAGCCACACGCACCGGCACGCGGAGCTCGGCAAAGATGGCCGCATAGGCGGCGCGCACCTGCTCGTACGTCGCCAGGGCAGCCTCCACCGTCGTGTCGAACGTGTACAGGTCCTTCATGATAAACTCGCGCGACCGCAGGATACCGTAGCGCGGCCGCATCTCGTCGCGGTACTTGCGGGCTGTATGATTAGTCAGCACACGGAGAGATTCTCATTCCACGAAGCACGCACTGATCTGGTAGAGCCGCAGCGGCAGGTCGCGGTATGAGTGCACGCTCTGCGCCACCAGCTCCGTGATCTCCTCCTCGTGCGTGGGCGCCAGCAGGAACTTGGCCTGCTTGCGGTCCTCGAACTGGAACAGCTGCGAAGAGGTCAGCCAACCGGATCCTCTTCGCACAAGGCTCGCCACCAGCTCACCTCTGGCTTCACGCTCCCGAGCCGGCCGCTGCGCTCCCATAGGCCGGCCGATGTGATGCTCGACAGCGCCACGCGCGACGCCCCGATGGACCGCATGTGCTTGTCCACCAGCGCCTCAATCTTGTCCTGCACCCGGAGGCCTAGCGGCAGCATGTGGAACACGCCCGAGTGCGCCTGGCGGAAGAATCCCGCGCGTACCAGCTTGGCGTGTGACTCTGCGACAGTGAACCGTCAGTAGCAGACATATCTTCCTGAACCTCAGCTTGGCTTACCCTCGTTTTGCTTTGCGTCTTTGAGGGCCACCTGTGGAGGCGGCACCCAGAACTGCGTCAGCCTGTTCCGGTGGTCCACGTGAAGCTGTCTGCCCTGGGTGAAGAGTATCAGCCAAGAGCCGACGGCATACTTTCAGAGAAAGGGTCTCAATGTCAGCATACCGAAATGCCAGCCCGTTGTCCAATCCGGCCGTTGGACGACGCCAAAGCTACTCTAGGCAATGCCGGCCTGAGAACCAGCCGGGGGCGCCATCCAGGAGCCATATTCACTGTTATTTCATGCAAGGGACACTGTCGCATCTGCAGATTGTCACCGAATAAGCAGAGCAGCAATGGACATGGCGGGTAGTGGTGGTTTTAACTGTCATGGTCCGGTTGATATTGAAGCATTACAATTTGTACGATAAGAGATAAGGTACGGAGTACAAAGTATTTTTTGCTTATGTGAGGTGGATCAAGTACGATCCCCTGTATGAATACTTTGTACAGAGTATTAGTGGCAGCCCAACTCTTTTGTTGATAGACAGTCCGTTATAAGACGTCGCCTTTCTTTGTCAATGATACCATATAACAGAAGCACTTGCGAGCCATAGGAAACTTTAGACCCTATTCGCAAATTGGTTCGGCACTTTGCAACGCCTCGGGTGAGCAAGAAAATGCTGTGTTATTTCCTCGTACACCTGCATTCTGTACAGGCAATCTATTGGTGCTCAGACAGCGTAGTACAAATAGGCAGGCGGTGTAGAGCTACGATCCAGACGGGGCGACGTCTGATTTGGTCCCGCTAGTTTTGTACCCCACTATAATTTTCATAAGCCGGGAGGAAAAAAAAGTCTGGCAGGAAAAAAGGGCAGCAAAAAGGGCATTGCCAGAACAGCCTTTCCGTGCCATCCTGTTCGGAGACTGCCAGGTTGTATCCGCTTGACGACGCCTGCATAGGAAAAGTGTCTGACAGACTGGTTTGTCGACCAGCTCGCCATCTCACATCCATTCGCATCACACACAGGCAGCATGGCGCCGACTCGATCCAAACCGAAACCGCACATGCAGAGCGCTGCGGCGCCGGCCTTCAACAAGGCTGCGCTGTCGCAGCTGACGGCGAAGCTCGAAAAGGACCTGGAGAAGGCCAGCGTGCAGAACCTGCAGGGAGGGAAGCGGAAGCGCAGCACCGACGCCGTCGACGACGAGGCAGAGGCCGACAAGCACAAGGCCAGCAGAGCACCCAAGCGGCAGGCGGCCGCAGACGAGCCGAAAGCGAGCACTGCCTCGGCCGCAACCAAAGAGACGGCCGACACCAATGCCAGCAAGAAGTCTGTCATGCTCGAGGAGATCAAGGCACTAGGAGGCGACGAGGGCGATCTTGAGCTCGTTGACGGCATCGACTCCGACGCCGAAGATGGGGCCGGCGGCGGAAAGGCAGCCGATGCTGTCCTGTCTCTGGACGACTCGTTCAAGAATGAGCTGGCCAGCTTTGCAGCCAGCCTCGGCTTCGACCAGGCGCGCGAGGACGACCTGGACGACGCGGCAGCAGAGGAGGAGCTTGTCACTGCCGACGCCGACAACGACAACGAACAAGAGGGAGAAGAGGAAGAAGAAGAAGATGAGGAGGAAGAACAGCCCGAACCAGCAGTAGAAAAGAAGGAGGAGATCATCACCCGGCAAGAGGTCCCGAAACCTGCGCCAGCAGCTTTGGAGTCGCTCATTCCGAGGAACCCCAAGTTCTCCAAATTGGTTAGTCAGCAGTCTGCATCAACAATGGGAAATCAACTACTGACACGCAGCTCCATCTAGACGTTCGAGCCCCGTCCCGACTGGCACCAGGTCAGCCTGCCAGTGTTGCCGGCGCCGGTGTCGGACGACATCAGCCGGCTCTCGACCACGATTGCCAACCTCAAGACGTACGGACAGACGCTGATGGAAGCCGATGGGGCGCTGTACCAGAAGATCGTGGCGTCGTCGTCGTCGCATCGCTTCATGTCGACCATCATGTCATCGGGTACCATGTCCGACAAGGTCTCGGCCCTGACGCTCGAGGTGCAGGAAGCGCCCGTGCACAACATCAAAGCCTTTGAGAGCCTGCTGGGCCTGGCGGCCAAGCGGAGCCGCGGCCAGGCGATTGCGGCCCTGGGCGCCTTGGTCGATCTGCTGGGCAACGGCGTTGTGCTGCCGCCAGACCGCCGCCTGCGCGCCTTCCACGCGCAGCCGGGCCTCGTCGGCGTCCTGCAGGCCGCTGAGAAGGTGGCCAAGGTTGAGCGCAGCCGCCAGTACCAGCGCAACCAACAGGACCTGCAGAACCAGCGGAACCAGCGCTTCCAGCGGAACCCCAAGAACCAAAAGAACGCCAAGCCGCTGCCCGAAACTGCTGACGCCAGCGCCGACCGCTGGGCTCCCGGCCAACGCCTACCCGACGGCATCACCAAGGCCCATCTCGTCCAGTGGGCCTACGAGGACTGGCTCAAGGATGCCTTCTTCCGCCTGCTGCAGGTGCTCGAGGTGTGGTGCGGCGACGAGATCGAGTACTCGCGCACCCGTGCCCTCGACTTTGTCTTTGGTCTGCTGCGCGACAAGCCCGAGCAGGAGGCCAACCTGCTGCGTCTGCTGGTCAACAAGCTGGGTGACCGCGAGCGCAAGATCGCCTCGCGCGCCTCGTATCTGCTGCTGCAGTTGCTGAACATTCCACCCCGCCATGAAGCCTGTCGTCGTCGCTGCCATCGAACAAGAAGTCCTCTCGCGTCCCGGCCAGAGCCTGCGCGCCAAATACTACGCCATCAACACGCTCAACCAGACCATCCTCAGCACAAAGGAACCCACCGTCGCCGACAGCCTCGTCCGCGTCTACTTTGAGCTCTTCCTCTCCCTGCTCAAGAGCGGCGCTCTCGGTGCCATCGACATGCCCGATGCCGCGGACGATATCGCCGCCAGCGGCTCCGCCCCCAAAAAGAACGACAAGAGAGGCGGCAAGCGGGACGACCGCCGGCGAGACAAACCCAAGCCCGCCGACGACGACAAGGACAAGGATGCCAAGAAGGACAAGGAGAAGAACACTGGCAATGAGCGCGACGTCGCCGAGAAGCTCGTCTCTTCCCTGCTCACCGGCGTCAACCGGTCCATCCCCTTTGCCAGCGCGGATGATACAACGTAAGTCTTGCCTGTCTGCTTAGTCACGTTCCAATTTCGTGCACTACATGTGGTATCGACCGATTAGTCATCATTCACTAACACCCCCAGTCTTGAGAAGCACATCGACACGCTCTTCCGCGTGACGCACTCGTCCAACTTCAACACGAGCATCCAGGCGCTCGTGCTGGTGCAGCAGGTGGCCGTGGCCAAGCAGATTGCCGTCGACCGGTTCTACCGCACGCTGTACGAGTCGCTGCTGGATCCGCGCCTGGTCACGTCGTCCAAGCAGGCCATGTACCTCAACCTGCTCTTCCGCGCGCTCAAGAATGACGTGGACGTGCGGCGGGTCAAGGCGTTTGTCAAGCGCATGCTGCAGATCTCCACGCTGCACCAGCCGCCGTTTGTGTGCGGCATCTTGTTTTTGATTGTCGAGCTGGAGACGTCGTTCCCGGACCTGAAGTCGCTGCTGAACAGCCCGGAGGAAAACGAGGAGGATGAGGAGGAAGTGTACCACGACGTCGTGATGACCGAGGATGGCCGTGCGGCCGCAGCCGAGCAGCCCAGCTTCGAGCCGGCGGCCAAGATCGCGCGCGCCACGTACGACGGCCGCAAGCGCGACCCCGAGTACAGCAACGCACAGAAGAGCTGTCTGTGGGAGCTGGTGCCGTACTTTCACCACTTCCACCCGTCCGTCATGGCCTTTGCCACCAACCTACTCGTGCGCCAGACGTCGCTGCCGAAGCCCGACATGGCCAACCATACGCTCATGCACTTCCTCGACAAGTTTGTTTACCGCAACGCCAAGGCCACCGACGGCAAGCAGCACGGTGCCTCCATCATGCAGCCGCTCGTTTCGGCCGGCGACGGCGCCACCACGTCGGCCAACGGCGCCTCACAGATCGTGGCCCCGGCAAAGGCCGCGTCCCAGCAGCAGGCGCAGAAGCAGAAGCCGTCGACCTCGGTCAACTCGGCCGCCTTCTGGAACAAGAAGGTCGAGGACGTCGCCGCCGAGGACATCTTCTTCCACGCGTACTTTTCCCAGGTCGGCAAGCCGGCACAGACCAGCCGGGCAGCCAAGCGCGACGCCCAGCGGAAGGAGAAGGAGGCGGCCGAGGCAGCTGCAGCCGCTGGCTCGGACGCCGGCTCCGATGCCGACGAGGAGGAGATCTGGAAGGCGCTCAAGGGATCGCGGCCCGAGGTCGATGCGGATACGGTTGTCGACATGGACGACCTGTCCGACGACGACGACGACGACATGTCTGGCCTGGAGGAGCTGCTCAACATGTCGGACAGTGACGATGATCTGGACGGCGACGACAGCGTCGACTTTGGTGACGACGACGAGCTGGTGCAGGTCGGCGGCGATGATGATGACGACGAGGGCGGCGTCCGGTTTGCCGACTTTGACGACGAGGAGGCCGGATCGGAGAACGGCGAGGACGGCGGCGACCGGAACGGCCGCAAGGAGGCGCGCGAGCGCAAGAAGAAGCTCAAGGCGCTACCGACGTTTGCGTCGGCCGACGACTATGCCGACATGCTGGCGCAAGAGGAGGACGAGGAGTATTTGTAGAGGAGCACGGGAACACGGGAGTACGAATAAAAGAGAGCAGACTTATTTCACCTTGGGAACTGCTGAAATGTGACGTTGGACGTTTCTGTCATACTTTCGCTTCGCTTTTTCACTTCTTTCCCTTCCTTCCCTATGTTTCACACGCTTCAGAACCACTCGAGTGCTTCGGTCGCCGGGAGGAGGGTCTGGTACGTGTGCAGGTGGCCGTCGCCTTCGTCGGTGGGCGTGTCAATCTCGCGCGTGTAGAAGCTGTGGAAGCAGGCCTTCGAATTTGGTCCCTCGTCAAAGGCGCGGAAGTGCACGTAGGCCGGCGCGGCTTCGTCGCCGCCGGCCGCCGCCACGAGCGCTGGGATGCGCAGCTTGCCAAACAGGATGATGCCGTAGGCCGTAGAGGCGACGCGGACGAGCACCAAATCGTGAGACGTGAACGAGGCCAGCTCGTGATCCGACAGGCCGGATGCGGCAGCAAAGCTCTCTGGCTGATGTTCTGGTCACTATCAGCAGATGTTGGCGCCTATACTTGTACGCGTACCCCTCTCCCACGTACTGTCGTGGTCGTGGCGCAGATGCACGAGCTGCTTCCGGAGCTCGTGCTCAATCTCGCCAAACGCCTTGATGGACTCGTGCTTGGGCAAATGGGCCTCGCCCAGATCGGCCGTCTCTCGGGTAGCCTGCAGCATCGGTCAGCAGTCGTGTATCCGGTCATGATGTTTCATCTCGCCGTGCATACCATTGTCTGTGCTTTGTTGAGGAATTGGAATGCGATCAGGGCAGGGGTCAGGTTTTAATTTGTGTTTCCGTCAAGAGATTTCTCCAGCAATGATAATCCGGGGATTCCAGGGTGTGGAAGGAGGGAATTGCTCGTCTCGCTCTCGTCGCCACGTATATACTCGCCGCATACCCACCACGGTCGCACCTCCCCGCAAAGGTATGGAGTATCTATCATATGATGCACACTAACGGCCAGCAGCGTCATCTGTGGCTGTCTCTAGCCACACTTCCAGGGGTGGGCTGCCGTCTGGAACCCCGGCTTGTCGGTGTGCCTCGGCAGAACTGATGGCTGCCATCTACAGCGATACAGCTTGTTAGCTTCCTCTCTCTCATTCACATTCGCTTTCAGCTCGTGCCAGACGCTGTGTATATTCTTGTCAGACGTCCAATCGCAGCACCTGTGCCGGGTCGCATGTCCGCCGGGAACTGAACGGCCCCTCCACAAAGAGCTGCTGCTGTCTCTCTTCCACGACACTGGCTCCTTTTGCCTCCTCTTCCTCTCACAAGCAGCCATGTTCTTACAGCGGACTGCCGCGACGCCCCTGAGGCCGATGTTGAATACGCACTTCCGGATAGGCCTCCTCCAGTCATTACGGCAGCCAGAAAGACGCCACATCCACCACCTCCGGCCCGTCCGGCACGCAGTTGTCGCCGGTCAAACGTCTTTCTCTAGTCGCGTCTTCTCCCCCAGCAGACGAGGTGAGTTTGTCGCTGTCGCTTCTCTGGTCAGTTGTCGTGGACTTACTGCTGACCGTGTTTCGTACCAGCCTTGTCATCCTCCCTCGCTTCCCCCTCTTACGACCCGCAACAGCAGCAACGACAGCACCAACAAGCACCACCACCACCACCACCTCCACCATCGCGCTCCCGCTTCCGCCGTTTCGTCTCGCTCGTCATCCGCGGCTTCTTCTTTACCACCGTTGGCTATGTGCTCGTCGTCGGTCACTCCACTCGGCCGCTGTGGAAAGACCTGGACGTGGCCTCGCTGTTCCGGACCACCAACGATACCGACCCGCTCTCGACGAAGAGGCCGCTCTCTCGTGCCCATGCGGCCGAGCTGGCCTACCGGCCGGACAGCCCGGAGGCTGCCGCCCTCGAGGCATACCTGGCGGACCACCCGATGGTGCGCGAGCTGCGCAGCGCCGCCGGACGGACACGCTTCCCCGAAGAGCACCGGCCGACGCTGCGCATGCCCGCCTTTTCATGGGACGACACAACCTGACAGCGTCGACGCTGGCCGGGCCGGGCTTGCTGGCGATACCGCCGCTGCAGTGGACCGACGGCCATGGCCGCGAGCTGATCCAGGTCTGGCACCTTGGCCGCGGCCTCTGTGGTCATCCCGGCATCGTCCATGGCGGCTTCGTCGCCACCATGCTCGACGAAGGCCTCGCCCGCTGCTGCTTCAACGCCCTGCCGATGGGTGTCGGCATGACCGCCTATCTCCATGTCGACTACCGTGCCCCCACGCCGGCCGACGCCTTTGTCGTCCTGCACGCCAAGACTGTCCGTGTCGAGGGCCGCAAGGCTTGGGTTCAGGCCCGCCTCGAAACCCTGCCGCCACCATCCGAGGACGGCAAGCCCGCGGCTACGCCCGTCGTCTTGGCCGAGGCTGAGGCCCTCTTTGTCGGCTTCCGCGACAATGGCGTACGTCTGGCCCGTCTCTTGTTCCCCCACATGTGTTCCTCCTGCCTTGCTGACATGCATCTGTATCTAGCTCGGCAAGTTCATGCGCTCCCTCAACACATAGCTTGGCTCGGCATTGGTGCGTCCTCTAATCTGAAGACTCTGACACACTGCTAGCGAAATTCTTTCGACAAATGGCGAAGTCCGGTGGCTTTGGGCCAGCAGACACGATAAACGGGTAGGTATTGTGTATTGTGTATTGTGCCCAGTGCTCGCTGGCTTTCTGGCCTCCTATCTTTGGTATCATGGAAGCAGCTTGTTAATAGTACAGAAAAAAAATAAAGAAACCCCCAGACCCGTCCATGTCCACATGATATCTCTTTGTGTCCTTCCCCATCCCCGGGGCAATTCCTATTTGTTGGCCCTATCTCATTTCTTGTCATTATATTGGTACAGAGGTGATGAAAAATATGCCCATTCAGTTTGTTCAGTCGATCCCAGACCATCACAGGTCACCTCAGCCACAGGCCCGCAGCTATCACCATGGGCACTGCCGCGACAGCCATCGTCTGCCAAGGTGTGCGACCGCCCAGGGCTGCATTTGCATTGTCAAATGGGTCGTTATTTGGGGTCTTGTGGGCGGTCGTGCTAGTGCTTGTCCTTGTCGTCTTTGCTGTTCCTGTGGTCGACTGTGCCGTAGTCAGCGGCGTGGATATTGTATCGGTGGATGACGTGGGTTCTGTTGACGAGGATGCGTCCGGCTCTGAGATTATTGCTGAGGTCGCGGAGGTCCCGTAGGTTTCGGCAGTTGAGCTGCGGGCAGATCTGAACGAGCTGGTGGGCAATCTGGCTGACGAGCTGATGGCAGAGCTGGTTTCACTGCTGCGACTGGTGGTGGCCTTGCTGGTAGTAGTGCTGCTGGTGCTGGTGGAGGTACTACTACTATGACTGCTAGCAGTTGTGTCCGCCGTTCGTGCGGCCGTTTTATGTTGTTCTGTCTTCGTTACTGTTGTCGTGACTGTGGACGAGAACAGCTCGGAGATGATGCTGCTCGCTGCCGCCAGTGCGGAGCTGATCTGGGACTCGGAAATATCGAAGCCGTCGAGGTCGCACACGTCATCGACGATACTAATGAAGGACACGTCGACGGCATCGATGGCTGCGGTTACGCTCTCGCCGCTCGCCAGCAGACAGTTCTTGGCTAGACAGACGACCGAGTCGCTGAGAAAGTCGTCATTTTCGTCCGCTTCGGTGCAGACGCAGCTGGTGTTGGATCCGCTGCAGCCATTGGAGGCGAGGCAGCTGTTGATGCAAGACCCGAAAGAGAACGTAGAATACGACGAGCTGGCGGATACAGTCGTCCACAAGCTGGCGGCGGCAAAGAACGCGAAGAACAGCCTCCGTCGGGAACATGGGTGGCACTCGGTGGCAATCATTGTGAGTGCGAAATGGAAGAGGCGAGAATTGATCTGCTGTCCTCAAGACGAGAATCAGGAAATCGTAACAATGGCGTATAGTAGATGGTGATGAGAGTTATAGCTAGTAAAAGAAAGAAGCGGGATAAAAGAAGTAGACAGTAGGTGTGGTTAAGTATATATCAGAGACAAGCTGACAATGCCCTTTCTGACTGGTATCTGAAGTAGTAGATGAAAGAACAGTAGGCTGAGAGGATGTCCATATGGCAGACCAAAGGCGAAAGAAGGAAAACGGCCAAAAGAAAGTGGAGGAAGGGAATCTTGTCTGTTAGATATGTAAGACACGAATGCTCGTGGAAGGTGGGCAACCAGAGAAGGAGCAACTGCAACCGGGCATACTAGCAACACGAAACTTTTCGGCGCTGTCTCGTTCCTCTGCTTCCCGAATGGGAAGACCAACCGTTCTTTTGCTCAAACAACAACCCCTTGCGAGCAAGCATTGGGTGAAACGGAATTCTGCTCGTACCAGGGGCATCTTACCACCAGCCCAGATGCACCAAGCCATCAGCCAATTGAAGCTTGTGTATCGTTCCTGCACACCAGAAAAAGAAACCCAGGGCAGTCGAACCGGCCCCATAAACGTTAAAGAGCCGCAGGAGGAAAAAGCAAAAGAAAGAAAGGAAGAAAGGTGCGGTTGTAAATTGCCGATCCCGCTGTCTCAGCTTTACAAGGTGATATATCGGGCCCAAGGAGAGGTGCCTCTTTTTCTCCCGTTCGATTTACTCGCTCTATTCGTCTCAACAAGCTTGATCGCGCAGATTACCGCAAGGTTATCCTGGCCGTTTGACCAAAACAGGCTTCTTCATTTAGCTTTCTGGATCACCAGCAGCTCGAAATAGGATGTATTAAGTACAGGGACCGGGGTGTCCAAGAGTCCCTCGTCAATACCCTGCTCTTAGCCGCCAACTATCACGACGTATGGAGTACTCCGTACACACAGAGCTGCAGACCCACCCGAAATTACGCTACAATCACGTCGTACTCCGTAAGATACTCCGTATTACTTGCGCCCATGAAAGCAGAATACTAGGCGTGCTTGGCCACATGCACCATCCGCCTCTCCCGTGCTCGTCCCAGTTCGCCAGACCTTGTCTGCACGTTATACGGAGACGGAGTGACCGAAACGCGCCTACCACTGCGCAGGTCACAGTTAATGGCCCGACCGCAACCTCCAGCACCGTGACTTGGGTTTCAAGTCGAGGATCGTGGCCCCGTATTGTTTCAGGTATGCTGAGCTAACCAGCTGTACGGGTTGAATACGAGCAGATGAAGCGGCTCGCTACCACTATTGTGAGAGTCGCCTTGAGACTCTCGTTTGCCAACCTTCGGTGACCGAAGCTGCCCTACGCTATAGGGGGTCTTAAGAGCACCGCCCCACCCGTTTGTAGCGCTTCTGCACTCCTTTTGCTAGCACGGGCTCAGCCTCACACACTGCCCGCTGCTCTGCCCAGCAAGCCGTGCCGCTCTCTGCGACGTATCGTACTCCGTACCCTCCATGTATATATGTAAGCCGCCCTATTATACTCTGTTCGTGTAAGATTTATCCACCTTTTGCAAGCGCCAACAGGATGCTCCTTGGCATAAACTGAAGGCGGCTTCAGCCGTAAGCTAATCAAAAAATTGTCCACCGGTGCGAAACCGTAGGAAAAACAGTGGATGGCCCCCGCAACGTCCTTTCCCTTCAAGAACCCAAATCTCAGCCTTGCCCTTTCCCTCTGTGTGCCGTTTCATAATAAAGGCCGCCTCTCTCTCCTTCCCAGCTTTTCTTTTTCTGTTTTTCTACTTGTCGTGATTTTGCTGCTGATTCCTTCCAGCTTCTCTTTCTTTGTCGTCCATTCTACAAGACACTACCCCTGTACCTTATCGACGACGCTATTCAGTGCCGGTCCTAGGCGCCCAACAAAGCCCCCGCCATCCAAGGCCGACATGGCTTCATCTCAAGCATCTGGTGTCGATGCCTCTGGCTACACCGTCGAACTCACTGCTGGCAGTTCTACGATGCACGGTTCTGCTACAACTATTGCAGCGAATCCTACCAGCGCCGCCAACACTCCACACGCTTCTGAGAGCTCCTCGGCGTCGGCACCAACACCATCGCCTAAACCACAGGATTCCCCCGAAATACTCGATTTGTTGAAAAAGTTCCAGGACTTCGACGACAAAGCTGTATACGATCAAGTCAAATTGGAGTGTCAGAAAAAGGAGGCAATGAACTTCGTCGTACAATTTGGTGTCGATGAGGCCAAGGTGGCTTGCAATCTTGACCACCGAGACTTTGATACTCTGATGAAGCAGCGCAACGTGTTTGGCGAAGGCAAACTGCCTGTTCGGTGGATGTATGTCCCTCCTTGACTGCCCCATCTTCGCTTACTATACGCTAACTGTCTGTCTAGCAACATCTGGAATCCAAGCCGCCAGCGAAGTACCATCAAGGCCATAGGCAAACACTACAACTTCTCCAAGCGGCTGATATTGAGCATCTGGGCCTGGGACGCAGTAAAGGAGGAACTGATTAAAAAAAAGCGCGAGGCTGCTGAAGCAGCATTATTAGCCAGAGACCCTGGCCGGGTTTTTCGCTCGAAAGGAAATGCTCACCTCAACGATCTGGAAAATGGCGTGAATGGACGGCTTGATGCCGCTGCCTCCTCTGTCTCCGTCTCCAGTGCCGGATCTAAGAATGAGGACAATTCGGATCTGGCAGGCATCTTTGATCCAAAAAGCATGGCCACGTTCGCAATGATGCAGAAAACCATTGACTACACCTCAATCGACCTGGGCCCTCGATGTAAGTGAAGACGTCTCACGAACACCTCCCGCAACTACTGACCGTGGCATCAGTCATATGCTTCGGAGCCAACTGGCTACACGAGCCACCACGCAAGTCAACGACACTCGTGCCACCCAAGCACTGGTCTTGGTTTGCTCTGTGTGATGACTGTAGGTGCATCTTTGAGGATACGCTCTTATGACGTTCTGACGGCTAACGAAATTAGATACCGTCCTCTCATTTCACGAATCGTACTACGAGAGCTTTTCCCAGGAGGAAGGCGAGAACAACCCTGACTGGGCCACGGAAGAGCTCAAAAGCACGAGGGACAATACGCTCAAGGTGTTCCGTCAGCTCTCCAAGCAAGGCCAGGAAGAGGACAAACACAAAATCATGCAACTGACATCGGTGCGTGAGTCGATGAGCATGGCCCGTGACAAGGAGGGCAAAGAAGGCGCTTGCAATATCTTCTACTATCTTTTCGAGGATTATTCTGGTGCGATGTTTATCCTGGGTAGTACCAAGGCCGCACTGGACGTTATTGTGAGTTCCCCTGTTCTGCGACGCTGCTTATATACTATACCATACGATTGCTAACAAATTAACTAATTAACAGAGTAAACGAGTTCTGCGAACTGCTGTAAGTGGGAGTTGCTAGCTGCCAGCTGGGAGTCTTTGACTTGTTTTCTAACATCCGGCCTAGGAGTGGAGAAACAAAGATAACACAACCGACATCATTCCCAAGCTGTATAAGCTGAACAAGGAGCTTCGCGAGCTGCGCCATCTGTTCACCAACTACAATACGCTGATCAGCAAAATAATCAACAAAGATCTTGACGAAGCCGCGGAAGCAGCGGCTCCAGGCCACCCTGTGGACACACTGCTGTCTTACAGCGCCCTGAATCGATTCAAACGACTTCAGGTTCAACTGCAATCCCTCATGCTCGATACAATCAAGGACTATCTCGACGAAAAAGAGTCACTGCAAGACACTGTAAGTTTGCATTTTCTAATCTTGAATATACATGTCTCAGCCGCACTAACAGTCTCTAGTACTTCAATCTCACGAATCAGAAAGACTCACAGGCGACAGAGCGACTAACACGGAGTGCCACTGTACTTGCCAAATTGAGCGTGTTTTTCCTCCCGATCTCCTTCATGACGAGCTATTTTTCTATCCAGATCCCAGATCTGACAGAGGGCTACACTAAGTGGTCGTACTGGGGCTCCTTTGCGGTGATAGCCGGCGTGTCATTTATGAGTCTCTTCTTCTTCAGCAAGGTGCTCATGTTCCTCAGCGATTGGCTGGACCACTTTGCCGAGAGGGTCGAGGGGTGTTTCAAGAAACTTACGGGCTCAAAGACAGTTGACAAGGGTACCAAATACGAATAAGGGTATTGTAATGGTCTGTTCGAATTTGGTTGACCGGAAGGCCGGCATGACATAAGTATACCCAAGATTATGCGTTCTAACGTGGAGATTGTAACGGAGTTTAAACGAACATTAGCGCGGGATTTTGGGAGCGAACTAAAACGCAGTAGCCGGCGGAACTTAAGCGATTTTATTTAGGCACATTATATTGATGTAAAAGATGTCAGGGCTTGCTATTTATATCTTCTTCTAAATTCAATGACATCATAATCCTTCTCCAGGCTGCGGCCACACAAACGCTCCCCACATGTCTCCTGCATCGGCTGGCCACATAGAGAAGTCGATAGCAGCTACGTCCATATTTTCCCCTCCCCATAAAGGTCCCAAATTTTCGGTACCGGGGGGGAGGATATGGTCAAGAATATCAGCACATCTCGTGGCCAATTGGTGTCGGCCAAGAATGTGCCTGAGGATTTTACGGACGGTGTCCATGCTTGACTGCCAGGCGGCCATATTTGGGGACTCCAGGTCGCCAAGAATGGCAAGGACGACAACAAGCGACGCATGGAACAAGAAGAATCTAGCTGGTGTTAGCCGGGTTTGAATGACTGCAGTTGTGTAGTGGTGGAATGTACATACATAGAATACCAGGCGGCAAGCCGGGTTGCACTGGGATTCTGGAGGTAGTTGTCGATGGAAGAGATTGTGGCCTGGGCCGCATCGATGGCGACTTGTATTGCCTGCTCGTCGAGCGGGTTGGAGGTTGTGCTGGGCGGGCTGCGGTTTCTGTCGACGGCCCGCCTCAATAGAAGATGGCGGAAGAGGATGATCTTGAGGTTCCAGAAGCGCCACCAGAGCCGCGACCGTGCGAAGACGTACCAATCGTCGCTGGATTCCGGTGGCTCAGCCAAAGAGAAGTAGGACGGCAGCGTGTCGGACCAGCCGTCGAGAGACTGGTTCATGGCCAAGGCGTCCTGCAGGGCGATGCCTGAGGCCGACAGGAGCGCGTTGGAGATATGGTTCGACGTGAGGTGGAAGTCGCTCTGGGCCTTGAGGCCGGCATAGACGGTCGGGCTCGAGGACCCAGGCGGGAGTTCGGCCGTCCTGGCAGTGAGAAGCTCGTCCGAGACGTTCAGCACCGGGCGGGCATCCATGGCCTCGGGGCCGGGCAGCAGGATAGGCCTGCCAAAAGTGGTAGAAGCGCCGCTGTCAAAGATGAAGAGGCCCCACCAGACGCGTCGTCGCATTTCTCGCTGCAGCATGTTGATGTCCCAGTCGGGGAGCTCGCGATGTAGCCCGAGGCTGAGGGCCATGCGCACGGCCAGGCCGAGGAAGTTGGAGCCGGTGTTGGGCTTATCCCGCTTCTGTGACAGGTTGCTGAGCAGCACGAGGGCCTGGACAAAGGTGAGGTTGGCGCTCTCAAACATGGACTCGTCCTCGCCAAAGGCGAGCGCGTGGTGGTAGAGCTCGTCCTCGAGCTCGCCCTGGTCTTCGTTCAGACACCAGGCGCCGATGGCGAGGACAGAGTAGAGGAGCATCTGCCAGCTGCGTTTCTGCGGCCGCGGGATGACTTCGTGCCATTGAGCCCGGAAGGTGGCCTCGTGCACGAACGGGTATGTCTGGTGGTAGACGCCAAAGTATGCGTCCATGAGTCGGCCGAGGACGTCGCGCGAGAGCTGCGCATGGCCGAGCTGGGCCGAAGGTCCAGACAGCAGACTGGATGATGGAAGAAACCGAGGTGACAGCAGGCCGGCGAGCTCGACGTGTGTGTCAAACGTGGCCTTGGACTCGCCCATCCAGAAGAGCAGAGAGCGAAGAAAGAAGACCCCGGCCGTGGATCCTGGCAGCACTGTTGTTAGTAGCTGATCACGGCACGCGACCCAAGCGACCCATTCGACTCACCCAGGTAGCCCGTGCCCTTTGGCTCGACCGAGAGCGCGGCCATGCCATCGGCAAGCACGTTGACGTCCTCTTGCCAGTCGAAGCCGTCCGGACCGTCCGGAACGGCGTCTGCGATGGACCGGCTATGCTCGTCCGGCAGCTGTCCGTACTCGGCGCTCGGGGCCGGCGTCGCCAGCGAGCGTGCTGTCGAGGCTCGGCTGCTGCTGTTCGCCGCCGGACTGCCATCGGACTCGTCGTCGTCGACCGACTCCAGGGCTTCTTCGAGGTTCACGTTGGGCAGCTTCTGGGCAAACAGCCGCTCCAGCCGGTGCAGCCGGGCCTCCACGCTCGAGAGATGTCTGCAGCCGGGTGAGCAGACGCTAGACACGCCATCTCCTGGCGGCCGGATGCGTACTCACACCCTGGTCAACGGCGAGCGCACGGCTCTTCCGCTGTAGTGACACGGTCTTTGGGTCCGGATGCAGCCGCTGCACGTCGGGCGCTCTTTCGAGCACTGCACACATTAGGACCTGTCCTGACAGAGGGAACGGGAACGTCTGGGTCGCGCACTTTCAGCTTCTTGGCCCGGCAAGCGTCGCACTGCCGATCAACTGTTAGCGGTCGCTTGTCCTGCCGGATCAGACCGGAAGGGCTCTTCACCCACGGCGAGCGCGCTTCTGAAATGGCGCCTGGGGCCTTCCATCAATTGGCAGTGCGAGAAGGAAAAATCGTGTCTGGTCTAGCTGCTGCTCTCAACAGCGTCCCGCTTCACAGGAAGAGCAGGCCTTGGCAGCGGACTGCGCTGCCGATCGTTGAGGATGGCTGTAGAAAAGATTGGAGAAAAACCCCGTGATCTCGCCATACCGTAGAAACAGCAATCCGCACTGTGAGCTTAAACCGGAATTGTCACTAATGATCTGAAGAGCATTTTCACCTCGTCTTGGGTTTCTTTTTAATTTCCACTGCCAGTATCTCTGTCTTAGGATCCGCTAGGAAATGGGCTGGTAATGAATTATATCAAACGTAGTGTCCATATTGTCGATCGGTACGAGTCTAGCAGGCGAGGATAGCTAGGACAGTAGCAGTTCAGGTCATTTGCAAAGAAGTAATAGCATAGGGTATTATCTCTCTCCAAAATATATTTTAGGAGTTGCTAATAGAACTAAACTTTTGCTATCGGACTGATTAGCAGAAAAGAACGAGGTATATCGGATTGATATTTCGTCTTTACCCCGTCCTACTACTACGTTGAACGGTATTGAAGGCTTGACTTGTTCGCGGCTATCCACGATTTACACCAGGTACTATGCTATATAACGATCCTTACTAAGTCATGTCTCATATTTGTCTCTTTCCCTTTGCTAACCTCTATGGACGTGCTTTCCTCTGATACCATAAATCACCCAACATAATTGTCGAGGCAGTTTACGATTAGTAGAGAAGCCAGAACGTGACAAAGGTCAAAATTTCAGGGGGCCTTTCCAAGTCTGGTTCTTGCAGGAAATGCACCAGGGATCTGCGCACACTAAGTTTGCTCGTTCGCCTTTTACACCAAGGGCATGGCGGAAGCGAGATGTTGTTGCAGTTCAAACAACGATCCTCCAGCCATCAACCTTTCACAAGTTTTGGAAAAAGCGGCCTACACCAAGAGAACTTTACCCGTTTATAGCAAACGAGGGTTTTGGGAAAAGGTCTACTGTCTGTTCTATATGGAATCTTTGTTACGCGAGGTTACAAAATCGGATACAATTTAACTGCGGTTGGGATAAGAAAAGGCAGATCATATGGCTGGGTCTGTTTGCCGAATGCTGGAGATCTAGATCGATTCATTGCCCAAGTAAACGGCGAAGAGCTTCAAGAGTTTCCAGGGAAAGCGTGGCTGGCTTGCGCCGACTACAATGAGCGCAAACCACAAGTTGCCCTTACACGTCAGCAGATCCGCGATGCTATGCGAGCAGAAGAAATTGCAGGAAGAGGACCAAAGCAACATGAGCGACAGATAAAATGAAAATCACCTCATGAAGACCCTTACAACACCATTTATTTGAACACAGAGCTTTACTCTCTTCTTCTTTTGAGCTTCTAAGATATCACCACTTTATAGTATTCGTTCTATTTTTAGTACTTTCATATAATACTACTATATTGATCTTCCTCTGTAAAATTAGAAAAGCACAATCCTCTCTTTGAAATAGGGCGATGACATATCCAATCACTAGATCCCACCTTCCTGATTGCATTACGTGATCACATCCTCAGCACTGTACACGAAAATATGGATAGAAGTCATGCCCTTTTATTTTTCCCATACACTCTTCTCAGAACCTTTCCACACCACACTACTCACATGATCCCTGTAAAAACACCGATACAAGATGGTTTCCGGCACGTTCAAGCATGGTCCTGCTAATGGCTACAAGCACACGCACACTATCATTTTCCTACATGGTCGTGGCAGTAACGCAGATGAGTTCGCTGGCGAGCTCTTCGAAAGCGAAGCCAGTGCAGATACTACTCAACCAGACCAGGACCTGACGATCCCGGCCATGTCTCCCAATATTCGATGGGTCTTTCCCCAGGCCCCAATTCTGCGTTCTGAACGTTTTGACACGGAAATGTCACAGTGGTTCGACATGTGGTCTGTCGAAAACCCCGAGGAGCAGAGCGAGCTTCAGCGTGATGGCCTAAAACAGAGCATGAAGACAATTCTCGACACCGTCCACACTGAAGAAAAGATCTTACCTAGAGACCACATATTCTTAGCCGGTATTAGTCAACGCTTTGCGACAGCCCTTGCCACGATGCTCGCCGAAGGACAAGGAGGTTTTTCTGGTGTTCTAGGATTGTCCAGCTGGATGCCATTTGCCAACAAGGCTGAGAAAGAAATAGCAAATTTCTCGCAAGAAAACGACGGCCAGCTCCGCTTATTCACCGCATTGCGGTCTCTCTACGGAAATGAGGACGTACAGGACGACGCGAAGCAAGCATCGCCCACCACGATAAAGGCAACCCCTATATTTCTAGCGCATGCGCTGGATGATAACGTTGTTCCTGTAGAGAACGGGGAACGTATGCAGCATATTCTGCGCGATGCCGGTCTGACAGTTGAATGGCACAAGTATGCGGACGGAGGTCACTGGGTGAACGAGCCTGAAGGCGTTGATGACATTTTGCGTTTCCTAAAGCGGTGTATGTAAGTCTTTATATAGAAGCCTAGTCGGACGTCGCTGCTGAAAGGGCTGTTCTTGAGGCGCCGACCAGGTCCTTCTCGGACGACTAGACCGTATACTGGTACTTGAATTATTTGATGCACCACTTTAATTACGAACGAACCCTAAAATAGCAATTCATAATATTTTTATAAATAGTAGTTGAACTTGTAGGTATATTCAGTAATACAGAGATAGAACTTTTCAAGTCGACACCTGCTTTCTAACTTACCCTTCTAAGCTTATTTATTGAACGGCTCATGTAGAAAAGGTTGCTAATAAGCCCAACCAGACCAAGGCACGTTGAAAAGGGAAGGTATATTGAGTGTGGTAAAGGTCTGCTTACGCAAGAACGAATTTACATATGGTAATTTGAAAAAAGGAAATTGTTGAATGTTGAAACCACTAAACGCCGTAATGCTGTCATTATCATTAGTCCGATTAATATATTAGCAACTCTCTTTGTAGGGCATGCTGCCTTATCCTGACAGCTCTGCGTCGACGACAGCCACTTTGTTACTGTCGTATTTTGCTCGCTTTGCTGGTCGTGCACTGGCTTCTTTCTCCGTCTCTTCCATCGCATCCAGGACATCGACTGTGGCTGGCGTTTCTGGAGCGCCAATGCTGGCTGTCTGTGAGTGCTGCCAGCTCTGAAGATACGCCCGGTCGAAATCAATCCGCATTACCCGTCCGACCTCACCACACCACCGGACATCAGCTACGTTATTGTCTTCATCGTCGACTCCAGACGCTGCCAGTTCCCGGAGTGTGCGTCTGGTCTCGGATGCCAAATCGATGCCGAGTTTGGTCGTGTCGATTTGAGCCGTTGACTCGCCTGCGTACGAAAGAAAAATAGATAGCATGGCAACGATAAGGCATTTGCAACAACTAGATGATCCTGGGCTGCTTCTATGAGACTGATGGGAAGACTGGCTGTTTTTGACATACTGATGGGAAACTTTACTGCGGTGGGGAGAGGTTCCTGTTTCACCGACCGACGAGTACGAATTGACACGTTTTTCTCTTGCCACACAATCCTTCATAGTTGCCCTATCCTTGTTAAATTATGTGCTTTAGTGCACGCTGTGCATTCTGAAACGGTGCGGAAGCCATCTGGTTCATAATACTAAGTACAAATTCAAAGTCGTTGAGCAAAAGGTTGTTATCCTTGAGATTACAATGGGACATGCTATGCTTATTGAAGGAAGAACAGGATGCCTATCCCCGATAAATTAAGAGAGGCCTGGACATTGAAGGCAATACCACATACTGTTCTGTATAAGAAAAAGAGAAATACCTTCCACTTGCACATAGTACCGCCCGTCATCTTAGGCGTGTTGCTTATGGGAGAATAGCGGCGAGCTTACTATGTAGGATCTGTGCGTTAGCTTTTCACTCCTGCATGTCTTGGCTGGGCGAGGCCGGTTTGCTGTTAGATACAAGTGAAATAATCCGCACAATTTTAGTTTCCTCTGACTTGCATCAAGAAATCGGCGGCACGCCCACAATACTGGAAGTGATATTGTACTGGTGCTTCAGCCGTCCAACAAATCCGTTGCACAAATGGCTGGGGATACGTGAGGAAAAAACAGTAGACCTATACCATATTTTTCGTGGACATAAAATTCGAGTTCAAGGCATCTTTCCACTTTTCTTTCTCTTCTCTTTTCGGTCCCAGCACCACGCCCAGAAGGTAGTAGCGATGGCAAGTATGACAGCTGCCACGATAGCAATCCATACCTCACGGCGGATCCGCATTGTAGAGTTTCTGTCCGCCTCCGTGGCCGTTTCGTACCAGACAACAAGCGTGCTGCTGAAGAAAGACTAATTTTTGGCGAGCCGGGCTTTAGTTGGACGACACAGGCAAAAGGAGAGGAAATCTGAAAATAATAATAGCTACCTACCATGACCAAATTTACGGGTAGATAAAGCATGGCAATGGCCGTCGCGATACGCATTGCCCGTGAGTCTTTGTATGTGCTGTCAGCCAACAATACCATATTTTGGCTCTCAGCGGCATTGGCCTGTGCCAGTTGTGCGAGCTTGAGGCTGGCATCGTGTTGTAGCTCCTGGCCACGCAGGGCGAGGATTTTACCATACTGCGCAAGTGGGTGGTGGCTGGTCAGATTCAGGCAGCCTTGTCCATGCTCATGACGGCCGCAGCCAAGAGTGTAAGTGGGTTTTAAGTCCTACCATAGACTGCAGGTCGTCAAACATGCGCAGAAGCTTCCTTGCTGTCTCTTGGTATCCATCCACATCCCGAGACATATTCCGCAAGAGACAGCGGTCATCGGTATGGGAAGTCAATCCTAGGCTGTGCATTATCGAGAGTTCGTGCTCGGCAATAATCACGAGCGTACTGGCAGTGTTGGCGAGAATACACAGGGCATGGTGTAGCTTTCCCTTCAGATGGTGAACATGCTGCTCATGTGCGAATTCGACCTTGAGATTGCTAATCGGATTTGGCATGGTAATTTGCTGCTTCTATCAATCGGCGAGCAGAAGAAAAGGTCAGTAAGAAGTTGAGGAGGGAGGACGGGAGAACGATATGGGATACTAACAAGACGTATGAGTTCTTGGGCAAAATACTCTAGATACTCTCTCCAATTAGCAAGAACAGCATGAAGATATCGAATATGCAGGGACATTGGATGTGGTGCTGGTTCCAGAGCTAGGTTAAACGCCTCTGGAGGTTGTATAACAATCCATTTTGATTGTTTTGAGTCTGTAGACAAACTGTGGTGTAGGGCCGACTGGCGACAGGACCATGGATCCTCGAGGTCTCTGTGATGCCGCTCGAAGTGGCGAACGTTGTAGCATATCCCTGTTGAAAATTATGAGCAAGACAGCTCCTCTGATAGCTATGAGCTATCATTATATGATGAGAGACTCACACCAACCGGTATCCCCTAGAGAGGATGAGCTGTAGCAGGACATAAAGTCCTCGTCACCGGATGAGAAACGTTGACCCATCCCGAGTACAAATTGTAGAAATAAGGGCGTAGCATCGGCAAGTTGACACACGACAGAAAAGGTCTGGAATGTACAGTCGATCCCGACCCCCACGAGCTACGCCGTCTGAGAATGCTGGACAGAGGGGTCCCCAAACTGGTTAATCATCGATCCATCAGGCAGAGGTGTGAGGATGACAAAGACATACGTACAACAATGGTGAGTCGTCTTTGCGCACAGCTGCGCACACCAATCTCGGTGACGATAGCCAGCACGGAGGCTCCCCTTCCACCGTGGCCACGCCGACTGTGTTGGGTACGTCCTGGAGGACAAAGAGGTTTGGCAAATTGGACTCGAAGGTCTGCCACAGATGTCCGAGGCCAACTTGGTGCGCTACCTGCTTCAGGCGGTCTAGGCCCGTCCCTAGGCCCGAAGCTGGGGCGGTTGGCACTTGTATAGGCATCATCACTAGCACTTGTGATCTATAATGCCTAGCTTCTCCACTTGTAGCTTGCTGCTAACTTACGCTGTACGGCGTAGCATCTTAAGCAGAATGTATTCAAGGTTTTGCTGCAGGCACTCTGTAATACATATATACTACTTACTTATACTTGTATTGTGGAGCACAGGCCAGTTGACCTTGTCTATTTACGAAGTAGTACTCCGTAGGGCTCAGAAGTACTCTTACTTAACAACACATAACGTCCAGTTGGGCACCATAATCCAAGAGCTCCGAAACGGATTCTAAGATGCATACAGAGTACTCCAAGCCCCACCTCCGTTTCAACCCGCCTCGTTAGGCGCTTTCTGCGCCTCTGCAGATGGGCAGTCAGTTGCGCACCACGGATTTTTTCTCTTCCTGGCATGATTTTCCTGTAAGCGCCTCAAAATCTTTCACTATCCTGTGTAGGACTGCCTCACCTCTGTCAGCTGTCTGATTGCCTCCACCGCAATTGTATCCGCCGCCATCTGGGAAGCATAAGTGATCAAAGCGTTGCAATATATGATATTGGTTTCAGGGAATAACTTACGACGACATTGTAATCATCCCCGAAGAGGGTGTCCAGCAACTCGCGTAGCTTTTTCCGGCTCACATAACGCGCCTCTATGTAGGTAGTGATCATTTCGGTGGTCATCTTGTGAAGTTAGACGCAGTAGATTGTCGCTCGACTGGCACTGCTGTTTTGTCTGAGAAACTGCAAAACCCCGGCTTCCTCTGAAAGGGATGGGTGGAGGGGAGGAGGAGGAGGGGATGGTTTATCACTTGCTTGTGGTTGTGTGATGTGTCTTCGGGCACATGTGCATTACACGAGCCGCCTCGTTTGCCAAAACCGAAAATCCTTCTTGAGGCAGTGCCCAAGGCAATGGCGTGTACACTTGTGATTGGCCGTTAGGTACTCTGTACTTTTTAATGAAACAAATTATATTCTCGGATGCCACGACGTTTAAGGCGAAGCTCTCCTCCTCTTGTTCAAAAGTCCCAATCCCTAACGTGGAAGCTTGATCGTTTGTTGCTCATGTCCACCTGGCAAGCATTGCTCCAACACCATGTCGTCGTACTTTGAAGGCCTCAAGGCCAAGATCCAGGACGGCATGCTGATGTCCGTCGATTGCAAAAGATTTCTTCCTACCAAAAAGCTTGACGAAATATTAACTTCCCTTGAAATAAAAAAAGCCGTCGAAGAACTCGGATGCGATATACAGGAAGGCTTAGGGCTGATTGAAGACATACAGAACCATGGGAAACGAATGTTTTCCATGCTTGTCTACAATAGTAAACAGGAGCACATTGCCTATTTATGCAAGAATCGCTTTCTCGACGATAAGCTCCCGTTCAGTGTAGCCGATGCAACTAAAATGCTTATACCTGAAGGCCAACGATTTGCCGAATCTCTTCAATGGGAGTTTTGCCCGTACGTCTTTCCGAAGAATAAACACAACTATCAGTTGGATCAGCAGAGAATCCTTCCATTCATCCACTGCCAAAAGGTCGGAGAGGGGGCATCGGGAGAAGTCGAAAAGGTCGTCATCGCAGCGTCGCACTACGAATTTTCCAGTGAAAACGTAAGGAAAGAAATATCTTCTTTGCAATCGCCCGACATTGCTACGGGTACTTTAGGTTAACTCTTTTCTAATACATATTTTAGGACGGAGAGCTAGAGGTGGTGCGAAAACGCTTTCGAGTTCGTGGTAGCAAGGATGTTTCTGAAAGAGAGTACAAGTGCTTGCGACTCTTGGACAAACTGGGGCATCCCAACATCATTCCTCTGTTTGGATCCTACACATATGACGAAAACCGGTATCTCCTTCTCAAAGCCTTCGACAGAGACCTCGAAGACTTTCTTGAAGACGACACCCGTCACAAAGACTTTCAACAGGACTTGACCTTCTACTCGGCCCTTACAGGTCTCGCCTCAGCACTGTCGAAGACGCACAATTTCATGCTCACCAATGACGAACATAAAGTAGACTTTGAGGCTATTGGATACCATCACGACTTGAAGCCGCGCAATATTATGGTTTCTCACGACAGCTTTATTCTGGCCGACTTTGGCGAAGGCAACATCAAGTCGGCGCAGGAATCATCGCATACGCGATACAAGGAGATTGTCGGGAGCTACATTGCCCCGGAGTGTACCGACGAGGAGGAAAACCCGCAAACAATCAACCGGGCCGTTGATGTCTGGGCTTTGGGCTGCATCATTGCCGAGGTGGTCACCTATATGGAGAAAGGGACACGAGGTGTCCGGCAGTTCCGCAAACAGCGGAGACTTCCAGGGCGGCTCCATAGATTCGAAGACGATGGTTTCTACAGTTCCGACGGTGAAGTGAAAGAAGCGGTCCTCGAGTGGCTCAAGACACTGAGAAGTAACGCCAATGCCGACCTGGTCGAGCTCATTAACCTGTCTCTTAAGGCTCTGAGCCGAATACCGTCAGATCGGCCTTTGATGCACGAATTGCATCAGAGCTTGGCTGATTTGAGTCTGCGAAAGTACTTGAGCACTACGGAAGAATTGCTTGTCAATGTCTGCAGGGATGGAGCCTCGCATGGGACAGACTCTATTCTGAAAGATTTCCGACGTGCATGCGATCTGCTCAAGCAATGGGAAGAACTGTTTTCTTCGAATATAAATATATTTTACGAAGACCCGAAAAATCTACCAGAGGAAGCTATTAGGATCCTGAAGAATCTGCTCCAGGTGTTGGAAGAGGAGAAGAAGGAAAGTCGGCTATCAGACAATGAAAATTTTCAGAGGGCCGACCTCGCATGCTCAGCGTTAGGACGAGTTTACGAGTTGTGGGAGCTCTTAGCCAAGCTCCCAGAAGCTCAAGGCATTCTGAGTCAACGTCGCGAAGCAGACGGAAATTTACCCAAAGTGTCCTTAACCACACCCGTCAACATCCTCTTGCCCGATTTCAAGAAGGCGGCGAGAAAGTTCAGAGACGGCCTTCCTGCCTCCGTGTCTCTTGATGAAATCGACAAAGTCGCTTCGATCGATGCCGTGTACGACATTGTGGAAAAGATACAGGAAAAGCAGCAAGAACGTAACGGGCTTCGCAATCTGGCGAGGATCCAGCCATATCTGCATCGTCTAGAGGGCTTTGCAGATACCATTCAGAAGCATGTCATTGGTGAGAGTCCCGGTATTCCAGCGCTCCTTTGGGGCCCAATCGCACTTCTTCTGCAACTGGCGGTCAGCTCGAACGTGGCGTTTGATTCAATCGTGGAGGCCACTGCTATGGTGGGGGAAGTGCTGCCTGATTATCCAGCTTTGGATGCTATATTTCAAGAGAGCATGGAAGCAAAAGAAATTCTGCTCTTATATTTTCAGGACATCATGATGTTCTATGCTGAAGCTTTCCAGCCCTTCAAAAACATCGGTATGTTTCTGTCTCTATGGCTGATTGTGAGTCACGTCCGTATTAGGTTTCTAACAATTTAAAAAGACAGCATACACGTGTTTGATAAACTGTGGCCAAAGTATCGGGACAACATTGAGCAGGTTACAGATTATACGCAGCAGCTTGCTCGACTTCTGAGAACCAGTGTGAAGCCTGAACACATTCAGGAGCAACACGAGCTTCGAAAAACCAAACTTCAAAAGGTTAAAAACAAACATCGGGATGGTATTCGCCAAGAGTTTGACCGCATCAGGACATCTTTCAAGCTTCCCGAACACGATCTAGTCCTGGCCAAAATAAAGAGTAATCCTTCGAGAGCAGCTAGCACCTGGTTTTTTCAGCCGAATGGAATATTCATGAAGTGGTTCCACAATTCAAAAGATGATGATCGAATACTTTGGCTGAGAGGGATTCCAGGTTCAGGTAATTCCACAACCTTCACTGCACGACGATGTGCGCCAATCTTGGACATAAACACTGCTAACTTTTGGTCGTTTTTATCATTACAGGAAAAAGCTTTCTTTCCGGCGAGATCCTTCAACGATTTTATGGCGCCACAAAGACAGCAACAGCCTTTTCATTCCTGTCGTACCAGGTTGCTAAAGATGCTGAAAGTCATGATTCGGCCAAATTGGAACGCGTGGCCTTGACAACAATTCATTCCCTTATCATCCAGATGGCTAAGGAATCCGAAGATCTCATGGAAATTGTCTGCGGTTCGAACATGACACAAATAAATTCGGATATTGCAGCCGCGGGTGATCTTCTTGCCTCGATTGTTCGACATGCTGGCTCTACACTTCTCATAATCGACGGCCTTGATGAGATCAGTGAAGCCCAGCGCGGCAGCCTCGTCGTGGAGCTTCTCAGGCTTGCAAGCTCTTGTAACAGGCTAAAACTTGTCGTGAGCAGCCGGCCCGAAGCCGATCTAACAAGGCATCTGCACAATGTGGCAACGACAGTCAAAGTTCATGAGAATAACAAGGAAAGCATCAGTAACTACGTCAAAACACGCGCCGAACGTATAATCAAGTCCTACAGCTACTACCCGGGAGAAGAAGAGCAGATCAGAGACCTTTTTCCGGTGGTGGCAGAGCGTGCGAAGGGCATGTTCCTCTATGCCCAGCTCATCATGGATATGGTCAGCAATATGGAAACTTTGCCAGAAATACGGGATGAGCTGACAGTTCCCCCAGAAGACCTTGATGCCACGTAGGTGTCTCTTATCAACACTAATGTTCAATCTTCAGCTGACCTGCTATACTCCAGCTACCAACGTATCATCACACGAGTGGCTGAAAACCATGATAAACGTGGAGTTCGGCTGCTGACATGGATATCCTGCAGTCCAAGACCACTTTCAATTGAAGAGGCACAGCAAGCCTTGGATGTGAGTCCCAAATACAGAGACCAAGTCTTCCGTGCGAACAGGCCAATCGACATTATCAAGATCCTTGGTCCCATTGTTGAGGTTGTGGACAGAAATTACATTCGATTCGTTCACTTCACCGCAAAAGAGTGAGCAAGCAGCAATTGTCCACTTTAAGTCTACCAACTTACCACTAATCATTTATCAGATATGTATGCAGTCCTCACCTCGAACAGCAGATGATTGACATGAAACAAGCTACTCAAGATCTGGCTATGGTCTGTATCGGATATCTCTGTCAGTGCCATCATGACACAGACCTGCCAAGCCATGATATGGTCGAGAAAGTTACTACGGGACAATACAGTTTCCATGCCTTTTCGGTGCTTATGTGGTTCGAATTGGTCTGCCAATATATTGCATTGCTCAATGAGTCGGATTTTAGTAGCGACCTTGCTTCCTCTATCAAGAAACTCTCGGAAATTAGAAAAAGGCAAGACGAAATTGTTCCATGTAAGCTCGACAATGGCAGTATGAGTGGTATTTTGGATGTGACTGAAGATGATAACGGGGGCGGGGACAAAAACATGGACGACGAAGACGAAGAAGACGAAGATGAAGACGAGGACGAAGAGGACGAGGACGACGGGGACGACAAGGATGACGAAGACGACAAGGACGATGAAGACGAGAACAAAGACGTACATACGACGAGTGGCGAAGTCCTTTTTCAAACACTGAAGACACAACAGCCTGAGGTGTATCAAATACTCTGCAGAGTTCATGGGTTTCGCGAGTCGAGTTTTCTATTCACTGGCAAGAAACAGCAAAGTATGATTGCATTTCTTGATCCTATAAGTCACCAGAGCTTTCGGTGCAAGATGCAAGATGCACCTATCACTAACACGAATAACTTGTTAGAGGACATAAATGACCCCCTCTCGATATACCACACATCTCAACGTATCAGGAAAGCGTTTGACGAAGCACTCTGCAAATACCCAACTGTGTGGCGCGATTCAGAAAACTCGGAAATCTGTTGTCATGACAAGTGTCACAAGATTCTGTCACGCTATGGATATTATCCTTTCAAATGCAAAGTCCCGGCCTGCCGATTTTGGCGAGACGGCTTCTATCGGCGTGGGGAAAGACAAAAACATGAGAGGAGCCATGACAACCCATTGAAATGTGACGTTCCTGGTTGCGAATACGAGCGGGTCGGCTTTTTAACCACAAAAATGCGACAATACCACGTCGAGAATGCTCATTGGAACAAACCGGCTCAACCAGAGCCCGCCGTTCGGAATCTCAAGGAGGATGGCATTGTGGCTTCTCTCCGTGACTTCATTGTGGATGGCAAAGTCGCTGAGGTCCGGGAGATCCTAAGCAATATCCAGTTTAAGCTCGATGACAAGGATTTACACAGCCTCCGATTGCTCGCTTCCAGCACTTCTTATGCTATACTGGAGCAGCTGGATGAATATCAGGAATACGATTCGGATATGTTGCCTGAATACATGATGGAAGCAGTCAAGGCCAAAAATAAGGGTGCACTGCAATACTTTCTCTCCCGTAAGCTACCCTGGGGTGAATTTTCCAGACTAATTGACGTACTCCCTGAGCTCGTGGCACAAGATTGGTTCGAAGGAGTCAAAACCTTCGGCGAGTGGATAGTCTTGAAGGAATATCATATATTGGAGAGAGGTATTCTCTTGCGTGATAAAAGGGTTCTTGAGAAAGCTGCATCGCACCCGGCAGGAGATCAGCATCTTCTCTATTTGTGGAAAAAAAGCTTAAACGTCGACGGACTGAATAATAATTGGGTTCAGGAAGCACTGAGAGCGGTAGCAGGAAGCGGATTTTCAATTTCCCTGGCAAAGTTTTTGCTTGAACAAGGTGCCGTAATAGATAACCCGGGTGCACCGAACAAATTGACAGCACTGCATATCGCAGCACGCAAAACATCTCGAGAGGCGGCTGAACTGATGCGTTTTCTACTCCTAAACGGTGCGGACGCAACAAAATTCCTAGCCAAGACGCTAAATCGAAAGAAGGGACAGGAGGGGAAAGAGCGTTACCCAAGACGAGACATCCAGGATGAGCAAGGTGCAAAAAATATCCAGATCCATCTGGGCCAAACTTGGGACGAGCTTGTTCAAAATACCAAGCAAATCCGAGATGCGAAGAAAGCCACACAGGCGTTGTTAGCTTTACCTGGCCAGGAAGAAGAGCCGAGAAAGTAGAAGCTGCTGTATATATACTGTCCAAACTGTACAATATCCTCTATATTCTCTTTCTTCTTTGTGATGAGTAATACAAAAGCTGAGCCGGAACAGCCACGGATCTCGCATCAGCTTGCCTCCTTACCATGTGCCTCTGTCTATGGCTGCGAGGCTTGTCAAACCCTTTGAACGCAACTAGTAAAGAATTCAGAACGGGTAACAGTCAAAAACATAGACATGATTTTATCTTTCTTCCCCCCCTGCCATGCCTGCATTCTCATTGTTTTCCAACTTGTTTTCTTGCACATCTTGAACGTGCTAATTGGTGAAGCAAGGAGATGTTAGCACACTCAACACTGCAACTTGTGTGAAAGGGTCACTTGCCGTCTCTACAAAGCCTGGGACAATGTATCGAATGACGGTCACCTCTTGCGTCTGGCCGATACGATATACCCGATCGACAGCTTGTGCCTCTATCATTGGATTCCAGTGAGGCTCCATCAGATGCACAATACTGGCTGCCACGAGATTGACCCTAGACAAAGGCAAGATATGTTAGGCGGAACGCAGCACCTCATAACAAGAAACAAGTGACAAAACAGTGGAAACGCACCCTTCTGCAACGCAGCCAATACTGGCTAGCATGACAGCACACTTGGGATTATTACTGAATTCCTGAAGGGCTCTCCCTCGTCTTTCGAGGTTATCCCGTCCGTCAATACGCTGGAAAATATATCCTTCCTGACGGAGCGCCTGCTCAACCAGATTGAGCATCCCAACCCAGCAGCTGAATATCACACTTCACCTAGTCAGCCAACATTGCCACCATCAATTCAGGTACGTGGGAGCAAACGAACCTTTTTCTCACTCGTCCAGAGTCTGCTGCTGCTTCTCGAGACAGTTTCAGGTTTTCCAATAACGCCACGATCTTAGCCGATGGACGATATGGGTATTGGGCTTTCCCAGTCCTTTTGCTGTCGCGTTTTCGGGAATTCGAGAAGTTTTGTTGGTCAGATTTTGTACCCGACGGTTCTTCTAAGCCAGCACAGCTGTTGCAAATGGCTGTCTGAGATATTCCCTTTTCAAGGCTTGCCCCACAGTTTAAGCATTTGGTATGAGAGCTGCGTGCTGAGTTAGTACGAAGAGGAAGACCCCTGTCTCCCAGTACCGCTTTTTTTGCTTCGTCGCTTATAAGGCTGCCGTGGTCGCAGATGAGTCGTAATAAGTTGAGACAAATCAAAGCGATATTTTTCTGGCTTTTAGGTGGCACGCCGCTGTCTTGATATTCGTCGATTCCCGCAGAAGTCATTGTTGAGACGTTCTTGACGGAATCATAAAGCTCTTGGTCTTCCGGAAGAAGATACACCTCCTGTGTCTTTTCATGGCGCGTTGGCAGGTCCAGGTTCGAAGAAGATGGCATATGACGCTTCAGTCTCCGAAGGCATGTAGCTTGGATAAGCGCCCGTAGACGGATAATTCCTAAAGTATTCTTCTTCTCCACGGGATGCAAAATCCATGACGCAAAATCAATCTTTGTTCTGAATGGATAAACCCGTACGAAGCTGAGCAAGGCACCGTAGTCATCGAGGGAGTTGTGGATTGGTGTTCCTGTCAAACACCATCTAAATTGAGCATCGATCTTGCAAACTGACTGAAAATTCTGCGATGACCGGTTACGGATGTGATGCGCTGTTTATATGGTTAGTTTATGGGTGGTACTAGGCAGAAGGAACTGCTGTGAAGTACAAGTCAACTTTCCTTCATCCAAAACAACGCGGAGCCATTTTTCAGCATAAATGGGCCGTGTTGCTTCCGATGCTGCCCACTCGGAGCGAAGTATTTCATAGGTTGTGATAACGACATCCAAATCTGCGAACTGGCTGGCAAGACTCCCTCGATTAGGGCCATGGTAAACGGCCATGCGTACTTTGTTTTCGTGGATATGTCTGGTTTCATATTTATCAGCTCTGCATCAAGGCACAATGGATTTTAGAAAAGAAAACCCACTGCCTAGTCTGGATTTCCCAGTTATGTATAGCTATGGTTTGTCAGTGATCCATCTGTTTGGTGTTCTCCTCAAGTGACAGACTTACTAGACAATGGGGCAACAATGAGCGTTCCCCGATGAGCCCGATTTCGCACAGGTGCAGTGCGATCCGAATCCAGAGATGAACAAATCAATGCCAACATACTCAGAGTTTTTCCCAAACCCATATCCTTCAGAGATCATGTTAGCCAAAGCCTGACTGCATCCAAAAATGGTTTTTTAATCTTACATCGGCTATTATCCCTCCAAGCGCTGGAAAAGGTTTGGTTTCGAGTGCCCTCGTGACTGTGTGGCGATAGCTGGAAGGGCAGGAAGGAGGTTCAGTCATAATTCATACTAGTAGGAGTTGTCCCTATTATCATCACTTACGCAACTCTCTCACCCTGGTCCCTTTGTCTTTCCTTTTTCCAGAGTGCTGAGAAGCTAGGGTTTTCAACAAAGCCGCTCTCCTTTTCCTGCATCATAGCGAGTGCTGTGATTTGGTGGCTAAACAAAGAAAAAGTTAATGATGTTTCCTTGCGAGGCTGAACGATCAAATGTACTTCGAACCTCATAAGCTGCGATCTAAGCCGTAGACTCAACACCACGTTCGTCGCAGTCACTGTTTGCCCATCTGCTTCCGCCGAATCAAAGAGCTCTAAAACTTGTTTCTGTCTCGAATCATTGTCATCGGTCTCGGACTGGCTGAAAATATCGTCTATGGCACGAACGGCCAGCGGAAACTCGGCACCAGGACGAAGTAGGTATTGAGGGTTATGGTATGGGACGCCAGGTTTTACCTCATCGCTGTATGGGTGCTGCAGAAAGTGACCGGCCTTCGAAAGAACCTCGCTGATTTTATCTTTGTCTTCCAAGAGACCGTGTAGAATAATACGTATGCTGTAGTCTAGGGATGGTTTCGCATAATCTGACTTTGCTTTTGACGCCTTCGATTTTTCCTTTTTTTGCTGGCTTCCTTGATCTCCTTGATGAGAAGCACGGCATCTAATCTAAGATGGAGCCGGGCAAGTGCGTCGACAAGCGTTTCTTTAGACAGAATACCAGCGTGTGCCCCAGTGATGGTATCGGAAAGCATTATGACAGTACAATATTGTTTCAGATGTACAGGAAATGATCGGAAATCGCTCTCTGGCATGAAGGAAGAGGTAGCGGCCTCAATAATCTAACAAGGTCAGTATGTTCGGACATGGGGCAGGCTCTCTGCATGATTGTGACTTACGACGCCAAAGCAGGTGTCGTACTCGTAGCCAGCGCCCATAAAGTCTTCAGCCTCAAACAATGGAGAAGCATCCGAATTTTCCGGTAGCTCTTCATCAGCTTGAGATTGAGTATCACTGCTTTTCTTCAGATCATCTTGATGTGCATCGGCTTTGAACGATGTATCCAAGGCGGGTGTAGGCTCTTCAATACAGCGTCTTGTTGATCCGTCTGAAACTACCAAAGAAATCGGTGGCAGCTGCTCATTGAGAGTTGTATAGATTTTCGGACTTGTAGTGTACTCGAAGTCCATGATGTCGAACGGTAGAGAGGCGGGTGCAAAAACAGTTGGCTGTGTGGTCAATTTGACATTCCAATCCCCAGGAAAGGACGAAAATTTTAACCCAGACTGGTCGTCGAGACATTGAACGCCACTCCATGGATTTTCTTGCAAGTCCTGGGGGAGTTCAGGTAGAGAGGCGGCAGATGTGTAAAGGTTTGGTTGTGAGTTACCGTGCCAGGTCCCAGAAAATAGCGAATCATTTAGCCCAAACTGGTCATCTAGACCTTGAACACTGTCCCATGGGTTTGCCCCCAGGTCCTGAGAGAACTCTGATGGTCTTTGTGTTGGATCAATCGATGCATTCGTAGATTCAACCCGAACAGGAAAACCAAGATGTGTTTCATTGTTGTAGTAAGCTTGTGATGTGATGGACGATGAATTGTGTCCCGTAATCTGTGATACGGTACGAGAATTGTTGCAATCGAGATCGGCAAGATCGCAGTCATTTAATTGCGTGCGGGACTTTTTCGGTTCTCGGTCTTCGTCGCCCGGAGATGGGCTGGGCCGCTTGCTACCTGCCTGTGGCGTGCTCCGGGACCAAGGGTCTAGATTCATGGTAGCCTAGTTATGTATCATAACCTGGTACGACAGCTAGGTCTAGCATCAGTTCAGTTTTTGCATTGTCCGTGAAACCTTGTATGACCCCTACCTATACTTATTGGTTACTGAGTGGGGTGTAAATTGTAGATACTTTAAAAGCATGCAAGAAACAGCAAACGGATGGAGATGAATGCAAAATCGTTTACGTAGTGCTTAGAGAGCGAGACCACTGAGCTTGCGTCTCACAGATGTAATGGCCAGAACCAGGAGAGGCGGGCTTAAGAGTAAAGATCTGTATTAAAGGATTTCCTGCTTGCTTTGTGGGAGGCAGCCATCATTTGGAGAAATACAAACTCAGCCTCATGGGAGATACGTTTTTAAGCTATTGCATGACTGCATGAATCTGATAGGCGTATGGCTGCCTAAAATGGGGCAGTCATCGAACCCAATCCGCAAAAACGCCTTGCTGGTTGGTGCCTGATGCTGCAAACCAGGTACAATGTCGGTTTGTATTTCTTGGGTACAGGGTAGGTACATGGGGACTGTCTTTGGCGAACAATTGGACATTATAACCTGGCCATCAACAATCTGTAATTGTGACAATAGCCTATTATTATTTATCCCTGGAAGGATTAAATAGAGCTATATAATAAATACCGCGCTTTTTGTACACAAAATGGAACTGCTAAACTATATATCAAGGTTGAGAAGGCAGACGCGGCGTTAATCCCTTTTAATCAAACCTTATTAAAACCTAAACTATAAGCCTTATTATACGTATTAGCTTGTAAGAGAATCACGGCTTACTATTGGTATTCTCACATCAACAAGATCACCTTTATTTTTTAGATGTGCTTTTGTCCCGCTGCAACTTTTTCCATTGCTTGTGTGTTGGCGGCCACCAAAGACTCCTTGAATATGGCTGCCTACATCGTTATAAGGGATGAATTGTAAACGGATAAGTTTAATAGTATAAGGACAGCAACAATTTTTCAAATGCGGATCGTTCCAAGGTCAGAGGTTTCGGCTTATCTTTATCTGTACCTACTTCCGAGGTATTATCTTTTACTTGTGCTCCGTACAAGCTACAGCTTTAGTTTTGGCTTAATAAGAGTGGCCAGTCTATATATATATCTTGCCCATTTTGCCGTAAAAACAGCTTTGCAAAAGCTGTAGGGCGTTATCCCGATTTGTAATGCCCCTGATCTTCACGGAAACAATGAGCTACCCGGAGTCTAAGAAATACCAGCAACAAGCGATGTGGGAAGCTTCTTACGGTACTATCAAAGTGCGAGCTTCCGATCCCTGGTGATCAGCAGTTCATGGCTTTTAGTATGCCACGTAGAGCCGCATATTATCTTGGATCGCGGAAAGCCAGGCAAACTGACCAACCAAATCTTTTCACTGTGACTGAGCAGATAAATATATATGTGGGCAAACATAGAGGCATCGTAATCTTAAGTGCTGCCCGCTTTTATTCGACAATCAGAAATAGGTATAGCACCAGAGTACGGCTGCTCGTGTATGAGGTCTAATGTCGCAATATTTCTGGCTGTCTTGGTCAATGAATACGATCCGGGCTCTGTACCTAAAGTAACTGCTCTGCCGAATCTGGCAGCAGCATTGCTTTCAGCATTGCCTCCAGTACGGCCGGCAAACTCGTTGCCGACCATTCTTACTTTATAAAAAGTAGCTGGAGCGATTCTTACCATGCCACCTCAGCAGACAACCTGCCGAAGACCAGCCGCTCACATGCAGTCTCCTTGTAGACTCGTTTCCAAAAAGCAGTCGTTGGCTACCTTCATAAGAATTTGTGCTTGGGTCTTGGCTTCACCTTTTCCAGGTGCGTCATCATGCCTCCACTGTCTAAGCTGATAGCATTCGTTTTATACAAGCAGGGGTTTGATCCATTGATGGACTTAAACACCATGCTATAGCTGTCAGGCCACTCGTGTGCCTGGAGTGCAGCTTTAAGACGAAACCCGTGTCACTTGTAGTGGTTTTCAGATATATGGCAAAGCTTGTCAATAAGCATTTCAAGACAGACATGGGACATGTAGCTCAACTTATAACGCCAAAACAAAGAAAGTCCTGAGGACTATACAGATGGCGTGATGTCTGTTTTATAGGTGCATTTAGGCCTCTTAGGCCACTCATTTTATCACGCTTAGGACCTGGGCTACCGTCTGCCCAGGAGCATCGTGTAGGACAAGTCCTCCGCGAAACAATCCTTCCTTGCGCGCTATTTCAGAGGACATGGAAGAGCCCCTGAATTTGGATGTTACACGCAACCAGGCTCTCTTCGATATTCGTCAATCAGCCGTGCACAATGGCTCCTGCCGTGTTCTGTGTCCTTGCTTTATCAACTTTTCAAGCAATGACTCACTCGGTAGCAAGTAAAACCAGACCAGATCGATGCAGAGGCTCATGAGGTCGAAAAGCGCTCTTTTTCTGAATGACAATAGAAAGTCGTACGATATGTTGCACCGCCCCGGAGCCTTGCCAGAAATGCCGAGAGTTATGGGGGTTATCTACATGTAGATCGGTAAACATTTAATCATTGAATAATTCGCGCTTGGCATCGCTTCTTTGCTTATGTTTGCCACAGCATTTGATAAGATAGTCTTTCTGGTTTGCACGATTACGTGTGTACGCCTAATAGCTTTCAGCGTGCATGTGCAGAAACTGATATAAACTCCATTTACATGAAAAGGGGCTGCTGTGCAGTACAGGCCTGTATTATCCAGAGAAGAGAGAGGTGCAAATCACTACGAAAGCCACCCACAGGGCTTTTCTACTATACGACTGTCGGAGAACGTCGTTTTACGCATTTTAAGAGAGCATTTTCGGCATTGGATAGTAACGCATTGGTAGGAGTGGACACCACGGCCTAAAGCACAGATGTTAGCGGTGTAGTGGCAGATCGGCAGAAGATGCACGACCTGCGGTACAAAAGGCGCACAGGGTGATACAACAGCGGCCTTCGGCCGTCAGCAAAAGGCCGGGCAGGCTTGGGGGCAACGGAGAGCCGAGCACGGAGGTGGGATATGGGGCGGTAGTTGAAAAGTTTTGACAAGCTAGCGAAAGAAACGCGTAAAATGGTCGATGTCTGTTACGTGCTGTGTAGACTTGACACTTGCTGATTATGTGGCGCATAATGGACAAAAGGTGTGATGTCAACAAGAAGAGAGGAAAGGAGAAGATCGGAGCGGCTTAGGCGTGAGAGTCCGCAGCGAAGAAAAAGAAACGGAAGGTTGGACGAAATGTAGACGGCTGAGAACGGCTATAAGCACGCATAAGGCGAATTACGAGAAAGTCATGAAATTGGGTGAGGCAATTGCCGCCAAGAAGACTGCAAACAACTGACAACGAAGAGACAACGAAGAGACAACGAAGCGGCGGAGAGAAGCAAGCCCGCAGTAATAAGGCGAATGGTTGGTTGCCAAATATAAAAAGGAGAAGCAGCGACGCAGACACCTGATTTCGGCATGAGTCAGGAAGCAGCGATCGTCTCGCCCATGCCAGTGCACGACATCAACCCCACTAGAGCACTAACACGGCGTTGCCCCACCACCGAGAGCTTCCCCTCCCCCTCCGCAACGGCCGACGAGGCGGCAGGTCGACGATTGATCGTTCTTTCCTGTCAGTACGGACAGCTAGCTGATAGTACGCGTTCCTATATATTTGTAGCCGGTCTCTCCTTTCTTTCTCCATTTTGCCGTCCTCTTCTCTAGCATCGTAATCACAGCAGCCGCTCCACAGCCAAACAACCAGGTGAGCGTCTTTTCCTGTTGCAAAAAGCTAGCGAGAAAAAGAGCGAAAAGTCCAAGCTTGGCCCTCAAGCTAGAAAAAATATAGCTCATTTCGTGTTTCGTTCTACATCTCGTGTTCTCCCCTTGAAAGCATTTCCCCTCACCTGTTGCCCCTCCACAACCGCGCAATTTGTCGACTGTTTACCCTTTGCTGAGGTATATTTGCACTTATCCCGTCAAACACGTTCCTGGACTTGACTCGTCCTTTTTCTCCCCTCACTGATCATCCTCATCCATCACACGTCTCTCTGTCCCTATAATTGTCTGGCCTCCTCCCTCCCAGTCTCTTTCTGCTTCTTGTGCTTCTCATCCTTCCGCACCATCAACTGACAGCGATCTCAGGCCTCACTTAATCGGACTCACCCCGACTTTTTGTCCGTCTGCTCTCTCCTCCTCTTCCCAATCCGGTGTCGACCTCGTTGAAGCCCCACATCTAACTTGTTTCGATAGCTTCCATCAGTCACTGTTCAATCATGGCTATTACCAAGATCCACGCCCGCTCCGTCTACGACTCGCGCGGCAACCCGACCGTCGAGGTCGATGTTGTCACCGAGACGGGCCTGCACCGCGCCATGGTGCCCTCGGGCGCCTCGACCGGTTCGTCGACTCCTTCTATCCTCACGGCTGGACTGGCAAGCTAACAGACCGTCTCTCTCAGGTCAGCACGAGGCTTGCGAGCTTCGCGATGGTGACAAGTCCAAGTGGGGTGGCAAGGGTGTCCTCACGGCCGTCAAGAACGTGAACGAGACCATTGGCCCCGCCGTCATCGCCGCGAACTTTGATGTCAAGGACCAGTCCAAGGTCGACAAGTTCCTTGTCGAGCTTGACGGCACCCCGAACAAGACCAAGCTCGGTGCCAACGCCATCCTCGGTGTCAGCTTGGCCATTGCCAAGGCCGGCGCTGCTGAGAAGGTGAGCAGAGGTCAAGGTTGATTTCAAAAGTGGATACGTGCTGACAATTCGTTTCCAGGGCATCCCCCTGTACGCCCACGTGTCCGACCTGGCCGGCACCAAGAAGCCCTACGTTCTCCCGGTTCCGTTCATGAACGTCCTCAACGGCGGGTATGTTTGGCAAGAGAAGAAGAAGAAGAAGAAAGACGAAGAAAAGGCTGCAGGAAAATGCTGACTGTCATACAGTTCTCACGCCGGTGGCCGCCTGGCTTTCCAGGAGTTCATGATTGCTCCGTCGTAAGTATCCCCTGGCTATCCAGAGGCTGTACGTGTCGGTTTCTAACAGTGCAGTGATGCCCCGTCCTTCTCTGAGGCTCTCCGCTGGGGTTCGGAGGTGTACCACCAGCTCAAGAGCCTGGCGACGAAGAAATATGGCCCGTCTGCGGCCAACGTCGGTGACGAGGGTGGTGTCGCTCCGGATATCCACACGGCAGAGGAGGCGCTCAGCCTGATTGCTGAGGCCATCGAGAAGGCCGGCTACACCGGTCGGATGAACATCGCGATGGACGTTGCATCCAGCGAGTTCTACAAGGTGGACGCCAAGAAGTACGACCTGGACTTCAAGAACCCGGACAGCGACCCGACCAAGTGGATCACGTACGAGGAGCTGGCGGCCATCTACGCAGACCTGGCCAAGAAGTACCCAATTGTCAGTATTGAGGACCCGTTCGCCGAGGACGACTGGGAGGCGTGGAGCTACTTCTACAAGACGCAGGACATCCAAATTGTCGGCGACGACCTGACGGTGACGAACCCGCTGCGCATCAAGAAGGCCATTGAGCTGAAGGCGTGCAACGCGCTTCTGCTGAAGGTGAACCAGATCGGCACTCTGACGGAGTCGATCCAGGCGGCCAAGGACTCGTACGCCGACGGCTGGGGAGTCATGGTGTCTCACCGGTCAGGCGAGACGGAGGACGTGACGATTGCCGACATTGTTGTGGGTATCCGCGCCGGTGAGATCAAGACGGGTGCGCCGGCACGGTCGGAGCGTCTGGCCAAGCTGAACCAGCTGCTGCGCATCGAGGAGGAGCTCGGCGACGCGGCTGTGTACGCCGGCACCAGCTTCCGCACGGCTGTCAACATTTAAATGGGATGGAGAGAAAGCGGTAAGGGGACAAATTTGGGAACCCCAGGCGCATATTAGTCGATGGCGATGCTAGTGATGGCGGTAAAAGCTACTGTAGTAGATACGTCCAATATGAACTGATGTGTACTTGATTGAGCTCGTCTGTGGCTTCCATTCTTCGTGGCGCATTGTGGCGCACTGTGGCGCATTATTGTCGAGGCAACCAGCGGAAATGTGGCTTATTTATCAATAAAAACACCCCACAATGGAGGGGCAAGGAACAGCAACATCGCGTCCGCGTCTGTCCACTTTAGCACGAGGCCTGAGTTGAGCACATTGCCCAGCGGCACCTATCACGACCCATTCAATTCCCAAGCGAGTACAGCGACGATGGCGGGTTCAGACGACCTGATCAACTTCGACGTGATTGAGAGCCAGAAGGAGAACATCCAGTCGCTGCCAGGCGGACGGTCAGCGAAGAAGTTGGCAGCGTTGTACTCGCCGACAGCAGGGGGTCTGGCGGGGGTGAGCAGCAGCGGCAGTGCGAGCAGCAGTGGGAGCCGACGGAGCGAGCGGCTGAAGGCACAGCTGACGCCGACGCCAAGTCCGGGGACAACGCGAACGCTGCACGAAGCGATCCGGGCCAAGTTTGAGGAGGAGGTAGCGAGCCTTTCGGAGGCGGACGACCCGCTGGATGTGTATGACCGGTATGTGCGCTGGACGCTGGAGGCGTATCCAACAGCGCAGGCGACGGCCGAGTCGCAGCTGCATGTGCTGCTAGAGCGAGCGACGCGGGCGTTTGTGGGCGCCGCGCAGTATCGCAACGACCCGCGATATCTGCGGCTGTGGCTGCACTACATCCGTCTCTTCTCGGACGCACCGCGCGAGGCGTTTGTCTATCTGGCCCGCCACGGCATCGGCGAGAATCTCGCGCTGTTCTACGAGGAGTATGCCGCCTGGCTCGAGACGGCCGGTCGCTGGATCCAGGCCGACGAGGTCTTGCGGCTGGGTATCGACCGTGCTGCCCGTCCCGAGGCACGTCTGCTGCGCAAGTACGCCGAGTTCGAGCAGCGACGCACTGCCGCCAACGAGGACGACCCCGACACCCCCGGCTCGCCCGCCCTGCCGACTGTTCGGCCGGCCCTCGCGGCCAAGGTCGACCCTTTTGCCGCTGCGGCGGCTGCTGCACGTGACTCTCAGCAAGAGCAGCAGCAGCAACAAGAGCAACAGCAGCAACAGCAACAACAGCAACAACAGCAGAGACAACAGGCGGCTCGCTCGGCCAAACCAAAAATGGCCATCTTCTCAGACGCAGTCGCAGTTGAACCGCCAAAGGCTTCGGCCATGCCGGCTCTGGGCGCGGCTGCCGCAACGTCGAAGGGCTGGCAGAGCATCGGATCGCTGGCGGAACGGAAAAAGGAAAACACGGTGGCGGCCAAGCCGTGGGCCGGCGAGAAGATGAGTGCCGGTGGCAAAAAGGTCACCTCCAAGATGCCCATCTTCAAGGACGCGGTAAGCTAGATCCTCTCTCTCCCGTTTGGCCCCTCCTGCCAGAAACGATGTTGATTCATATAGGACTAATGTGTGCGCGTGGGACTCTTGTATTTTCGGTCATTCTGGCGCAATGTATTCTCTAGTCACTAGCAAAATCACACATTACAATCCACCCGTCACAATACCAGGTTACGGTAAATCCCCAGAGCGGGAAGAAGGAACGCGTCTTTGTCGACCTCCGCGCCGTGTACCCAACGCCAGAAGTGCCTGGCTCCGAGCTGAGCTTCGAGGAGATTTGGGCGGCCAATCGCGGCCTGTTGCACCGTCTGTGGGATGCGCCTCCGGCCGGCCCGTCTGCCGTCGATCTCCTGGCCGACGTCGCGCCCGCAAAGCTCGTCATTCACCGTGATGCAGTAGTACTCGACGAGAACGGCGCCCCAGTCAAGACTCAGGACCGGGAGAACCGCCCGAGGAAGAAGAAGGCGACGGAGATGAACGAGACCCAGATCAGTAAGGCTCCTGTCCAAGCTCTCCGTGTTGTCTGCTTTCTGCTGCGTAGCCTGGATTAACCAATTTCCTTCCGGTAGTCAAAGCAAAGCTCGACTCGCCGTCGGGTCGCAAGATGAAGAAGCGCGGCTCTATTTCTGAGCCGACCATGACGATGCATACCCGGGCGGCCACCGACGACATATACGACATCTTCAACCAGCCTCTCCGACCGGCCATGGGGATCGAGGAATCCGACACAAATGAAACATCGGACGAGGATTATGAGTCCGATGCTGATTACACGAGCGGTGCCGAAAGCACAGGAACGACACGACAAGTTTCGACGAGCGACGCTGGCGACGATGAAGTAGCAGATGAGGTGGACGATGGCGTCGATGGCGTCGAGGGCGAGAAAGAGGCGGACGATGCAAAGAGCGTCAGCGAGTGGTCTGACTTCACAGCCCGGAAAGACATTCCGGATCTCGACGAGGAGGACGATCTGGGCCGAGATCCTGTCGCAGATGAAAACGACGAAAACGACGATGCCGATGAGTCGCTCAGTCCCTTGCCGGTACGCAGACGGTCACAGACGGCCAGCAGCGGCGATGCACCGTCGATTCCATCGTCACCGCTAATGTCTCCTGTAAAGGACTCTGGGCCCTCTCCACCCAAGACGCGGACGGTCTTCATCCCCATTCCGCCCGAAGACTATGTTGCACCCACACGGCCGTATAGGGATCCGGTCGAGGTGGCCAACAACCGTCTGCCCTTTATGACTCCCATCACAGAACGGACGGAATCGTCGCTGGCGTTTGACTCGGACGACAACAGGCGTGCGCTGCTTACTAAGACGCCGAGCAAGGCGTTTGGCATGGCCACGAGGCTTCCGAGCACGGACGAAGATGACGAGGACGAGGAAGAAGAGGAAGAAGAGGAGTACCGCGGGGGTAGCAGCGTCGGCATGGCGTCGGAAGCCATGAGCAGTCCGTTGATCAACGTGACGGACGACGACAACCTCATACAACTGTCGCCAGCGAAACTCCCAGCACCACTGTTTCAGCGGCCTGCAGGCCCCAACAAGGGACCCATCATCAAAGACCTGCAGTGCAACCCGATCGACGAGAGCATCCGGTCCGAGATCTTGGCCCAGATGCACCCACCTCTCAGCTCCTATGCCGGCTTCTATGACCATAGCGAAGAAAAGTACGAAAAGGGTGGCGACATCCGACGTTATGCCAAGGCCGTGAGCAAGTCCAAGGCCGGCAACGGCAGCAGTGGTAGCTCTGACCGCACTAGTGGTGCTGGGCTGCCAGTGATGATCATGTTCCCAGACTGCCCGTCGCAATACACATTACGGCGAGAGCTGGGCGCCGGTGCATTTGCGCCTGTGTATCTGGTGGAAAACATGCATCCGGATGGCGATGAGCAGGCCGGAGCGATATCGCAGATGGGACGAGACGTCTTTGGCAACAGCCAGGTACAACGACACAGCCTCGAGGCACTCAAAATGGAGACACCACCAACAGTGTGGGAGTTCCACATGATGCGGCTGGCACGCACACGACTAGGACCACAGCACCGGGTGACGGCGTCGCTGGCTCCTGGTCTCGAGTGCCACCTGTACCGCGACGAGACATTTCTGTTCTTGCCGTATTATCCTCACGGCACACTGCTGGACGTGGTGAACCTGTTCCGGGCAGAGCCAACCGGGGTGATGGATGAGACGCTGGCCATGTTTTTTGCGATTGAGCTGTTCCGCACGGTGGAGGGACTGCACAGCCACGGGTTACTGCACGGTGATATCAAGGCCGACAACTGTCTGCTGCGGCTGGACGAGTCTGAGCAGCACCAGCACCAGCACGCGTCGCTGTCGGGGCAGTGGCACGCGGACGGTACCGAGGGCTGGGGCTCGCGTGGCGTGACGCTGATCGATTTCGGACGGGCCATTGACATGCGGTCATTTGCGGCGGACGTACGCTTTGTGGCAGACTGGAAAACGACAGCACAAGACTGTGCAGAGATGCGAGAAGGTCGGCCGTGGACGTGGCATATCGACTACCACGGCCTAGCCGGGACGCTGCACACGCTGCTCTTCGGCAAGTACATGGAGACGGTGCGGTGTGACCAGGGCACGGGGGCGACGGTGAGGCGGTACCGCATCCGTGAGTCGCTCAAGCGGTACTGGCAGACAGACCTGTGGTCGGAGGCGTTTGACGTGCTGCTGAACCCGGCAGGTCACGTGATGGACGAGGAGGGTGCGCGACTGCCGGTGCTGCGGTCGATGCGGGGCGTGCGCGATCGGATGGAGACGTGGCTAGCGGCGAACTGCGAGCGTGGCGTTGGACTGAAGAGTCTGATGGTGAAGGTGGAGGGATGGGCTCGCGGAAGGAAATAGGGTGGATGTGATGATAAAGGGAGATGTGGAGGGGATGAGAAGGAGATGTGGGAGAGGATAGATAGACAAGCGGGAAAGGAAGGAGCCAACAAGGTCCGAGGAAAGAGCGAGGAATGCCCGCATGAATTACGAGTTGGCACTGGTCTACATTTGATGCGAGAATGATTATTAGAAGACATACTTGACAAAATGTTCCATCTCTACCAGTGACACCCACCCTGCCACGACGGACCTACTTCTTCTTCCGCTTGTTGACCTGCTCCTGCAGACGGCCACGCTCGGCAGCACCCTGAGCCTGCATGTCAGCCTCGAGGGCAGCAAAGGCGTCGGTGTCAGGGTCCATGCCGACGAGGCTCTCGAGCAGCTTGATCTCGTCAGCCCAGACGCGGCGGTCTTCGACGGTCTTGCCGCCGGCCTTGCCGTCGGGCCGGTCGATGGGCGTCTCAAGCACGATGGGCAGGCCAGAAAAGGCGTCATGGTTGACGAGGCAATGGAAGGCGCGCAGGCCGAGAAAGCCGGTGCCGATGTTGGCGTGCAGGTCGCGGCGGCTGTCGAGGGGGGCCTTGCTGTCGTTGCAGTGGACGGCGCGCAGATAGGAGAGGCCGACGACGGCGTCAAACTCGGCCACGACGGCGGCAAACGACGCGGCCGTGCGGAGGTCGTAGCCGGCCGCAAAGGCGTGGCAGGTATCGAGACAGACGCCGACGCGCTGCTTGTCGTCGACCCCGTCAATGATGGCGCGCAGATCCTCAAACCGGTTGCCGACCGTCGTCCCGCCGCCCGCCATGTTCTCAATCACCGTCACCACGTCCGACGGCGCCGTGTCGCGATGGGCTCGGTTCAGCGCTGCCGCAATGCGCGCGAGTGCCTCCTCGCGCGTGCCCGTCCCGGCCACGGCCGCACCCGGATGGAAGTTGTACAGCCGGATGCCCAGAGCGGCACAGCGTCGCAGGTCGTCCACAAAGTTGCCGTACGCCTGCTCCGCCTTGGCCGCGTCTGCCTGCGCCAGGTTGACCAGGTACGAGCCGTGTGGGAGGCAGTGGCGGGCCGCGTCAAAGCCCAGCGAGGCACACTGCGCCCGGAAACCGTCGCGCGCCTCGTCCGTCAGGGCTGCGTTCGTCCATGTCCGCTGCGACTTGAGGAAGAGCGCAAACGCGTTGCCGCCAATGTACTGCGCGTTGCCGACCGCATTTTGGACACCTAGAGGTCAGTGAGTGTCTGGACGTCTGGAGGTCTGGAGGTCTGGAGCTGTCTGTCGTCCACACATCTCTCACCTCCTGCGCTGCTCACGTGGGCCCCAATGTACATGGCCTTCTTCAACGTGCTCACGTCGGTCCGAGCAGCCAAGGGTGCTTCCCCGGCCTTGACTGCTTTGGCCGTCGTCTTGGCCTTTTTTGTCGGCTTCTCCACCACCGCTTCCTTGGGCTTTGCTACCGCCTTGGCCGCTCCCTTGGCTGGCTTGTGTTCGTCTTCGCTCTTGTCCAGCTCGTCGTCGCTCTCAACCTTGCGCTTCGTCGCTCCTTTGGGACGTCCCCGGCCCTTTACTTTCACCACGACATCCTCGGCCTCTTCTTCCTTTACTGCTGTCACTGCAGAAGCTGCTGCTGTGGTCGTCCTCCCGCTGACTCGTCTCGTTGCCGTCGTCGTCGTGGCTGCGACAATGCCGGTCGAGACGGCCTTGACATGTCGGGGCGACTTGCGAAGAGACATGGTAGGAGACGAGCGCAGCACGCTTAGCAGCCTGGCAGCAAGCAGATCCAGGTTGATGTATTGACGTCGGATGGGACTGAAAGCAGTTGTCGAAGAAGAGAGGAGCTAACCCGCCTGCACAGAGAGCTTCGACTCGTCACGCGCTATGCCCACGCGGTGTCACGTGACTCTTCATTAGCATGTGACGCCAAGACATGACTAATGCGAATCTAGTTCCCCATCATATTTTGCATGCCAAAAAAAAAAAGAGTCCATCTCTGCGCACCTCTTGCCCCACTCCATTCGATGTCATGCTTCGGCGCATCCTTCGCTCCATGATGACCTCGGAGGCCGTGAAAAAGGTTCCCATCCCGCCTCGCGGGGTGGACTACCGCGGCAAGATCGTGCTGGCGCCAATGGTGCGTTCGGGCGAGCTGCCGTCGCGACTGCTGGCTCTGCAATATGGAGCCGATCTGGTCTGGGGTGAGTCTGTATCTTCCTGTCGTCCTGTCGTCGCGATCTAACAGTGCTGTGGACCAGGTCCCGAGACGATCGACAAGTCGCTGATCGGCACGACGCGGCGGTTCAACGAGCGGACCCAGACGATTGAGTGGTCACGCATGCCGTCGAGCTTCTCGCCACACACGACGCCGAAAGAGTCGGTGCTGTACCGGATCGACCCGGCGCACGAGGGTGCACGGCTGGTCTTCCAGATGGGCACGTGCAACCCAGACACGGCAGAAGCAGCAGCTCGACTGGTGGCGGCGGACGTGGCCGGCATCGACATCAACGCTGGCTGCCCGAAGCCGTTCTCGACCGACGGCGGCATGGGCGCGGCCCTGTTGAAGACGCCGGACCTGTTGTGCGCCATTCTGGAGCGGCTGGTGGCCACGATCACGCCGGCCTTTGGCATCGGCATCAGCGTCAAGATTCGGCTGCTGGCCGATGCCGCCGAAACAAAAACGCTCGTGCGCCGGCTCGTCGCCACTGGCATCACCGGCCTGACGGTGCACTGCCGCACGCGCAATATGCGGCCACGTGAACGGGCTATCCGCGATCAGCTCCGCATGGTCGCCGACGAGTGCCGGGCGGCCGGTGTGGCCTGTCTGATGAATGGCGATGTCACGTCACGTGACCAGGCTTTGAGCCTCATGGCCGAATACGGCGTCGACGGCGCCATGATCGCCACGGCGGCCGAGCGCAATCCCAGCTGCTTCCGTGCCGAAGGTGACGGTGGCCTCGCAGCCTGGCCCGAAGTCGTCGAGCACTACGTGCGCCATGCGATCGCCGTCGGCAACCGCTTCGGCAACACCAAGTACCTGCTCGTTCAGATGGTACCCGGCCGCCAGTCCGAGACCATGGGCCTCAGCCGCTGCCACAACTACGTCGACGTCTGCCGCTCCCTCGACCTGCCCGGCTTGCTGGCTGCTGCCCACGACACCGACGCCGCCCTCGGCATCGACCCTGACAGCCTGCTCGCCAATAAGGCGGCCAAGGAGGCCGAGCAGTCCGCCAAGCGCAAGGCCAGGGCCGAGGCCAGAGAGATGGCTGAAGGCGCGGCTGCACAGCGTCAGCACAAACGGCTGAAGAGCAGTGTCGAGGCTGTAGAAGGAGAGGTTGCTAAGGCTGCAGAAGCTGCCGTTATCTCGGTGCCACCTCCATCTGGCCCAGCTCTTGCTGCAGCATCAGTATGAGAGTGGCGCAGAATGAACAAAAACAAAAAAAAGACAGACAAAAACAAAGTAGAAGATCGTGCATAGGACCGGGCATGGAAGCATCGGACACAGGATCAGGATAGACTGCGGTTTGTGCATAGCATATGGTTTACGATATCCAGGAACAGCAGACAGCAGGCGGCGGGAAATGTCTGATATATACATGCAGCTGTTCAGCGGCCCAGCTTTGTAAGCGTACAAGCTTCGTAGACGGTCATACCTTCCTGCCCTGTGCCAGCATCTCGGACACTTTTGGCGGCAGCACCAGAGCCGTCCTGTCGTTTCGGCGGTAAAAATCGACCAGCGTCATGGCTGTCTTTTCCGGCAGGTCCTCGTGGATGAAATGACCGGCTTCTGGGAAGACTTGGAGGGCATATTTTCCTAGTATGGACGGGTTAGCGCAGATGGGGAAAAGGAAGAAGAGGAGAAAGATCTGCCCACCCTGCATCTGCCCAATGGTCAGCTCCGTGTCCAAGCGATCAGTCCCGGCCAGCAGCAGGAGTTTTCCGCCGCGGGACCCAAGGAACTTCTTGCTGAGTCCGGTGAACCAGTCTTCCCAAAAAGGCTGTGTGGCGGCCAAGTCGGTGCGCCAGTGCCACGGCCGCCGCTTGGCTTCGGGTGAGAGAGGCAGTTTCGGCGGCGGCTGTGACATCGTCTGCGGTGTCTGTGGTGTCTCGCCCCCGGCCGGCTCCTGGTCGTGCACGAGCAGTGCGGGCACGCTGGTGCGGGCGGACGTGGCATTGCGGATAGTGCGTGAGCGAATGTGCCACTCGATGCCGGACTGCAGCGTCGGGAAACCGGCCGGCCGCGACGCCAGATACGTGCGCATGCTCTGCAGCGCGTCCATGGCCGAGCCCTCGACGACGTCGAGCACGGCAAAACCGAGGAGGGGGGCGCCGAGGGTGCCGGCATGGGCGAGATCGGTCACCACGGCGCCGCCCAGCGAATGGCCCACGAGCACGATTGGCGGCAAGGCCGGCCAGCGCATCTGGGCCTGGGCCAACCGGATGACGGCCAGCAGGTCGGCGCTGAGCGTGCAGAGCCGGAGGTCCAGGTCCGGCTGCGGGCCGCCGTCTTCATCGGCCTCCCGTCGCATCCGTGTCAGCCCGTGGTCGCGCGCGTCCACCGACAGGATGCCGGCTGATGGCAACCGCTTGCGGATCTCGGCACCCACAACCGCAAACGACAGCCCGGATGAGCCGGCACCGTGGTGCATCACAAAGAGCGGGCCCTTGTCGACTGGCGAGGTCAGGTACGCATGGTAGACGATGTCGCTGCCGTCGTCAGCCGCCAGAAAGAGCTCGCGCTCGAAAAAGGTCGTCCATGGGATCGGGTCCAGCGTGCGTCCGCGGGGAAGACTAAGGGTCGTCAGTGCTGAGCAGAAGACGACTGTCCAATCTGGCTCACCCGTGTGGCCGAGCAAAGAGGTTGTGGCTGGCCGATGGAACGACCGTGCCTGTTGACGACGCCGACGATGACGCCGACGACAGCGACGCCGCATCGTCGTCCACCGGGTCCGACCCGTACATGCCGGTGCCTCCACCGCTGTTGCTGCTGGTGCTGCTGCTATTACTAGCCATCGTGGACGCCAATGTCGACGATGCCGGCGATGTCTGTGGTTGGAGCTGGGCCGTCCGCCCGTCCTCGTCCGCCGCCTCGTCCTCGTCCCTCTCGTCAAAACGCCCGGCCGCGAGCGCATCCATCTTGGCCTTGGCCCACCGTCGCTGCAGCTCGCTCATGGCATCGACAGGAGGGTGGGCGACTGGAGGATCCAGGTGCGAAGCCAGGTTGGTCAGCCGCTGCCACCACCGCGAACCAGCTCCTCGTCTCTCTTCCGTCCTGGTCGAAGCGAGAGAGAAGATGTCAAGAACCACAGAGCACACGTCTGTGTCGTGTCGTCGCAAAAAAAGGGAACCCGAACTGTCGTCTCTTCTTCGCTGTCGGCTGCTTGCTGCTCACCTTATCCTCTCCAGCCTTGCATTGGCTGTGGTGGGGTGACTGCCAAGGAAACTACGCGCTAAGGCAAACGCCCCTCTTGGCGTCTCTGGGAAGGAACGCCTGCTTTCTCGGCTGCTTCCCTTTTCGGCGTAAAGCCATGCTGCAACATCCAATATCTCAATCGCTACCAATTTTGTCTATAAGAAAGTAAAGACCAGAAAGACCAAAAGACCAAAAAGACTGACTGCCTATGTTACAAAATACACATCACATCACGCCAACCATCTCGCTCAATGCCTTCACCCGTCCTGTCTCTTCTACACAATCTTCTACACGAATTTCTACACAAAGGAAACACCCATACTACCGACTCAAAAATCACGCTGCGACTGCCACGGGCCGTTTGCCCTCTTGTTGTTGCTCAGCGTGTTCGACTGGTAGCCGCCGTCGACCTGCTGCTCGCTCGCAAAGGGTGCGTACGGGTTGTTTGTCCGGGAGTCGTTCCTGCGCGGCGGAGCTCTGCTCGGTCCGTTGAAGTCGAAGCCCGCGTTAGCCAGGATCGGCTGCCGTGCACTGAAGCTTGTCGACGACACCGACTGTGCGATCGGTGCTGCGTGTCCGAGGAGGCCGTTGTCGGCTGCTTCCGTGTCGACCCCCAGGCGAGAGGTGGGCGTCAGTCGCCGAACGCCGAGCGGACCGCTCACAAAATTGGCCGCCCTCGACGAGAGAACCGACAGCCTCGACTGCCGCTTCTTGTCGTCGCCACCGCTGTTGGCAAAGTCCACGTCGCCCATGTTGGTCATCATAAAGGCCGCGTTCTTCTCGTCCATCGGAGCGGACCGGCCGGGCTGAAGCAGCGAGTTGCGGGCGTCGAGAGGCGTCAGCGCGTCATTGTCACGGGCTTCCTCTGCAGAAACGGATGATTAGTCAGCAACACACACAAAGTCAACCCCCGGAAGAACACATACCTATCTCTCGTTGCCGCTTCTTGTGCGGGTTCTCCTTGATGCACGCAATCAGGGCGTTCCACCCCATCAGGATCGCCAGTGCGGCCGACAGCACCGACTGCACCACAATCAGCACGACTCCGGCCACCGTCTGCGTCGTCTCGGCAATGTCAAACTCGTCGACAAAGATGAAGACGCACACAATCGACAGCACCCGCACCACCTGGATCATGATGTTGATCACATTGCCCGACCGCCGCTCATACGGCCGGCTCCAGCAGAGCAGCGCCAGCATGCCGATCTCGATCAGCATCTGCGACACCGTCTGGGCTAGCCCGTGGCCGTCGCCAACCGCCAGCACGACGCCCTTGACAAACATGTACAAGATCGTTGGCAGGAAGATCCACCAGTAGCGCCGCCGGTACGACTCGTAAAACATGCTGTACCGGTCCCAGAGCCGCTTGTTCTCGAACAGCCCGCCGACGTCGCCCTCGGCCTCCTGCAGCTTCTTGGCCGTGTTTCCGATCTGGAAGGTGAAGAAGGCCAGAATGCCCGTGAAAGTTGCCAGCGTCAGCCCAGCAAGCAGCTTGACCGCCCACGAGTCGCCACGCGTGAACTGGTACATGCAGTACAGCACCCATACTCCGTATAGCAGCAGCACCAGCGTCGTGAGCGTCTGGCCGATCGACCGCCAGTAATGCTTGCGGAACGGCGTCAGCGATTCGGGAAACCGGCCCACCAGCGACCACACCTCCAGCACCACTTTGAAGAACAGCAGCCCGACCGTGATGACCGCAACCACAATTGCCACGATCAGCAGCACGGTCATGAACGTGTTGGCCGACGGGATGCTCAGTTCCTCTACAAACGCCTTGATCCCGCTGACCGTCTTCTGGAACGACTGTTCCGTCGCGTTCTCGGCCTTCGTTATCGCTGTCGTCGTCGATGTCGAGCTGCCGTTGACGCTCGTCGCAATCTCCCGCACCACCTGCACGCCTCGTGCATGCACCGCCCGCTTGGCCGTCGAGCTCGACCCTTCCGAATAGACCAGCGTCTTGTTCCGCAGGTACGCCACGCTGTTGTCCGTCAGGTTGCCGCCCGTCGCAGCCCGGAAGTTGTCGATGGACGTCTGCAGCTGCGTCCACGGCACGAGGCCGGTCGAAAAGGCAAAGTTCTTCGAGAAGCTGCGGTACACTTGCGGGTAGTTGACCGACAGCATGCCGTTCATCGCCATGCCCTGGAACAGGCCAAACACCTCCGTGAAGCCGGGGCTCAGCGTCCCGATACCGCCTGCTGCTGCCGATCCGCCCGCTGCTCCGCTACCGCCGGCCATAGCTGCGCCCACTGCGCTGACACCACTGATAAGGAGCGCCGCACCCGTCAGGCCGGCAGCCGCATACGACACCGCCGGCTGGTCGACCGTCTTGTCGTTCGTCACCTCCGCCTGAACGCATGCCACTTCCGACCCGTCTGCGACCGACACGAGCCGCAGTGTCGCTTGTGCCGAAATGTCCGGTACCCGGAACGCGATCGACGGCACCACGCTCGCATATGCTGCTGGAATCACCTGGGAACCGCTTGCAGAGAACTGGCCAACAGGCGCTGGGCACAGCTGCTGCACATACGTGCCTGTCGCGCACGGGTTGAGCGACCTCGAGTACACCTGGGCTCCGTATGCCGTGATGTCGATCTTGGCCGTGACGTTCTGCTCTTTGGTGCTGGTGCCGGCCACGTTAAACGTCACCGTCTGGCTGTCGCTGTTGTACTCGATTTCTATCTCTTGCACCGTCACGTTCGCATTGGTGCCACACGTCGTGAATCCGGTCGTCCTCAGAATATTCGCCGCCGCTGCATTCTGAATCCATGCCGACAGCGCCACCGTTACGGCCAGAGCCGTCTTCAGCACGCCGGCTGGTCTCCTCTGTCGAGACATTAGATCGGTATAGTTGTCTGTCGTCGCTCTTCGTATCGTATCGCGCCCGTAGAACGGTGAGCTTCTGTGAACTTGTTATGCAGAGTCGTTGTCGTTCATATAAGGCATTTGGATATTCGAAAGAGACTGTCTAAGCCGGCCGATGTCGATAAAAACGAGCGAGAGAAAAAGGCACAAGACAGAAAATGAGCGTAAGGCGTGTAGCCAGCGACAAGAGAGTAAAATGAAAGATCAGAGTAAAATGGCCGAGGATCAACCTGGAAAGAAAGGAAAGATTGGAACGAATGGGTGGACTATGAAGTTGTCCGCATAGCATAAAAGCCTTGTTCTTTGGTTATACGAAAAATCTGTGAAGATCAGTTGTGCTGCAGTCTGTACCTGTGCGTCCTGCAAGGACACACAGAATAGGTAAAGAGTGAAAATAGATGGAGGAAAGAAACGATTGAGAGAGCGTGAGCACAGTCCAACCTGGCAACGAGAAGCAAGCAGGGGAAGCAATGGAAAACAAGGAGGATTTGAAGCCAGAACGGCAGTAAGAGAGAGAGAGAGAGAGAAGAGTGATAGTATGGAGAGTAGGGGAAACAGAGAGAGCCTGCTCGTGTCTCGTGGGGTTGGGCACTTGCATCCGTGAGGAATGTGCTCCGTAAGATGATTGTACAAGACGAAACGGGAGAGGTCCACGAAAGGGGGCCTTGCATCCTGACTTGTCTGCCCAGAGACCCACGCGGTCGAGCCGCGCTGATGCCATCGGATTGCCATCTCGACAGAGGGAGCCGGGGTCGAAACGAGGGATGAGATGATTGGTTGTCACGGTCATCTCGCTGCTATCGCTCCATAAAACGACCAGGCCGTCCAAGCCAGTTGGCTGCCGTTCCTGATTCTCGGACTGTCTGAGTTGCTGCCATTATGGGGGCCAAAGCGGGCCTGTGGTACCGGTTATTGCTTGTCTGAAACATGGATTAGGGGGGGAAGCCTCTCGCTACTATGTACCCCTCCCCCCCTGAAACTAGGGCCTGGCCAGCGATCGCCGCTGTACGCGGCCGCTCATTAGCCGAGAGGCCTTCACCGCTAAAGTACGGAGTACGGAGTACTGCCTTGCCGTGACTGATTTTGCCGTACGGAATGCGGCGACGGGGAAGAAAAGAGAGAAGAAAAGAAGAAAAGAAAGAAAAGAAAGAAAAATCGCAAAGAAAAAGACGGTGAGCAGAAAGAGGCAGTTCAGCTGCTCAGCCGAGAAGGCTTGCTGCAAGCCATTCAGCCGCTGGCCTGGTAGCGAAGGAAAACAAAATCAGGATTTCAACGGCGCACCGGCGAGATTGCCGGTGGAGGCTCCGTATCCAACAGCAAGGTCAGCCACAAAGTCATTATCTCGTTCGTATTGTGCGGCCTCTCGTTCGGCAGGGGTGCAAGAGCCTCGCCACGCAAGCTGCCTCAGGACTGCCACCTCCCCCGTCTTTTAGACGCTCGCATTACGGAGTATGACGACTTCTCCGCAAGTCATCGCTCTCTGCCTTTCGGCCGCGTGGGATGCCGGCCTGCCTTCAATCCCTACGGACATCCCGCTCATCACCAGGCAGGACCCAGGGATGGGGAGGCCCAGAAGAAGCACTGACCCGTGTCCACAGCGGTGCCCATGGATTCATGCAATGTGCTGTCCTGCTACTATGTATGGACGCGATCGACAGGCTCCATAGAATTGGACTTTGAACTCGTATAGTTCATTTCACGCTCTCAGGATAGTAACATTGAGGGCTCCAACTGTCAATAGACCGCAAGCATTCTTTTCCGCAAGGCGCAAATCTAGCAGGTGAAAGACAGAGGATATGCGGTGGGCGTTGAAATAAAGCTGTATGCGCTTGAAAGGCTGAATCTGTTCAAGGGACAATCTCGAAAGGCCCTGGATCATGACAAGCTGAGACGTCCAAGCTCAAGGACTCGAAAGGGGGGAAGAGCAACCGGCTGGGTCGACCGAATGAGTTGAAGCACGAGTAGATAGTGTTAGAAGATGCGTCGTAGTTTAAGTTGCATCGCCATTGCAAGAATGTCGTTGGAGAGCTTCGAGTCGTGAGCCCAGCGGCAGCGCTTGGCGCGCATATGAGTGTGAACAAATCGAACTCCGCAGGGGATGGAACGTCGTCTCGACAGACCTAACAACAAAGGAAGATCAACAGACCAGGATGCACACTTAGGAGGGCTTCGATGTCCCCTGGAGGATCAAAATTGGACGAACGACATACGACGTATACAGGGTCCTGATCATTGGGTGGTATTTGTAAAGTGCTACGGAAGAAACAAGCCTTTAGAAAAGGCTAACTTCTATATTAAGATACTAGTCCTTCAAGGACCTCCATTATACGTAACTGCGTCTAAGAATATCCTAGGCCACATGCATCGTATTGAGAAGGGAAGTTGTACGTGCTTATTGAATGCACATTCTCTGTAGCTTGCTATAGCTACGATACAGCCAGAAATATGTTTTCTGTTGAAGAGTAAGACTGCTGCTGAATCGACCTCGGAAGACGAAACGGGACGTTGCCAATTTCTCTCGTACCCAGTCTTGGTTTGCTCAGCGTAGGTGCAATCTGAGCTTCTAATACCTTGGCTCGTTCAGTCTTTGACGTACAGACCTTATTAAGAAATCTTGTGATCACTGGGCGTCCTAGTCACGATTTAGGTTTCCAGATTCTTTTGTGAGATACGATACAGTTCGCTACACCAAAAACCCCGTGCATAGCCGTCCGAACTTCATCCAGATAATCAAGGCCTCCACGTAACGCTTCCATGTTGGCAACCTTGCTCCCTCGCAGGAAATTAGGAAATGACAGCATTGTTGACGTGAGATTTTCATGCGAAAGCCTGGGTCGATGACAACAATGATGTCGACATCCATCCCATCAAATGCTACTCCTTGCCATGGTCCGGGTGGAAATGTGCAGGCTCCTCATCAACCAAATATTGCCATTCCTCTCCTGCCAATGACGTCAGAAGCAGCTTCCTGTCTCGATATGCCAACAGACCTTCCACTTCGAGTGTGTTGATCGCCGTGTGAGCTTGGCGCCTCGGTAAAAGGCAAGCACAAAGCTGTTGTCTACGATTCATCTGTAGTGAGCCTCACGACCAAGGGGACCAGAAGGTCTACAGTGTGGCGAATCTAAATGTATCAAAAAGTGTATCTTAAACATGTCTCATAGCCATATATATACAAAATCCCAAAATGTGGTCATAAGAATCCGACAAACATGCTTCGAAACACGCAAAATTCCAGATCATCTTTCTGCCTCTCATCGTTCATAGTACATCATAAAACCCCGTAATCGACAAGCCCAACAAAAAACGTCCCAAGAAAACGGGACAAATCCCGGTAGAGAAATGAGCGCCAAAGCACAGCGCAAAAACAATTGTAGTAGCTCCGTCTGATTCCTGCTACTAACCGTAGAACTGCCCTTGGCCCTTCAGTGGTGCACGTTTATACGGAGGGATAGAGCCAATCGACGGGTTGGTAACCAATTCATAGTCCATCTGGCCGCTGGATAGACTCGTTTGCAGCCCCAGGGGATTAGCGATGGCCGTCGAAAACCCAGGGTAGGATACCGCATCGATACTCGAATTTGAAAACACTCGGTTCGATGTTGGGTCTTGGTAGCCTGTCGTTGTAAGAGGCAGGTGGCCGGGTCCATAAGCAGCACCAGTATACGGAGCAGACACCGGAATCACATTTATTGCTGCTCCATTCAGACTTTGCATCTGCGATGCCATACCCATCGGCGGTGCAAATGATTGTTGGCCGTAGTACGACCGCTGATACGGTGTTTGCGTAGTAGTCGGGTACACATAATCATTCGATTCGGGAGCGCCAGTCGGGACATACGCCATTGTATGCCCCAGCGGAGTCTGGTGAAATGGACCCGGAGGTACTCGCGTCATCGACACCAGATTCGACGGATTGGGCATCATGTTGTGCTGTGTCTCGTCTACACTTGGGAATGTCGGCGTTGGTGCAAAGTTCCGCTGCGGTGGTTCTTGGACAGGGCTAATTAAAGTATCCGCATCCAGTTCTTTTCGCTCCACCAGCTTCAGGATAGGCAAACTGATATGCTCCATATGCTTGGCCAGATGCACCGTGAGCTTTTTCCACGTCGGAAACGTCTTGCCACAAAACTTGCACGGTTCGTTTTGTGGCCGGTCTGTTGTCTCCGCATGACATTGCTCAACTCGCTGCCACGTCTCGTCTGTGGCGCCTGCTTTCTTAATCGCCGCCTTTGTCTTGTGCTTGGGCTCGGGAAACTTGTGCTCCCGGACCAGATGCTGCAAGAAATTGTCTCGGCGGTAGCATGTGTGCCGGCACTCATCCACATCGCATGTCCACCATTCCAGGTGCCGGTGACCTTCATTCTCGTGGCGGACCCAGTCGGCCTTCCTCTTGAAAATCTTGGGTTCCCGGCAGCGGTCCCATGTGCATGTGAATGGCTGCACATCCTCGTGAACATGCTTCGTCCAGTCTGAGGGTTTCTGGAAGCGTTTGTTCTGAAAACACAACTGGCATTCGAACTCGGCAGGCAAAACACTTGTTGGCGGCATCGGTATGTGCTTTGGGGAAAACTTTCGGGGCTGACAGCACCATCCAGGGGCGAAGCGAGATCTCCGATATCTGCGGATCCATATCCAGTCGATAGGGGATCGAGAGGAACCACGTCCATCTTGCCATCAAGCAGCACAGACGCACCGCCTTGTTCGATGCACAGGTCGCCACTTGGACAGTTGTTGCCCTTCACATAGCTGAGATGTCTCACCTTGTTATTCAGCAAAGATTTGTAGCGCTGAATCTGCTGGTACGCGATCCGATCCACGAGGTACGTATTCGTACTGGATAGTGTAGGGTTCAGCGTGAAAACTAGCTCTCGGAAACCTTTCAGGTCTGGTGAGATCGTGTTGATGAGTCCATCGGACTCGGGCTTCACGTCACCCTCATCAAATGCTTCGTCTTCATCATCATCATCGTCGTCAGGATCTGCAATAACAGGCGCAGGTACCGGTGCGTTTGTTGAAGTATAGAGGGGAAGGCTGTTCATCGAAAAGAGCGTAGGAGTCTGCGGACCATAGGCAGAGTTCCCAGTAGCCAAGTTTGCCACTGGTGGCCCGCCCGCGGTCTTTAACATGCGAACGAGATTCGGGTGCGGGTTTTCGGGTGTCGCCTTGGACAGCGACTTGCTTCTCTGGCGTCGGAGAGAATTGCTCACTTTCAGAAGAGGACTCTTGGGCGAAGTCAACGGAGGGCTCAAGCTGACCGAACCCGTGTGTTGCCGGCTTACAGACCCATTTCGAGCGTGCGTTGTCCCGATAGAAGCCACACTGCTTCCCATATTGACCAGAGCAGTATTAATGCTAGGCATGTGCTGCTTGTTCTTGCCCGTGCTCAGAGTCCGAGAAGGAGGAACAAGCGAGTTACTGTCCCGCCTGCTTTCCCCAAAACTGAAGTCGCCCCAGTTCGTGTCCAAAGTAGGTTTCTTCTCAATTTCCTGGCTGGTCCGAACCCTCTTTGGCTGTTGGCTTGTGCTCGGCATCCTGACAAGAGTGCGCAGCCCCTCAAAGATGCTCGGACGGCGCGTGTCGCCACGGCTGAGGGAGAGTTTCTTGAAAAAGTTTCCGCTTGTGATGCCCTCCATATCTGTGACGCTGGGGAGACTGCGGCGCCGCGTTCCCCACGTGGCAGAGCGCGAAATGTATGACGCATTGTCACGATACATCTTTTCAAACTTCTCAATGGCCGCTTGCGACGACTCGGGTTGACGCCGGTCAGATTCTTCTGCAATCTGCGTAATTGGCAGACTCGTAGGAGCATTCTCCCAAACGTGGTTGCTCAGCATGATATCGTAGTCCGTGGCATTGAGAGGACCATTGCCTTTTTTGTAGTATATCCGGTCAAACTGTTCAATGTTTTGTGTCTCGTGTCCTAAACTGATGTCACGATCCGATACTCCTTCAAATCCAGGTTCCTGACGGCGAGAGGAGGGAGTGATGGCAATCGGCACTTCGTATTTAGTAGCGTCCAGCCACTGGCTAACTACGGTGTTCTGCGCCGCAACTTTCCGGGCGTCGGCATCTTCGTTAAGACTGGTTGCCGTTTCAGTAGTGAGGCGGCTGGATGGATCAATCCCTCCAAGGCCAGTGACACTATCAACTTCCCATGCGCCATGCTGATTGCGCATCACGGACTGAGGCACGGCGGGCTTGGCAGGCGATTGCCACTGCAGAGTGCTGTCATCAGCGCTTGTGCCAAGGGCCGAGTTCTGGTTGGGCTTTGGCCCAAAGCTAGCCTCAACCGCAAGGCTGGGGTTATCTCCGCCCGCGCCATCATCTTTGTCCCATTGTGACACAGTGACATACGGGTTCTGGCCAGCCATGGACACAGCTGTGTATGTATTCCCTTCCTCTCTCGAAAAGCCGCCGTGGCTGGTGTTCCCCAAACTATCACCGCTGCTCGCCGAGTCCGGTGTCAGTTGTGTGGCTATGTCGACTTCAAAACCGTTGAACTGTGCTAGCTTGGTTGCCGGCTCTTGCTTTACAAGCTGATGGGGCGAGATCAAGCCAACGCCTAAAAATGTCTTAGTCAAGGCGACGTTCTCTTGGAGCCCCCTCTGTGCAGGCGTGGCAGAGTGATGGGGCGAGAAAGTGTTGAGCGACGGCGTCTGGTCAGGGCTTATAAGATATGTCTTGGAGTCCTGGAAGAAAGGTTCAGGAGTAGAGACCGATGCTGTCACGGGTGTGTCGAACAGGTGGAAGTCCGGGAGCGAAAGGGTATTTCCACCTAGGGCGTTGAAGTCAACGGTGTTGAACCAGCTGTCGTCGCCGTTCTCAGCCTCGCTGTAGCTGCTGGACTGATAGTTGCTCAGCTCTGACTCAGCAGGTGTATTGATGTCGTGCAGGAACGGCGATGTTGCATCGATGGGTTTCAACATGGATGACGATGATACAGTCGGCAAGGAGAGGTCGCCACCGAGTGACGTGGGGGATTGTTGATAGTTGTCGTCGGTGCTGTCCAACGGTTCTGGAGGGAAGTCAGGGAAGGAGAAAGAAGACATGGCAAGGGTAGAAAGAAGCGGGGATATGGAGAAAACGAGAGGAAAGCCGCCTTATATAATGCTCGGGCAAGCCGCAGTACGAGGTACACAAGGAACACGAAGGAAAGAGAGGTAGAAGGAAGAAGAGAACGTGTCAAGGGAGAGGGGTCAGGATTATGATGGGATTGATGGGACGAGACAAGCAGCGATTGTCCAGAGGCCGCACCCTCCAGCTCAGAGCGCGATAGTGGGCGCTGGGATCAGCGCTCCCTTTGGACGGGATGGGGGTGACAGTTGGGCGGTGCAATGGCGTGTGCGGCTAGAGCGAAGGCGGGGACACACGACCATGCCCTTTTGACTGCAGATGATGGGCCCAGGAAAACAAAGCTTGATTGACGAGGTGTCTTATAACAATTGTCGATGTGCTGATTTTGCAGCGTGCAAGCAGATCGCTGGCGATGAGTCCGGTGATAAAAAGAGTCAGCGCGTATCGCACCTTTGGGGTTCGTTCACGGGGGATGAGTGTGTGCGTAGAGGCTAATCTGCGAGAATTGGAATGAAAGAGAGAGAAAAAAGACTCAGGATTGGGCTGCAGCAAAATGAGATTTGTTTCCGCGCTTCAGCTGAAAAGCGTGTCTCTTCGTAATACGCAGCAGGAGCGATGGGAGGGACAGGCACGTATCTTATTACCGCTAAAACGATTCGTTCAATAAAACAGGTTACAGCGCTTAGCTCTCCTACGTCTGGGGGACTATAATAAACGGTCGGCCTGGTAGCCCAGTTGGGTGTTAGCGGTGGGGCATCTCTATGATGCCGGCCGGGTCACTTTTTGATTTTAACATAAGATACTATTAGGAGGGAAAAGGAACGAAAGCCAGAATCGGAATCGGTCGACGCACAATCACTAGGATAATTTAGACATGTATGCAGGAAACGTCCCGGCGCAGCAACGCAAGGGATCAGGGGTGCGGCAGCGCAAATGCTCGGCAGGAACTTGCAGACAATGGTCAAATATCTGAAAAATGTGCGGGGTGTGGCTAGGAGGAACATTCTGCCAGGGGAAGGAAAGCGCAATGCAGCCGGTATAGATCTGTTCGCAATGACCTGCAGGAGTACTCGAAGTCTCCCATGACAGGGCGTTTTTGCTATCGAAAGAATGCCTTGGTAGGTCTGCCGTGGCAGTTATCGATCATATCCCTCTCCAACATCTCAAGAGAATGTACGGAGTAGGAATCGCGGCCTCACCAACCATGTTTCATAGCAACCGCTTAGCGAAAAGCGTGGAAAGCTGCGGCTCGTCACACCAGACCGCTTGTGCAAGGCATTCTCATTACCGTCAGGCGAATTACAGGCTAGCCAACCAACACTCCCTACGAAATACAGCGTAGGACTTTAGTCCAGTTAGACAACCCTGAAATCGCTCGACGGCGCCACACTCAGCCCCACGCGCCGTTCCTCTGCCTGAGCCCTCGTAAGGCATAATCGCCAATTATGACGAAATGTGTCTTACTAATACTCGTATATAGCAAAAATGTAAGTATGTAGATGCCATTTGCTCCCTTCAGTCGCGGAGGCGATTGGTTACCGCAGTAAAACTTCGCACTACTACAGTGCCGCTGGATTATGTACTAGTACTCCGCATCATTGCCAGAAACACGACCCGGTGTATTATGTGAACTCCGAGAACGGCAAGATAATAATTTGTCTCGGTGCAACCAACCTGCCTGGCTCTGCTCACAGCCTCACCACACGATGTCTTATCACCTGTGCTAGCCTCAACTCTGCAGCAGCCCGATGGGGTCAACCGGCCGACCGAGCTATCATTCTGGCAAGCCAGCAGACTATCCTGCTGGCGGTACGGAGCAGACTAGGATATCTACACCGAGCTGGTGAGATGTGGATCCGGTGGAGGAAGCTCGTGCAGAACAGCTCTGCACAGCCACATATTGCCGCGTGCCTTCCCGCTACGAGATGTGTGTAAGATACGACTTGATAATGGCTGGTATCTTACGCCGTACATACTCCATACTCGTACTCCGTAGAACTTGTGTGTAAGGGAGAGATCTGCGCCATGACACTAGTCTACAATGAGTAGAGAAGCACGGTCTTACTTCGTGCAGCTCGTCCAAGCTTGCCAGTCGCAAGAGAGCCAGTCCAACCAATCGCACAATGCGCTTGCCAGATTATATAATCCCGGCCAACTGCCGTATCTCATCCGGGATTCCAATGGCATAATTGGGACAGTACCCCAATATTACTCCGTACGCCGAATCGAGTTTTTTGGCACCGCCTCCTTTCATAAAACACAACAACGCACGATAGCCTTCCCTGCCGATACGAGCTCGGGGACTTGCCAGCACATCTCAACCAGTTGTCATCACAAGTCTTCGTGCCGAGATCCTTCAACCACAATGGTAAGCTTCGGCTAACCCCCCCCCACACCTTGAAAGATGCTGACAATAACTCCACAGTCTCTGGACACTCAAGCATATCTGCTTGCGGCCCTGACCGCATCCGGTGGCGTCGTGGGTTACGCCAAGACCGGCTCCGTCCCGTCTATCGCGGCAGGTCTTACCGTTGGAGCTCTGTGTACGTGATAGGCCGAATGACCTCTTTTCCATCGTGCCACACTTCTTTCATTCTTGTCAGCTAATCTGCTTTAATGTACGATAGACGGTCTGGGCGCTTACCGCCTGCAGAAGCGCCAGCCGTACGGCGTCGAATTGGCCCTCCTCGCTTCCGTCGTGCTGGGCGGCTCCTCCATTCCGCGTGCTATCCGTCTGAAGAAGCCGGTCCCCATCGTTCTCAGCATTGTGGCGACATTTGGTCTCTTACAGTTTGGAAACGCTTTTTTGCACAAGCAATGATTGAGCGGGCTGCATTGGGTATATAACAAGGGGAAAGAAAACAACATTGAGGGGAAAGGTGCTAGTTTTAGTGTGCCCAAATGGTCCGAACGCCACAACAATTCCTGCATCTCTTTCTGCCGCATGGAAAGTAAAGGAACATCAGTCGTCTTGCTTCCCAAAGTGAACGCCTCGTTGTGGCCAGTGGGCTTCCATGACCCTTTTCACCCGCCGCCTCCCGGTGCCTCTTAAGGCCAAGTCTTGTCCCTTCTCGTGTCCGCCTTTTGAGTTCATAAATTCATAACAATACAAGCGCCCGGGTGCGATATCCTACACGTTGTGGTGTCAGTTGAGGAATGCCAAAGGGCGTTTGGCTCGGCACAGTGGCTGGCTTTGATCGCCCTCTACGGACGTGTAGATCTCTCGGGTCGAAACAGGGTTTATCCAGCCAAGCCTCACGACTGTTCATCGATCTCTTTCCAGAGTGCTCGTATCTTTCCATTTTTATCTTGTGCGTTGGATCGATTTGCCACTACTCGTTTCGCTCGCTCGGCCTTCAAGCACGTGTTCAGTGCTGTCTTGGCTCCGTTGCACATTCCCATCGATTTCCAAATGAAGCCTTTTGCGTGGCACTCTTCGAATGCTGCCATAACCTCTGCGCAGCCTGCAATCCCAAATGCCTCTAGTCAGTCACACATTGAGAGTCAGAAGGCACGAGAAGCCAACATTAGCCAGCTTTGGTCATACCCGCATTGTCCACGTTGTCCAGATGGGGATGCATGGCGGACGTTCTCCTGTATTGCAGCCGTTTTCCGTTGAAAACTACAGCTTTCGTAATAAAAGACTTCCGTGGGGGTTGTTACGCTGTTCTTAAAAAAAGAAGAATTGTCGCGAATGAGGATTGCTCATGGCCTGAGAAGAAACTAGATATTAATAATGGGAAAACGAAAAGAAACTTATCGGCGCGCTGAAGACCCGCTCATCCCCAATGGATCGTCCCACTTTTAATGTATGAGGAAGCTTCTGCCCCTCGTCTCTTTCAACGCTTCTAGTTGAGAGACTTGTTATAACTAGTAACAACCAAACTCCAGAATGGCTTCCACAGCATCTGCGCCGTCTCAGGCCGCATCTTCGAAGAGACAGCAAGGTAAGCAGGTGCACTGCAAGCTTCGACGCTCCAAGGATCCCTGCTAACTTTGCAGACCTCCAGGTTCAATACTCCAACTTCAAGAACACCCTCCAGCAAATTGCGCAAAAGATTGGCGATGTCGAACAAGAAGCCGAGGAGCACAAGTAAGTCTTGAGGAAAAAATTGATATATAACGTCTAAGGGTCTAGCTGACCAACTGTGCTTCCGCGCTATAGGCTCGTTCTCGAAACCCTCGACCCTTTGCCGGAGGACCGCAAGTGCTTCCGCATGATCAACGGCGTCCTTGTAGAGCGAACGGTCAAGGACGTCATCCCGGCACTAAAAAACGAATACAGAGGGCCTGAATAAGGTTTCTCGATGATTTGGTCAAAGCAATACAAGGCTAGGCAGGACGAGCTTGAGAAATGGAAGGTTGGTTTTTCTCCTTGTCTTCTCTCCCATCCGCATTACTTTTAAGGTTTCGCTAATGCCTTTTCCTCCACAGAAAAAGAACAACGTACAAGTCGTGCAGTCATAGTCCGAAAGTACATGGCTAAGGAGAACAGCCGGATCAACAACCATATTCGAAAAGCGGTCCAGCACGATGCCAAGATCATAACGCCTGGTACATAACGATACTAGCGGGATCAAGGTCGAGATCATTTGAAGTGGCAAGGTGGACGAGCAAAATACGGATTAACGGTGACTTAGTTCCGGGATGTACGATCACACTCCATCTACGATGCAGGCATCAGTATTATGGATAGGCGAGAGCATGCTGTCCCTTGGCCCCATTGAGCCGCATGTATTCAGAGGCAGAGATTCACGATGTCCGTCTTGTGCGATAGAGCTTGCCGAGAAATGTCAGTTTTCATCTTGTCTGTCATGCCTGGCGGCTGTATATGAGGGGTCGGTGCCCAAGAACAGACAGGGAGGCTTCAAAGTGACCGACTAGGTGTTCGCTTTAACAAATGCAGATTGACTGTGCCATTCTGCAAGCGGGCAGGTCTTACTAAGACCTGTTTTTCCCCTTGAAATTGCAAGAATCGATATTGAATGCGTTGTTCATTGCAGTACGCTACCGATACGTATAGTAATGATATCTAACCTAGGCATAGAGGGTGTTTGGATGCCCAACCAGGTTGTCGGCGAGCTGTGGGGAGCGTTGGGCTCCAAGTGGTATCGGCAACCGTGCTGACAGAATATCAGTGCGCTACAGCCTATGCCTCGTTGCTTTATAGGGCCGATGGCGAAGGCGAAGCTCGCTAGCAAATCTACTCCTCTCTTATGCTCGCCCCGTTGCTAGTAAGTCCTTCCCAGTATGCGAAAATCGAAGCCAATATGCGAAAAAGAAAACCACACAACAGCTGGCACTTCGTCCAACCTGGCAGAGGAATGATGTGCACAACCCTGTTCACATGCACCGGACGTGGCCGGATGCCAGCTGTCAATATCGTTCCGGTGCTGTTTCCTGGGGCTTGTCTTTTTCACACTGCTGCTACGTATACAAGAACGGTAACATGGTGTGGCCCATACTATACAGACATCTTCTTTCAGGTTTTACAACACTCCTCCAGCCGGTCTACCTTTTTTCTCATACCATGACGAGGGTTCCCCTTCCTAAAGTCTTACCTCAGGGTCATGCAGGTTCCAAACTCATCGTTATTGGTCAGCCCACAAGCTGCCGAGGTGCGGACAATGCTTTGTAAGTGTCCGTGGTCCGTAACCCTCCACCACCTAAGCCAGAGTTTGGTGAATGGCGCCCAATGTCATATGCGCGTTTCTGCCCAATGGGATGCCATGGTGGAAGGCATGGGTTCTTATTGGACGAAATGAAAGCTTGTCTTCGGGTGCAGCCTTACAATCAGCGAGAAGTATTGTTTCATCAGGCGGGCAATCACAGCCAAGCGTTTCTGTGGACCTTACAATAGCTCAAATCAATGTCATTGTAATAGCGGGTTGTAGAATTGATGGACGCCATCAACAAGGCAGATAGAGGAGGAAGCCAGCTATGCGTGGCAAAAAAGGAGAGGGCGCAACAAGAGCCGCATCAGGCGAATTGGTTTTCTAATTTTCTTCCTTATGCCGCAATTTCTGGAGCATTAGTAATCGTCCCGTGCACACAATGATATTGGCATGCATCCCCGTACCGTGCGCAGTGTGCATTTTCGCCGGCTTACCGCCTCCTTTAGCTTAGATTCCGAAGCGCCGGGGTCGTCATTCACCGCTGACCCGCCTTGTTCCTTGTATTCGGCTGCTGGCAGAGCCATGAAAGTGTTTTATTACATACTATGTAATGTGGCGCTTACCCAAGGACGAAGTACTCGCATTTTCTGGTACAGTACTCCGTATATAAGGTAATACGTACTGTGATCAGAGACTCACAACAGTTTTCGGTGAGGAGGCGGGAACAAAGCGTCTTTCACGGGAAGCGACGGTGGGCTGTTTGGGCTGCCAGTTTTCATGGGTTTAGTCTCACAAGTTTTGTAGGTACGCAAAGAGACCTCTAGATGCGTGGGTGGGTACCCCGAAAAAGTGTACTGTCCGCGCTATCTATGCGGGGGACTGCAAGTACTGTAGAACTAACTGGGCCTTACGCGCCGGTATCACTTTGGTCACGCCTTTAAATCAGTACCAGAAAGGCGAATTGTTGACAAGGAAAGAAGGCAGACCAAGCCGTCACCGCGTTGTTCCTGCCCCCCTTCTCCGGCTGAAGCTTTCAACTGCATCACAACTAGAACAGGTCGACCCGCTTTCCCGCATTCTGTTCTGCCACCACTGCACACCTTGTTCTTCGCCTTCACATTCTTCCGCTCGTGCTTCGTGGTCTCTCGCCCTTACGCTCTCCCCCAATCTCTGTCCTCTTTTCCCAACTTTCTCTTGCACTACCACTGCGCCGCACCCCACGTCTCTCGCAGCCCATCAATGCATAGTCTCCTGCATCCCAAGCCCAAAGCGTCGAGTCCCAAGATACCTCTCAGGTACAGTTTGATTGTTTGAAGGTTGGTGCATTGCCTTGTGCCTCCATTGTTTTCTTTCCTCCTCTCTGCCGACCGCTGTTGCCAGTGTCGCTTGTCAGCCTGCGTCGACAAACAGCTCATTCGTCGCATGTCTGGTACTATTTCTTGCTCCCGAGACCGTTTCTGCCGGCTGCCGGGTGGGCCAGGCTCTGCTGTTGCGTCCTGTGCCACGCTGTCTCTCCCCTCCTTGTTCCTTGGGGATGGTCAGGAGGCCATTTGTTTACGGCAGCCGATGCATAGAAGCCGAGATAGACGTTCCTGGTTTCTAATGCGCCACCGCAGGTAGCTTCCAGCTTCATCCACTCACATCGGTTGTTCTTGGGAAACGCTCGAGACAGTCAACCCTTCGACCGGCATTCGACTGCCAGTAAGGCACTGGCACAGCCTCATTTCCATCTGGATAGGTACAGCGCGAAACATAAAAAAAAACTTAATTAAAAGTACGCAGCCATCCTTCCGCTCAGGTGGCCAACCAGCTCTGGCCTGCCTATTCTGGTGTAACCAGATACACGGCATTCAGCCAACATGTCTAGGAGGTGCAGTGGCGCAAGAGACGAGCTATATGGACTAATGAAGACCATCTTAGGCATTAAAGGAGGGTCGTATCGACACAGAAGCGTGAGCTCTTTACCTAGTTGTTGGCTCGAAGACGCTATCAACGCAGCCTGCTGATGCGATAAGCCCTTCTCTTGCCAGCTAGCTTATTCACGCACTCAGTTCACCGGCGCGCGCAGCAAGCAGCAAGCAGCAAGATTTAAGCGAACGCGGAAGCGAACAGGGCGCGAAAAAGACACCGGGGGCTTTCCCTAAATTCCAACAGTCAGTTTAATTCTTATGGACCCGTCACAAACAGCCATAGCAGCAAGCCCACACTCACTACTACCCTTCCCGATCCTCCCACTCACCCTCATCTGCTCCCAACGCTCCGCCTCTGCATCCCTAAACAAGCCACCCCTCCACCTGCTACATCATTGACGGGACTAAAACGTCGGGCAGGAAATCCAAAAGACCGGTCAGGAGTAGAATATAGTCTCGGCGACGCAGAAGGCTAGTCCGATCTGGCTTGGCGCAACGCTTCTGCACCTCCCAGCGGCCCAAGAAAAAACTGGCCGCAAGCCCTGCCGCCTTGCAACGTGTCAGGGACACATCATCCCCAAACACCTGTGCATCCCCAATCACCTGTGCGAGTTAGCAGTCCAAGGAATTACAAGAATCAGCTCGCACCCGCTGCAGGTAGCCAAATATGTCCGACTCCCCACAGTCCACTCCAAAAGATGTCGAACAAGGCGTACAATCCCCAGGGGAAGCGCCAATGAATGATTCTCAAGACCCACAATCGAGCTCACTCGGCTATGAGTTCGAGGTGAAGGAGCAAGACCGCTGGTTGCCCATAGCCAATGGTAAGCTCCCCTTCTTATACTACCGATCCCCATTCATCACGATCTGTACGCACCGTGTGCCGTTACTTGGGGGGCTTCAGGAGAGTGTAGCGCACATGTACGAGCCGTACAGACTGTGATACCTCTCACAGGCGAGCCGGAGGGAAGGGTAGAGGGACGGTGGCTGTCACCCCCTGGGACTCTGGGAATCTGGCCAATCTATTCCACGACCTTCTCGTCTGGGATAGGCCTTTCACAGTCAAGCGGTAGCTCGTTGCTTGCGAAAGACCGTCGTCTCATTAGCAGCCAAACCAAGCTGTTGATATTAGCAAAAGCTACTCGCTGTTTCCAGAGACCCCTCTCTCACCTTATATTCTCATGTCTCGGCATCAGGCCTCGCCCTCCGAGTCCCCGGATGGAACTGGCGGCTCGTCCATGAGGGCCAGCAGACATGATGTGTACGATGCTAACATTCGAAACTTCGCTCCAGTCGCTCGAATCATGAAAAACGCACTTCCAGAGAACGCAAAGATAGCGAAAGAGGCCAAGGAATGCATGCAGGAATGCGTCAGCGAGTTCATCTCTTTCATTACCAGCGAAGGTTTGTCGCTACGCGCCTTTGCCTGTTTTAGTCCCGACTTCATGTGTAGAAGGGCTGTCTTCGACACTCAAGCTAATGGTGTTTCCCTACTGCCTATAGCTTCTGAGAAGTGCCATCAGGAGAAGCGGAAAACTGTCAATGGCGAGGACATTCTCTTTGCCATGACATCTCTGGGATTTGAGAATTATGCCGAAGCCCTAAAGATCTACCTCTCCAAATATCGCGAAGTATGGTCTATTTTCCCGGTCCACGTTATTGGCGTCCTTTTGTGCTTCTGCACATGCCTTCTGTCCCCTTTTTCTAATGCGTCGTGGCAGCAGTCTCAATCAAACCGAGGTGATAATCAACAAGGCCACCCAGGCGGCCAAGGCTATGGCACCGCGGGGGCCGCTGGTGCTGGTGCCCCTGCGGGCTCCTTTGAGGGGGGGCCTGATCTATCTGGACAGCCAGCCGAGGGTGGAGCAGATGCCTCTGGCTACATCTACGGGGCCCAGACTGGTCATAACGGGGCTGCCGGTGGCGACGGGTACTAGTAGCATGCATGCTGGGTCAGTTGCACCCATGCCTTTGGTGTTACAAAGGGCTTTAAACTCCAGCTTCAAGTATGTATCAGTAAAGTGACTGGTGGATTAGAGGGAATTTGGTTGGTGTCATCTTACCGGAGTGCGGAAACACAGCCGTGTGTACACAGGAGAATGATCTTTTGGAACAGGAAACGGATGGAAATCAATGGACGGATTGCAAGAAGCTAGGCGAGAGAGCATGAAGTTTGGGTCGAACAGTGAGCACAAAAGCACGGCTTCTCGATTGTCTGCATTGCTTTCTACTTTTGGCCTACAGGATTTCGGTCGTTTTTGTTTATTGGATTTTCTTTGATTTGGTTTGTTTTGGCTACCGCTTTTGGTTTGTTGATGTATTTCTTATCTATTGTTACAATCGTGTTTTCTTTGAGGTATATCGATAGATTCTCCTTGGACACACCGCGCAATAATTACCACAATTGATACTAACATGGGATCGTCCTCGCAGAAAAGCTTAGATTTGTCGGCAGTTGCTAATGTTCTTTTTAGTGTTCCCATTGCGCACCGGGTATTTAACATCTTGTCTTACGTTTTGGCTGCTATGACCGGTACGTAAGATACATTACCAACAGTATTGTATCTTAGATCGCACTTCTGGACGAACTCGCCTGGCATTACTGGCAACAGACTGCTTTCATAGCTTGGTTTGCCGCCGGTCCCGACATCGTGTCACGAGAAGGTGGAATACATAGGGCAAGCAGCGGTCAGTTTGTGGTACCAGAAAGGCCGGGGAATTAAAATGCGCTTTATAAGTGTCGAATCCGTCGTATCAGACAGCGGTCTTAAACATAAAGACGATGCACAATCCGGAAGCTGGGAGACGAGTGTGGTCTCTCGATAAGCAGCATAAACACTATCTATCACAGCCAACTCAACAAGATAGGTAAGGAAAGGTAATGGCAAATTCATCCGTAATTTACAAATACATATACCTGCCTTCGGTTTGCGGTTCATATTAGCCTCTTCTAATTTGCCACTTTCAACGATCTCGCTGTGATAGTATGTGGTGCCTGGCGAGTATCTTGCCTTAGTGGCGGGGCGGAGTTTTATGAGAAAGTGCAAAGACAACGGAAGTGCAGTAGTGCGCACGTGACCTAAACTCACTGATCCCCGCGAAAGAAAACATGGCCAAACTTAAGCCATCACCAATTTTTTTTTTCACGCAATCTTTCTGCCTACTACCCTGTGCGCCATACCCTTTGGCCTGCTTTTGGGCTTCTACTTGTTTATTAGCGATCTATTTCTATTTATTCGCTTGTCTACTGACTTGTCGACTCGGTGATAGGAATTGGTACGCAGCGCCAAGCTATGCCTTGTCCGCGGTCAAGATCTACCAGCACATCTTGCGCCGAAGACGAAAACTAGCAGCTTTTCACGATTTGCAAATCACCCTTCCAACAACGAGTGGTATATAGAGGATAATGCGATATGATGGCCGGTCCATCTACACCGACGACGGTCGACCACTCCGGTCTTTTGTCTCCTGTTAGCAGTTCAAGCGTGCCCATCAAATCGATATTGCGGATCAACTCAAGTGCGAAAAAAAGCACGACGTTTTCCTCCAACATCGGTAGGAACAAGTTGAAAAGGAAGCTCAACGACCGGTACGACGGTATAGAAGGCAAAGATGACATATCCGAGACGGAAGAGGACGAGCAGGATGAGCAGGACGGCAAAACACGAAGCCCCCTAACCAAGAGACAAAAAACCGTTCACTTCGACCTCAGTTTGAACATCACCACCGAAGTCGGCAAACGCACGCTAGAAGAAGCAAAACGCTCTGCCCGCCATGCTCTCGAAACGCATGCTGCTGGCGACGACCAAGAATATATAGAGCTGCAAGAGGCATTCTCAAACGACAGAGACCAATTTCACAGCCCAGGAGCAGACGAGGAAGAGGACAGTGTGAGGCCAGAAGAACTGGTCCTCTATGTCGTCGCACTGACGAACTGCACTCCAATGCTAAACAAGTCATGTGCGACATTGGTCAAACAGATTCTCAGCTGTTCTTGGATTGGACGTGACGACAAGTTCTTTCGCGCATACGTGCAATGTACGTCCTCTCCCTATATGTCGCTCATACGGCAAAGCGTCAGATTGGTTCTGACAGCCTTTAGTTCTAGCAGCGTTGGTTAGTGCTCAGGGAGTCTATTTGCGCCCTGTCCTAGAGGTAAGCGGTTCATAGATGTCGTTGTCAGCCGTATAGTCGCTAACCTATACCGATAGATGATTGTCGATTTGTTCATGGAACCCCGCCCATCATCATGGCGCGTCCCTGACTTCCCCACCGTTGACCGCGAGACGGCACAGACGAGGCTGCATTTTGGGCTCGAATACATCCTGCAACTATTTCCGGCCGCGCGATCTACAGTCTGTAAAATTGTCTCTCAAAAGTTCCCGTTCCCGAGCGAGCATAAAAGCGTATACCTATGTTACCTCGACAATCTTCTTCAACTACGCAATTACGCACCAAAGCTTGGACCTGAACTGCTTGAGGCAGTAACATCTAACCTGGTCAAGATGGATACCGAGTTCCAGCTGGATCTCAGCGACATGGACGACGACTTGGTATCCAGAGTGCTCTACCAAGTGACAAGCAAGGATGACGACGATGATGAAAACGATGGCGATGATGCGGATAGTGAAGGCGACGAGAGTGATCTGCCCGGTTTCGGCGAACCGGACTACGATGAGGAGGCCAGCAAGATCGACAAGTCTACAAAGTTGGTACAGAAGCTAGACGCTATCCTCGAGCGGCTCTTCTCCCTCTTTGCTCCCGTGTTCGAGGACCCGGACTCCGAGGCTTCTCAGGAGTGTCTCGGAGACATGATGTCTGACTTTGTCAACTTTGTTCTCACTGTACCCAGTTCCCGTCACACACAATTCCTCGTCTTTCATTTCAGCCAGAGAAGCCTCGCCTTGCAGGACATCTTTACAGGAACATTGCTGAATCTGGGCTTTGAATCCAACCGGCCAGCAACAGTGCGCCAAGCAGCTGCTTCATATCTGAGCAGCTATGTTGCTCGTGCGGCGCGAGTTCCACGAGACACGGTACGAAACGTCGTGAGCATCCTCTGTCACCGCATCGACATGTACCGGCGCAGCAACAGCGAGGGATGCCGGGGCCCTGACTTGCGGCGGTACCAGGAGCTCTATTCATGGGTGCAGGCTCTACTTTACATCTTCTGCTTTCGTTGGCGCGACTTGGTAGACTCGCACCCAGACATCGTGGATCCCGACGACCCGGCATCGTTCGTGGGGCACGAGGTAGAATGGATGCCCGGTTTGAAGCAGGCGCTGACGAACGTCATTTACTCGGTCTTCAATCCGCTGATGGTCTGCTCGCCCGCAATCGTATCCGAATTCGCAAAGCTGGCGCACTCGATGCGGTTTATGTACATTTTCCCTAGGCTGGAAAGCAACAAGAGCATCCACCTGTCGCAGTTTGTATCTGGGCACTACGGCAATGGAGATGCGCTGCGGGAAGACGCAGGCTACACGGTCGAAGACGAAAAACGGTTGCAGCTGGAGGGCAACTTCCCATTCGACCCATACTTACTACCAGAGAGCAAACGCTGGTTGGAGGGCGACTATCTCCAGTGGACGCCGATTGCGGGGGTGGGTGGATATGAAGACGGGAGCGACGACGGTAGTGAAGACAGCGACAACTTCGGCAGTGCTGATGAAGGCTTTGAGGAAGATACGGCAACTGATCCGGAAGAGGATTTATGAGGAGGATGACGCCTCTTTATCTCTCGACTGTCTGACTACATGTTTCATCTATGCATTGTTTGGGAGAATTGGCGTTATGGATGACACATTAGGCCTTGATATCACTCGATTTATTCTTGCTTTTCGATTTGGAATTAATGGCACATTGCAAAATTTAAAAAGACGGGAGCGGTCACTCGTCTCCAAAGTAGTAAAAGTGGTGGAATATTCTCGTAGTGTCGATTGGCGGACGATCACATCGCACACGTGATCGGCCAGCATAAAACCCTCTGAAAGCGGATTGAAAGCCGACAACCGTGAAGACAGCAGCAGGATATCCTCCTACAAGCCACCGGGGACTAATGAGCGAGGCAGGCACGAGCGCACCACAAACGGCAAAGAACTCAGCTTACATCCGATTTAAATTAAATAAAAAGCACCGGCCATCTCAATAGGTGCCGGCTATCTTTTGACCCCTCCTGCTGCCCAGATTGATTCCAAAGGACCCCAGCCCGAAGCTACATACCAGACGGCCGATGATTGCTATTCTGCAACCAAAGACCGCATAGAGCATTGAACAGGCATCGAAATGGAGCCGGAATCGCGGCTGCCAGTACGGCGACCGTCATTTACCGCCTTTTGGAAGCGCACAAAGGACGCAGCATCATCTGCAGTCAAACAGGGCACATCTGCGTCCACTTCAGGTAGGTCATCTTCCCTGCGCCCGGTCCTGAGTCCCCCTTTTTGTTCTCTGTTCTCTTAATCCAAGCGAGTCTGGATTGGCGCCATATGCAGCCCTGCCAGCACAGGCTGGCATGGGAGGGGTGGCCGGCCTCTTCCAAGTGGGTGATGGACGTCTCCGCTCAGAGCATCTAGATTGATTTGTCATTGCCTTTACGAGGGGCGAGAATCGGCCAGGACTGGGGGTCTTGCCTTCCTTAATTAGATGCCGAAGAGGTGTCAGGTCCCCGGAAATACGCTATCCTCGTTCAACTGGGAGGGTGGGGACACAGCAGCATGGAATCCATATCTCGTCTTCCCGCCTCCCAACAAATGTTTCTGGCTACGAACCCCCCAGCAGCCAGTGGCTACACAAGCTCGGAGATGGTTCAGAGCCCCATACTCTCATTTGGAATACGAATATGGGGGTGGTGCTAAACCCAGTGGTGGCGAGCAGTGATCTGATGTACCGAGGCGGCCTGCTGAAACTTCAATCAGCAGACAGCAAACGGGAGAGAGGCGAGCGAGTGGAATAGTTTACACAAGGGGGTGGTGTGGAAGGAAGTACATTCTGCCTTATATTCTTTACCTGCTCTCAATGCCCTGCATGAAGACATCAGCCCTCTCCTGATAGCCCCGAACTTGCCAGCGTCACTCGGAACTCGCCATCACTGGTTCTCACACTATCACTTTGTTTTGCACAGTCCCCCCTCTTGTCAATGGTTCATATCGAGGCTGACGGCAGCCGTACAGAATCTGGCCGCATTAATTACCTGGGCAAGGTCAATACCACTGACCCGTACCTTTGTGATGACGATAGCAACAGCGACGAGGATGCTGGCGAGCAGAATAAAGATGACAAAGGCGGATCAGTAGCACCCGGGGGAACCACCCTGACCAAGGCGCAGGCCCGTCGCGCTCAGGTCCGCCGTGCCCAGGTCCAGCACCGGAAGCGCAAGGCCGACTATCTGCGCCAGCTCGAGGTTGATGTTTCTACACTTCGTGACCTTGTCAGCGCGACCGAAAAGGAAACCCGCAGACTGCGGCACGAGAATGCTAGCATCCGCGTGCGCCTGGGAATCTCTGTTGTTGGTTCTGGCAAAAACAATATCATCGTGCCCAGCAAAATCGATTCAGTTATTAGCGCAGACACGAGCCAGGTTATGGCCCTAGATGTGCCAGCAGTGGCTGTCTCTTCTCTAAATGATGTCACCGTTGGTGGGGATATTGGTCAGCTTCTTTCACCGTCAGCGCCGGAAGTATCTCCTGCGACAACACCATGGGACGTCAGCACTATAACAACGGGCCCCTCTCCCATGAGCCTGTCGTCATCTGCATCACCGGCTGCTCAGGGAGTCCTGCCTATCGCTCTCGCAGATACCATAGACGCCAAGGTCGACGCCACCGGCTCCTTGTTTGCCAACATCGACCTCGACGATATTACGGTCGCTCTGGTTATGGACGAATTCGTTGGCACACCAGTTTACCACATTTCCAGCTCGTCCGTCTCGACGTCGTCTCCACCTTATGACGAAAACTCCGCCGTCCTACAGAGCTTTCCGACAACATCGATTACAACTTCTCCTGCTTACAATTCGATGACAACATCGGCCATAATACCTATGGACCCGGCCTTGGTGTCAGATGCATCCTCGCCTGTTAGCCCAGAGCCTGGCCTGCAGGGATATTCATGGATGCAGGAAATGACCCTGGAACAAGTGCACGTGGCTGTTAACTTCATTCTGGCGTGAGTACCCTGTCGCTCCTTCCATGCTTTCTTCGTCACAGCTGGTACTAATAATCGCAGGCTCGAATATGTATGCTGGAACCATGTTGGTCACCAGTTCTGTCGGCCCAATACTGGGGTGCCGCATGCCGGCCATACTCTTATGGCCTCGAACCTGCTTCTTCAACATGCGTCTGATAAAGTACACATGGACGTGTATGATTTTAACGACAAATACGAGAGTGAAATCAATGACCAGGCTGGCCATACCCACGACACAAGCTTTACCGGAAGCAACGACAATCATGCTGTCGATTTAACGTGGCAGGCTCCCGATGTGACTCTCCAGCAACTATATGGACTGGCCACGTCGTTAAATCCGGCATCAGACAAGGAGCTGACTCCAATAGAGGCATGGTTCGAATTGGCCTCGAACTACCCTCTATCGATACTATTGCGACAGGACGTCATCGATGAGCTCAAGCGTGGCTTTTCCGGCGTTGTCAGGTGTCTGTATTTTGGTGCTGTCATAGAGCGCCAGGCGTTTGAAAGTGTGGTCGATCGCATTCTAGGTCCGATAATGTCTGGCGAGGCAGCCATAGCTAGAATACAACCCGCGGAACATGCGATATTGGCGTGAGGGATGCGTCTGATGGCTCGGGCGTTGGCTTTGTTGGTTTTGAAACAAACGGGACTATATGCTAGGACACACCAGCGGTGGCATATGTTTTCCCTGGGAGAGACCCTGTTAATTAAGTTTTACATTAGCAGCGATGGTCAGTGCCACAAGGTGTTACTTGTTTGTGATTTATATATTGTTGTCGACTCATATCATTCCTAATACTCCGGGCGACGTTCTGAAGTAAGAAGGAGAGACACGCCTGATTACATGACCCACTTGCGGCCGGTACTTGTTATCTAAGCCGTTTCCGTCCTGCGCTGAGTCTCTGGAGGGGCTTTCTTAACCCCTCATGAACGATGGTAGATCGCTGCTTGGCCGCGAAAACGCGCTGGATTGGCCTACCAACGCACTGAACTATCACACAGTCCGCAACATCTCCACGAGCAACATTCGGCCATCTCCTACGACATCACACATGGCAAGCTTATTTCTTCGGCGTTTTGCTACACAAACCTGGAGAAACCCCGATCCAATCCGGTTTCAGACGGGTTTCTCCGCTTTTCCTATCATATCGAGTACCGGTAAGCATGTCAGCCTGCGGAGCAAACAGATCTCCGTCCAGTAACCACTAAGAATCTATGTATGACAGGGAACTGCCTTCGTCCTATGTCCGCCTGTCGATCGTCGCAGCAACACACCCGACAAATATCTTTCACAATGCAAAGCCTCGCAAGCAAGCCCAACAACTGGGTCGGCAGTGCCGGCGCCGGTGGTTTCGATCTCCGGAGTAGGATGTCCCCCTTTTCCTGCTGCCCCCATGTGTATGGGCCTTAATGCCAACTCTATAGGTGATACTATGACAACGCCGACGGCGTCTATGCTGGCTGCAATCCACAACACCACTCTCCTAGACGACGTCTTGAAAGAAGACCAAACTACCATAGATCTTGAGGCTCACTGCGCCAAGCTGACTGGCAAGGAGGCCGGGCTCCTCGTGCTGTCCGGAACCATGGGCAATCAGGTGGCGCTCCGGGCGCTCTTGAAGCAGCCGCCTCACTCGGTGCTATGCGATAGGAGGTCGCACATTTTCACATACGAGGCCGGAGGGTGAGTGCTCCATGACGTCTGTTTCTGCAGGAACAATCCTAATATACCGTGACTAGGTTGAGCTCTCTGTCTGGAGCCATGATAATTCCAGTGCAGGCTAAGAACGGCATCCACCTGACGCTCGAGGAGGTCAAAGAGAATGCGGTGCTGGGCGACGACATCCACGGCTGCCCAACGCGGGTCATCAGCCTGGAGAACACGCTGAACGGCATGATCATGCCACTGGACGAGGTGCGGCGCATCTCCGACTGGGCGCGCAGCCAGGGCATCCTCATGCACTGCGATGGTGCACGTCTCTGGGAAGCTGCCGCCTCGGGCGCGGGCAGCCTGGTTGCTTATTCTGCCTGCTTCGACACCGTCACCATGTGCTTTTCCAAGGGTCTAGGCGCGCCCATCGGCAGCATTATCGTGGGGCCCAAGGCCGTGATCAAGCATGCCAACTGGATTCGCAAGTCCATAGGTGGCGGCCTGCGCCAATCCGGCGTCGTCTCTGCCGCAGCGCGCGTGGCCGTCAACGAGACCTTTGGTACCGGCCCCAACGGTGAGGGCGGCCTGCTGCAGCACAGCCACGGGCTGGCCTTTGAGGTGGCAAAGATGTGGACGGACCGCGGCGGCAAGATGCGCTATCCGGTGCACACCAATATGGCCTGGCTGGACTTCCCGGCTAGCGGCGTGAATGAGGAGCTCTTCGCCAAGCTAGCCGCTGCCGAGGGCCTCAAAATGTACTCTGAGCGGATTATTGTGCACTACCAGATCTACCAGAACCGGCAGGAGGTCGTTCCGCGGCTAGAACGCCTGTTTACGACGGTACTCGACAAGGTCAACAAGGTGCCAGTAGCAGGTGCCGTGTCGTCAGGAAAGTCGGCATATCCGGTCAGCAAGTGAGAAACGCTCCAAAGACAAGAGTCGGCTCTAACATAGATACGCCGAAGTGTTGCAAACACACTTAAGCTATAGTCAGACAGGATGACTGCGGCGGCATTAATACAAGATATAGAAATGACGAGAATTATGTACTATCGTGATCCGTGTTGCTGTCAGCTCAGTCTATTCATCCTAGACCACGCCGCGAACTGTTGACGTCACAGAAAGCTTCCGGCGCTATTCGGCCAAATTGGCAGATCTCCAGCGCCTTCAAAATGCGGGGAAGGGCCCATTCAATTTCCCTTCCAGAACAAAAACTCCACTGCGGCTGGCATCCACCCCGCTTCTGCAACATCGTGCTTCTACAGACGGCCGTGAAAGGTCGCCTGACAGCATGACCGCTATTTCTCGGGTTGCTGCCAAGCTTCGTCCGGACATACTTTTCCAATTCGTGGGCCTACGACGTACGTCACCGACTTGCACTGCACAATACATGCAAAGTTCGGCGCAACGGAAGCCTTTTCTATGTCTGTGCACAATTCCGAAGGCGTTGCCGTCCTTTTGGTATAAAAATCTAGCTCGCGTGATGCATCTGTCTTCTTTTGGTGTGATAATCGGGCCGGTAAGCTGTCATTGTATCGTCGTCATTTGTTCAAATCGGAAGCCGGTGTTCGGACATCATCCTTCGGTTCTGGTCTTGCCTTCCTTCGTGTAGTGTCAGAGAGGAAAGAGCCTTGATATAATGACGGTGTTCCTTCCCTCATTTTCTTCTGCAAAATAATACCTGGATCCTCTTGAATCCGCGCCTCTTGATTGTCATTACCAGGCCACAATATACTTCGAACATCCATATGGAAGCCGTTGGTTCGCTTTTTCACAGCCTTGCTGCTGTCGCAAGCGCTTCTGGTACAATTTTTACGATTGCAACTTTATTGGTTCAGCCGGCTCTGGGCTTGTTCAACAATGTATCAGTTATCGCCCCCTGTGATTCAGTCCTGTACTGTTATGGGGACATTCTTACGCAGATTGAGCTCGCGGCACCCTTTTCGGACTCCAAGACCTTTGTGGATATGTGCGTATCCCCCTCTCGTGGTCATGTCAAGGCAGACTGGAGGGCTTGAGGCTGTCTTGCCTTTCGTGTCAACAGACACGGATTTTATGTTCCACAAATTAAATGGAGGCTTGTTTTGTATTACAACCTCACTGACTTATGACACAGGCCGACCATCCGACCCTTGGACGAAGTTGTAGCAGCATATGAAAATTTGACCAAGCCGTTGACCAACAATACTGAGCTTATCGACTTCCTCAGCACATACTTTGCTGCGGCTGGTGGCGAGCTCCAGAGCGTGCCGGGAGACCAACTCACCACCAATGCGACGTTCCTCAAGAAGCTTAACGATACAGTTATCCGCGAGTTTGTGGAGAAAGTCATTGACATCTGGCCGGACCTGACACGGCAATACACCGGCGGGGTGGCCGGATCCAACTGCACTGGCTGCCAGTCCAGCTTCGTGCCCGTCAACCGTACGTTCGTCGTTGCTGGTGGCCGATTCCGTGAGCCTTACTATTGGGACTCTTACTGGATCGTCGAGGGCCTGTTGCGCACCGGTGGCTCCTTTGTCGACATTTCGCTCCACACGATTGAGAACTTTCTCGATTTTGTGGACAAGTTCGGCTTCGTCCCTAACGGTGCCCGCGTATACTACCTTAACCGTTCACAGCCACCTCTGCTTTCCCAGATGGTGCGCATATACATTGAGCACACCAATGACACGTCCATCCTAAAGCGAGCTCTGCCACTGTTGATGAAGGAGCACGACTTCTGGTCTATCAACCGCTCTGTGTCTATCATCGCCCCCGACAACCAGACATATACTCTGAACCGGTAGGCTTTCCTCTGCAGTTCTGATTTGCCCCTGTTCATTATTGACAAAGTCAGTTACTCTGTCCTGAATAATCAGCCACGGCCCGAATCGTATCTAGAGGACTACGTCACGGCCAACAATAAATCATACTATTCTGGGTCTGGCTCGGTTTACAACGAGACAAGGCCACTCAACGGCTCCGAGCGAGCCGCTCTATATTCCCAGCTCGCAAGTGGTGCAGAGTCAGGTTGGGACTATGGTACTCGTTGGCTGGCGCGACCTGAAGATGCTGCCAGAGACGACTACTTCCCTCTGCGGTCACTCAACGTCAACAATATAGTACCTGTCGACCTCAACTCGATATTGTACTGGAACGAAGTGACAATCGCCAACTTCTTAAACGCCACTGGAAATCATACAGCAGCTTCTTCGTGGGCCAAGGCTGCTAAGAAGCGCAGTGATGCGATGTATGCCTTGATGTGGAACTCTACTCTCTGGAGCTATTTTGACTACAACATCAGCTCTCACGCCCAAAATATCTACGTGCCGGCTGATGGAGACACCACCGCAGCAGATAATTCAACAGCACCGAATGGGACCCAGGTGCTTTTTGACGTCGCCCAATTTTATCCATTCTGGACAGGTGCTGCCCCATCACATCTCAAGGATGACCCGTTGGCTGTGAAGCTGGCATACGCCCGTGTCAGCACCCAGCTAGACACTAAAGCGGGCGGTATTTCAGCGACAAACCTGGAAACGGGCCAGCAATGGGACCAGCCAAACGTGTGGCCACCGCTGCAATATGTTCTGATGCAAGGCTTGCTAAATACCCCTGCCAAGTTTGGCACCGACGATTCGGACTACCAGAGCCTCCAGGATCTCGCGCTGCGAATTGGCCAGCGGTATCTGGACTCGACATTCTGCACCTGGTATGCCACCGGTGGCTCGACATCCCTAACACCACAGCTTCCCGGACTAACGTCAGCGGACAATGGCACTATATTCGAAAAATACGCTGACAACTCGACCAACGGTGCCGGTGGTGGTGGCGAGTACACTGTGGTGGAGGGATTTGGCTGGTCAAATGGCGTTATACTTTGGACGACCGACACTTTCGGAAGCAAGCTCATGCGACCCAACTGTGGTAACATCACGGCAGCCAGTGTCACTCCAGGCAAGCGTAAAAGAAGTGCAGACAGCGGTGGCCCAGCTCATCGTTCCCGGCCACCCAGCGCGGTTCAGTTAGATGCATTTGACGCCACTTGGACAAAGATGTTCGGCAGGTACGACAGGGATAGAAAGTAGGCGAGATATGCCTTTGTCTAGCATTGTGGCCTCCAAAGAGGGACTGTACTGGCATCGTACTGAAAGGCTAGATTTTGGGGTTCGAGAGGGTATAACCGACATTTTGAAAAGACAACAAGCAGTCGTATTATCTCTTGGAAACATCTCGGTTTATGCAAAATTATTGTCATCCCCACCGGCAGCACACTATAGCGCCTTGATATCTGACTGCACGAGACCGTAAACGATGATATCGTCAAGGGTTCCATTCTTAATGGTGGCGCTCCGGCGCACACCCTCGCGAACGAAGCCACACCGCTCCAGAACCCTGGCCGAGGCTTTGTTAGATCCGCAAACCCAGGCATCAAGACGCTCCAAGTTTTCACCGGTTGGGACAAGGATGCTGCCGGCAGGAGAGAGCGCCCATCGAGAAAGCGCGTAGGCAGCCTCACTGGTGATGCCACGACCCCAATACTTCTGGCCGATCCAGTAGCCAAACTCGCGGGTGAGCCTTTCTGTCCCATCGTCGCCAAGAGACTGCACACAGATGCTGCCGATACAGGTGTCGTCAGGCAAGCAGATTGCCAGGTCCAAGCAGGTTGAGGGTCTGAGCATGGGGCCTGGATCGCCCTCTTTCCATTCCGGCATGCCCTCAGCCCTGGCCATTCGCAGCCATCCGAATGCATCGGCCTCGGTGTACGGGTGCGGAAAACGGTCGCGCATGTAACGAATAACCATCGGGTCGTCGGCGGCCTCGCGCATGGGGCCGGCGTCCGAGGCGCGAAAGGGCCGGAGAACGCAGCGCTTTAGGCGCAGAACAGGCCGAGAGTCCGACATGACGAGCAGTTTTTGTTTGACAGCCGGGATGAAACGATGATATGGGCACGCTTTTGGCAGGACACTTTTCTGCTTATTTTCCCTATTTATACATACACGAGCTTGTAGATAAGCCAATGTGTCGATTGAGTCATTTGACGCCTCTACTCGTACTACTCGTATCTTACAATGCATCGTCGGATTTTGCATGTATCTTACCTTCTGCAATTGGCTGTGAGATCCCCCAGCTTGGAGCCGGCGTAAGACGGGCATTGTATCAATCGCCCACCTTCTGTCTTGGTATTAACACGACAAAGACTGGACGGAAAAACAGAGCACCGGGCTCCGTCCAGCCACACGTTCCTGACTTGACTCCTTTTAGCTGTCAGGTGGGGCTCTTTCCAGCAGGAGGCTGAGCTAGGGGCAAGAAAGGTGAATGTGGCCTTAACTCTGAACGCAGCGATCGGCATACAGGTGAATTCCGCCGTGGTTGAGAACCTGCAGCACAACGGCAACCAGCTGCCTTTCTCTGGTCCATCCATTATCCCCACCGGCATACTTGCCTCTCCCTTCATTCTGCCGAGATTTCTCTCGACCACACCATTTGCTTGTGGCTGTCTGACGGCGAAGCTCGTTTGTGCTTTGACAGCTTTGATCTCGCGGATACGACCTCGGGTTACGATTGCGCATTCGGGGCACCGGTCGACGCATATCCCGTTCCTCTGCATCGACTAGCCGGCCTCTGCCGTTGTCGCAACAATGGCAGCCAAGTCCAGATTCACGAGGCTCGATGCCTTCACCAAGACAGTCGAGGACGCGCGCATCCGCACAACGTCGGGCGGCGTTGTGACGATTGTGTCGCTGATCGTGGTGCTTTACCTGGCCTGGGGCGAGTGGCTGGACTACCGACGGGTCATCATCCGCCCAGAGCTGGTCGTGGACAAGGGCCGAGGTGGGTTTGCTGCTCCAACAGACAATTCGCGACGGTGTGCTGACACAGGGTGTTTGCTGGTGTAGGCGAGAGAATGGAGATTCACCTGAACATCACGTTTCCGCGGATTCCGTGCGAGCTGCTGACGCTCGACGTAATGGACGTTTCGGGCGAGCAGCAGCACGGGGTGCAGCACGGAGTGCGCATGGTGCGGCTGGAGCCGCAGAGCAGGGGCGGGTCCGAGATCGAGGTGAAGACGCTGGATCTGCACGCGGACGCGGCTTCACACCTGGACCCAGAGTACTGCGGCCCCTGCTACGGTGCGACGCCGCCGCAGCACGCGATCAAGACGGGCTGCTGCAACACGTGTGACGAGGTGCGGGAGGCGTATGCGTCGTCGTCGTGGGCCTTTGGCAAGGGCGAGAACGTGGAGCAGTGCCAGCGCGAGCACTACGCGGAACGCATCGACGAGCAACGCCACGAGGGCTGCCGCATTGAGGGTGGACTGCGCGTCAACAAGGTGGTGGGCAACTTCCACATCGCGCCGGGCCGCAGCTTCAGCAACGGCAACATGCACGTGCACGACCTCAAGAACTACTGGGACATGCCGACGCCGAACCTGCACTCGTTCACGCACACGGTACACTCGCTGCGTTTTGGCCCGCAGCTGCCCGAGTCGCTGCAGAAGACGCTCGCTGGCGGCGGCGCCAAGGGACAGCCGTGGACGAACCACCACATCAACCCGCTCGATGGGGTGATGCAGCAGACGTCCGACCCCAACTTCAACTACATGTACTTTATCAAGATCGTGCCGACGTCGTACCTGGCGCTGGGCTGGGAGAAGACGTTCCGCGGCTTCGTCGACGACCATGACTCGGCCGACGTCGGCTCCTACGGCCTGCTGGCCGATGGCAGCGTCGAGACGCACCAGTACTCGGTCACGAGCCACAAGCGGAGCCTCCAGGGCGGCGACGATGCTGCCGAGGGCCACCAGGAGCGTCTGCACGCGCGCGGCGGCATCCCGGGCGTCTTCTTTTCTTATGTACGTCCTACGTTCTTGCTTTTTCCTGTGCTTTACTGACCTCTGCAGGACATCTCACCCATGAAGGTGGTGAACCGCGAAGAGCGGGCCAAGACATTTGCCGGCTTCCTGGCCGGTCTGTGTGCTATCATTGGCGGCACGCTGACCGTGGCTGCAGCCGTTGACCGGACCGTGTTTGAAGGCACGATCCGACTGAAGAAGATGCGGTCAAAGGACCTGTAGCGGACGCGTATCTCGTATGTGTCGGAACGGGACGCCTAGTCTGGAGAAGGTGGGCACACAGTTTGCTTTTTTGCCTTTGCCATGTTTGCCGCGTTGTATGCATTAGAAGAGGAGTTCCGGGTATTATTGCTTTTATTTGGCCCGCAACCGAAAAAGTGTCTGATATATAATCCCATGTTCTTTTGCTTTTTTTATCTTGCAAATTGCACGGCATGTCCGACAAGGCCATATTATGCCCAGCCCAATTTTATATTCGTCTCCAGCCTCATGCTCTTTTCGGCTTTCACCTGCCTATTGGCTGTAGGCGAAATTTGGCCAGGCCTCCTTTTTCTTGAAGCTACTATTATGTATTGCCTCTGTCGGCCCCTCATCTGGTGGCTTATTACGGGCCGTGTCTTTTCATTGGCCCCGACAAGACGAGCAATGACTCAATTTCAGATAGGTGACACACTGACGTTGCTTTATGAGCGCCTCTTCAGCGGTTACTGGATCTGCCATGCCAATTGTATCTCATACCGGCCGTACTCGCATGTGCAATGACCGGCTCCCGTCCCCGCTAGTATCGAATCGGTCGAACCCATGAGTTGAGGCTTCATGCATAAAGGTCATGCCATGCAGGATAGTCTGTCGTACTCCGGAGGTCTCTGAGCGTTAGGCTGCATGCAACTCTAAAAGTTCGTATAAATACGCTCTGCTCTAGCCCTATTGCACATAGTCTCACATAGCACGATGCACTGTCCCGATCTGGACCCTTTCCCCGGGCCCTGGCCCTGTGGTCAGATGGAAGAAACAGAAAGGGCAAAAAAGACACTATTGATCAGAATCGGGGTCTAGTGCTACCCACATATTGCGAAAAGTACTAATAATACGGTGCGACTGTGATTTCGCGTGCCGCATTGTCGCGTTGTCAGGCGAAGATTATTGCCATGTGTCTTATTTGTTATGATCGAATCTTAGCTCATGTTCGAGAAGCGGCTGCTGTTGGGGCCTCGCTCACCGTGTTGCTTCCTTCTGAGACCTTTGCTGTTGGTCTCGTAGAGATGTGATGGCGGTACTTCGTACGAGCTGCACGATGGCTAACGAACATGTCTTACGAGTAAGATACATACTTGCTACTGCCAAAGTCACCCCTTGCCACGCTAAAAATACCAGCCTGTAGAGCATTCGTACGAGTATGGAGTACGTAAGATATCTTATATTTTCCACTGGGGGGGTTTTTTTTTTTTTTTTTTTTGTTTTTACGCGGCCAGATCAGCGACCTAACGGGCGTCCACAGCAAGGCCTGTCGCCTACGACGTACGAATCAGCAGTGTGGCTGCAGCTTCCTTGTGCTGCGCGAAGCGTGATGACGCCCGCTCTTTCGCTTTTCTCCCCTTGTCTCTCTCTAGCCTCTCTCCACCAGTGAGTGGCCACGCATTTGCTTCAGTGCCACTTTCCGTGCATACGAGCACCAAGGGTGGGGCCTGTCGGCCAGTGGTCATTAGCATGTTTCCATGCGCTAGCTCCGCCTAAACCTCCTTCCACAGAGTGCTGGCTGTTCTCCAGGGCGCATGCGACCCCCTGTATTTTGCCCGGACCACTAGACGTGTACCTTGCTCCGTAATTACCCCGGCCTTTCCCCTAAAGGAGGATCTAAAATAACGGCTCCAACGTCGCCCGCCTGTACGAGTATCTTCCCGCACACGCACCTTTCCTCTACTATGTATGTCTTGCTGTTCCCTGCTTTCTCTGCCTACACCCCTGATGTTTTGATCGACGCTCTCAGGTCAGAATTCCTCTGCATTCACAGCTTTCGACTGATCGGCCTGCCTGCTGCTGCTGCTGCTGCTACTGCACGACAAAGCAGCTACTAGAGGACAGAGCGAGACACCCCTGCAATGCATGTGCTCTCCTAGCCGGCACCTCCTTCTCTTCTCCGTCCCTTCCTCTTTCGTCCGTTCCCCTCGGCTGCGCAACCCTTCCGTCTGTCCTGAAGCTTCTTCTTTTCCTGTTCCTCGTTCGATCGCCGTCACCAAGGCCTTTTCATTTCTGAAAAGACCCATTTCTCCCTTGCTCGCCCTGACCCCTGTCACCTCCCACCCCCCCTCCTATCCTCCCAGATCGCATTCGTTAATTGTCTCTGCCTTTTCCCACCCCTTTCTTGCTCTACGTCGTACACTAATCCATCCTGCCCACTCCTACTTTTCACAATCGTCCTCGAGCGCGTTGCACCTTTTCCTTCTTCCCCCTGTTTGTCCGCTTTGTGGGTGTTTCGAGTTTCGACTTTGGGTTTCGTCCTCCCCCTCGCTTCCGTCTATTCCAGTCGCCTCTCTTTTCGACCTTGGACCTGTCTGCTGATCTCGAGCCCCCCTTTCAAGCCGCTACTCCGTATTCCTCTCTCTTGACGACACATGACATGGGCCAGCCTGCGACCTCATACATAGTATCTAGAAGACGCCAATCACCGCCTACTCTAGCTACCGGACACGCATCGCGCCCCAAGACTATTCTCAGCCCTTTTCAGTGGCCCTACTGATCTTTTCTTTGCATGTATCTTCGCATCAACCTGCACGACTGGCTGTTGGCGCACTCATATGCCGGATCCTTCTCCTTTTTTTCCCGGGTCCATCGTGCGCTGATCGGCATATTCTGCCATATTGCCCATTTTACCTCTGACGGGCCCCGTCTTTTATGCAATTGACACAGAACACGACCCAAGTTAATCAGACAACAACGCCAGACGGCGAAGAAAACTGGATGTTTAAGCCACAGCTGCCCATCTTTGTTCTTCATCGATTGTGGCACGCCTTTGAACGCTATACCTGCTCTGCTCGAGAGCTTGCGCTACCGGTCTTTCTATTGCCAGTCTCCTGACCCCTGATACCTTTTTTACGAGCTCCTCTTTCGTCGTTCGATCAGACAGACACAGCCTTCGCTTCTGCGGCTTGCAAACTGCGTTGCTTCCTCGGAAGGTCTGACTTGCCAATTCATGGGTCGGCGCTTCGATCTACTTCACCATGTCTTCACAACACCGCCCAGATTTTATCGACGTTCGCGCCCAGGCGAATGACAACAGCAGCACGCAGCCCCTCAAGTCTCCCCTTAGGTCCCCCCCCCTCAGGTCACCTCGTCTGCCTGTTGCCGGCGATGTTCCGCCAGAGCTATCACCGCTAGATGCCTTTGCTTTGCAGAGTCGCCTGCTGGCGAAGCAGCTCGAGGACAGCGCCAAAGCTGGTCACAGAATGAGTCGGCTTCCTCCCTTGACGACGTCGAGTCCTCTTGTTATGCAGGGCCGCTCGGATTTCTACCGCTCAATGTCCTACGACAACAGCTTGGATGGCGACCGTGAATCTTCCGACCGCCAGGACAAACCGAAGTCAGCTGTATCACAACCAGTGACACCGGCAGGCTTGGGTGCTAAGACCCCCGAAGTCGAGCAGCCCATGGTGCGACCCCAGTCCATGCATCCACGAATGAGTCGTGTTCCGCCGACTCCTGATGACAGCGTACCGCCACCGGTGCCAGAGTATGCCCGCGAACGCCAGGCAATGTTATTGCGAAACAACGCGAAGCCGGCACCCGTGGCTGAAAACGAAGAGACGAGCTACTTTGGCGCACGGAGGGAGCGTTCGCCATCTCCGCTTGCCGAAGAGCTTTTCAACTCGCAGCCGCCTCGTGTGAAAAGGCCGTACAGCTTTGAAATCAACAATGCGGCCAATAATGTCCAAGGGGATGCGGACCCGATATCACCGCTGGCACAGCCAACACAGCCGGAACAACCAGAGCAGCCGGAAAAGCCAGAGCAGCCAGCACCGCAAACACAGGCACAGGCCGATGCAATTTCTCCAAACGACGCGAGCCAGCCGAACACAGGAACACCGCAGTTCTCAAACGCTTACTCGACGTTTGCCCCGTTCACGCAGTCCCCGGAGAGACCACTGCACAGCAAGAGCTCGTTCGATTCAAACAGCGGTGGTCTTGCGCCACCCCGAACCCTGTTTCCAAAACGCTCGTCGAGCATCATGTCGGCACCGGTCGAGATGGCCGACGAAGATGGCCGTAGCACTATGGCCTCGTCATTTTGTTCAATAAACGCTCCGAGAAAGCTGTCAGCTAGCAGCGTGGCATCGCCCGGGTACGGTTCTTTCCATCGGTCGCCGTCTATTTCTTCCGACATGTCTGTGCCTCTTCCCCGGCCTTCTTTCAACTTTTCTCGGCCAATGAGCCGTGTTGGTACTCCTAGCCTCGAAACCCCAGCTCGACAGGCTTCATCCGACAGCCAGACGTCGTATAGCCAGTCATCTTTTGTTCTGGCCGACGACACGGCAAACACTCCTGTCAGTATGAACAGCGAGGGATTTCCAGACTCGCTTATGCTATCCGATGACAACCGAATTGTCCCCCCGTCGTATGTTTACTCAAAATACAACCTGCCGCGTGGCAAAATGCTTGAGAGGTCGAATGCTCGGGATGCAGACAACCAGCCTCAAACTTCCGATCAGTTGGAACAACATATGGTCCCGCTGAGCAACATGCAAACATTCCCTCACGGTGGCCAGGCACCGCCGTCCCCACCGTCCCGTCCTTCGAGCGCCGGAAACCTTGTGCCGCGGCCGTCCGTGGAGCGGAGTAAGCTCAGCACAGAGATGGTAGTTCAAGTCCATGAATTATCGCCGAATCCGAGTCAGACGTCGACTGACTGTAACCGATCACTTGAGGACGACTCTCGTGGCCGTAAGCTGGGGCCCTCTCACGATTCTCACGACCGTGGTAGGACGCCGGCGTCGGTAACTGGGACAAGTGACTCGGCAAGCACCATAAAGGCACACCCGACACATGTACTAGCTACAGCGACGGAAATCTCGGCCGAAGAACACGTTGACAAGGCCATTGCTCTTCACGAAAAGGGCATGCTGAACGAGTCGACATACCATTTGCGGCACGCTGCTCGGCAAGGCAACCCAACAGGCATGCTGCTGTATGCCCTTGCCTGTCGACACGGTTGGGGTATGCGCGCCAATCCGAGAGAAGGCGCCGACTGGCTACGCAAGGCTGCCGATTGCGCCAGCAGTGAGATTGCGGGTGACGAAGCAATGATCAAAGAAGGCAAGGTGGTTGATTCAGTGGATCGCAAAACGCGTAAGGCGCAGTTCGCACTGAGCATCTACGAGCTGGGCGTGAGCTACTTGAATGGCTGGGGTATCGACCAAGACAAGAAGTTAGCTCTGCATTGTTTCGAAGTCGCTGGATGTGAGTAAACTCGGACGGAGTATGTCTGACGTGTAGCTTTCGTTGCTGACCGTTTCTAGCATGGGGCGATGTGGATGCGCTTGCCGAGGCTGGCTTCTGCTATGCTCAGGGCGTTGGCTGCAAGAAAAACTTGAAGCAGAGCGCTCACTACTACCGCCAGGCCGAAGCAAAGGGGATGAGCATGGTGGGCAACAGTTGGTACGTGTTGCAAGCTATATATCCGAAGGAAACTGCTGTTTGCCTAACGTTTAATCATCTGCAGGATCCACAAGGCCAAGTATAACGATGACAACGAGTCTTTAAAGTCCGAGAAGGAGAAGAAAGCGCGATCTAAATCACGGAATAGGACCATGTTTGGCCACAAACATAACCAATGAGGAGCTGGACTTCGACGACTGGCGACTGCCGGTTCATCGTGAACATCCATTGTGTTCGAAAACAACGATTAAGACGAACTTCATGCTGCACACACATCATTTTACATGGCTCGGAGTTGCATTTCGCGGGATCATTGCTCCCGCTATTTCTCTAGCAGACAAGGAGCGTATCACCCTTTAATGTTTTATTCTTTGAATTCGTTTGATTTCTCGGCAAGCGAGGCGGGCCTCTGAGCTTCACTGTACTTGTGAAGGAGACATCATGGGTGGCAGTTTGCTATGAATGTAAATTATACCATTGTCGTTACTGCTACCATTTACCAAACACAAATCACCGAAGCATCTCTGAAGAGAGATCACATTTGCCGGAAGCTTACATGATGTGTGACAAGCTTTCATCGGCTCTGGGATATACGTAGAGCTATACATTCAAGGAGGCACCCTGCAGGACATAAACCCGTTGCATTTGACGGACCATCCGGCCCCTTCTTCATGTATCTAGCCCATTCATCTGGCCTGGGTTTGCCAGCGCTTCCTTCATGGATCGACCTCCATCTTCCCCGCCTCAGCTTCCTCCTCCACCGGCACGTCGTGGACTGTGATGAAGTTGCCGAGGTCCTCCTTGCGAATGACAATCTTCTCGTTGAGCACGGCGGTGGTACCCTTGGGGAACTTGTAGCTGCGCAGCTTGGCCACCCGCTCGTTGGGCTTGATGTAGTTCCGCATCAACGTAGTCTTTTCGCTCGTAATGACGCAAACGTCCACATTGCTACCGGATCCTAAGTCGTTGAAGATACCTGCCTGGATGGCCTCGCTGCACAGCTTCACGGCCTCGTCGCGGGTCAACGCCTCGGGTTTCCACTTGGTCTCGAACACCGACATGGCCGCGAGGGAACCAGAGCCCATGGTCACGTATGGCAGCTTGTCCGTGCTGCCGTGGGCGTGCACCGTAAAGAGGTGGGTGCCGGTGGGGTCGACGCCTGCCACGACCAGGTATGCGCCGATGTGGCCCTGATACCGAAACAGGTGCTGCTTGAGCAGGGTCATGCAAGTGACGACGCGGGGTTTGCGACCGGTCGACAGGGAGTGCAGCTCCAGCTGGGAGGAGATGATGGCCGTGGTGAACTCTGTATCGGCAGCCGTACCAGCACCAGCGCACCAAATCTGAGGAGAGATGTAGTGAAGCTTTTCGCAGTTCTTGTCGGCCACGATGGGGCCGGACGTGGCACGGGTATCAGCGGCGATCTAGCCGGTTGCTGGCATCAGTGGACAGACATGCAAGCCGTACCATGAGTTAAGACCTACCACAACGCCTCCGTCGAAGATGCACCCAACGATGGTGGTACCGGTGCTGGTTGCCTTGGGCAGCGGGACACCGCGGGCATGCAGCGCCGCATTCCGGTTGTAGTTGGAGAAATCGAAGCCCGGCATGGCGATTGGTGAGGGTGTCGAGTCGGAAAGAGGAGAGAAGATGGGCGTTGAGTGCCTGATAGATAGACCTGCCTGATAGCAGTTGGTGCAGCCGATGGAAAGCAGAGACGATTGTTCGACCCTGGTGTGGGAGCAGCTCCGAAAGACCTAATTGCTCTTTTTTCCGATCTGTCTGTGCAGGCGTTCCGGGATGCAAGCGTCGAGGCTGAGGCGAAGAAGGCGGTGTTGTGTGGTGTTGAAGCACGAGATGGCGTCGCTGGTGCTGACGAGGCTCAAAAGCTGCCTTCCAAGAAGCCAACAGCTAAACGCGCGCCCTTTGCCAGGAGAATGAGCCGTTGTGATTGGTCGTCGATGGTGGGACCCGCAACTGAAGCTTGGATCACGTGATGCATTTTAGAACCACCCTAGCGTGGCGTTTGGCAGCCTTCACTACGTCGCGGAATCGCGTTCCCATAAAAAAAACGGCAGTGACGACCTGACAAACAAAATAAGAGGGTCATTAAAGCAACGGCGAGCTCCCTCGAAGAAGTCCAAACGCCTCGACAGTCTGCCTGGAGATAGTGAAAGGGCCTCCCATTTCCATCTATCTCTCATCTTTTCACCCTGCAGCACAAAACATTGGTCTAGAGCACATGCCGAGGGCAACACACCCGTTGACAGGACTGCACAACATTGAGCTCTCCCGTCAGTCGCACCATCCTCCAGACGACCGAAAGACTGCATCCAAAGAAGCAAAAGAATGGCCTTCAGCTTTGGTAGCCTCGGAGGAGCTGCCGGTGCAGGGGCGTCTGCAGCCGGCGGGAGTGGCGTCCAAATGAGCCAGGGGTCTGATCTTGAGCTGATCCAGACGGAGGTATGTGAACACGCGATGCTACCACGAGTGCAGATAGCTTTCCCGACTTGTAGCGATGGCGACTAATGTGAGGGCCTTCAGGGCGTTGGATTTCTCAGCGTTGCCGGCGACACAAAGCTGCAGCTGGTCTCGAAATGGAGCGAGCCGCCTCTCCCGACCGCCTCCCTCATCAGCGTGGCCTCGCACAAGGGCCTCGTTGCAGCAGCCGGTCCCGATGCCGTCCGTATTGCCACGACCGACTCGGTACGGAAAGCGCTCTCGGCCGAGGGCAGCGGTGACAGCGACGGCGATATCCGGCCGTTCACGCCGCAGGTGACGATCCCGATGCAGCTGCGCGTCTCGCAGCTGGCCTTCACCGCCGACGAGTCCTTTCTGGTCCTCTCGGCCGAGACAGGCGGTGGTCTGGCCGTCTACGACGTGCAGGCGCTGGCCCAGGGCAGCACAACACAGTCGGCCTTTGAGCTGTCCACCAGCGGCGAGACGGTGCGGTCGCTGGTGCCCAACCCCATGGCCGACAGGGCCGAGCTGTGCGCGCTCGTCACGGTCAAGGGCAACCTGCTCATGGCCGACCTGAAGCAGCGCTCGCTTCGCAGCGGCCTTGCCGGCCAGCCCGTCCTGCGCTCGCAGGTGAGCTGTGTGGCCTGGAGCAGCAAGGGCAAGCAGCTCGTCGCCGGCTGTGCCGACGGCTCCGTCTACCAGATGACGCCCGACGGGCAGGAGAAGGCACACATCCCCAAGCCGCCCAAGCTTGGCGACTACTACGGTGAGGACGTTCTCTCTGTCTTTCTCCAAGGATCACACTGACCGGCAGCAGCTGCCTCGATTTCCTGGCTGGAGAACGACGTCTTTCTCGTCATCCACAACCCGACGGCAGGGGGACAGCCGTCGGAATACCACATCATCACGCGGAACACCAAGGCGGGAGCCGGTCACGAGCTCGTGTACCAGAAGCTCAACGATCCGGTGGAGCCGTTTGGCGACAAAGCACCGCACCATTCTATACTTCGACTGCGCGACTTCCCTCCTAACCTGCAGGACTTATTGTTGGTGGCATCAACGGCAGTGGAAAACATTGGGCTTCTGACGCGGTCCAAGGCTCCCCTGGCCAGTAATGTGGCCGCAGACAAGATCACCAACGTCTTTACGACGACAGAGCTGGCCGACGACTCGCGGCGTGCCCAGCTGCCAATGTCAGCAGACTACAACGACACATTTCCAGTGGGTGTGGCCCTGGACCTGTCCAGCAAAGATAAAGTCCACAAGCCGATTCCGACGGACGAGATTGAGGAGTCCCCTGGACCGCTTCCGAGCCTTTGGGTCTTGAACAACGAAGGCGTCCTGGTGACATGGTGGGTTGTGTACAACGACTCTATCCGGCAGGGCACAACGTTCCCTGGATTGGTAGCTGTTGAAGACGGTGCAGCCGCCGCACCAGCATCTGCGTTCTCAGCCCCGAAGCCAGCAACGCCCTTTGGCAGCGCTGCCCTCACACAGACTACCACTCCGGCTCCGGCGCCTGCTTTTGGTACCAGCGTCGGCCTCGGGGCCAGCTCTTCGCCATGGGGTCAGGCCAAGGCCGCGTCTGCCTCCACCAGCTCGCCAGCTCGAGCCCCGGCGTTTGGGGCGCCGTCAACCATTGGCAGCGGAACGGCCTTTGGTGCGTCCGGTGGTCTGGGAACCAAAGCGTCAGTCTGGGGGTCTAGCGCAAAGACACCGGCGTCGCCCGCCTTTGGGCAGTCCGCCTTTGGGTCCAGCTCAGCCACGCCTACTGCGCCTTCCGGCGGAGGCTTTTCGGCCTTCGCCAACAAGACGGCATCGCCTTTCACAAGCATTGCTGCCTCTAGCGGAGGGGCCGCGAACAGCAGTCCGTTCTCGTCTTTTAAGAGCACGGGACAGAGCGGCTTCGCGTCTCTGGCATCAGGCACCTCGGGCGGCGGCAGCGTCTTTGGGTCTCGGTCCGAGACGAAGCCGTTCGGGTCTACGACATCATTTGGGGCGCCTGCTGGCGCAAGCAGCACCACTGCTTTCCCCCCACCAGCAACCAAGGCCACCGGGTCGTCTGTGTTCGGCTCGTCACCGTTCGTCTTGGGAACGACCTTCAAAGCGGATCCCGTAACGGCGAATGCAAACGAGACCACACCGGCCAAGGCAGGAAGCCTGTTTGGTAGCGGTTTCGGATTGTCGTTGACACAGGCAAGCAGCACACCTGTGACAGCAGAGAACACTAAAGATGAAGACATGGACGTAGCAGCGCCACCGGCAGCTGCCGAGGCTTCATCGCCTGCAAAACCGGCGCCCAGCTACTTTGAGTCAACAACACCGACAACAACACCGGCCCCGAATCGGTTCTTCAGTCCACCGGCAAGCACAAGCACGCCGTCAACGACGCTTTTCGGCAATGCTGCCGGCACCACACCAAAGGCAGGGTTGTTCTCCCGACCGGGTGGGCTTTTTGGAACGCCGGGCGGTGCAAAAGCGGACGATAGCACGGCGGCCGATGCGGCGGATAACGAGGCAACACCCAAAGCAAAGCAGCCGCAGGAGCAGAGCCTCCCCCTACCACCGGATGGCACCAGTAAGGCCGCATTCACCGTTGGCGACACCTCGTCCTCCTCCGACACGTCTAACAAAGCTGCAGAAGACGACGCCCCGTTGCCGCCGGACCCCTTTTCCAAGCCAAAGAAGGCAGCGGCAGAAGCCCGACAGGCCCCTGGTTTGTTTGGCAAGCCAGGGGCAGAGCCACCTCTACCACCTGACCCGTTTGCAAAGCCGAAAAAGTCGGATTCGGAGGCAGCGGCCGAGGCGACCAGCTTGCCCGAGGAGGCACCATTGCCGCCGGACTCTTTGTTTCGGACATCCAAGAGCAGTGGCGCTGCCAAGGCAGACGCAGTGCCAGCAACACCGTTAGCGAACCCGTTCAGCTCGATGAAAGCACCGGTGAAGTCGTCTGGGTCATCGATCTTTTCATCCAACCCCCCTCCTAGCAACGACTCCAGCCTCCGGAATCCGTTTGCGAACTTGCCGAAGCCACCGCTATCGCCGACGACGGACGGGTCGGAAGAGGAGGAGCAGTCGGAAGAAGGGGAGGCCGAGGAGCAAAGTGCAGCTGGCGAGGAGGAAAAGGTAGAAGACGATGACGAAGTAGAGGATGACGAAGGAAGCGGGACGGACATTGGGAAAGACGTGAGCCCGAGGATGAACGAGCTGGTCAAGACGCCGAGCCAAGCGACCCACGGGTCCTTTACATCGACGGGCCGAGACACCAGCGCGAACTCGACGTTTTCGCACATCGACATGCCACGGTCACAGATCTTTGGCGACCGGGAGGCGCCGGCACTGCGGCCACCACGAGCACAGGAGGTCAGCCCACGATCTCCCAGCCCACAGCGGCCAACGGCCAAGCCGCAGAGCGGGCTACCGACCGGGCGGCTGTTCCGCGACGACCCGCAGCGGTCATTCAGTGCACCAGGGACAGCGTCGCAGTTACTGCGGGACACGTCGCGACAGACAGGCGGAGGACAGGCAAGTCAGGGATTTGCTGGCAGCGGGATGTTTGGCAGCCGACGGGTGGCACGAGATCCGAACCTCGAGGAGCAGCGGAAAGCAGACGCACACCGGGCAGCAGAATCGGCCAAGGCGCTCACGCCGGAAGACAGCTACGAGGCGATGGACCGAGAGCTGGAGCAGGCATTGGAGCCGACGTTGCAGCTGGCGGAATGCGTGTACATTCTGGACTCTGACATTGGCGGAGGCGACTCTGTGGCAGCACAGACGGAGGCGGTGTACCGGGATATCAACCGGATGGTGCTCGTGCTCCGGGTCAACAGCCGCAACATTGACGCGTTCCTGCGCGGCAACTCGATCGGGGGCCACAAGACAGAAGAGGACCTGGACGAGCCGGAAGGCTGGGTGCTGTGCGATGTGGACGATCTGGGAACGATTGTGAGCCGGGAACTGCCGACGAAGCTGCGACAGTCACGGGTAAAGGGCGAGGAGGCGCTGCAGGCGGCAGCAGAGGCGCTGCTGAAGGAGGCCGGACAGCTGCGAGTGATGCACGAGGATCTGGCGCGGGTGGTGCAGCTGCAGGTCAGCCAAGACCAGGCGGCAGCAGCAAGAACACTGCCGCTGACAGCAGAGCAAGACGTGCAGCAGAACGAGCTGCGACGGGCATTTACGAAGCTGATGGGACAGCTGGTGGAGGCCGAGCAGCAGTTGGTGATGCTGCGGACGCGAATGAGCTCGCTGGCAGCCAACGGAGGAGGAGTGGGAGAGGGAGGAGGTGGCGTGGTACCGGCACTGCCGACAGTTGATGCGGTGATGCGAACGATTGCCAAGATGACGGCGATGGCAGAGAAACGCAGCGGCGACATTGACGTGTTGGAAGCACAAATGCGCAAGCTGGGGCTGAACGGACGCAACGGACGGACCAACGGGCAGTCGAATTCACATGTGCATGCGCATTCGCCCTTTTCGACGCCACAGAAACAGTCGAAACGCGGCTCGGGCATCTTCTCGACGCCCGGCAGTACGCAACGGGCGCTGTTCGCATCGCCGGGAGCTGGAGGCACGCCGACGCGACGGAAGCTGAGCGGCTACACGGACAAGGAGAAGGAGGCGCTGCGACAGACACGGGCCAGCCGACAACGCACGCTCGAACGGCTGCAGCGGATCCACGAGGCAGAAGGCCCTCGACACATTGGGATCGACTGATGCAGTGTAAGGAATGGTCACGTGATGTAGGTATTACTATGTATGGATAAGTGAGGTAGTGTTTCCAAGATTGTGTCCAAGAGTCAAGATTGTTGTGCGGCATGTTTTGTGAGATGGTTTGGGTCGTCGGGTCTAGTCTTCGGCCTTCTCCTTGCCGGAAAGGTCGTCGAGGGCGTCTTTGGCGAGGAAGCTGGGGGAGTCAGGGAAGAGAAGACGGAGAGAAGGACAGAAGAACGAGCAGATGACTTACTTATACCAGATGACAGTGGGACCGATGGTGCCGAGATGCCAGAGCGAGTGGGCATCGAAGATGCCAAAGGCGGGCGGAAAGTCAAACAGCTCAAGACTCATGGCGAGGGTGAGCCAGGCGACAGCGAGACCGGGCCAAACGGTCCAGAAGCGACGAGTGAGACGCCACTGTCGCCACGAATGCCAGGACCAGAGAGCATTCTGGACAATGCCGCAGGCAACGTTGGCGGCCATGTTGTAGCCATAGTCCCAGCGGACGAGGGTGAGATAGGCGACATGAGCGACGTAGAGGGCGACACAGAGGGCGGTCCAGACGAGGAGGACGAGGGGACAAGGAGCAGGCGGTCGATTATGACGACGAGAGAGATCGCGACGGCTAGTGTTGGGGCTGCTGGCTGAGCTGCCGATGCCGTCGAGGCGATCGAAGCGGTCGAGGCGGAAAAGCCGGACGGGCGTGTAGTAGAGCCCGTACATGACGGAGGCGCCAGCAGCAAAGTAGTCGAGCCGTTCGGTCAGGACGAAGTCGCGGGTGTGGAAGAGGCTGCTAAAGACCCACGAGACCGAGCCGACAAGTCCGAAGCCGAGGTAAAAAGGCAGCAGCGGGTAGCTGGCCGGAAGCGTCTGGCGCAGCCGGCGGACTCCGGTCACGTGCGCCCAAAGGTTGCCGAGCGAGAAGGCCACCGAAGCCGGTTCCTGGACGCCGAACAGCCGCCGGAAGGGCCACTTGCCGTGGAACTGCTCGACGGACTGGCCGGCAGCCAGACGATGCGCCGTGACGATGCGCTGGCAGGTCTGATCACACTCGGCCGCACAGTCCCAGAGGAGGAGACGGAGATGGAGGGCTGAGGGTCAGAGGTCAGATTGGTCGAGCGAGGGAACGAACGAGCAGAAGGAGCCGACACCACAAGACTCACGAATCGGCGTCGCCGCCTTGCCGGAACCGCAGTTTTCCTTTCTGCACACCTGGAATCGTCAGACAAGCCCGCAGACACGACTCCCAGACTGCTCACCTCGACGCATTCGCGAAACTCGGGCAGCCGGTCGCCCACCGACGCCGTCGCGCCCGGCACGCTCGCCAGCATCGCCAGCACAATGGCCAGCAGGGCCAGCCGCCTCACGGGCAACTGCATCGTCTGGGAAGAGAGGCAGAAAGACGGAACGACAAAAGACAGGCGACAAAACGGAAGCCGGAGAGACGAGGGCAGGCGCACGAACAGTCTCGTCTGTTGTTCCTTCCTGCACTGTTTCTTCGACTGCGCCACGCCTGAAACAGCTGGCCGGAGTCCCAAGCTTCTCATTGGCCACGTGCACTCGTTAGGGTGGTACAGTACGACACTGTATTACATACTGTTATGGCAAGAATACTCAGTAATAAACTAAATGCTGGAAGTAATAGCTAACTAAGAGCAAACTGCAGAGATGCCGCCGACAAGAGCAAAGCGAATGTAGAAAACAAGGCCCAGATGCGACCCTGGGGCTTGTCCCGCGAGGCTGATGTTTTGTAAATGTGCAAACTCCATCGCCCTAATCATGTGATGACAAAATAAAAAGGAAATCCAACCGGAGACAAGGTGCTTTTTTATGTTCTGTATGCCAAGGGAATGGAAGGCGGGCCAAGCCTGGCGCTTCCAACCCGAAGAAAAGAAAGCAGAAAAAGAGAAAGAGAAAAGACAAAGCAAGAAGCATCCCAGCATGGTCGTCTAGGCCTGGTCGTCATGTCGTAGTCGTGTGGTCATAAATTCTCGTATCAGAATATCCGGTCGTAAATAGTCCAGAAACATTGTTGCATCTGCGCGGAAAAAGGAAATGCTCAGAAAAGAGTGAGGCAGCTGGTCCGTGAGAACTGTCTGCCTGAAAGGAGGCTTGTCCTTTGCGTATGCCGTATATACGTCTGGGATATAGGGAGAGAGAGGAGAGGAGAGGAAACAGAGGGGAGGAAGAAGAGAGAGAGACAAGAAAACAGACGCCCCTCTACAGAGCCTCTACAGAGGAGATTCTGATCGGCGTTCCAGTCGGCCCTCCTGTCGGCTCTCTCGTCGGCTTTCCCGCCGGCTGTTCAGCTCTCGCAGCCGCTGGTCCAGATAGGTCATGCGCGACGCAAGATTGGCGCGAGCTGGCACTGCCTTGGACTGGTTGAGCCGCTGCGCTGTGGCAAACGGCCGGCTGGCCGGTGCTGCCTCATAGTCGGCCGGCTGCGAGAGCCGATTCGGGAAGCTGAAGCTGGCAATTGCATTCGCATTCACATTCGCATTCCCATGGGCATGGCCGCCGACCGAAAAGGGCGAGCCCAGCCGAGCAGGCGGATACAGCGGCGCTTCGTCGGCCAGATCGCGCAGAAACTGCGGCACCGGCACCGGCATCGATGTCGCCGTCGTCAGCTGGGGCGCAGATGTGGATGTGGTCAGAGAGGCCGACGACGACGCGGTCATGGTTCGGGGCACAAACATCACTCCCCGGGAACGCGTCGAGCCGCTGGTTGGGCCAACGTCCATCTCGCTGTCCGAGACCGTCGTCGTCGTCGTCCCGTCGTGGTAGTCAAACGGCTCCGTGAAAAAATCAGAGTCCAGGCTAGGCCGCTTGCGCGACTCTCGAGCCAGCTGGTGAGACCGTCGCTTTTGGGCGCTGCTGGTGCTGGTGCTGCTGGCGGTGCTGGTGCTAATGCTGGTGCTGGTGCTGTTGCTGGTGCTGGTGCTGTTGCTGGTGCTGTTGCCGGTGCTGATGCTCGTCCGGTTGAGACGCACCGGCGACTGCAGCGAGCGACGAGAGCCGATCGTGTGTGCGTGCTGGCGCGGCGCCGACGTCGACAGGCCCAGCACTGCAGCCAGCGAGCTGGACGAGCTGGACGAACTCGGCCCATAGCTGCGTGCCCCAAACGGCGAGCCCAGTCGTCTTCGCTCGGCAAACGAAGGCTCCTCGGCCGCCATCACCGAGCTGAGCCGACCTGCCAGCGAGTGCACCGCCCCCGACACTGCCGCATCCGAGATCGACCGTGTCGACCGTGTCAACCGGGCCATCGGCGCCTGTGGCTGCATGGTATCGCACGTACTGACGGCCAGAGACACGGCCATGTCACGTGTCGCAAACGACGACAGCGTCGACGGCTGGCCTGAACACAGGTTCCGCGTCCGCGCCGCTGCCGTCGCTGCCGTTGTTGCTGTCGTCACCGTCGTCGCCGTTGTGGACTGAAACGGTGTCGGAGTGCGCGCCATGTACTGCAAATCGCGGGCGCCTCCGCCAGGTGTCGACGCCTTAAGCCGACACAGCTCCCGGAGATGCGCTCGTGTCGCCGCGTTGGTGTGCGGCCATTCCATAAAGACCTTGCCTGCTGCAGAGCTGCCGCCTGCTGTCGGCGTGCTGCTGCCGCTCTTCTCGGCCACTCTGGTTCTGGTACCCTTCCAGCTCCGTTTGGCCTCGCGCGCCACCCGCGTGCACACGCCGTGCGGTGGCACACAGCTCTTGCCGACGTGAAACGGTGTGACCTTGGGGTCCTGCAGGTACAGCATGTACGTCGCCCAGAGATGGGAGCTCATTGCTCGTGTCCACGGCGCCTTTCTCAGCGTCTGTGTCCGTCGTCGCGACGCTGCCGCGTTCTGTCTATCCACGGCGGCACTTCGGCCAAGCAGTGCGTCTCTCCGGAGCTCGTTGCCCGGCCGCGCAGGGCCTGACTTGTACTGCGCAAAGCTCTCTTCGGCCGGGCTGATAAGAACGCAGTTGTCCTCGTCGGACAGCTGCGAAAAGCGGCTAAAGAGCGACGACGAGCTCGTCTGCGTAGACCGCGCCGTCGACGGACGGCTGGACCCGCAATCGCGCTCTGGGCTTGACTCGGCCGAACTGCTCAAAACCGAGTCGATCGACCAGTTGGGATACCGCGACGGCGAGAGCGACGGCAGAGGTCCAGGCACCGGCGTCTTTGGTGGCGAGAACCGGCTGCGACCGCGGACGCTAAGAAAGGTCCCGTCATCCTCGGGACCCAAGCATGCCTGCTGCTCGACCAGACGACTCTGTGACAGACCAAACAGCTGCCCCGGAACGAAACCCGGCGCGTCGGGCTCTTCAATGCTGGGGATGGGCACATCGGCAAGCGATCCCTCAGCCGCTGCGACAGACGCCAAAAAGTTCTGCGTCGGAGCCAGCAGCTGTGGAACCGGGCGCCTCTTCAGGCGAAGACGCGGCCGCGGAGGTGAGGGAGGACGCACTTCAGCGTCTGTGGCCGCAAAGCTCGTCGGCTCTGGTGTTCTTGGTCCGGCAAAAAAGCCTGCCGACAGGCCTGGAACCGGAGTCGACATGGTGTCTGCAGTCTGTAGGACGACGTCCAATCGTGGGAAATTGGTCTCAGGGAGGTTGGCGAAAGGGCACGGGAAATAGGATTGTCTTGTTGTTGTTGTTGTCGGCGCCAGTATAAAGGGCGGGCCTGGATGGGGTGCAAAGGGATGCGCCACGCGAAACGGCGCAAAAAGTAGGCGGCGGGGGATAGCGCAGAGTGCGATAGAGGTGCGCTAATAGTAGGCTGAACGGGGAAAATGCGGTGGTTGGGACTCAGATCGACGACCACTTTGTGGACGCTTGGTGAATACAAGAGAAGAAGCGAACAGCAGTGCGAGACGTGTTCAGTGAGGAGAAGAAGGTTCGAGAGGTTTTCGACAGAAATTCGGTCGCAAGTTCGGTGTAAACACAGGAGGAAAAAGAAAAGAAAACCGTTCGTACGGGTTGTTATCTTGGTCGAGGGCGTCAGAGGGTCCGTCGCGTCGTCATATGGGGCTATCCAAACACGAAGACCACTGCGCAAGTGGAGCGGCAGTCCAGAATCGACAGCGGACCAAAGCGAACACGGTCGCAATGGGAGGGGGACGAAGAGGGCGACGAAAGGAGACGGATCGCGGGACGAAGGTAGGGTGAAGGCGGAGAGAGACGAGCGACAAGAGGGAGAGGAGAGGGTCGCTGCTGTTAAAGGGATGCGAAAGATTGGGAGCGCACAGGAGACGATAGCAGGGGTCTTCCGGGACTTCTGGGTCCTCTGGGTCCTCTGGGTCTTCTTGGGGAGGGGAGGGGGGGCGTGTGTGGTGTGTGTGGACGGTCTGGTGGTCCCCAGAGGCGCGTTCTGGTTGGAGGTGCACAGCGGCTGGGCGCAGGCAGGTCGATGCAGCAGGACTGGTCGGGTGGTGTTACAGCGATGCTACGGCGGGGGGGGGCCAGTTGCTGAAGCCCAAAGCGCGCGCAGAGCCGAATTCGGGCGCTGTCATTCGCTGTCAGTCCTTCTTTGTGGCGTCGGATCCTGGTCGCTGCTGATGGATCCGTCCAGCGGATGCTCTGAGCTGGCTGCTATGTATCTTATGTTTGCTGATATGGATGGATCCTCGACGGCACTCGAATGTCCCGTCTTTGCTGTGATCCGTACCTTGCAGCCAGCAGTCTCGAGAGCACACAAAGACGTGTGGCCGTGTGCATATGCAATGCTCTCCGGTCGAACAGAAGCAACGCGTCTGTGCAGTGTTGGGAAAAGAGGAAAGGGAGGCAAGATGCCGAAGAGGTGAGGGTAGACAGACGAGGAGGGGTACGGAGTACAATGTATGCACCGCACGGCCGCTGGATACCTACTCCGTACTTGGTACTATTATCTGGAGAAGCAGCAGGCGGGTGGATCAGCACGCAGACGCAGCAAGCCGACAGCCAATGGAGCCAGACGGCCAGAACGACGGCCGCGACGGTTCGCAAGAACAGTCGATCAGTCAGGTCGTGCGAGTCAGGACTGCGGTGGATGTGGATCGGTCAGATAGGTACGAGTACTCGTACTCGTCGTGCTCGCACCGGTCGACTCGCACAGCCGTTGCAGCAGCCGATGAAGAACCGCCTTCGATCTTGGTCCGATGCTCTCTGCTTTCTTCTTTGCGACCGCGCGGGGCGGTGACGAGGTTTGCGACAATACTGCCGTCGAGCTGACGCTGGAAGCAACGGGCTCCTGTGGGCGGATGCACCAAGACCAGGGACAGCGAAGCGAAGAGACCGGCGCGACCAAAGAAGAAATTAGAGGGTCAGCTAGTCGAGGGGATGGCGTATGCGGTATAGGCTTGTCTAGGGAGGGGGGTATCTCTTGGAACTGGCGGTAAAGAGCAATACTTGCAAGATACATATGGGAGCAGAGGTACGGAGTACGGAGTACTCGTACAGGAGAGAGGGGGGCAAGAGGGAGAGGCGAAAAAAAAAGAAAACAGGAAACAAGAAACAAGAAACAAAGAAAAGTGCATGCAGCCAAAGACAATAGTAAGACTGTAGGAACACGAGATGGGGTCCGGCAACTGTGATTCTGTCTTTTTGTCCAGGCCATTTCTCTCTGTCATCCAATTCATCGAGGACCGTCAAGCCCTGCTGTCCGGCCAGCTTTGTGTCGTTTTTGCCCTCGAGACCGGGATTTCGTGCCAGGGAGAGGATGTGATCCCAGGTCGGAAAGAGAGAAAATCAAACGTCGCGTTTTTTCGCGTCACGCTCGCGTTCATGCGCCACGGACCCACCAAAACAAGCCGTGGCGACGTGTGTGGCTCTCTGCCCGACATTCCAGGCAGCCGTGCATCAGCGCGTTGTTTGCATGCCATTCGACTTGCGCATGGCCCAATCCGTCTAGTCGATAAAACAGTGCAGCCTTTGGCACCGACAGAAGAGGGTATTGCTCCGTACGGAGTGCGAGTACGGAGCACCTATTACAGCGTGGGGACAGCCCGCACCACTACAGCGGGGTTTGGGGCCCTGTGCTTGCTTCTTACAGTGGACCAATCCCGCGTCCAAAGGTAGCTGTTCTGACTTGCAGTTTCGTAAGATATATTATAAACGTCTGCCATTTTCAGTTCGTAAGGAGTACGCAATTCCTTTCCTCGACCCCTCTCATGCGAGATGGCTGCCAGCACAATGCACGATCAGCCGCTGCCGGTGAGGTCATCAACTGCACAGAAACGGCCACAGCTACGGCTACCACCCCTGAGTCTCGCTCGTTCTGATAGGTCTCCGGCAGCCCGTCTGAAGTCACGCACCCGTTTCAGCAACCACTACGATACCTGTCTATTATTAGGCTCTCGCCGCGTTGCATTCCGCCGCCGTCGCTAGGGATGGCGGCAAGTCCATCTTAGCTAGACTCCGGTTAGCTCTTCAGCCTGGTACGCAGCCGAGAATGAAGCTGAACCACCGCGCAGCGATCGTCTGTCTGTCCTCGTATTCAGGGGGAGGTATTCCGTAATCCCCTAAAACCATCCCCTGACTCCACACACAGCCTTCTTATCAGGCTTTTGCGGCCTGGAACTGCTTGTTAGCGTGACTGTTGCCTTGCATTGGTGCATGATCTGTGGCGCATGATTGGCTGTAAGGAAACGTTTCGAGCCCGTACTCGTATTGCATACTTTGGCCTCTCTGAGCACAAAACCCGTCATTCGATCCGCTTCCCTTCCCATCGGGACACGCGACGTCTGCTTCCGTCATCAGACCTACGTCGTAACTCTCATCGCCATCGACCATGATCGAGAAAACCCGCTTCTGGCACATCGCCCGGTACGCCGTGCCGGCCGTGGTCATCTTCTGGATCCTCATCCGGGTCGCCTTTCACGAGAAATCCCGCTTCGCAGAGCTCTTCGGTCAGCACCGCAACGAGAAGACCATCTTTGTCGACGACTTTTTGCTGCTCGAGGTCGATGGCGAGTTCGACGGCTCCGCCATCGAGACGCTCTGCAACAACAAAACTTGGACGCCGGGCATCGTCCTGACTTGCGAGGCCGTGCCCGGCGGTCTTGCCGATGTCAAGAACGGCATCCTCAGCTGCATCCGGACGGCCATCGAGATGGGCTGTAAGTGACCGAGATCCGCTGCCGACACCAGATAGACGATGATGTGTTGACCAGCTTCAGCGGGCGTGGTGCTTCCCGGGATTGTGCGCCGGTCGCACGTCGACATGTCCGTCATCGTGCCGGGCGATGTTGGTCCGCGACGGGGCGTTTCTCTCGGACACTTCTTCGACCTCGGCCACCTCAACAGCTCGCTCGCGACGTACTGCCCACAAATGGCCGTGTATGAGTCGATGAACAGCTTCTTCGACAAGCCCTCGATGCTGGAGGCCACCAAGCTTAACATCTACAAGCTGCCCGGCGTCGAGACGCTCAAGACGCTGCACGACCGGAACACGCGCGTCTTGGCCCATCCCGAGCTGCTCGGTCAGCAGATCCGCACTTTTCTCAACCGGAAGAGCCCGCCGGGTGAGCGTCGCTACCCTTATCATGTGCACCTCGTGCCCACGCCGCAGAACGCCTTCCCGGCCGCCACCACCGAGTCGGCTGCGCTGTATGCCAACTTTGGCCGGCTGCTGCGCGTGCGAAACGATCTGCGCCGTCTGGCCGCCGCCGCCCTGTTCAACCTGCACACAGCCTTTGCGCTGCGCCTCGACCTGCACTCGGGCATCCGCGCCGACGCCTTTGCCGCCGTCGAGCTGCGCACCGAAAAGGACGCCACCAAGGCCGCCTTTCCCTCGTACACCGTCCAGGCGTCCGATGCGCTCAGTTACCTAACCAACAACAACATGTCTGTTGCCTTTCTAGGCACCGGCGCCACCGTCGCCAACACAACCGCCTTTGTCAAGCGCGCCGCCGAGTTCGACATCAACGTCGTCACCAAGGAAGACCTCGTCGAGGGCATGGACGCCTCGCTGCTGGGCAGCCTCAGCTGGGACCAGCTTGGGCTTGTCGATTACGAGCTCATGATGCACGCCGGCCTCTTCACCGGCACCGCCCGCTCGAGCTTTGCCTGGAATCTCGCCCTGCGTCGCCAGCACGCCTTTGGCACCCCTGGTCCAGCCAACAGCTCTCATCTGGATGGCCACATCCGCTGGCACGACCGTTTCTCGACCCTCTACGGGAACGGTGGCATCGGTGACGCTTTTGAGCAGACCATCTGGCCGTGATGTGTCGCGCTCGGGCCAGTCGCTTGCATCTTGTATTTCTAAATAGCGTACGTGCGTGGTGTGCCTTTTTTGTTTGCTATATTCTGTGCCTGATACTATTTCCCATTTCTCGCCTTGCTTGCGGAACAGTCCAGCAAGGAGGCTATGCAGCGAAGTGGACCGGTTGGGTTAAACGACATTGACGAACCGGAACAGTGCCTTGTAAGATACGTAAAGACACGCATCGGTATTGGGAGCAGTTGGGAGCTTGCTGTTGGTGTGTAATAGTTTGTGTATGCAGTGTGGGACATTTGCCACTTGTGCCAGAGTGCTGCTCGTTCAATTCCTTCTGGCCTCCACCTCCACATTCTTACCAACCGGGCAACAACGACCACAGACCACCAACGTACATATTAAGCAGGAGCTCAGACGAGTTCCTACCTTCTCGACTCGATTTGACTCGACTCGACTCTTCTGACATCTTCAAGACATCTTCTTTCCATTGGCCCTTCACTTCACAATGCCTACCGCCGTCGATATCGTCACGCTCGATAATTTCGAGGACAAGCTCCCAAAGTGGAGTCCCGACGACATCAGCTATCTGCACGCACTTGTCGATATGGGCAGGTAAGCAGCAGTGCCCCTTCTCGCCCTCCCGTTTGTGTCTTGGCTGACCAGTCTGGCAGCAATGGGATTCGGTTCACGATCTCTGACCTGGCGCCGCCTTATACGCGCCTGCTGCGCTGCGTATATCGCGAGCGCGCAGGCATCTCGCTCTTCGATGCGCTGACCGCCAAGGGAGAGCAGCCCTCTAGCAGTGATGGCAGTCCACAGCAGCCAGCACTCAGTCTCCCCAAAGATACCATTCGGGACGTTGCCAACACGCTTGCCCGCTTCCAGCGCATAGCCCTCGACTTCGGTGTCCGCCCAGACCACATGGCTGTATTTGCGACCGAAGCCATGCGCCGAGCCAGCAACGCCGCCGAACTACTGGACTCCATCGGCGACAAAGCCCCCGGCCTGACCGTCCACGTGTTGGCGCCCGAGGTCGAGACGCTGTTTGGCTCCGCGGGTGCGCGTGCCGGGTTTGCGTCCGTCGAAGGCGGCCTCATGTTGGATCTGGGCGGCGGCAGCGTGCAGATATCGTATGTGGACTCGCGGCTGGGCGCTGGCTACGAGACTATGGCAGCACGTACTGGCCAGAGCATGCCCTACGGGGCTGCACGACTGACGCGGCTGGTAGTTGAGAGCCTGCCGACGGAGACGACGACGACAGCGACTTTGATGATGACGCCAGAGGCCAAGGCAAAGGCCGAGTCCGAGGCCACCGCTGCTGTGGCCCCTGCCTTGGCTGATGATTTGACGGCCGCATTGGCCCGTCTGCAGGAGCAGTTTTCCGATCGAGCAGCAGCTGCCTCTGCCAAGGGCTCGAGCAGCATTGATGTCTACCTCTGCGGCGGCGGCTTTCGTGGCTATGGCAGCATGTTGATGCACAACGATCCTGTGCAGCCGTACCCGATTCCGATCATGGCCGGCTACACGGTGTCGGGCGCTCTCTTCGGCGAGACACAACGCATGCGCCACATCAATCACGCCGAGGAGGGCAAAATCTTCGGCTTGTCCAAGCGGCGCCGCCAGCAGTTTGGCGCCATCGCCACTGTCGTGGACGCGCTCATCACCGCTCTTGCGCGCTCTCACCTGAACATCCGCACTGTCACATTCTGTGCCGGTGGCAACCGTGAAGGCGCCTTGATGCTGCGGCTCCCGCCGTCTATTCGCGAGACCGATCCGCTGGTCCTGTTGGCAGGCCCATCCGCCGCCACTACCGCCATTGCCGATAAACTACGATCTGCCCTCCCTGCAGCAGCATCCAGCGAACTGCTGTTGTCGCTTCTACCAATCATAGCATCCCGCATCTGGGAGCGCGGCGGTATAGACGCCGCCTCGAACGCCGCCGCCTCGCTTCACGACGCTGTACACCGCGATCCAGCCACACCTGGACTTCCACACCATGCACGCGCCGTGTTGGCCATTAGCCTGTGGGCGCGATGGGGCGGCAGCGTGGCGCCAACAGACACCAAGCTCCTAGACGGACTACGACATTTGTTGGGCGACGGCAGAGGCAGCAAGAGTCACGATGCTGCCGGCCTTGCAGACGACGCATTCTGGGCAGAGTATGTGGGTGGCGTTGCGGCAGTGCTGGCGCTCCTTTTCCCGGCAGGACCACCAAGTGCAGACGCCCTGAGTTCCGCTTTGTAAGATCAGACCAACAAGCGAATGCAAGCACTGGAAACCTAGTGCTGACTGCTAACCCTTTACAGATTGAGCGTATCCGTGGGCAAGACGCCCTCGGGCAAGAAAAACGCCATTGCTCTTCATGTTGCCGTGTCAAGCAGTCGGTCCATAGGATTAGACTTAGCCTCTGCGGTGGAAGACTGTTTCGGCGCAGTGGGCAAGCAGCACAAGAAGAGCATCAAGCTAAGTACTAGTGTAAGCAAGACCGCGAATTGATTGATGGACGAGGTCGCATATGCTTCAGCTTTTTGCACACAATGCTTGTTCAGACGCGCCGACAAAATGCGGTCAGACGTGGCATCCAGCAGTGCCACATCCTCGATCTGCATGTCAGGCGAGACATACGACGAAGGAAGCGTCATTCCTTCGCACCCGGAACGGACAGGGGAGGCTGTACGTGGATTAGTCAGCGGCAAGTAGGCTGAGACGAGACGAAAATATTTTATACACCAATCCACCCTATAGAGTGAGTACTTGCACAGTTTGCATTCGTATACGCGTAGGCACGTAACGTATTATACGTCTTACATAAGCAGCGGAAGTTATGACAGCCGGACGTTTGTGCATTTGGGCAGCTCTGTGCATACGATTAGAACGATACGGTTGGGAAACCACGATCGACAAGCACTTGGCAACCTGCCAGAACTGGAGCAGCGCAATGACGTATTTTACGAGTACTTTGTAGACCAGAGCTGTAATTTGCTCGTATTTGGCAGCGGAGCCGTAAACTTCCCAATTGCGGTCCACGAAAAGACACTCTCGAATACGGAGCAGAATGGCACATTCAGGCTTTGCGCACAGCCACAACCACGAGCGCCTATCGAAGACGCGGCGACGATGGACGGCTACGAGTACTCGTACGCCGTAAGCGAGCTACGGGTGCTGCCCGCAAAGAGCGGGCGACGTGCATGCGATATCGCATGTTTGAAGTAATAATAGCTACTGCAGCTCAAGCTTATTCGCTCAGAGGCCGCTTGGCCACAAGCAGCGGGTCGGGCGGTGCTGGGAGGATCTAGAGGTGTGGACGACGGCAAGGGAGGATGGCAGCAGTCCGTCCCGTTAATCTTACAGCAAGCCGGACCGTCATCAGCCTCACCAAGAGCCCCAGGCGTCTAGTGGCCACGCTGGTGCTTTGTCCCGAAACAGCTGATCCCTTGCTGTTTTGATCCGGTAAAGGATCGAGTGTGGAGAGAGCAGATTGGTGGCCATTTGCGCGAGACCTGGGCTCTATGACGTGGTCGGATTGGGAAGGCCTGCTCTGCGCCTTAGGGGTTGTATGGTACCGTCGTCTTATTCGCAAGAGGCACCTTGTTGCCCCGGGCCAGAGCACCCCTATTGTGTCCTGTGCCCCGCGGCATATGAATACATCGACGGCCACCACCTCTGCGCTCTTCCAAACGACTGCACACTAACATCTTACCCGCTCTTCTGTGGCGAGTGGGTCTTGTATGAGATCTAGCGGTTTCGACCCAAAAAACCTAACGGCAAGTTGCAATTTTACCCGTACCTCGTACGAAGTACAGAGTACTCCGTACTATCCAGTGCTTTGAAAAGGGTCGCCCCCCCATCGTCCAAGATTCTAGGAACAGTCCGTGGTCCCCGAGACGCGCGTCCTATACCACGACACAGAAGGCAAAAAGGAGACAGTCACCAAACGAAAGCGCTGGAGAAAGACCGACAGCCCCGCGACTTCCGGCAACACGAATCAGAAGCAGCTCGTCCAGTTAAATACGGAGTACTAGGCACTTTGTGTTCTGGCCTGACCCGGCACCTGCATCCTCACGCCGTGATCGTTCACCAGCCACGCAACAGGCAACGTGCAACGGCCGGCTTGACCTAAAATGGCTTCTCCCAGTGAGTACGAGCAGCTGACACGAGACGTGTCTGGCATCCTGTTGTTGCCGCTTCCTCCGAAGGCGGTGCAACACCCGGCCAGTCTGGCCCGTATGCTGTCCTATTGCCGGCGGCCTTGCTGACAAGACACAGTGCCGGCACCCACCAGTGCTCCTCCTCCGCCTCCTCTCACTCACAGCTCTCCCACGCTGCCTCCCGGCTATGAGTACGATGACCTTTCAGTGTCGGACCTAGTTGGAAGCCTGTCCCTGTCGTCGGCACCACAGCTTCCTCCTCTTGATTACTACTCCAGTCCGGAGCAGCAGCAGGAGCAAGAGCAAGAAGAACCAGGAGAATTTGACGAACAAGACGAACAGGAAGAACAAAAACCAGAAGAACGACAGGCGGTACCGAAATTCCCCGAAGACTACCTGCCGTCGCCTACTCGCTCGGCACCGGCACCACCTCTTCCGTTCGAACCGATCCTGATCGGGCCCCCCGGCCCCCAGAAGAGGCACCAGCTGCACCAGTTATGTCGCCGCCATCGCCGCCACCTGCTGTCCAGACAGAGGGCCCGACAGTGCTGCGTAAGACTCGGGGCAGTCAGGGATATGTCAGGGCTGTCGGAGGAAGCGGCCCGCAACAAGGCACCGAGGTTCAATGCGGTCTCCGGGCCGCTGCACCTGTTCAAGTCGCAGGCTCGCGGGCGGTCTCCATCGGAAGCCGAGAAGCCGCGGGGACGCAGCGTTTCGGCGCAGCCGCCAGAAACAGGCACCCAGTCAGGCGCTCAGCCACACGCCGGCACACCTCGTTTCGATCGTCGGAGGCAAGACGTCCCCGTTCCCATTCAGCACATTCCAGCGAGGGTAGCAGCGCCAACAGCCTGCATGCGAGCCTCGCGACGGCAGCCCTTCGGCGTCGCAGCTGGCTGCCCGGCAACGGCAGCATCAGCAGTCTCGGCAGCTTTGGCGGCCTTGGCAGCCTCAGTGTCAATATCAGCAGTGCACGGTCGCGAGCAAGCTCAAAGGGACCGCCGCCACCGCCGCCAGCAGAGGCGTGGGTGCTGACGGCCGACTCGACGGCCGAGTACAACGTGGAATATTTGCTGAGCAGAGAGAGGGTGAGTTCTGATTCTGGTTTTGGTTCCTTCTTATTGAAGCTATGCTGACTCTCGACAGGTGCCTGAGCTCTGGGACGAAGGTGGCACACTTTTTATCTTCCTGGCGCCACGCGACAGCGGCAAAGAGGCGTCGTTCCGGGTGCGTGCATCGATCATCAGTGAGAGTCCGGTGCTCATCGGCATGGCGCTGGCAGAAACAATGTCGCCAGTCAGCATACGTTCGCCAGCGCGCAGCTTCAGTGGACGCGATTCGCTCTCGGCAGCCGACGCCCACCGGATAGTGTCACCGGGATCTCCGGCCGATTCGGACATGGGCGATGCGATGGCGCTGTATCTGCCGGTGGTCAGCAGCAACCCGGGCGAGCGGACGAGCGAGCTGGAGCAGCTCCTGCCGGTGCGCAACCTCTTTGCGCTGCTCACGGGCCAGCCTCTGGTGGCTACACACAGCACGCCGACGGCCTTCTCGGTTCTGCTGCAGGTGGCAGCACTGCTGCGGGAGTTTGAGTTTGGAGTGGGCAGCAGCGCGGGCAACGGGTCGTTTGGCAGCAGCGGGTCGTTTGGCGAGGCCGTGGACCTGTGCCTGGGCTTCTACCTGGAGCGGGAGGGTCTGATGGACGTGCGGCACAGCCGAGAGAAGACGCTGGAGGCGCTCGTGCTGGGCGAACAGCTGCGGTTCTGGCCGCTGTACAACGAGGCGTTCTGCCACGCCGTCGGCAAATACCCGGCGATGCGCGAGACGCTGCGAACGTCGCCACTGTGGCAGCAGCTGTCGGGCAACACGCGGCTGCGGCTGGAACGAGCCCATCTCGATCTGCTCTCGCGACAGCACAGCGTCAACATGCGGATCGAGCAGTTTGATTTTCCCAGCCTGTTTTCCGGCACCGGCAACTCCACCTCCAACGACGCCTACCGTGGACTGCGTTTCAAGAACTGGCGTACGTCCTTTGCCGACATGCGTTCGTTTGTGCTGCGACACTACAAGTCGCGTTTTGGCAGCTGGCCGCCCAAAGCGAGCAGTCGGCGCAATCCCTTCAGCGAGAGCGGACTCAACCGACTCGTCCTGCGCACGCTCTACACCGATCTCTGCGCCGTCTACGATCTGTTGGTCGACCGCTCGTCCTTTACGCCGCGTGTCAGCGAGGACAACGCCGTGGCCACGTTTGCCGTCCCACCTGACAGCGGCCTGGCTCCGGCCCACCATCACCAGCATCCACATCTTCACCATCGCCATGCCACCAGCACGGCCTCAACGGCGACCACGGCGACCACGGCGACGAGCTCAACCTCGACCTCGACCGCGGCCACGCCCACCTCGGCCTCTCTGGCGGCAGCCCGGCTTCCCGAGATCGAGAACGCGATGATGGCTCTGCGGCAGATCTTGGCCGAGTTTGACGAATCGTCGCCGCCCGTGCTGCCACCCATTCCCTACGATACGCCACTGCTGCCGTCTATGACTGCCGTCCTGCCGACGTACGGCGAGATGTCGGCCAGAGACCAGGCGCGCTTCGACCGTGGCATCAAGGAGGCTCAAATGCAGTCAGTCCTGCGCATGTCGCACAATGCCGACGCTGACTGTCCGGACTCGTCGACCTTCCTGGCCGCCTTTGAAGCCTTTGAGCTGCGCGAAGCCCGTCGCGGCAAGTCGGGCGCCGAGCTGGCCGAGATGCGCATCGGTCACTGGCTGTTCCTGTATGTCGTGCTGCAGAGCATGCCCATCCTGGTGGTCGACGCTCCGGGCTTGAACCACACCGACGGTGTCGAGTACTTTCTCTGTGAGCCGTCGCAAGGCCGTCCGCCCTGGGTCGAGGATGCCGGTGAGGTTCGCAAGGCCTGGTTCCAGACCGCCGGAGGAGCCGGGCCGCTGGTTGAGCTGTCGGCCGACGTGCTGCTGTATTCGGTCGAGGCCACGTACCACCGCTCGCACTGCTGGCTGGCCGCCCAGAAATGGCTTGGCGACGCGAGAACGGGCAAGGGATTTAACTCTGGCGCTGCCGGAGCCGAAGCCGGTTTTGTGCCGGAACCGCCCAGCAGGATCGAGGCAAACGACGATGCCGACTCCGACTTTCACATGCCGGATCTGCCGCGGCCCTATTATCTCGCCGGCTCCATGTCTGTTCCGGACTTGCCTCGCTTTATCGACTCGGGATCGCCTTTGGAGCCGCAGTCGGCCACGACCACCTCATACTCCGCCTCATTCGCCGCGCCGCTCGATCTACCGACGCCAACCTCACCCCAAGACCGGTCCGGCAGCCCGGTGATGATGTCCCGGACCAGCACCGACCCGCTGCCCAACATACAGCTGCAGGTGCCGCGGCAGCGCGCAAACTATGGCGAGCTGCAGGAACGCGCCAATCTGCGACACGCCAGCATCGGCTGGGCGCTGGAACCGGTCAAGATCAGCGATGTCGACATGCTTCCGCTGCAGCAGCCGCAGCAACAAGAGCAGCTGGACCCGGAGCCGCTACAGCAGTTCCAGCAGTCTCAGCAGCTACCGCAGCTACAGCAGCCGCAACAGCGCGGCCTGATGGTGCCTCCACAGGCACGGCGCGTTGCCTCGGCCGGCAACCTGCGCGTGAATACGGGCAGCGATTCCCTTGTCAACACGGGCAGCACGTTTGACGACATCCTGGGTGGCATGGACAAGACGGAGAAGAAAAACAAACGGAAGTCGTTCCTCCCATTCATGTGAGAGGGCAGACAGCAGAAGCCTGTATCTGGGGAGGAGGGGGGCTTTTCCAGCTTTCATAATTTACGAGTGGACGATATGGGCAGCATACTAGTTTGGCACAAAACCGTCTCTGTTTTCTGTCTTGTTTTTAGCATCAACGGCGCAATAGTGAAAGGGCTAGTTTGCATTGAAATAGCGCCGTCTACTATCTAATATCCTACTACTATGGCTTATACTAGGAACCGTGCGTTCTGTGATCTTGGCAGCCCAACACGTTATAAGCTCGGCCCGCTCACCATTCCTCCACGTACGGCCATAGATACTGGAAAGCACGGGATCCCGTCCGCTCTCCCCTAGTTAAACCAGTAATCGGCGGATTAGTAGTTGGGTCGGTGACGACCAGCGAATACCCGCTGCTGTACGTTTTTTGTCAGTGGGGAGGGAAAATCTTTTTTTTGTTATAATATTTCCAGTATCACTGTATGTCCCGTAATCATTTCTATTATATTGCCTCACAATATATCTATACAACAAGCGGCATATTGCAAATCAAATAAAGAAGTGAGGCCATTGGCATCATGCAACATCAAGGTAACAAAGACACTAAAGTGCATCAACTCAATGTAAAATGGACCGCAATATCACCCCATCGAGGTAGCTCGTTGGCCTTTGACGGGACTTGTACCACAGAGCTCACCACCGTGATGCTGAGTTCACTTGCATCTTTGGGCACAACGGCTTCACCACCTGTAGTTGCAACAGCATACTTCAAGTTGCGTCCAAGGTATGGCTGTACCACTTCCGGCTCCAAGCTTGCCAATTCTCCACTCCCAACCCGCTGTGCCAAGGGCAAGGTCAACGGCACCGTTCCAAAAGCGTGGCTGTCTTTCATGTCCATGCCCGTCATAGCACTTGCAGGAGACGCAAACACGCCCATTGTCCCCACAAGGTTGGGGGCATACGCCCACGATCTCGTATCCGTTGATACGTTGCCCAGAAATATGTGCACAAGAAATGCTCCTCCAGTGGCTTCCTTCCTCGTACGAATGTTGACCAGCCATTCCCGGTAATGGCCATCTGCGATAAGTGACTGGGGCATCGACTGTGGCGAATCATAACTGTGCGGCAATATTGGCTTTGTCTGTACGTTAGTGCAGTTTTTCACCTCATGTTCCATCCGTTCTTTTTGCCTTGGGCCTGTCCACCGTCTCGTCGTCTGCGCCATCGTTCTTTCTGTCACCCCCTCATCCTCCTCTCCGACTACTCCAAGCATTGCCGGGCTGGATTTTCCGTACAGCTGGTTGATGAGTGCCTTCACCTGTGATTGAGTCGTGGCATTAGCCACCGTCAGGCTCGACCTGGGAAAATCCACCATGTCGTCGTATGTATATCCGAATACGCCAAAGTCTCTGACGGTATCTGAAGTCCAAAACGTGCCGTTTGTACTGGAGTAAAAAGGCGTTAGCGCCGTCTTCGAGTCTTGGATCTGTCCTGTGGATGTCGTGAAGCTATTGGAGGTTGCGGCTGTGGGCTTGATCCATGAGTCCGGGTACAGTATCTGCCACAGAGCGAAAGCTCGATCGACCATGGAGTGATGCAGGAAAAAGATAGGGTCAAAAGATGAGAACGGAATCCAGGACATGTGCCCCTGAAGACCGGCGAGGCTGTGTATGGTGTCGTGCAAAGATTCCAGAGAGTCGTATTTCCCGCTATCAGATGGCGGAATCCACGCTTTGTTACTAAAGTTACCATAGGAATCGTAATTTGAAAATAGGTTATAGAGCCTCTGCTGGATGGACTCGAAGTTTCTGTTCAGGGCCAGAGCAACCAATGTATCATTGGAGCCTGCTGAGGAATTGCTGGTGGTCGGTGCTCGGACGGTAGTGAGCCACAGATCATACTAACAATCTATCAGCCGAAGAATTCGCAGGAGCAGTGGAAGACTGTCACGAACCGGATCTTCAATGAATATGGTAGCGTTCAGGGGCTTAAACAAATATGTATACAGAGGATTTGTAATCTCCTGCAACCCGTTGGGGCCGGTCACGTTGATGTAGGGGCTCGCTCCCACGCAATCTGGAAGAACACCCTCTCCAGATGGTGGCTGGGCCGCCCAGTCCATGTATGGTATTCGGAAGTTGACAGCAGCCCTTTCGTATTTCGACCTTGTGGTGTCTTCCGAGTATAAGGAAGCAATGTACTGTACTAGAGTGTATAGAACTTGCTGTATCTTGTAAGAATGGTCTGTATCTTGAAGAGGTCGAAGAAGACCCTTACCTCATACAGAGCAAGATAAGGACGGTGCCATGTCAAGAAGAGTATGGATGCATGTGTGCAGTAGCCGGTGTTTTCGTTTCCTGCCGTGGCCGGGACACCATTCCATTCGATCCATGGTACCCCGTGGATGCCTATTTGCCAAGTCAGACTCTTCTCGCTCGTACAGGACAAGACCGTCCGAGCTCTAGCGAGGAGATAGACATACCTGCGACTTGGTAGTACGAGAGCAGCTGATTCTGGTCCACGTACTGCATCATGTTAAGTCCCAACATATACAATGTCCACAAATCCGGGTCCTGCTCCAGCTTTCGGATCTCCTGCCTCACTGCAGTAGTGTTAGTGGCATGAAGGATATTGCCTACAACATAGGGAGTGGCAGTATCCCGTAGCTGTATGTGGCTCTGGAACAGGTGATGATCGACTTCGAAGCCGTAGTCGTACATCTGACTCGCGACCGGTGTGGCCAAGCGAATAAGGATGATCGAAAGCAGGACGAGCATGGTAGCTATCGGATATCGGCTGGGTGCTGGACAGGTTGGAAGAAAAACAACAATTTCCGTTATCTTTACTGAGGTCGGATACGGGACCAAAAGTAAATGTGATGTATCTTGTAGTGGACAAAGAAAGCAAACCAAATTTTTTTTTTATTTGCTGAGAGGCAGACGATGACGCCTGTAAGAGGGGACGGAAACAAAAGCGGAAGGAGCAACCGACAATAATTCGAGCAGATGAGGAAGGAGTGACAGTTGTCACCGGCGCCGAGCAAAAATGGGAACAGCAGAATCGGGAACTGTATCTCGTATATACGACTCCCATCTCAAGCCGAATCTGCAAAAAAGGGCGGACTCAGCTCTGGGAACTGGTCCGATGCGAGAAACAAGGCGACGGCACGAGACGCAAACAGAAGCAGTGTCCCACGAGCTGACGACAAGCCTTGCTCCATATCCCGTCGGCTGCACGCGTCATATCAAAGCGAGACAGGGCGGGAAGTTCTGGTGCAACGATCCCATTTCCTCTACCAGGCGCGACGTGCGCGTTCTGCCGTCGTACAAGCACACTCTTCTATGACCAGAAAGCACGACTACTCAAAAACAAAGCCTCGGTCCGTCCCAGAGAGCGAGATGGAGCACGGAAACGCCCAAGAAAGATATCGTACCATCGTGCGACATGTCCTATTTTCTTCTCTCTCCTTTCTGCCCTCTTCCCTCTACTTTGCAAGCACCGACTGGGGCAGCTTCTGCACCCGGGTGCCGTCCCAGGCTGCCGGCTGCAGCGGTCCCCGACGAGCCGCATCGCCGGGATCGACACGGTACTTGAGCTTGACGCCCATGGCTGCCAGCTCCACATCGAGGTACTTGAGCGCGCCGGGCACGACGACCTGCGTGGTCTCAGCACCGCCCATCCATTGCGTGCCGTGGCCGTCCTCCCAGATCTCCTCGTTGGCCAGATGGCTGAGGATGTCCATACCGGCAATGTTCTTGGCATCCTTGGCATCCTTGGCATCTTTCGCATTTTTGGCACTTTTGGCGCCCTGGCCGGCTGCCATGGCCTTCTCCTGCGCCTCGTACAGATCCTCAACCCGGGTGGCGCATCGTCGGCAGCGCACAGCGTTCACGCCCTTGCGCTTGCCAATGAACGGCGACACGGTCGGCTGGACCGATAGGAACGAGCCGCACTGGCGACAGATCCACGTGCGCGAGTAGTCAGAGCAGTTCAACAGGCGGTCCTGCAGCAAAAAGGCGGTGCCGTGGGCCAGCAGAGCGTCGCGCTCCATCTCGCCCACACGGATGCCACCACCACGCTTCCGGCCCTTGATCGGCTGTCCCGTCGTCGGGACGACTGGTCCTGTCGTGCGCACCTGAAACTTGTCGTTGACCATGTGTCGCAGCCGCTGGTAGTAGACCACGCCAATATAGATATCGGCCTCCAGCTCCTCGCCCGTGATGCCCGAGTACATCGGCTCGTTGCCGTGATAGTTGAAGCCGGCCTTCATCAGCTGGTGCCCAAAATAGTCGCCGGCCGTGTTGTCCTCGTCGAACTGGAAGGGCGTCGAGTCCTGTGCGAGTCCGTGTAGCGCGCCCGCCTTTCCGGCCAGCGATTCGATGAACATGCCGATGGTCATACGCGACGGAAACGCGTGCGGGTTGATGATCACCTCCGGCTGCAGTCCCGACTCGGTGAAGGGCATGTCGACCGTCGGCCATTTCTGCGAGCACACACCCTTTTGTCCGTGACGCGACGAGAACTTGTCGCCAATCGTCGGTGACCGGGGAATCCGCAGCTTGACCGAGATCGTCTGCAGCAGCTCGTTGCCGTTCTCGTTGCCGATCAGCCGCACCTCCTCCACGTACGCATCCTCGCCGTCCTTGTACTTCTCGTAGTGCGTCTGGCCGTCCCGGTTGACCAGCGTGCCGTCGTAGTCCGCCGACACCGTGTGCCACGCCACCAACGGATCGCCCATCTTAACGCGCATCCCGATATACGGGAGCCCGTCGTCGTCTAGCAGACCGCGCACCTGCCCGCTGACAAAGGCCCCGGGCGCAAAACCAAACATCTTGCCGACGTGCTTGGCTGACCGTGTGCGCGAGTCGTCCTTGAGTGTGATCTTCTTCGTCTTGTACACCGAGCCGTGTCCGAAGCCGCGCTCGTGCGCCGACTTGTTGATGATCATCGCGTCGTCCATGTCGTAGCCCGTGTACGAGATCACCGCCACCACCACGTTGGTCCCGTTCGGGAAGTTGTCGAAGCCGTATGCGTTGTGCAGTGGTGCCCGCACAATCGGCGTCTGGCCCGTCTGCAGCCGGTACGTCTTGTTGTCTGTCCGGTGTGCCAGCGCTGTTCCCGGCGTGCCCATCGTCTGCTTGCCCATCTGGCACTGGTACATATTGCGTGGCGACTGGTTGAAGTCCGAGAACGGCGTCATGTTCGCCAGGATCGACAGCATGTTGGTCGGGTCCAGCTCCACGTGCGTCGTCTGTCCCGAGATCACCTCCTGCTCCCGCACCGCGATCGACATGTACGGCTGCTCCTGAGGGCCCACAAAGTCCTCCTTGTCCAGCGCCAGGTATTTGACCGGCCGCACCATCCGCGATGGCGCCGATGCCATGTACACGCCCGGATATGACCCGCCGTTGGACTGTGGCACGTAGCCGATCTCGAGCTCGGCCGGGATGTTGTGCGAGCCCTCCACCTTCCAGTGCCGCAACGTGTCCGCTATCCGCTTCGCCTCCTTGGGCGAGCACCAGCCGACAACCCGGCCGTCCAGCATCACCACCACGCTCTCCTCCGTCGACGCCGACGACAGACTCACTGCTCCCAGCTCCGTCACGATCGCGTCCACCGCCGACGCGTCAATCGTCCCTGTGATGATCCGGCACTTGTGCGCCAAATGGTTCAGCAGTCCACATGGAGATCCGTCAGGTGTGTGGACCGGACACAGGAAACCCCAGGACTCGGGCAGGAGCTTCCGCACCGTCGTCGTCTTCAGCTGCGCGAAGAAGCTGCCACGATGGATCATTCGGAAGTGGCTCAGGAAACGCAAAAAGTTGAGCTTCTCCGCAACGACTGTGAAGCCAGACACCTGCTGCAGATCCAGACCCGACGCGCTGATCAGGTTGCCCGTCGACAGGAAATACTCCAGCGCATTGCCAATGTTCTCGTTGGACCGCCGGAAGACCGCGGCCTGGAAGTCTCGTGCAAACGCCTCGGTCGTCATCGTGTTTGTCGGGTATCGTCGCCAGTAGTCGCGCAGCGCCCCGCGGAGGCTGACCGAGAGAAACTCGTCCAGCTTCTCCTTCAGGATCTGCCCGTACAAAAAGCCACCCAGGAGAACCTCCTGATTCTGCACCGCATCCGGGTTGTCGACCGCGCAGTCGCCCGCCACAAGAGCATACAGCTTGCGGATCATGAAGATGAGCATACGGAACTTGTCTGCATCTTGGGCCTCGGTCACGTCCATGTTGCCTAGGTGCACCAGCACAATCTTGCGCAGGAACTCCGTGCCGACGTCGTAGTTGGACATGGTTGTCGGAACTCCCAACACCACTCTGAACTTCTCGCCGAGATACGCCCGCGTCGCCGACTTGCTGTACAAGCCGTAGAACTCGTACGTGCGCAGCAGCAGCTCGACACGGTCCGTAAGATACGTGTTTTCCGCCCCCTTGGAGTTGGCTGGGCCGACGATCGCCTCGAAGATCTCCCGGTCGTTCGTCTCCACCAGCGCCTTGAGGATCATCATCACCGGAATGAGAAACTCGTTTTTCCTCCACGAGAACCGGAATGTGATGTTGCCGTCCTTCAGGTAGTGCAGAACGTTCGTCTGGGAGGTCTCGTCCGGCCTGACCGACCGTGTGATGATGCCGTACGGCGTGTAGGCTGCGCCACGGTTCTGGAAGCTGGGCCGGTTGATGGCGTGGGGAAAGTTGCGCCGGCCCACCTGCAGGAGACGGATGATCTTCTCAATACCATTGACGATAAAGTAACCGCCCAGCTCCTCCGACTCCTCTTTCCGCTCCACTAGCGCTGCAGGCGAGAGACCCTCCAGGTGACACCGGTTCGACTTGACCATGATGGGCACCTGGCCGAGATCACGCACAACCTCAACTGGGTCGCCATTGTTGATGCGGTACTCAAATGTCGCCATCAACTTACCGCGATACGTCGAGTGGCGCTCTCTGCACTCGGCAGGGAGAATCTCGCGGTTCTTGGCAAACTTGTTGGTGGCCGGCACGTAGCACTTCTGCAGACTCACATCCTTGTACCGGATGTGCAGCTGGTTTCGTTCCTCCGGCAGCATTCTGTCGTCGCCATCGAGGAACACCTTGGTGCCAATGTCGGCGATGCCATGGCCAATTAGGCTCGCTTCCGCCCCCGTGCCTTCCACACTGCCGTTCTTAAAGACGGCATTAAACGACTCGATGTGTGGGTTGACCGCCAGTTGGAGGAGAGGGTAGGCGGACTGGTCTGTCGGAGGGGTTCGGAAGAGCTTTTCACGACGGAGGGTGTGGTACTCGTGATCCCATGTCGTGTTTGTGGGTGGCTGCCTTCGTTTGGCGACAGCCATAGTGTCTGTTCCATGCATTAGCCAATGGGGCAAGGAGAACAAGCGACCAGACCGCTACATTGAGCAACGCCGTGCCTCATGGTCGCGGAGGCCGTTTGTTTCGGCGCCGCAAGAAAGCCTACCTGTGACGCAAAAACGGGCTGAAAATACAATTCTCGGCCGTCAGTTACAGGGGCGCAGAAGCGGCTATTGTCATCAACGCATCAGGTGTCCTGCCAAGCGAGTGGGATCCAGATTAGTCGAGCGAGAACTGCGGTGGTGACGAGATGTGCAAATCCAGGATGCTCTTTTTCCTGGCTTTTTTTTCTTTATCGATCGAACTTTTTTTTGGTTCCACTGTGGATACAGACGGCCACAGCCAATCAACAGCGACCGATAAAGAGCCACCCTCCACGTGATCCTTTAACGGTGTAGGACCCGTTTTCCGTGGGGCAAGTATCTTAAGATAATACTGGATTTCTGTAACAGCCGAGTTGGGCTGTGGCATCGTACACCAGACCGTTAAACGATGTTTGGTCGTGGCCGTTTTGATGTACCTCGGACCTTCCGAGATGTCTTATTGTTGGCCTTCCGCGGTCCACAAGCAAGGGCTATAGTATCGACCAGCGAATCGGCGCATAGGCCAGCCAGGCCGTTGGCCCCGTGTGGCTTCTCTTGCTGCGGCCATCTGTTTCTTGCATCGTCATGCGTGTTCATAAAAGAGATTGCAGAAGCACTCCACCGCACACTAACAGAGACTGGTCTGAGTCGGTCCGAGGGAGACTGGGTGTCCTTAACTACCGGGCAGGGAGGGAGCCGAGCTGACCACCCCTCAGGGTCGTTGCGCGAGACACACGTATCGTACTATGTACGCAGGCTGGACCTTTGAAGTGACCCTACCCCATTCCGTTCCTTGCAGTGCCCAACGACCGACGCAAAAGCGCAGAACCGGCAGCAACGCCCAACCTTGCCAGAATTGCCTGGTCGTCGTTGGCCGTCTTACACGGCCATGCGGTGACGAGTTCTGTCATCGTCGTTCTGTTTTGGCTGTTGGGCGCAATTGCAGTCGAGTCTTTGGCCTGCTTGCCATTGTCATGTCGGAGCCAGCTGCCGGCTGTCAACGGGCCACTAGGGTGAGACGGCGGCCTGGCGTTCATGCTTGTCACTCTCCCTCGCTCCTGTTTCCCGGCAAGGCTCGTTTCCCACCAGACCATTGGCTGCCCATCGCTCTGAAGACGATCCACCACAGGCGTGGACCGTCCAATCGGACGCAGCTCTCCGGCCGTTTCAATGGCTTGGGTGGCTGCTGCTCGACAGCTGGGCAGCACTGGACTAGGCCGCCGTCTTCGCGACCGTCAACAGGCAAAGGTGAGAGAGCAGGGGCTAAATAGACAACACGGAGAGCGAACCAAAACAAACAGCTGCAGTATATATAAATCAATGCGGCCTGCCCTCGCTGCTCAGGCAAGCAATCGCTTAGCTGTTCCTCCGTAGCTTCCTTTCCTAGCATCCAAGCTGCTGATATTGCATGCATATCTTGCAACGGCCCATCGCTGCTGCCATCCCGTGCAGCCAGCTCCCAGCAAGGTACTGTCAGCCTAGTGTCCTTTCCCCATCCAGCAGTCCCCGCGCCTTTTTACCTTATTTACGCCCCGGAAGCCTTCTATTTGTGCTTGCTGTCCTCCTGTCTTCTGCTACTCCCGCTCAGCTGCTTTTTGCCATCCCCCTTCTTCTCCTGCGTCCAAGTTTCAGCCAGCTTCCATTTTCGCCATACCCCCAAACCATCAACGACTAAACCTCAGACGAGCTTAGACTTGCATCCCAGCATCACTTGTCCGTTCCTGTCCCGCGCGGTTGCTGGCATAGGTCCTCGTCTTTGGCCTCCCATCGGTCCCGTGCCGATACCAGTTTTACTATTTCTAGCCCTCTCAGATCGGCGCCCTGTCACAGCCGCTAAGCAGCGCGCGAACCTCAATTCTTCCTACCCTCCCGCTACACATCGGATCTTGAACCCCAATACAGCACCCTGGTCTGTGGTCCCAGCCAATCTAGCCGCTGCCTTGTCATTCAGCGCTCTTTATTCCCCGACAGAGACGGCAAAGACAGCAGAAACAGACGGCCACAAAGCAGGAAACAAAAAGAAGAAGAAGAATCTTAGAACATTACGCATGAGGACCGTGAGCAGGGAGCGGATAAAAACTTCATATACAGAGGCCGGGCTACGAGTACTGCTACGGACCAGAACACTGTGGGGTGTGTGTGCCGCAGCAGAAACGCTGCTGAAAGTGGGGAAGCGCTTTCTCTTGTCCTCCAACCCCGTTCCGTCACCTTTCATCTCAATCTTGTACGCTCGCGCCACTGCAGCCGCCACTGATCACTGATTTGGATCTCTTTGCACCCCTCTTTATTCCCTGCTTGCCAAACCTGCATCGTTTCCGCAACGACTCGCGCCAGAATACTCTCTTTGTCGAATTTCAGACGCATCTCTTCAACCTGCAAAGCTCGGTTATTCAAGCAGCCATAGCCAACCGCGTCTTCTGTCTTCTTGTCCTCCGTCCAGTCCAACTCGTCGCTACTCCGCCTACCTACCGGCCTGCCTGCTCTCATCTGGCTGGCCGTCTGCTCGTCCTACCTCTAACACTACCGGCTGCCACCTGCTCTCTATTAACCTCTGGTGCCTCTGTCCATCTTCATCTCCTTCACCGCCAAGCCTTTGCGGGGCATTTCTGCCACCTCGTCTACAGCACGCACGCAGTCCTTTCAGCTTCTCGGTCTGTCACAGGCCGGGAGCGCCCCCGAAGAAACTGGAGATCATGGCTGCAATTATACGGAAGGTGTACGACTGGTGGCTGCGGACATTCTGGTATGCCGAACTACCCGTCTATCGTCTCCGTCTATCGGCTGGAGCGGCCGCCCAGTGCCTTATGCTGCGAAGCTGGAAAGTGCTCCTCGTACTGACAAATGGCTTCTGATTAGGGCTACGGAGATGGATGTCACCATGTTAGGCCTCCAAAATGCTGGCAAAACCTGTCTGCTCAATGTCTTATCTGTATGCCTCCCTCTTGTAACGACCCTGCCTCGGGATCAGGCCCAGCTCAAACGCGGCTGGCTGTCTTGCTAACATATTTTTCTACCAGGGTGGTGAATTTACCTACGAGTAAGTGTTTTGCAACCCTGTCTTCCTCCTGCCACCCCGCCTTTCATCGATCCCGCGAGTTCGAAACGGCCCACTGGGCGCAATCCTTCCTCGACAAATCCCAGCCCCCTCCTACCCAAGATAGAAGACAGGCGCAGGTCTCAGCCGCTCTCTTTCCGCCTCGCCGCCTCCGAACTCTTGCTAATATGGGTCGTCCGTAGCACGATCCCAACGATTGGCTTCAACATGAAGCGAGTGCAAAGAAATAACGTGACAATGAAATGCTGGGATATCGGCGGCCAGCCCCGGTTTCGGACGATGTGGGAACGATATTGTCGCGGTGTAAACGCCATTATCTTTGTGGTGGACATTGCCGACATGGGGAAGCTGGAGGCAGCTCGGCAGGAGCTTCATGCGATAATGGAGCAGCCGACACTGGACGGAATCCCTCTGCTCGTGCTGGGAAACAAGTCCGACCTGCCTGTGAAGCTGACGGTTGACGAGCTGATTGATGCGCTGGACCTGAAAGGTATTGAGCACCGTGAGGTCTCATGCTATGGCATCAGCGCCAAAGAGGAGACCAACCTTGAGGCAGTCCTGTCATGGCTGGTCAAGCGCGCCTACCGAAGATAAGGAGGGACAGGCCTGCGATGGATTAGGTCAACAAAGAGCAAAGGCGAAGAATTGGACGGTCGTTGCGACGGGTCGGTGGTAGCTTTGATTCAGCGCTACGATATACATTTGATGCGGGAGGGTCGGCTCTGATTTGCGTCCTTCAAGTTTCGGTTTTAGGGTTCGGTGTTTTCCTTTTTTTCTTGTCTTTATTGTTCTCTTCAGGTGTTGTCTCCGTCTTGTTTGGCTCGGGATATTGCTGGGCATTTCTGGCCGTTTTTCTTTTCCATGGGGCATTCTGCTGATTGTGCCCCGTGTCTCTTACCGAGGGTTTTCTTTGTCCTGCTCTTGCTTTTCTTTTTTTTTGTTTTGACGAAGACACGACGCTCAAGGATCAAGAAAAAGACGTTACCATGTGGCCGGCGACGACCGATACTAAACAAAGCTTCTGCGAGCCCAATTGACACTGCTCAACTTCTGGCTGAAGTCTTTTGGCCTGCTGCTTCTATCTTGCTTCTGCGGGACGCGATCTTACATGCAGGCGGATGGCTCCCGCACTTTACTCGCAGTGCTTGCTACCACGGCTGTGGTCTGCGGCTTGACATGTCTTACCGGCTCAGCATTGTCTGGTGTTTAGCCAAGAGGGGCGTCAGATGGGTCTTCCTGTCAGATATTATATGAGCAGATAAGAGTCCGCCCACCAATGACAGTAAGAACAGTTGATGTGAGAAAATGACTGTTGGTGGCTACGGAAAAAAGGCAAAGAATGGGGAGAATGGAAAAGAAGAGGAGGCAACGTGGCTTCATTTAATGACCTTTCCTAGCTCAATAGGAAGCCAACACGAACAGTGACACTCGGCACACAGACCAATACTACTGTGGGTTGACGCAAGATGTGCCAACGCATCACGGTATCGGAAGAGAGTGATAGGAGCGCAGCCAGCATTAAAGTGATAAACAGGAAAGCTGGCGTTGGCCGCGAAACGATTGGCTCCCAGAGCGAGCCACCCTAGAGAGGCCGTCCTAAAGCCTGATTTCGTCCGTACGACGAGGGAAAACGACAGCTGATACAGGTAAGATACATTCATAGTATCGGAAAACTTTGTTTTGGAATAGTGGCCAGAGGTATCTCTAGTATTCAGCACCTTACATAGTATCTTACTCGTACACCGAACAAAGACCACGGACCCGCTTTTCAACACTGCCCACTTTTTGACGCGTTCTCTTACCCATATCATACAGTATTTGTTTCTCCCTATCCTGGTTTCGGCAGGGTTGGTAGGACGTCGAGTCACGATGCCGTGGCTGGAACGGCGAGCATCCCCTACGCCACCAGGTCGTACTCGTATGCCGCTTGCTTGTAAGATACGGAGTTCTAGCGCGGGAGCCAAAAAAAACGCCTGAAAACGGGAATCCTTGTGCTCAGTCTTTCAGATTTGCCCAGGCTGACAGTTGGCCGTAATTTACGAGCACTCCTCACATTGGCATCAGGGCCAGAACCGTTGCCTCCTCTCGGCTGGGTCGCAGTTTAACGGGACTTTCGGCAGAGGTTTCAGAGCTCTCCAGACAGCGCATCACTCGGTACTGTAGCTCACCTTCCGATCCACCTGAAACTGCGGAGGTGGGACACCTAAGCTGCGGCCAGGATCCATAGCCAGTGAAGCTAACGCCCTAGCAGGCGAACATACGGAGTATTCGTACTCCGTACTGCAAACAAACTACCTTCTGCCTTGGGGGCACTGTAAAAATCAACAGGTAATTTCGTCCTTCAGCATAATGAGCCATAACAGCTACGGGTTCTTCATGTGACGTCCGATTGAGAGACTTGTTTGTGACAGCGCCAAGGCAGCAACGTGAAAACCGGATGCCAAGATAATAAGATACTTCCCATCCTACCCACTCAACTCACGACGTACGGAGTACACATTTTCTACGACGTACGACGTAAGTGTCAACGTTAGGTGGGGCTACCCTCAAAACTAGTCTCTCGGACTGGCCCACTGTCAATACTGCCAGAGCATCATCAGGGACAGAAGCCGATCCGGAGAACAATGGCACACCCGAAATACGGAAAGCCGCGAAGCTATCACGAGCAGACTGTGGTTGCAATACCCGTAGTTTGTATGTCGCACGGGACCTCGTCTATTTGTCATTTCTTGCACTTGTACCTTGACATGGGCTGTGGTGTGCTTAATCGCGCCGAGCTACAGTTCGGGGTTTTCGGCGGACTTCGAGTGATCGCCCGCAAGATAATTACTCTCCGGCCACATACGTACACCAAACCGTGGCGTGCTTGCCAACCGCTGACGAATCAGGGATGCGTGCAGGAATACCGAGCTTGTCCAACCTCGTGGATTTTTGTTCCACTTTGATTGCTAGCACTTAAGGATAATGCGGGAGAATAGACTTCGTAATCTAATTTCCAGATTGAAGGGGAAAAGCGGCCTGTAGAAGATGCACACAGGAGCGGCAGCAAAATACCGAAACCAGCCAGCCAGTCGAGACACTTTACGTATGACTTTTGCTGACGCGCCTGGTGAAGACAGTGCTCGAACCGTCTACGAGCAATAAGACCCACAATAATACTCCGTTTTGTGCTTGGGAGCCCAACATCATACGCTATAGTTCCGCCACCCAGTGGCGCATTACGGATACATCAAAGAACTCCACCCGCCAAGCCCTCAGCCTCCTCCTCCGAAGAATGTGATAAAAAGTCCAGCATGTTCATCCTCTTTGCAGACATCTTGCCACTCTCATAATAATAACAGTCATTTTACCATCACCACCTTCAAATAGTGTGCTATATCTGCTCCATTTCTCTCGCTCATCGATAAGAGCATATCAATCGAAAAACTCTTCCCACTCATACCATCAGGCATACGTCATCAGCTACGATGGCTCCCATGGCTCAGAACAACGTAAAGAGCCTTCTGTCGCGACGATAGTGAGTAACCCGCAATTATCTCTGGTTTTAAATGCATGCGCTTGTTCTTTTTCTGACCACACTTCACCACACAGCTACTGCTACGATGACGGCACCTGTTACAACTACTCTGGCTGGCACTGGTGGGGTCGCTGGGTGTTCCTCGGCCTCATCATCCTCTTCTTCCTCGCCCTGTTTCTACTCCTGTGTGTCCGCAACCGCCGCCGCCGGACCCAGGGCAACGCTCCGATGTACGGCACCGGCTGGATGGGCAACTGGGGCCACCCTCAGTACCCACCGCCGCAGTACAGCCAACAGCCTCCTGTCGGCGCGCAATACACCGGTGGCACCTACAACAGCAACCAGGGTTACTATGCAAACAGCGACGTGCCGCTGCAGCAGCCATCCCACTCCTACGCCCCAACACGTGGCGATGCTGGCGACGACTATGCTCCGCCGTCGGGTCCACCGCCACGCAAGAATTAAACGTGACGAGAAACGAATAGGCAGCGAGCGCTAGAGGTAGTATGGCCGGGGCGACAGAGCCAGGAAGCTCTCGGACAAGCTTCGTACACAATTTATGAACACTGGGATATGTCAGGGAACACGGCGTTTGGCGCCATTGAGATACAATGAGGCCTGTTGGGATCTTGGCGGTGGAGGATTCAGGTCTTTTCATACCCTTTTTGCGACTGTATTTAAGCAGCAGTATAATCGAGTTCATTGTTGTATGATAACTATGGTCTTCACCCCGAGAAGCGAAAATGTAAGAGGTCGGTGAGCAGGCTGCCATCTCGGCTGCATGACACGTTATCTCTTCGTACTTAGTGCCATACTAACCTGACCTATGGAGTACATACTGTGGCTATGCATTTTAGGTCCATCATACTATCTTATGGAGTACATAATACGGAATCATTCCAAGTACTCGTACGCCGAATGAATGGATGTCAAAACCCTCTTGTTCTTACATGTACCCGTAGCGAGCCGCTTACCGGCTAAGGCAAAAAAATGACTTTGCTTGATTTCATCCAGGCTCGAACTGGAGACCTTCAGTGTGTTAGACTGACGTGATAACCAACTACACCATGAAACCTCGGAAAGATCTGATTGGTGAAATCGTCGCCGTCAGTGCTTATGGACAGATGCCAAACTCACCCTTCTGGGTGGCAATATGCTTTGCCATGAGTCCACCGGAGTTATCTCGTTTAGCTTAGCAATCGCATCTGATAGACATACTGTTATTGGCGTATCTCACATGTTTGTTATTGCACTTATCTTGTGCACTTATTCCCTACATCATACTCTCGTTCTAAACCCTTAATTGAAAGACCCAGTGGTGCTCTAAAGTACTCCGTACTACAACAATGGCAACACAATTCACATTAATCGGCCTACGCGCATAAGTTATATAATATTTATCCCTTTCGCGGTTTTTCTGCTTACTGCTAATAGTCGGGTTATCTTGTCAACCAAGACGGTCTGCATAGTAAGTAGAATGCTGCTTGAAATATCCAAGCTTGCTGAAGAGCAAGTGCTGGCAGTAGAGATATAGAGTCTACTGATCAAGGTCAGCACATCGTCGAAGGTTTCATGGTGTAGTTGGTTATCACGTCAGTCTAACACACTGAAGGTCTCCAGTTCGAGCCTGGATGAAATCAAACGAATTTTCTTTTTTTGTCGTCTCATATTCGGTGGAACTATTTTTGCGCTTATTAATAGGCTTTCCGGATAATGGATTCAATAGCGTTATTAATTGCCAGGTCCTACTCCGTAGATTGGGAGTGGAGCTTAGCGCAGTCCGTGCCAGTAAAACTTAAATTGCATGTATTCGGCCTTTTTCTGGCCACTTTTACGGAGTACATACCCCCTTTTTTCTGTCGCAATTATTGGAGGGGGGCGCTGCCAACTTACGGAGTAGAAAGTCTGATACAGGAAACTAAGGTGTGCACTAGCGAGCGTTTATGCCAAGAGCCTCATACCCTGCTCTTAGGTCCAGGGGCTGCATTCTTCGTACAGGTGATCATTCTGTTCGCGTTCCCGCATACTTCGCAAAGGCTGCCGATTCCCGAATCCTGATTTCCCTTACCTCTTCTGGCGATCCTCCAAAGAATTCCCTGCCATCCACTGGAGGCTTTGTATTTTTGTTTCTTTTTTGGGTGCCTTGCTGCGCCTCCAGCTTACTCGTATTACTACCGCTTTTGTTTCTCTTCTCTTTGTCGCGCTTACGACCAATCGTTGCCGATTTCTTTCGGCATCCTGCAAGACAGGAATGTCACTCTTTTGACTCGAGTTTCACGTTCGCTCTCTTTGAATTGAAATCAACGCCTTTGCAGACATCCGCCTCGGGAAACGATCAGAGAACGCTACAGCAATTATTCAGCCTGCTTGATACCCTGTCTCGCGTGCCGATCTATCTGCCACTCTCCCAAATAAGCGGTATTACACGCCGAACACTGTCGAGCGAGATCAGACGACTAGGAACCGCCAGAGAGCCTGACACTAGATACCCCCCGAACGAAGCGATACGACAATACCTATTTAGAGAAGTTCTGATCCGATTGCAACACGAGAACGAGGCCGAGAACGAGAGACCCGAGACACGAAAGAAATCGAGTCGAGAATGGAGCAATAAACAGAACCGAACCTCGAGACAAGATTGCCTGTTGGACGCCCACCCGGAGTCAGTAGGGGTTTACTGTACCGCGTGGGCTCTGTCAGCTCCGATCCTACAACAGGAAGAACCGAAACAACCATCCAGCATGGCGCCAATTGATGTTGCTATGGCCCGGAGCCTGCACCACCGAAGCGTGCTGGACGTGTTGGCTGCTGCTGTATACCCAGTAGTCTCCCGGCGAGACTCGATAAGCGACGTCAAGACGGCATTTTCGAGCTGGGATAATTGCATGGCGACAACCTACTGCAAGTAAGCTTCCCTCTAGATGGCGCCTATCTCTCTGGGTGTGCTGTGCTTACAATGTCTTCACAGGTGGCCCGTGATTGCAGTTATCATCATCGCAGGCCTGATCATTGTGTCCGTCATCTGGTGTATAGCTCGTTGTGCCTGTTGCGGGCTGTCGTGTTGCTGCGAATGCTGCTACTGTCTCAAGTGTTGCGGCGACTGCTGTGGCTGCTGTACTCCACGCCGAAAGAATCATAAATACCTCGACGAACCCTTCATTCCGCCAAATCAAGGCTACCAGTCCCAACCCCAGCCCCAGATCCCGCCCCAGATTTTGAACCAAAACTTTCAACCACAGCAACAATATGGGGTACAAAGTACGGGATATCGCGCCGAAGAGCCCATGATGACCGGAGCAGCACCGAAATCCAGGGCACCAGTGAAGGATGTCCCCCAGTTCGCCACATTCGAGGTGACCAAGTCGGAACCCGTCGACGAGGATGCGCTTCCCGCCATGCCCAGCTGGGAGGGTGCCAACCATACAAAGGTGCTCATGGAGGAGGACTCTGTCGAGCTGACGGATCTCAAGAAGCCAGCCCCAGCTGGCCAGAGCGTGTCGCCTGTGAACGGATTTCGCGGCTCTCCCGGCGTTGTCAGTCCCGGTCCTGGGGGTGGTGCCAACCCGTACGGTGCGTATGGTAGGCCATTAGCGGCAAACAACCTGGGCGGCAGCCATGCTGCTGTGGCGAACGGGTACATGGCTGCTGGAGCCATTCCGCGCTCCACAGGGCCCGGCGATCAAGCATATGGCCAGAACAGCCAGGGTTACAACCAGAGCAACCCAGAATACGGCCAGAACATCCAGGGCTACAACCAGAGCAACCCAGATTACAGCCAGGGCAACCAAGGGTACTATCAAGGAAACCAGGGCAACCCAGGATACGGCCAGAACGGCCTTGGATACGGCCAGAACAACCTGAACAACCGGGGATATAACAACGCAGACATCAGCCGCCAATACAGCGCCTCTGATTATGGTGACACGGGCTTTGACCAGCAGACGATGATATCAAGACACCAGACACCGGTACAGTCTCCGCTCGGTTATAGAGGCCCGAGCCCGGGACCTCAGCAAGCCTATGCACGCAACATGCAAGGTAACGCGCCGGGCAACATGGGTGCCATGGGCAACATGCCAGGCAACGGTGGGTACGACAGCTTTGGGCGCAACGCCACGTCCTCTCCAGAGCCATTAGGCTATGATAATCTGGATCGCCGGACGCCGCACATCCCGGACATGGGTCTGAGTTACGGTGCTCCCGTCAGCCCAGTGGCCGCCACGGGTATGGAGCCGACGGAGCTGTACGGCGGGCCGTCGTCGCGCTCGCCTCCCAACGGTTTCAACGACCCCGGCCCCATCGGCCTCGGTGGTCTTGGCGGTCCCAATGGCCGTTCCCTGGACAGTCGGTCACCACCCGTGCAGACATATGCTCCTGCAACGAGCACCAACAACTACGGCGGCGCCATGAACAGCAACCAGGCTGAAGTCTATGAGATGCCAAGCTCGCCACCGAGTAAGAATAAAACTGGTGACTTTGACTTCGGCCCGGCTTACAGCCGGCCAGAAGCACAGGTCCAGGATCCGTACAACACCAGAAGCAACGGCTACAACACAAATGTCAGTAGCGACGAGATCCACGGATACACCAACACAGCCAGTCCGCCACCACTGATGCAGCCACAGCCACGGCAAGCTGCATACCCCGGATACCGGCCATACCAGCAGTGAGCATGGCGAGGCGGGCGTTTGACGATGTGCAATGGAGCCGGTCGCCCGACAATGGCTCGCTTTTGAGCGCTGTTTGTTTCCTTATTCCACATCTTCTAGGGGCTGCTAGAGGCGTCCATCCATATTCAGCGGCGTTTCATTTGTCTTTGCGTTTGGCGCCCTTTTTGGTGTCTACACTTTGAATTTCGCTGCTCTTCTGGTGTCATGAGCGCATATGCATTGCCACGATATGCATGTATGTTACGGGATTGATAGACTTCTCAAACCGCTATTGGTGGAGGGGCGTTGCCACTTCCTTTGAATCTTGTTCCTAGCTCTCTCGGCAATCACGTCTCTGGGCATTGTCTGGAGATGAGTGAAATCTTGGAATGTTTGAATAAAATCAACTCTAAACGAGGGTATCCTGATGCATTGTTTTAGCGCCTTGTGCGTGAGCCAGATAAAATGATAGATGCATGTCGCTGAGTGCTTGAAAGCCCCCCCGTCCCTTCTTCTTTTGTAAACGATTGTCCCTGTATCTCCCTCTGGATGGTGTCAAAACGAAAGTTGGTAAGCGGATGCCGGTCATATCCCTGCTCCTTCTATGATAAGAAATGCATTTATAAGCGCTCCTATTAGATAAAAAAGGAGAGCGTGAAAAAAAAAAACAAGATGACGACAAGCAGCTCGCGACTGTTTTAGTAGTCTCGATAGAAGAAGCCGCCGCCCTGCGTCACCGTGTTGGTGCGACTTCTTCGGAAGCCAGTGCGCCAGCCGGTCGTCTCGCGGTCGTTACTGGCGGCGTCTGGGGTACTCTGATGCAGCGAATGTCTCGGCAGCTCTGTAGACGGACCAACACGGCCGCCGATGTCCTCGCCCAGATGTGAGGGCATCTGTGCTGTCATCCCACTGCCCATGGACGAATCCCGCTGGTGCTGGGCATTACCGAGTTGCCAGGCGCTGCTCAGACTGTTCCGGCCACTGGTTCCTACGGCAGTTGAGCTGGTGACTGTTCCCGTTGTGGCACCACTGCCGGACCGTAAGTGCAGGTTGTTTCTTCCACCAGCCGATGCGGTTACGGCGGCTGCAGAAGCCGCAACAGCCGCAACAGCTGCAGGATCGGAAAGCTTCCAGGCCAAGGACCCGGCAGGTCGCAGTCCTGCCGAGGACGTGCTCGACATGCTGCTGTGGTGTTCTCGAACTGGCGAGTTCACAGCGGTGGTATTTGTGGTATCTGTGGCGGGCGACAGTGCCGGCGAGTCGTCCACATTGGAAAAGTACGGGACGGGCGGCAGTCCCAGGCCGGCCTGCTGCTGCATAGAGGGGAGGCCGCGGCCGTATCCAGCAGCAGCCGGTGGGGGGGGACCGGTGTAGTTGTGCTGCACGACACCGCCGCCCAGATAGGGATCGCCCGTCTCGATAGCCCGACGCTTCTTACGCCGGCGACGTCGTACGGCACAAAAGGCAAGCAGCACCAGAAGAATAGCACCAGCAGCAGACCCCACGGAGATGCCGGCGATGGCAGAGGAGGAGAGTCCCGAATGGGACGAGCGAGTGCTCGAGTGCTCGGTGACGAGAGACGGCGACGCCGCAGTAGATTTTGGCTGCGATGTTGCGGGTGTGGACGACTCGATCATAGTTGCCACCACGATGCTGGTGCTGGTGACGGGATTCTGCGACGCGAAAATGTATGTGCTCGTCGAGGAAACGGTCGCCATGGCGTTGATAACCCTGGCTCTAGTCAGAGAGGCACATCAGATGACGGAAAGGGTGGAGGAGGACGAACTTTGTGTTTGTCTGGTAGACAATGGTAAGTTGAGTCGAGGTCGTCATCACGGTTGTAGTGGTGGCGACGTTGTGCGTCACAACAGAGGTCACCGTGACGGCGTCGGTGACTGTCGACGTGGCAGCCGTCGAAACAAGATTGCTGGCCGTAGTGGCCGTGGCGTCTCGACGACGATGGTTGAAGTGCCGGCGACGAAAGGCAGCTGGGGCCAGTGTGAGTGTCGTCGGAAGGCCTGTGGTCTTAGTCATCCAACACAGAAACGGCAGCCTCACAGAAACGATCCGTGAACCTACCTGGAAGACCGGGCTCCAGCCCATCATCCGCACTACAGCCGTCATTGCTGCCCATCTCTTTGTGAACGGTCTGTACGGCCCTCTTGTTGACCGCAGACGTCACTGTCACGACGGACCAGTCCTAATGAAAGTCAGCAGCCGTGATGAGCAGCTCGTCGGCAGGTACATCGGTTGTCTTACCGTCTGCGTGCCTGAACTGTCCGTTACTGTCGACTCGGTGATGGAAAAGGTGAGGGCCTGCACGACCACAACCTTCAGAACAGTGGTCAACGCTGTCGCCGTCAATGTTGCTGTGGTCGTGTGCGTGCTTTGCGTCGTCACCGTAACCCTGAAGACATCAGCTGTGTGTACCCTTACATGGCCGACTCTCTCTCCATACTTACACCGGCAGGTAGCATTTTCCCTTGCTGCACGTCTGCCCGCTCCCACAGCAGGCATCGCCACAGCAGATGCTGTCGGATGAACAACACCATTTGTTGCTCGACCCCGAGCAGCATGTGCCACAAGAAGAGCAGTAGTTGATGTCGTTGCCGAAGCAGAAATTGGTGCCGTTGGCCAGGCACTCTCGCTTGGCGAGCTCCGGTAGTGCCTTGTGGTGGCCAGTGAGAGCAGGTCGGGCCTCGACAAAGGGTTGCCACCCGAGGCCGAAGTCGTTGGAGAGACTCTCGATCGGGTCTGCCGTGGTTGATCTATCGGGCTGCTCGCTACCGCCAGGCTTTTGGGACTCCGAAACGTCCGCTATACAAAAGCTCGTCGGTGCGATGCAGCCTAACAGGAAAAGCACCACCAACTGGCTGATAGCCATAGCTATAGATAAGACGTCATAGCATGCATATCAGAAGGTGGCTAGTATGATCGAGTAAAACAAATAGGTCGGCTTCGCAGATGGGAACGCGTGCCAGAAAGTGAAAAAGACGGATATCAAAGGAGAAGGAGGAGCAGAAACTGGGGAAAGAAATGCTCGTCTGCGGAAAGCAAGATATATGATATCCTACAAAAGGCATTATGCATGCTCATCGCAGAGAATGGCCCCACAAAGAAAAGAGCGGTAACGGACTGATACAGCCTCACGGGGACCCTTCACAAGCGGGCCAGATATGCACAAAGCGCCAAGTGAGTATGACCCAAAACGAAAAACGGACAGAAAGATTCGCAGCCTGAAGCCCGAGGTGTGGCAGCGCCAATCGGGCTGGTCGAGCTGGTCAGGGTGGTGCAGAGAATAGCGAAAATGGCATATAATGGAGAGAGAGCAGCCACAACACTCGTATTTTGAGTGGAGTCGACGAGAGACAATGGTCACAAAGAAACCGCGCGAGATAACCACAAAAATAGACAAATAGGCAGTTTAGGCTAGTCAAAGAAAGGTTGGTCTGCTGCCGACTTGCTTTCGTCCTTCGTCTTTCTTCGTTCTGTCTCAGCAGGCCGAGCATTAGCGCTGAAATGGTCGGCCTAGCTCGCATTCACACAGCTGACATGGAGGCCATCCAGGCCACCAGCTTTAGCACAATGACGACGAGATTGCAGCTGCTGCACCGTGGTGGTTGGTGGTTGTTGACCGAAGCCGACGCGGCTGACTTGCATAAGAGTTAGGCCGGCCAAATCAGCACACGGTTTGATGACCGTGCATGCAATAGCAAGTATTGGGGCCGCCTTCTCGGCCATTGTGTCCTTTGGTAATGCGTGGCAGCCAGTAGGATCCGAATGTTTTAGAGCATGTGCGATTACCGCGGCAACCTGCCAGCAAGTCGTGTCATCGGCTCTTGGCGACGGCAAGAGAAGACAAAGAGACAGGCAGGCAGGCGGCCTTGGCACCGCGGAGAGGATACATGGAGGAGGAGGGGTGAGACGCTGGAGAGGGGGGACGCTGCAGTGATAATTCACCGGTTCCGACAGACGACCGAACGAGAAGTGAGGCTTCAAGGCACAATGACGATGTGACCTCAACTGGAAAGTGCAACCCTTCAGCATGCCCGGACCCACATGTTCAGCCACATTGTGGCTTTCAGCGCGATGGAGTTTAGCATTTCTGTTCTGGCCCTCAGCGAGCAGAGATGTGAAAAATACGAGTACGACAGGCCTGTCCTCATCTATACTTGATTCGCAGACAGAGGCCGCCGCTGCTGCGTGCTAGTGCCCTCACCATGGATATCAATGACATTCTGCGCGAGGTCGACCCGAGCTTCGACCCCATCGGCAGCACTGAGATCGAAGACCTGCAAGCCCTGACGCGTGCCTGGGTTGCAGAACGTTCCGCACCCGAACTCCTACCGTAAGCCGTGGTGCCCATGCTGCAAGAGAGACAGACGAGTACCGCATGCTGACGACGCATATCTCTACCTGCAGGTGGCCCGTCGATGGCTTGTTTGAGCGTGTCAGCCAGCGCATCAAGCGCCAGATCGAGACGGTCGAGGAGCTGACCGGCGACATGGATCCAAAGACCAATTTTGCGCTCATTGTGATCCAAACGGAGCTCGAACGCTTCAAATATCTTGTCCGCAGCTATCTGCGTGCGCGAATTGCCAAGGTCAGAGCTGGAGAGGGCGTGGTGCCTTGTGTGTAGGACTGGACGTCGACACTGACAAGGCCTTGCAGATCGACAAGCACACGCTCCACTACCTGTCGACTGCGGAGATGCGTGCGAACCTGTCCGAGACGGAGCTGGCCTATGCGACTCGGCATCAGGCCCTTCTGCACAACCACTACCTCTCATCCTTTCTCGCCTCCTTCCCCCCACCGCTGCAGAACCTTAACGACACGGCCGGCAACATTAGCATGATCGACAGCCCCGATCTCGACACGGCCGTGTTTGTCCGCCTGCTTCGGGACACCCTGGTGGAGGCCCATGGTTCCGATGCCGACAATATCGTGCGAGGACTCGCCGGCGACGTCCTCATTTTACGCTGGTCGGATGCTAAGCTCCACGTGCAGTCTGGAGATGCGGAGCTGGTATGAAGCGGCAATTGAGATGTGGGATTTATACGACTAAAATTAGGCGCATACAGAAAGCGCTCTTCGAGGTTACGAGCACGGAAACGTACCAAAATCCCACAGAACCAATTTGGGTAGGTCACCCTCAACACAGGCAACTGATCGATGCCAGTCGCGCACGGGACTGTGGTGGAAGCCATTCGTTCTACAAAGCCCGACATGGCAAAATGACGCAGATATGATTTGGGCCTGGCCAACGTACGGAGTACGTGGAAAGCATGCTACACATATCCGGGCTGTCTATAGCCGAAAGCGGGGACATCGTTGTTAAACTCCGGTGCGAAGTTCAACATAAAAAGCAGCCAGCCTTCCAGCCAACACACTTGCTACTAGTTACAACCATCATTCGCATCTCAGACCTTACTTTTCCCACCTTTTCTCATCATCATGTCTACCAAGACCGTAGTCCTCGTCACGGGGGCGAACCAAGGCATTGGCTTTGAGATCGTGAAGAAGCTGGCCACTGATCAGAAAGACTACCAGATCATTGCGGCAGGCCGGCGCAAGAGCGCCATCGAGGAGGCAGTCGAGAAGCTCCACGCAGTCGGGCTCTCCTCGGTCAGTTCGCTCGTGCTGGACGTCGTGTCGGATGAGTCCATTGCCTCTGCCGTGAAGGAAATCGAGAGCCGGTACGGACGCCTCGATGTTCTGGTCAACAACGCCGGTATCAGCGGCGACTCGAGCAATAGCCGTGCCGACTGGAAGGCCGTCTTTGATACCAATGTCGCGGGAGTGGCAGCCGTGACAGACGCCTGCATCCCGCTGATGGAGAAGTCGGTCGAGGCCGACCGGCCGAAGCGCATCGTCTTTGTCTCCTCGACCCTGGGCAGCATCTCCTTGAAGGCCGACCCGAAGGCGCAGACGCATGCGAACCTTGCGCGCACGTACACGACCAGCAAGGCAGCGCTCAACATGCTGGCCTGGCACTACATGGTCACGTACGAGAACGACAAGAACTGGAAGATCAACTGCTGCTGTCCGGGCTTCTGCGCCACCAACCTGAACAGCTACAGGGGCTTTGACACACCAGAGCAAGGGGCGATCCGGCCTTCAGAACTGGCGACACTGGGTCCGGACGGCCCTACGGCGACATACTCGAACAGACATGGACTGGTGCCTTGGTAGGCAGACAGGCAGACCGGACACGGAGTACGAAATTGAACGTATTCGTACGTCAAGGGCAGTGGGAGGAAAGAAAATGTGCCATGCTGTCCATGAGATATCAGGTAGAAAATGAACAAGCCTACTTCGCGACGCTTACTATGCCTCATTGCAGCGGTGCTTGGTCGACGTCATAATAGCTGCACTTTTTGGTCTATCCCCAGCTACCATGTAAATGATGACTAACGGTTGATGTTCCTAATTGGCTACTCCACGTTTTAGGGTCAGCTGCTCCTCAAACCTGAGCCTATTCGGTACTCCGTACTCCTTATAATATGCCTGTTTCCATGGTTATGCAACAGAAGCAGAAGGAAGTCATAGGAATGAGGCGCCGTAGCGACCGGGAGCTATGCCTGCTGTTTCAGGCGAGGATATACTCCGTATCTTACCCACACCATTCTTCAGCGCCATGTACGAGTATGTCTCGCCAAGGACGTGCAGAAAACACGAGATCCGAAAGGCCACCGGCATGACCAATCTGGCAAGGTGCAGGGGAACCATAAATAACAAGCCAACGCGAGCGTCCTCCTGACTTTATTCTTACGTTTTTTTTACCGGGCAGCGGATGATTGGCTAGCTGTGGGTAGGCGGTTCCACTACGCGGGATAGATGGTTAGAGTTGGTTTGACTTCGCAGGATTGCAATTTTACTTCAAAGTACCTGTGAGACGGGTGGGCCTGTACCTGAACTCGTACTTGTCCGAGGCGCGCTATGGTACGGCCAAGCACGCGCAGCGTCAGTGTTACATTGTATCGTAACGGGCGCGAGAAAGCCAGCAAAGGAGGTCCAACCAGAATGCGGAAGAAGATTCCTAAGACGGACGAATACGACGTTGCCGGGGCGGAGATGCACCACGCATGACGCGGGTGGACTACCACAACCACAACTCCCCAGACGGCAGGGCGAGTCAGGCTGTAGATCGTCCCTTTACTCCGTATTTCCAGATGTATCTTACAAACGCTAGCACACAGCTGCTCGTGCTTGTCGAGTCTCTTACAAGCAAGGGGTGGGTGGAGAGGGACGGCCGCTAGGAGCTGACGAGAATGTACTCCGTTACATGTAAGATGCAGTACAGAGTATTTTATGAGCTCTTCGCAGACGGAAAGACGCCGCGCTATTTTTGTTTACCTGCTGTTCCTATTTAGGAAGACCTTTGCACCGCCCGTCTTTCTTTTCTTCCTCACCCGCTCTCTTTTTTCCCTTTTTCCTTCCTTCTCTCTTCACCTTCTCTCCAAAACCAGACCACTCGTTGACTGCCAAACACGCTCGCTTTCTCTTTCAGACGTTCGTTCTTCAAACCGCTACTCTTCTTACCTTTCTAATAAGATACAATATACCCCTCTGGTCCACAGTACCATCCCGTCACCATGCGTTTCTCTACCGCTCTCGTCGGCCTCTTTGCTGCCTTTGCCGCGGCCCAGTCCACCACGTCGACGTCGACTACCGGAACCCTTGTGGCCACGTCTACCTACAGCCTCAGCCCGGCCGAGTCCTCGTACGAGGCGGCCATCGCCACGTGCCTCGCTGCCTGCGATGCGAGCGACGTCTCGTGCCGGGCCAAGTGTGTTTCCGTAAGTCCTCTTCTTCCACCCCAAAGCAAGGAGCATCGACTGACCATCGCAGGCCCCTGACCCTAGCGCTGCGCAGGTGAATGCCACCACCGCGTGCGTTGCCGCTTGCCCACAAGGAAACGGCACCGCCAGCGAAAACGCAGAGTACGCCGATTGCATTTCTGGCTGCATCTCCGGCAACTACTACACGTCCACGGGCACAGCAGCTGGGACCGGCACCACAGCAGCCGGCACCGCAGCTACGACTGCTGAGACCACGGCCAAGGAAACGGCTACCGGAAAGACCACTGGAACGGCTACCGGCACTGCTGCGACCAAGTCCAGCTCCAAGACGACCTCCACCTCCACCGGCTCAGCCACAAGCTCGGGCTCGGCTTCGGCCACAGCGGCGAGCAGCGGTGCGGCAGATGCTCTGCGCCTGGGCTCGTCGGCTTTCGGTCTGCTCGGCTTCGTGGTCGCCTTCCTGGCTCTGTAAGGCATAAGTTGTCGTGGACGTGGGCACATGCAGTTGGATGGCAAACACAGATCTCGGCATGGCTTTATTTTTCTCTTTCCTTTTCCCGCTATTCCTGTGTGTGTAGCTCGCAGATACCAATAAGTAGCCGCATTCGGTCCGCGTCCGCAAGCGAACATAAGTGCAATTCTAGGCTCTCAATCCGTACTTCGCTGCTCCGAAGGCAGCACTTCCTCAACGTTGCTAATCCAGGGAATGTGGAGCTGCTTCATCTCGACAGCTAGCTGGAAGAGGTAGTCAAGGCTGGAGGTGTCAGTGCTTGAGCCAGAAAGAGGAGGGACAATGGCGGACGAGGGGCAGTACCTCTCGCACTGCGTCTTGGCCGCGTGCACCGAGTCTCCCCATACGTAGACGCCGTGGCGCCGCACCAACACCGCATACGTGTCGGGGTACTTCTCGATGGCCGCCTCGAGGAACTCGGTCAGGTCCTCCTCGTGCGCCGTGTTCTCGATCACGGGGATGCACAGCGTGTCGTGGTAACCCAGGTTGCCGGTCTTGTCGTAGCCGCGCTTGAAGCCCTTGATCTGCTCGATGTTGTTGATGCGGAACTCACGTCGCGAGCCGGGAAACGACTCGGCCTCCTGCTCTAGGATCAGCGTCACCAGCACGGCCCAGTGGCTGTGTGTGTGAATGCAGCAGCCGGCGTTGCGCCGCGTGAACGCCGACAGGAACAGCGGCGTGCACTGCGACGGTTTCAGTCCGCGCGGGCTGCGCAGGTACGTGCGAAGCGGTCGCCATGGTCCGGTTAATTGTCTGTTGGCTGCCCGTGCTGCTGCCACCTTGGCGTCGTTCTCGGCCTTCTGCTCCGCATAGTAGCGCGCCTGTGCCTCGAGCGACAGGACGTAGATGTCCTGGCTCTTCATGAGCTCCTTTTGCACGCCTGATGGCGCCAGATAGACAAGATCACTGCACATGAGCACGAAACCGGGCAGGAAGAGAAGAAGAGGGCGCTTGCTTAGCACATAATCCAACTCTCGAGATCTCTTGGCCGTGAACATCGTCCCTCTGCTCTCTCTCTTACTTACCCATTGCGAATTGACGCTCCGCCACCTGTGCCCGTCACCCAGCCCAGCGTCCAGAACTTGGCACACAGCTTGGGGATCAGGTTGGCTGGGTGCTCTGGGTCATCTGAAACGACGAGGTGTTCATTGTTGCTGACGTTGTCCGAAACGGCAGCTGCCGGAATCTGAGTGGAGCCGGACATCTTGTCTCGATTCTGGTCTGCTCCCCTTCGTCCTTTTGTCTCTGCTCCTTAGCCTGAGTCGTAAGGCCCAATGCTTTCTATCGAACAGGACAGGTGGCTCCAACAGAGTTTGGCTGGGGTTATAGATACGACTTGCACTGAGGCTAAATTTGGACCCCTCCAAATAGGAAAGTACGACGCAATTCTTTTAAAGCCTTGGAGTGATACGGCGTTGGATTTTTCTTCTTTACCGCCTCCACTATACTAGAATCGACCAATAGATTGGCGCTAATCGCACCGCCTAGTTATGCCTTTGTTTCCGGCATAGGTTGTAAATACCAGAGATATCACCACCTGCCTCTTACAGGCTCTCCTGATATACGACCTCTTCTTACGTGTTCTTTGTAATAATACAAACTGATCAAGTATATACACCTTTACGTTATTAATCACAAAATTTGCCTATTTTCAAAGGCAACGGGCTCTGCCGAGAACGGGGAGTAGGCTTTATGTTGTTTTAGGTGCGCTAAATGGCAGAGGTTCGATTCGCTGCGGCAGGTTCTGTAGACTAGTGATAAATTTACTCTTCGTCGCACTCTTGCTTTTTAGCGTACCTTCGTCCAATTAGTAGAAAAAACGTATTCTTATTAGCAACTATTTTCCCCCTCGATGAGGCTTGTAACTTGGGTGGGACCCAATTTCCTCCTGTCGCCATGCTGGCGTAATTCTGGAAGGTCCATTGGCGGCACGTGGTCGCTATTGCGCTGCATACAGGTGGACCCCCAAAAAGGCAATCAAGACAGCATACGATAATGCAATACGGCATCGACAGATGACAGCTGTTCTCTTGCATTTGCGCTCTACCCGTTTCTTTCCACATCATGTACCCTGGAATATTATCGGCCCCTCGTATTCGCACTTTCTCAACTTTGTAAATACTTGTTGTGGCTCCAAGTTCAGGCTGGCCATTATGTCTTATCTGCTGTCCTTGCTAGATGTTAAAATCACGGGTAATTGCCTGCATATCTGTATCCATTTTGGGCCTCTTGTTCCTGCCCTCGAACCCTCGATCTTCCCGTCACTACTCCGTAGATAATTTACTTTACCAAGTACCTTGCTTGAATACTGCCGGCCAGCTTTGCTCTGCTGACGACTAAGGCCAATCTCTTCTGTAGAACACGTGGGGGAATTCATCGTCGACGATGGGGTACTCCGTATGTTGGCGTGGAAAGTTCGAAGCTCTTCTAACGCATTGGAGCACTGACCACCGGCCTGTCCCAGCCTGTCCCAGCCTCTTGCAGCACCCCACACCCTGAGCCCACCTAGAGCTGACACCAGTACCTGTTAAACCCGCAGCCAATCATGGGCCGACTTGGGTGAATTGAGGACAGCGAACATGAAGAGTCGAACCGGCAAAAAAGGACACGTTGGAGGAATTGAAGCGTCGGAGCTCTCTGCCTAGATTTTTAAGGCTTCCCCCCACAAAACCTCATACCTGCCAGCCTCTGGTCTTCTCTTTTTTTCCTTCGCTCTTCAGTCTGACTCTGTGTCTCGCTGCAGATACACCAACGTTTTTCTCTCCCCGTTTGCCTTCCTTCTCCCTCGTTGTTGTCGAACCCCTCATCGCATGCGATAGGACCTCGTCACTCATCCCATTTCCCGCATCCATTTCTCTCGTGACCTCACCTCACCTTCACAATGCGTATCAACTCTGTTGCCGCTGCCGTTGGTGCAGCTCTGCTGGCCCAAGGCGCATATGCCGAGGACACCAAGGAGGAGACTGCCTCGTCGGTAGCCCCCCAGGCGCCCACCTTCACAGTACGCATCCTTTCCACCTGTTCTGCCTCGTCTCGCGCATTGCTGACCTGACCCTTCCCTCCAGCCCTCCAGCATCAAGGGTGATTTCGTCGAGCAGTTTACCGACGATTGGGAGGAGCGGTGGAAGCCTTCGCACGCCAAGAAGGACACCAAAGGCTCCGAGAAGGAGGAGGAGGAGTGGGCATATGTCGGCGAGTGGTCAGTCGAGGAGCCTTCGGTGTACAAGGGCATCGAGGGTGACAAGGGCCTGGTCGTCAAGAACAAGGCTGCCCATCATGCCATCTCGGCCAAGTTCCCCACACAGGTCGACAACACGGGCAAGACCCTGGTTGTGCAGTACGAGGTCAAGCTCCAGAGTAAGCTTTTCCCCACAGCGACGAGGAGAAGGGCGATTGGTGGATGAGCTAACCCGAAACAGACGGCCTCGAGTGCGGTGGTGCGTACCTGAAGCTTCTTCGCGACACGGAGGCGCTCCACCAGGATGAGTTCGCCAACACGACACCGTACGTGATCATGTTCGGCCCCGACAAGTGTGGCCACACCAACAAGGTGCACTTCATCTTCAATCACAAGAACCCCAAGACGGGCGAGTATGAGGAGAAGCACCTGAACAGCCCTCCGTCTGCCAAGATTGTCAAGACCACGGAGCTGTACACGCTCGTCGTCCACCCCAACAACACGTATGCCATCCAGCAGAACGGCGAGACTGTCAAGGAGGGCAGCCTTCTGGAGGACTTCACGCCGGCCGTCAACCCGGCCGAGGAGATCGACGACGCCGAGGACAAGAAGCCCGAGGACTGGGTTGACCAGGCCCGCATCGCGGACCCGGAGGCCACGAAGCCCGAGGACTGGGACGAGGAGGCACCGTTTGAGATTGTCGATGAGGAGGCTACCATCCCCGAGGACTGGCTCGAGACCGAGCCTCTGTCGGTGCCGGACCCGGAGGCTCAGAAACCGGAGGACTGGGACGACGAGGAGGACGGCGACTGGATCCCGCCTACCGTGGCCAACCCCAAGTGCGCCGAGGTGTCTGGCTGCGGACCCTGGATTCAGCCCAAGAAGAAGAACCCCGAGTACAAGGGCAAGTGGAACGCACCGCTCATCGACAACCCGGCCTACAAGGGCGTGTGGGCCCCCCGCAAGATCAAGAACCCCGACTACTTTGAGGACAAGACGCCGTCGAACTTTGAGCCCATTGGCGCTGTAAGTGGCACCGTCGATCATCCGTCTTGTAAGACACGCAGTGACTAACAGTTTACAGATTGGCTTCGAGATTTGGACCATGCAGAACGACATCCTGTTTGACAACATCTACATTGGCCACTCGGTGGAGGATGCTCGCAAGTTTGCCGAGGAGACCTACTTCCAGAAGATTACGGTCGAGAAGGCGGTTGAGCAGGCCGAGAAGCCCAAGGCTGAAGACAAGCCCAAGTCCCTGGCCGACCTGAAGTTCACGGAGGACCCGGTCACGTACGTAAAGGAGAAGATCGACCTCTTCATGACGATCGCGGCCAAGAACCCGGTCGACGCGATCAAGTTCGTGCCCGAGGTGCCGGCGGCGCTTGGCGCGATCCTGGTGCTCCTGATTGGCGGCATTGTGGCCCTGAGCATTGGCGGAAAGCCGGCGCCGGCACCGAAGAAGAAGGTGGAGACGGAGAGCAAGGGCAAGGACAAGGCGGAGGCGTCGACCACGGGTGCGGACGCGAGCAAGGAGGGTGTGACCAAGCGCACGACGCGGAGCCAGTCGTAAGCGGCAGCAAGGCTGAAGTAGCGGGTAGATGCCGGCGTGCAACATCTACATGTGAAAATGAAGTAAGGGAACTCAAAAACGAGGCTCGACGATGGAGATGCGGACAGAGGGTCGACTGGCCGGCGGCAAAAAATGGCGGAGGCCGTCTACGAAGATGCCAGCTTGTAGGTTTTACCATGTTGTTTGTCCCCTTTCTCTAGTTACCAGGCGCAATGAAAGCTGTATTCTATTATAGGCATGATATGAGCAGCACGATGACGTAAGCAAACACTCCATGAGGCCGGGCGTTGGTCAAGCGGGGCCAAAGAGCCGATCAAGCCACGGCACAATAATGGGCAAGACGCCCTCGGCATCTAGCGGCTTTGGGCGCTGTTGCCGAAAGTGTCTGCTTATCGTCTGCCCCGCCGCTCTTCTCCGCACGTTTGCGAGGAAGGTGCGTTGCTGTAGAACGCAGCCAAGAGCAGCTCTAAGAAAAGACAGATCGCATCGTGAACAAGGCGATTGCTTCTTTGGAGAGTCACATTGTTTCTGGAGCCGGAAAAGAGAGCGACACTGAATGCTGAATGCTGAATGCTGAACGCTGAACGCTGAACGCTGCGCAAATTGCTGCACCCGGCCCGGGCATCTCCTCGTGCACTAACTTCCGCGATAACCCAACCAGACCACCAACGCACAAATCCGCGGTGCCTGAGCTTTTCTCGCCTAGTCGACCAGCTGTTCAGCCCGGTTTAGGACCCCTGTCGCCGTACCGATCCCGGCTGTTCTCCGACTACATTCTGTTTTTCTATCCTCCCTAAGCTCGGCTCTTTTCCCCGCCTTCCCCTCTCCCCTCTTCCTCGGTGCAGGCCACAGAGATATAGAAGTCATCCGCTTTCCTGCCTATCCCTCTGCACCTTTCTCTCCCTTGCAACAAAAGACAGCGTCACCCGTCCCTGTCACACCCAGCCATGCGTCCTTCATTACGTCGCGGCGTCGCCGCCGCTGCTGCTGCCGGAACCGGCGTTTCCCGGGGCCCAGCCATGCTGGCCTGCCGAGCAGCCGGTCGCGGGCTGACTGCTGCCAACATGGCCGGTCGACAGAGGCTCGCGTCGCGGACATTCTGTGCGTCCGCCGTGGGCCGCAATGCGACCGACTACGGCGACGTGCGGCTGCCGAGCACAGCTACCAGCTACCCGACGGCCCACGTCACGACGCCAAGCGGCAAGGTCGAGGATACGCCGTACTTTCTCAACAACCGGTTCGTGCACTCGGAGACGAGCGAGTTCATCGACTTGCACGACCCGGCCACAAACGAGCTCGTGACGCGCGTGCCGCAGATGACACACGCAGAGCTGAAGCAGGCCGTGGCATCGGCCGAGGCGGCCTATCCGGCGTGGAGCAGCACCAGCGTCATCCATCGGCAGGCGCTCATGTTCAAGCTGGTCGGGCTGATCCGCAAGAACTGGGACCGCCTGGCGGCCAGCATCACGCTGGAGCAGGGCAAGACCGTGGCCGACGCCCGCGGCGACGTGCTGCGCGGCCTACAGGTGGCCGAGGCGGCCTGCGGCGCGCCCGAGCTGCTCAAGGGCGAGGTTCTCGAGGTGGCCAAGGACATGGAGACGCGCAGCTACCGCGAGCCGCTGGGCGTCGTGGCAGCGATCTGCCCGTTCAGTACGCTTCTCTTACTTTGCCTGTCCTCTTTTTCTTTCTCTCCGTGCTGACTACAGCAGACTTCCCTGCCATGATCCCGTTGTGGTGCATTCCTATCGCCACAGTAACGGGTAACACGCTGGTGTTAAAGCCATCGGAGCGCGATCCGGGCGCGGCCATGATTATCGCAGAGCTTGTTCGCGAGGCCGGCTTCCCCGAGGGCGTCGTCAACATTGTACACGGCGCACACCGCACAGTCGACTTCATTCTAGATGCGCCGGAAATCAAGGCGATCTCGTTTGTGGGCGGCAACAAGGCGGGCGAGTACATCTTCTCGCGCGGATCGGCCAACGGAAAACGCGTGCAGGCGAACCTGGGCGCCCAGAACCACGCGGCCGTGCTGCCGGACTGCAACAAGAATCAGTTTATGAACTCGGTCGTGGGTGCGGCCTTTGGCGCGGCTGGCCAGCGCTGCATGGCGCTGTCGACACTGGTGACAGTGGGCCCAGAGACGGAGGCGTGGCTGCCCGAGCTGGCAGAACTGGCCAAGCAGCTTAGCGTTAACGGCGGCTTTGAGGCGGGCGCCGATCTCGGTCCCGTGATCCACCCGCAGAGCAAAGCGCGCGTCGAGAGCCTGATTGCCAGCGCTGAGGCCGAAGGCGCCACCATTTTGCTGGATGGCCGCGGTTTCAAGCCGGAAAAGTACCCCAACGGAAACTGGGTTGGCCCGACCATAATCACCAACGTGACACCGGAAATGCGCTGTTATCGCGAGGAGATCTTCGGTCCCGTGCTGGTCTGCCTTAATGTGCCCACGCTGGATGATGCTATCGAGCTGATCAACGCCAATGAATACGGCAACGGCACCGCCATCTTCACCCGTTCCGGCCCTACCGCCGAGACCTTCCGCCGCCGCATTCAGGCCGGTCAGGTCGGCATCAACGTCCCCATCCCCGTGCCCCTGCCCATGTTCTCCTTCACCGGCAACAAGAAGAGCGTGGCCGGCGGCGGTGCTAATACCTTCTATGGCCGTCCCGGCATCAACTTTTACACCCAGCAGAAGACCGTCACGGCGCTCTGGCAGGCCACGGATGCGCTGTCGCAAAAGGCTGATGTCGCCATGCCGACGCTGCGCTAGAATGGATCGAGAGACGAAAAAAGGTTGACCGGCTAGGGTATTATGATAATATACATTTATACGATGTGATATCAGAAGTCTGGCGTGAGATCATAAAACGGAATAATGGAATGTATATGGATTTGCTTTCATACTAAGATACAATCACTGCTACCGTCTCTGTCGCGCTGGCTGCCACCTTCTCTGTCACCTCCCTGTCAGAAGGCGCAGTGTCGGTCATGTGTTCCGACGGCGCACTGGAGCCATTGCTGGAGCCGCTGGAGCAGTTGAAACGGTGGTCATCTTCTGATGACAAATCACTCGAGAGCGAAGTCCCAGGAGAGCATGGCTGGTTTGCCGACTTCGACCCTGTCTTTTCTGCCTCCGTCTTGCGCTCTCTGCGCTGCTTCGTTTTCCGCCTCGACCTCCTCGCCTCACTATCGGCATCGCTACTGCTGCTGCTGCTGCTGTCCCCGTCATCTTTGCTCGCCTTCTTCGACGCCTTCGTTCGTATCGCCGCCCGCTTTGCCGCTCTGCTCTTTTTTTCCTCCTCCTCCTTCTTCGCCTTCTTGGCCTCTTCCTTGACCCTCTCCCTCTCGGCTTTCTTCTCTTCCCGCTTAGTCAGCCGTGCCTTGGCTTCCTTCGTCTCTTCCACCCATGTGCCCACGTCGGCCACCGCCCCAACTGGATCGCGCTTGTGCCTAAGGAGGAAACCCTGCAGCTCAGCCGGGCTGAAGGTCAGCTCCGGAACGATCTCTGCAAACTCCTTGGCCAACTTTTCGGTGGAAGCCACTGCACGCTTCATTTCGTCGAGAACGTGTCCGACAACCTGCTCCTTCTCCGAACCTTTCTTGGCCTGCACTGTTTCCCCTTCCAGGGGTGCAAATATAGACCGGAACAGTGCCGCTATCATGTCGCGGTCAGCCAGGTCAAACTTGACGGCCATGTCAACGCGGCCAGGCCGGATCAGCGCTTTGTCTAGCTTCTCAATGTGGTTTGTCGTCATGATCAGAATGCGGCCCTCCTGACTGGCAACACCGTCGAGGATGTTCAGCAGTCCCGATAGTGACAGGCGGCCTTTTTGGTCCTTTTTGGGAGTGGTGGACTTCTTATCAGACTTGTCCTCATCTTTGCTGCCCTTCTTAGACTGATCTTCACTTTTACTCTTGCTCTTGCCACTGTCGTCATCGCTGTCGCTGCTGTCGCTCTCGTTTTCCTTGTCGGCATTTCCGTCTTCACGCGTGTGGGTGAGTCCGGCAGTGTCGATATCCTCAAGCAGAACAATACAGCGCCGTGGCAAATTGTTGAACAGGGTCGACAGGTTCTCCTCAGTGGCAGCAGAGCCATTGAGACTGACAATGTAAATATTCATGCGGAAAAACCCAGCCAGGGAGACGCTCAGAGACGACTTCCCGGTGCCTGGAGGACCGTACAAGAGGTAGCCGCGACGATAAGGAATACCGCGGTTGGCGTACCAGCGGCGCGTAGCCGGATCCAAGTAGTCAGTCACGTCGGCCACGAGATCCTTCTTGATCTTGTCGTTGAGGATGACCGTAGACATCGGCCGGGTATTGCGTGCCATACAGCGGACCCAGGTGGCACAATCCGTGTTGTGCTTGCCACCATTGTCGCTGCCGCGGTAGATGACCGTCTTGTGCATATCACGCTGCAAGTACTGGCGCCGGGTCTCGAGCAGCAGCTCTTTGAGCACTGCTGGGTTGCGGCCGAGGCACGTTAGCGAGACGGACTCCCTCTGATCTGTGCCAGTCGGGGCCGAGTCACGATTTTGAGTGCGGCGAAAGCTGATAATGTGGCCCTGGAACCAGAAGTAATACGTTCCAAAATTTGGCGTATAGGACAGTGCCTTCTTCTGGGCTTTCATGTTGCCGCTCGCAGCAGCAGCAGCCTCGTCATCGCCGTCGTCGCTCTCGGTCTCCGAGTCATCATTGCGGCCGCGCCGCTGCTCCTCGTACCGCAACTCCCACACCGACCAAGACCGGGAGCCAACCACAGTGTTGACAATAAAGTGGCGGGCGTTTTGGGCAAAAGGCTGGCAGGTCACCCAGTTCATGAGCATGTTGTACACCTCGTCGTCGTAGCGAACCTCGACGGTAGACATCAAGTGGGCTTCAATATGGGTGTAGAGGTAGCTGGAGAGGTATTTCCAGACGACCGTAGCACAACTGAGGAACATGATGGGAAGAAAATAGTGGCTGAGATCAATGTGAAGATGCCGCTGCAGAGCCCCGGTAAACATGGAGAGGCCGGGGAAGAAAAAGTCGAGCAGAGCAGCCGATGCAGGGGCAGCAGCCTCACTGCTAAGTGCTATGGGCTCTGCCAGGGGACTACATGACCCGTTGAGCACCATTTTTGCTGTGAATGTGTGATGCAAATAACAAAAGGATTGATTCCAGATTGGACAGGAAAGTGGTGAGTAAAGTATGAAATTCAATAGAGAGGCAGGCACGACTGACGTGTCAGAAAGATTTAGGCGGCAAGGTACAGAAGCCGGCACAATATAATCCTCCGAGTCTGACAGGCTTTCCCTACGAAAGACGGACGTAGTGATCGCTTTATACCAGCAGGTGATATTCAGGACAAGCCTACCAGCTTACATGGAATGACGATCATAGTCAGTGACCTTAGTAGCGTACCTCTATCGAACCACTAGGCAGCAGCATGGCTGTATACGAATTGTCACCAGGCAGGCTGGCCTTGCCGTATTGACTAGCATTGACACATTTGGTTCCTGGCCATTGCATTGCTCAGTCATGTAAAACCATGTCTTGGGTTGCTTCGTATGGCCGCTCTCCTCTTTTGCGGGTTAGTCGCTAAGTCCGCCACCCCCATTTAAACCACACCCCCATCTGAACCAGAAGTCACTCTAATCTTACCCTCTTTTCTATGTACCCAATTAAACAAGCGAACACGCACCTCTCGCAGCGCCAAAAATAACTTTTCAATGCTAAGGTTTTGTGCATCGTTTTCGCCATGCCTGCCTGTCTACACGAAAATGACTTGAACGAGGCACTTGACAGCGTTAGAAAAAGGCCTGAACATACGAAAGGCCGCATCCCTCCACTACATACCCTACTCCACTACATACCCTACCCGACCCTCCGCCACCGCATGATAGGCACGTAGACGCACTAAAGAGGTGCTGAAAGGCAGCAAATCCTTTTACAGAATACTGACGACGTAAGGCGGGGGGGGAGAAAGTAATGCGATGGGCACGTGACCCTGGATGAGAAAGCAGGGCCTTACGACGTACGACGTAAATACCCCTGCTTCGAGAGGGTCGAGATACGACGTAGAAATAGACAAGCCAATACGAGTACTATGTACGGAATACGCCCCGTAAAACAGGCTCCTGCACGCACGCTTTTCAGAGTGGATACACCCGGATTAACCTCTCTCCTATTACGAAGACCGGTACAGAGTAGTGTACCGATGAAACGAGGACCGCCTAGTGCTAGAGGACAGCTGTGAAAGCGTACGCCAAGGCGCACGTTTACGAGTACGAGTACTCGTATATCGTAAAGGTAATACTGCACTGTGAGGAGCAGGAGGCTGAATTAGGTAAGGTATGAGCAAATCTGGGTGTTGTACGGAGTGCTCCGTACTAACCGTGCCCTACTCCACTTCGTGCACCAACTACGAAGTATAGTTGGTGCTACCCAGCCTGCCTGCTTAAAGATTTCAAGTGTCTTTTATATGCAGTCCCTATATAAGCGGTACCTGATCAGGTACATGGGCTAGGTGATCAGGTAGGCTGGGTAGCACCAACTTTAGTTAGTGTACGTTCTGCCTGTTCCAATTAAAGTGGGGGCGTGGCACGGTTAAGAAGAAATAATACATCGCAACGCTTCTACGTTGTGGGAGTCCGTATTACTGCTAGTGCCAAGTCCCGCTTTTACTCATTCTGACCAATAAGCTAAAAGCCTTACAAGCAACGTGAAAGGTTAGTAAGCGCCGACTCGTAAAGTCAAGCCTGCGCCAAATAAGCGGTTGGTACGGAGGTCCCTACCAAAAGTTCTTTCTCACCGCTTTGGCAAAATAAGAAGGTGGGTATAGTGCTAGTAATGTATTGTTACTGTATTTACTACAGCAGTGTTAGCGTATTTCTATGTGCTAAGCGCCCTGTAAAAATATTAGTAATTGAATTATATTAGCGATAATACCCACTAAGCTCTAGCGTATCATCGCTGATAGATTTCTCCGTATGATTTACACTCTGCACTATGTATTGCCGCAGTTATAGAAAAGCGGTGAGAACGAACTTTTGGTAGGGACCTCCGTACGGATTTGGCGGTTAAAGATTGCGTTGCAGGGAAATTTGACTAGAAAACACGGCTAGGCAGATGCACGCAGAGTCCATAAACAATCCATGCATGTTTTTCATTATATAAATGGTGAGCAAGCCTAGGAAGATTAAATAAAGATGTACGTGTTTTGATTAATCTTGGGTTTGAATGGGGGTGGTTTAAAGAGTACCGATCAACACGTCGTGCAACGAAAGGTCCAGGCAACCTCAAATTTCTGCTACATGCACAACAAGCCAGTGATGGCCGTGTTTGCTGACCGTGCTGCCGTTACTCGTGCCCTATACGTCAGAGGCCGCGTCGACATAGACTGCACACATCACGATAGCGCATCGCAAGGCTACATAATCGGTGTTGCATATGTCCGCCACTGCCCAGGAGTTTAGCCTTGACTGGCTGCATCAGTGTCGCCTCTCTGTAACTACCCTTGCGTCTGTCTTACTATTTTCTTACTATTTGTGCACCGGTGCTGGTTCGCTTCTTATGTCCCCACATTGGGTCTTAGAAGTCTGACTCTCACTTGCCTATCATAGCTTTGAATTGGAGCCTGCCATACCGAATGATAAGACCAGCCTGCTGATAGCGGTTTAAGCCGGCTCACGAGAGCCATGACGTTGTGCATTATAAGCTGATTTGACCAGCCTTGCGGCTCTTTTGTTTTCAGCTTGGATTTGACTCGCAGATCTTGACCGAGGATAGTAACCAATTGATGTCAAAATACAATCTGCAGAAATACGTAAAGAGAAAAGAAGGGGGGGAGCCTGTGTCCGCCTTTTTCTGTGAATCTAGCCAGCAGGACAGGAAAAAAATACAAAAGGCGATCCAAGGGCACTTTTGACCAACCAGCAGGACAATGGTCTGTAGTCCAACGAGAAAAGGAGAGCTGCTACACCAAGAACCAGACTTAAAAAAAGACTCATAAGAGATTACAACACCAGGCTGGGTCTGTATGAGAAGAAGTAAGCACAAGGTGTCGAGAAGAGGCATGTTGACTGTTTAGCCTTCGACGATGACCGGCTTGGGGCCACCAGGGCCGCCTGGGCCTTTGGGTGGCATGGGACTTCGCACGCCGGGGGGGAAGCCTCCTGGGGGAAGGCCTCCTGAGGGGAAGCCTCCGGGAGGACCGGCTCCTGGAATCCCAACAGGGCGACCGCCAGGACCGCCATGACCACCAGGGCCACCAGGACCACCAGGACCACCAGGGCCACCAGGACGCATAGGTGGGCCTCGTGGCATTGGACCACCGGGTGGCATCGGTGAGCCCCGTGGCATCGGTCCGCCGCCAGGCTGCATTGGATGGCCTGGTGGAGGCCTCTGTCCCGGACCAGGCATAGGTCCCGGCATCCCTGACGGAGGGCCAGCGGGGGCAGGACCACCTGCAAAGGCAGTGTTTGTCCGGGGCGGCACACGGCCATATTCGAAATTTCGATCAGGAGGGGGACGGTCATTGTGGACAAAGTTCTGGCCAGGGGTTGGACCCGGCCTGAACGGCAGCGGCTGTCCTGGCGGTCCACCGGCATGATGACTAGTCCGTTCATAGCTGTGGCCATCGTCATCGTCGTCGTAGTCGTCGTAGTCTTTGGAGCTGCGGCGCTTTCTCCGGACAAAGTACAACTGCTGTTTTCTGCCGTGGGGAGTGGCGATCTCATCGCGGCGGATGTGAGTTACATTTCGGGACGAGGCGCCGGCAAACCAGACAGCGATCATGCTTCGCTGGGGGATCCGGATCTTGCTGCTCCCCAACAAGTCCGAGTTCGGAGACCGCGAAGACCACGAGGACCGGCTCGAGCTTGACGAAATTGACGAGCGAGAAGAGTGAGACATGGTGTCTGAGAGAACGAGGGAGGAAGAGTGTGGAGGAAGTAGGCACAATTGCTTCACAAGAAAGTATCTTAAAAGTGGAGGGAAATGCGGACGCTATCAAGGGCAAGGCATTCCGAGTGAAGGCATCCACATCCAATTGATAGTGTTTCAGCTCGGTCACGGCCACTCTTTCCCATAGAGTTTAGGATGAGAGGTAAGGCAGAAAATAGACAGGCTGTGAAGACAGGTGGGAACTACAGGCAAATATATGCACAGGGCACCATTGTGCCGAAAAGGAAGACTGGGAAGACGGCCATGTAAGGCAGACGTAATGCGATCAGTAGACACAGCCAGATGAGTGGCTGCGGTCGTGCATTAGCAATGGTCCGGCCGTCCACTGTGTGTGTGCGTAAGGGTGTGAACGAGTGTATGCGTATGTGTGTGTGTGTGTGTGTACGTACATCCCCGCTTACCCTAGGATGGAACAAGCTGCATGGTGTGAGATGCGGTAGAAGAGATGTGCCCGAGCCTTCACAGAGGAGCGGTGGAGGAAAAATAGGAGGTGACGTGAAAAGCTTGAACAACTATACACAACAACGAGCTGGATCGGGTGCTACGACAGGTGTTGTTTCGAATCATGCGTGACGGAAGGGAAAGAGGTGGGAAGAAGAGAAAGATAGGGAGAAAAGGAGACGGAGAAAACAGAGACGGGAAGGGAAGGGGAGAGACATGCAGCCTCACTTGAGGAAGGGAACTTGGGGCGCAGTGAGAACAGTTACAGCTTCTGCTGCTGCAGTCGCATTGGCAGCCGGGCGTAGTCTTGGCGATTGGAGTGGTGGTGAGCCGCAAGGCTGTATTAGGATCTAGGCCGCCTTGTTTTTGTTTGTGCATTTTCCCGCTTCCCCATCGTTGACCGCGAGAAAAGAGCGCCGACCTTTCGATTAGTTGCCCGGCAGTATGGTGATGCTGGTTGAGAGGCCCAAGCGACAGCCAAAAAGCGGTGATACCTGGGCTGAGGCTTGTGGTCCGTCCGGGCGGCGCAATGAATGCATCAGGTTTCCTACAGGGCGTAGATTTGGACATGACGATATCATTTCGTATTCTCCAATACGGAAGGAGTACGCAGTATGGAGTACGGAGTAGCCATTCTTACAGGGGTTCAACCCCACCAACCCCATTTATAGGGCCTAGGCCCAGTGCACTTTGCTTGGTTATCCCCGGACCAGCTGCAGTGGCTACTAGCAAATGGCGTACGGAATACAAATCTGTCGCTGCCCCTCTGTAAGGAGAAAAAAATCGAATAATATTGTGAGCACCTGAGAGGGTGGCCACGGTTTGTACGTTTCTACTTGTATACACGATCTCAAAAAATAAAGAGAGAGCCAGGACGGGTTCGCACACAGCGCTGTTCTACAGAGCCAGGGCACCGCCCAGAGAGAGAATGACAAGGCCGGCCGTGATGGCGAGGCCGAACTTGTCGGCAAAGGGACCGACGGCAGTGCGGCTGGTACCGCTCTTCTTGCCGGTGCTGGTGCTGGTGCTGGTGCTGGATCCGCTGCCGGCGGTGGACCCGTCGGACTTGGCGGTGGACGAGGCATAGACGCAAGTCTGGGCGGAGGCACTGTAGGTCTTGGCCAGGCCGGGATAGTTGACATCGGAGCAGCCGAACGAGACGAGGCTGTAACCAGTCACGGTGGAGCCGGCAGTGTCGTAGACAGTGGCAGGCATAGTGGTGGCAGTTACGCTGGTGAGGGCACCGGTGCTGGCGCTGGTGAGACCGGACGTCACCAGAGCGTTGCCGCCAGACGGACGGTCGGGCAGGTCCCAGCTCGTCGGCACGGCCGACTCGGTGATCAGGGAGGCGCCACAGGTAGAGGTGGAGGCCGAGGCGAGCGACTTGTTGGCGGTCATCAGCAGGGACTGGTCGAGCGAGAGGTACTGGGCCTTGAGAGAGACAAAGTCGCTCAGCAGCGTGACCTCGGTCGAGCTGTTGATGGCCACGAGGCCGTAGTTGTCCGTCTCCTGCGAGTACTCGTACACGAGGCCGCCCGAGAGTCCGGTCATCTCGCTGCCGTACAGCACGGGCACGTTGGTAAAGGTGCGCGGCGTCACCAGGTTGCAGCCGTACTCGCTGAAGAAGACGGGAATGTCGGTGTCGGCAAACTCGGCGACGAGCTTGTTGTAGCCCGACTCGGTATAGCTGCTGTCGCCGCACCACTCGTAGTCGTTGAGGCCGAAGAAGTCGATGCGCGAGTACGTCGAGTTGGCCAGCGTGCAGCCGAGGTAGTTCCACGTGTCGCTCAGCATTGTGTCCACGTCGGCGGCCGAGTAGCCCACTCCGATGGCCCGCGGACTGTGCAGGGCAATGTACTCCTTGAGGTCGCGCACGATCGCCCGGATGTAGATGGCCGCATCGTCCGAGCTGTCCTCGTTGAGCACCTCGTTGCCGGCAAAGAAGCCGAGCAGGTTGGGGTAGCCCCAGAAGGCCTCGACGACGGCAAAGATGTGCTTGAGGTAGGCGAGCGTGTATGTGGTCGAGGGGTCGGACCGGTCAATGTACTGGCCAGAGAGGCCTGGGCGGTTAGAAAGGGTGGAGGAGGAGGATGAAACGAACGAAAAAAAAAAAAAAAAAAAAAAACTTACCGCTGTTCACGTCAATCAGCATGTAGATGCCGGCCGCATTGAAGATCGACACGCATTCGTCGTGGTTCAGATCCGGCGCCACATTGTACACCCGCAACGTGTTCACGCCCAGTTGCTGCATCAGAATGGCATCGCGCAGACAGGCGTCCGCATCGCTGAGTGGGTCGGCCGTGCCGTCAAACCCGGACGAGCCGCCCGGCTGATACGTCACCCCGATGATGTCCATCCGGTTGCCCGTGGCGTTGTTGACGAACTCGCCGCCGTCGACCGTCACATAGGTCACCGCGCTGGCGAGCGGCACCAGCACCGATGCTGCCGCCAGAAGGCTGCCCTGCATCTTCATCGTCGGTGGAATGTGGTTGGGTTCAGATCTGAAAATGTCTTGGTGGGTGGATTGGACAGGTCAAAGTGGATAAAACGAGCGATAAAAAGGTCAGGTACAGTTAAACGAGTGAGGAGATCGTGAGCGATGGACTGATGCTGAACCTGCCTGTTCACGAGAAGAGAGTAACAAACATAAATACACCACCGATCCACCGTCGTCTCTTTCAGGCGCTCTCGCCCTTTTGTATTAGGGGGGCCTCTACAGAGTGCAGCGCTTACGACTACAATACACGAATCTGGGACGCGTAGACACTTGCCAAAATTACACATCAGAGAGACGCCAATCAGGTCTCTAATGCCCCTCCTCCTTTCCTCTTCTAGCGTAGTTCGTGCAAATCGACTGCAACCGAAGGCCCAAACCAAGCTTTCATTCCCTGCGACACTTGTTTTCGGGCCGTCAACAATCAGGTCGGCGTTCCCTGTTCGACGACAGAAGGGTCGGATACATTCTACACTCTGTGCCGGCCAGACTTGCCGGAATTCCCAGCCAGTTGGGTGGCTGAGTTAACGATCGCTCTTGTGGACAACAAATATGGTTCTGCAGCGACAGCGCAAACGTGCCTCAGCTGAAAAGCACGGTCAATCCACTATGGCGTATGCGTCCATAGACGGAAATTTAGCCCTGCCTAGGGTATTATAGGGCGTAAGACCTTATCCACAAACCCTCCTGTGTCGAGTCTGCTCAAGATCACGTGGAGATCTGGTCGCTGCCAGCGAGATAACTCTTTTATAATTGCATGTAACCTAATCGGCGCTGTGTTCGTCTTGGCACGGCTACCAGTCTGCAGAAGCATACATAGTGTCACGAGTGGCCTGCATCGGACGACTGCAGAGCCAAGACGAGCCAAGACGAAACAAGACTCGACCAGAGGGAATTATACTCGCCACTAGTCATTCCTCCCTGCTTTCCAGCACGACATCACCTGACCGACAGCAGTACAGACACAACAGTCATAACTTGCGAATGCGGCGGTCTCTGTCGTGAAAGGCCAGGTAAACTGATCCAGCCAGAGTACAAAATGACGCCGACAGAAGCAAGACGTGCGCCTTGCTCTGCTCGCCTTTGCGATCAAGATCGAAGGCGGCATCACTCCGTATATCCGGTGTTTCCTTGGGAGGCCTCTCGCCCCGCAATCAGTCGACTGTTATAAAGCGACACGCCTGATTGCACAAAATCACAACAACCCAAACAGTGTTGCAGATGGGCGGCTGGCTCCGTCTTGGCTTTGGCAGCCGCTTCCCTGTTTCGCTGTTTTCTAAATATATCTTATAGAGTGATGGACCCACAATCAGACAGGAGGAGTGGGCCTCTGTACACGTATCGTGCTCGTACGGAGTACGGAATATTGCCCGTGTAGCGCGTACGAGCAGGGCGAAGTATGTATGACAGGCGGCACGTGTATGCTCGCGAGCAAGCCGATGCATCGCCAGTCGCAACTTTGAGGCCTAATTGATTGATGTCTTGCGATTCTATTTAGCGAACTGCCGATAAAGCCGACACAGACGACAGCAACATGATCTAGACCCGGCAAGAAGTAGAAGAAACATGAGTAAGCACGAAAAAACGAAAAACGAAAAACGAAAAATAAAAGCCTCTCTGCGAACAGCCGGCTTGTCCAGGTGAGAGGTGGATGTGTATGACTGAGGTACCTTGCCGGGACGGGTGGTCTCTCGGCGTCTGGAATTGCGTCTGTCTTAGCAGTATCGACTACATGAGGGGTACGGAGCACGCCCTGAGCCATACATACTAGAGTATGGAGCAGCTCCATTTTGGCAGCGATCCAACGTCTTGCCGAAGCAGGTGAGCGGTGACTAATCGACAGAAGGCCCCGTGTCACGTTATCCGACTTGCCCCTACATACGGAGTAGTATCTTACTATTTTACCGGCGGCATGTTTCGCGATTGCCGAAATAACGGCAAAGCTTGTGCCAGCAGCACGCAGTTCACATACCATGTCATGGCGCTGTGTCTGGAAATTGCATTGAGGCTGAAAGCACATCGGGCTGACGAACGGCAGCATCCTCTTTGGCTTGCGCACACGAGGCAACACACAATCGTTTAGGACACGGCTCCTTTCCCAACCACTTGCAGCCAAGACGAATCAGCGGCCGTGAGTGGATCTCCAAGCATGTCTCTCCTTCTGAAAATGGAAGAGGGGCTTGGCGGCCCAGACCCATTCCTGATTCTTTTCACCACTAGCTCGGCCAATCACATAAACCGACCGCCTCCTAACTCCTCCGATCGAAACACCAGCCGAGGGCACTTCCTCTTTTAAAGTTACTCGTACATTACTAGTTCTTACATAGCAGGAAAAGAGGGAATAACAAGGGGGGAAAAAAGCCGTGACCGTGTTCTCTTAGCGTGTGGCTGCCATTTTTCTCTTGTTACAGCCGGAAAACTAGTTGACCGTAGCGCTCTCCACTCCCTTTCGCTCGCTTTTTCCCATATTTCCCCTTATCCCTTCTTTTCATTTTCATTCAACCCACACATCAACCCACACAGCCGCCCCCCCAGCCAAGCGTAAAGCAAACGCGAAGACCATTATCGCGGCGACGGAAACGACGGCGACGACGACGACGACGAGCGACGAGCGACGAGCGACGAGCAACGACGCACGATTATTTCTCCGGACAGAACACCCATAGACTGCAACACGTATCCCCTATTGGACTGTTGATTGGTGACAGAACGAGACCGAGGGAGGCCCTCAAGCCACTGTAATCTGAGGATCCCCAGCCACGCAGCAGCAGTAACAGCCCTTACCATCTTGCCGGCCTCCGCTGGCCGATGACCTGACTGGCCCTCTGTCAGGCGATCGATGGGCGCTCAGCCTTGCTAGAGGCAACACATTCGAGGCACCGTCTTTGAGCCCCAGACCACAGAGATCCGGGAGCAATCGGAAGGTATGGCGCCGAACGACAGCAAGCCGCCCGAGATTGAGCAGCGGGCCTCGACACACATATCGCGGACGCTATCGATCCACGCCGATGGGAGTGGCACGGGCACTGCTGCCGTCGATGACGATGACGACTTCAACATCATGGCCTTGACCGTTGCCGACGGCTTTCGGCCCTCCGAACACAGTAACGGCGTGTCTGCCTTCGGCCCGGGCTCTGCCTACTCACAACCCTCCTCCGGCGACTCGCGGCCGTCCTTCTCCAGCATCGAGACACCATCCGATCAGAACCGCTCGTCCATAGCGGCGGAAACCGCCTCCATCCCCTTCGGCTCAAACTCTGACTCTGCCCCCATTCCCGCTTCCGATTCCGCACCTGCTTCCGCTCCTGTTGCCGACCCTACCTCCGACGCTGTCGAACCCTCTGATCCGTCCATAGAGCCGTCGTCTGTATCAGAACCATTGCAACCAACGATGCCGTCAGGAAGCGATTCAACAAAGGCACAAGCCACACAATTCACACCGTCCGTCTTGCCGGGTATGGCACATCGGCCATCCAGCATCTCCAAGCCGCCAATCGGGTCCAGCTTACTAGGAAGCGGCAGTGAGGGTGGCCCGAGCAACGCCCGTGACGCCAGCGCTCAAGCATCTAGCAGCATTCCTGTTGTTGTTCCGGGCGATGAGCCATATCAGGGTCCGTCTGGGCCGTCATTTCCGTACCAGCTCTACCCACAAAATGTGCGCATGGAAAGGACGATGAGCGGTATGACAACGTCAACGGCAGCGCCATCTGAGGAATCGTCCTACAACGGTCCGCGTGGTCCCACGTTTCCCTACAGCTTGTACCCCCAAAGCACCATGGTTGGCTCGGGCGCTGTTCCGACATCTGCCATTCCCGTTGGCTTTCCTGGCATGACCGACGCATACCAGCGACGATTGGGACCAGAGGGCGAGGAGATTGCTGATATGATTGGGCCTGATGGTCATACGGAGCAGCTTCCGCCATATTCACGATACCCTGATAACTACAGTGGGAAATTGGCGGCGGTTATGGCCGCCGTTCCGGCTGATTCTGCCCACGCTGCTGGTGTGGCTGGTGCGGCTGGTGCGGCTGGTGCGGCTGAAGCAGTTGGTGCAGCTGGTGCCGTCGCTGCAGCCGACGCTTCAGTCGGTACTACGGATGTAGCTACTGCAGCTGATACAGCACACACAACTGCCGCAGCCGACGCAGTACATGGATCGACCACGGCACCGAATCCTATTCCTGTGACTACCTCAGATGCCACACCGACGGCCGGGCCGGAGCAGGCTGTGGCTGCGCCAGCTATTAACACCTCAGCAACAGCAACAACAGCAGCAGCAGCAACAGCAGCGACAGGAGCCAACTTACGGCCTATCCCTGGGGCGGGCGGTATCGGTTTGGCGCCGAGAAACCCAGAGTTTGACTCGGCCGAAGATCTCGACTCACCCGAATCCCGACACTCGTCCCGAAGCTTTACGTCTGATGCTAGTCAAAACGAGATCAACGCGGGCGGACAAGTGTTCAACGAGAAGAGACTACCTCCCCGGGTACGGGTCTGGGCTCGTCGACGGCTGTTTGGCATTGTGCCATACTGGGCCATCTGCCTAGCGATCATAGCGATCGTCATAGTCTGCATCATTCTCGGCGCTGTGATCGGCACCCTGCTTTCCAAGCACAAGGGACCGCCACCATTGCCTTCACTGTAGGCATTGTTCCCCCCCTTTTTTTATCTGGTTGCGATAGTGGGACTAACTGGCTGTGCAGCGCTGCAACTACTGGTGCGGTCACTGTGACGGTGGATGCCACGCCCATTGCAACGCCGGCGAACCTAATCGCCCTCCCGACTGGCTCCTATAGCCTGCCAATGTCGCTCAACAAATCGCCCAACTCGTGCTTCAACGACACATCACAGTCGGCGGCTTGGAGCTGCAACGTGTGGTATATGGCGGGTATGACGGTGGACATTTCCTCGGGGAAGAACGGGGCGGGCAATGTTACCTACGGCATGAGCCTCGACTGCAACATTTCGGAGACGCTGACCAGCGACATATTCTGGTACGGAGAGCAGCCGCCGACGATTCCGACGGCGACGGCGTTGCAACTTGTCAACGACACGACGGATCTGACGCGCGGGCCAGCTTGGTTCACGATGTTGCCGTACAACAAGACGGTGATTGTGCGAGAGTCGATGCTCACGGCAGCTACACCAGTCGTGACGGGGAACGTGCAGGGAGCAACTGTTAGCAAGAAGCAGAAAATGCGGCGCGAGCAGCTCGAGCACCTGGTCGGACGAGCTCTCGGCCCCCCTCCGGCTCACGGCCACGACGTGGCGCAGGCTGGCGACAAGCCGTGGGTGTGCACATGGCCGGACACGCTGCTGGAGGTGTTTATATATCCCAACCAGAACACGAGCTGGAACAATGTGGAGTCGGCGTCGGCACCGCAATCGTCCTGGCCTACATCGACGGTTTCGCCAAGTCGAACGGGCATGACATCGTTTTCGAGCAGCGTGGCGACACAGACAGGGGTGGCGGCGACGGCAACGATGACTCCGATGGCCAGCGATTGGCCAATACCGTTTCCGCGGGTGGTGAAATTGGAAGAGCGTCGAATGGCGGGCACGCCGGAAGCAACGTGTGTGCAGTACCAGTTGAAACCGGCGGGCACGGGCGTGACGGCTGTGCCGAACCTGGACGGTAACGGGAAGCAGATCCAGGTGACGATTGCGGAAGAAGAGACAGAAAACGAGTACTCGCGGCGCAGCGTCCCGGAGGGGGCTCTTCTCGAGAGACGAGACTCGGCAGAACTAAGCGACTGCGGCTGTCTGTGGATTGTCTCGTGAAAAGAAAGCAAAAACCCTCGGCCAGCTTTATTTTTTTTCTTTATTTGGATGGCGTTGGCAATACTGCCGTATATATGTTTTCTTCTGACTTGATATTGCATGGGAAGGAATTCTACGAGGGACAGCTTTACCTGTCACACGCAGCTCGCAGCTCGCAGCTGCTATCGGGGGAACGGATGTTCTTATATTGTTCGGAATTTCGGATCAGAGCCGCCTACTATTTTATATTTTTCCTTCCTGTTTAGGGATGTGTTGACCATCTATTGTTTGACTGAAAGTGTCTGTCTTGTGGCTCTGTGTACTTATACTGATCAGTCTTGTTCCCGAGGAGATGGAACGGTGTGCTATGAAGAAGTGATTGCTTATTATGGGTATCTCGTGAAGAAATGTAGGCATCGTAGGCCTTCAAGGCCTCAATCCTCGGCGTCTGCGGCGGGCTTCGCGCTGCTCAGGAGGTCCTGCTCAAGCCCGTCGAGGAAGTTGTCGGCGAGCTTGCTAGCTCTGCGAGCGGCCAAGGCGGCCCGCCGCTGATCGAGTAATTGTCGTCGCTGATCGAGCAGCTGTGCCCGGCTGCCGGCCTGAGATGCGGCCACAGCGCGCGCTGCTTCGGTGCGTGCTCGTTCGGCCGCCAGCGCCTGCATCTGATCGGCGCGTGCGGTCTCGTCCTCGGCTGCAAAGGCGTAAAAGGCTGCGCCACGCGTGCGGACGTCCTCGTCGGCGCGGTAATGTGTGTCTCCGGCCTCCGAGGACGCGGGGGGGACATTTTCGCCCAGCCGATCCATGGCCGTCTCAAACGCCTCCGTCTGGATCACGTCGCCGTAAATGACCCCTCCGCGACCATCGCCTCGCCCTCCGTCATCGTCCAGCCTTGGTGCCGGGCGCGCGCTCATCTCTTCCAGGTCGCGGGCTGCCCGCTCAGCACGGTCTCGGCGTCGCTGCAGGCGGTTTCGCTCCGTGCGGGTCACGTGACGTGTCCTTCCATATTCGTCCTCGAACTCGACCAAATCGTTGTCGTCGTCGTCGTGCTCGTCGCTCTCTGCCTCGTCGCCGTCGTCTTCAACGTCCCTCCGCTCCGCCCACTTCCGATCAAAGTCCACCAGCGGTGCCGCGTCGCCCTCGCCCGCCACGTAGTCGCCGCGCTGCAGGGCCGCGTACCGCCGCGCCTTGGCTTCCATGTGGCGGCGCACGCGGGCCCGCTCGGCCGCGTCAAGAGCGGCTGCACTTCCGGCGGGTGGCGACTTGAGCCGTAGGCGGTTTTGGCGGTCCGTGTCGTGGCCCCCTGCCTCTTCGTCCGGCTGCTCGCTGACGGGTCGCCGCCTCTTGATGCGCACGTGGGCCAGCGGGTCGTCTTTCCGCTGCCGTGGTGCCGACGTGGCCAGAACCAACGGCGTGACTGGGCTGAGCGCAGAACTAGGCGAGGAGACGGCCGACGATCTCGCCTTGGACGTCGTCGTCGCCGAGGACTTTGTCCCCATCAGCAACCGCAGCTGCGAGGCAAAGTCCAACGTGTCCGACAGAACCATGGTACTGCTCTGCTTCTGCTTCTTGGACGGCCGCTGGCCGTACAGGTTCGGGTCTTGCGGCATGGCGGTGCGCGTGATCGTTGCGATGGTCGTGCGTGGATGCGTGTCGATCTGGGAAGAAACACTTCGTCATAGGGCCCTTTTTTTTTTTTTTTTTTTTTTGAAACTCCTTTACTCCTACAAGCTCTCAGGCGGTTTAGCGTCTCCAGCCCTGTGGATCAGCCACTAACACATACGCTTCAGCCCCTGAACTAACGGCTGAGGGGTTCTGTCCGCGACAAACAACGCGTTGAATCGTCCACAGTCCGTAGCAGAGATCTCCTGGTTTCCTCCCGCTGCTCCGTCCAACCACTGCGCACGCTTGCCCAAAACCAGCAAGGTCGAGGCCCAGCAATCGGCCAGGGAGCGACGTAAAGGTCTTACCACCAGTGCCCATCGTCCCTTCCCTCTGTCAGCCCCCCCTGCCTAGGCCTTCCTTGCTCGGACTCTACTATATTTCCTGCTGCCGCGACTTCTCCTTCTCTTCTCTCTTCTCTTCTGCCGCGCGCACATCTTCATCTGCTATGCCGGACATGCTCCCCTTCATCTTTCCTGTCATGGCCGACTCCTCCGGACAGCTCGGCTCCTGGCTCTCGGGCCTGTTTGCCCTCATCTACTTCCCCCAGAGCCCATCCTTTGTCGTGCGCGCAATATCGGGCATGTTTGTATGTTGGCCTCTCTTATCTGTCTGCTCTTTTGTCTGCCTTGTTTCCAATGCTGACTGGTCCAAGGTTGCCCTTGGCCTGGCCTGTATCTTCCCCATTCTTGTGCTGTTAGCCTTTGACTTCGCTCTCTGGATCTGGCGCCTTTACTCGCTCGGAAGCAATGAACGCCGTATAGAGCAGCAGCAGCAGCAGCAGCAGCAGCAGCAGCAAGAAGAACAATCACACTACACATTCGACACAACAGACAGCCGACTGCGACAACGAGCACGGCCGCCTAGATAGGCCGGCCTCTGCTTTACCTCCCTAACTTGACAGCTTCTTGCGATTTTGTCCACTCTTTACACACTTATTTAATGCTTCGAGGCTTTATACAGTTTCTATTTTTGGCTGGATTGTACCTTTTGTCCGTCCCGTCCCTGCTTGATTGTGCATATATAGATTCTCGGTCTCAATTCTCGATCTCGATTCTCAACCCGAATTCTCTCCTCCTTCTTTCGTCTTCCTACGCAATCTGAGACAGCACTTTGATGAGGTCGGCCGTGACGCCCATGGCAGTGACGTCGCCACCGGCACCGGCACCTTGGATGATGAGCGGGTTGCTGCCGTACCGCTTCGTGTGGAAGCTGAAGATGTTGTCGCTGCCCTTGAGCGCGGCAAAGGGGTGGGCGCGGTCAAAGGACTGGAGCCCGACCTTGAGCTGGCCGGTCGCCACGTCGGCGCTGCCGACATAGCGCACCACCTTGCCCTCCTTCTCGGCGGCTGCCTTGACAGCCTCCATCTGCGCGTCGAACTCGGGCAGCCGGGCGAGAAACTCGTCACCATTGGCCGCCGACGCCAGCTCGGCCGGGATCAGGCTCTCAACCGGGAACGCTGTCGGCGAAGCCACCGACAGGCCGGCCAGCCGCGCCAGGATCGTCAGCTTGCGCGCCACGTCCATGCCGTTGAGGTCGTCGCGCGGGTCCGGCTCGGTGTAGCCGAGTTCCTTGGCCTTGGCCACCTCGGCCGACCAGGAAGGCGACGGACCGGTCGTTGTGGCCGGCGTGGCCGGCGCAAACGAGTTGAACAGGAACGACAGCGTGCCGCTGAAGATGCCCTCGATACGCGTGATCTGGTCGCCGGTTTCGACCAGATCCTTGACCGTCGAGATCAGCGGCAGCCCGGCGCCACACGACGCCTCATGGTACACCTTGGCACCCGACTTCGCAGCCGCCCCAAAGATGTCCTGCCACGCCTGGAAGGAGCCGGCAAAGGCCTTCTTGTTGGGCGTCACGATGCTGATGCCACGGCCCAGGATCGCCGGGTACGCATCTGCCACCGCCTGCGAGCTCGTGTTGTCCACCAGCACCACCTTGGCCGGTGCTGCTGCCAGAAATTCAATCGTCTCCGCAATCGACAGCGGCGTCTGGGTCGATGCGGCCAGGCTGTCCAGTGCGTCCGTCATGCCGACCTCGGAGTAGTCCTTGTGGTAAACAGCCTTCTTGGTCGTCGTGATGTACACCAGGCTGAGGCGTGGCGACGGTCGCCGTGCCGCGAGGTCGGCAAGCTGTGACAGGAAGCATTTACCCACGCCACCAGCGCCTAGACCGATTGTCAGATGCCATATGCTCGACTAGACTCTAGACAGACAGACGGTTCCTTACCAATAATGGCAATGAAAACACGGCTTGAGGACGACATTGTGGTTGTAGGGCGGTTGACCGTTATGGAATCGGGGCCGACGTGTAGAGACTAGAGTGCTCGTCCAGATTGGTTCTTGAGATGACGAGTGAATTGAGAAAACCCTTTGCCGTCTGTCTGCTAGTATTATGGCGTTGCCTTAGCGGGGCTTTGCCTGTCTCCAAGCTGCGGGGCTGAATAAGCGATAAGCGATAAGCGATAACGACTTTTTTTTTCGCCCGAATAGCTTCATCTTGGACTAAGTCCTGTTCTTGTCGCGTCTGAAACGAGAGTCTGCCCCTAAGCCAGCCATGTCAAAGAGACAGAAGCGAGAGAGCTACCTGCTGGCGCAGCAGCGGCCTGACGGCGCCGTGCCGGAGCTTCCGCAGAAGAAGTTTTACCGGCAGCGAGCCCATGCGAATCCGTTTTCCGACCACCAGCTGGTGTAGTGAGTTGATCCTGCTCCGTCTGGTTGTGGTTTCTGTCCGAAGCACCTTCTGACCGAGCTTCTGCGTGCAGTCCGGCCAGCCCAGATGCGATGGATTGGGCGTCGCTGTATCCTGACTTCTTTCCTGCTGCCGCCACGGAAGAGCAGCAGCAGCAGGTCGAGGTGGCCGACATTGGCTGCGGCTTCGGCGGCCTGCTGGTCGGCCTGTCGCCGGTGATGCCGGAGACGCTGATTCTGGGTGAGCAAGACACGAACCAAGACGTGTGGTCTGTCCGCATGGCGCGCCCGCTGACAGACTGGCAGGCATGGAGATCCGCGATCACGTGACCGAGTTTGTCCAGAACCGCATCCACGCGCTGCGTGCTCAGGGCCGAGAGGCGGCCGGCGCCGACGAGGAGACAACAACAGGCCCGTCTGCATTTGCCAACATTGCCTGCGTCCGGGCCAACACGATGAAGTTCCTGCCCAACTTCTTCCGCAAGGCCCAGCTGCGCAAGATCTTTCTCTGCTTTCCCGACCCGCACTTCAAGGCCCGCAAGCACAAGGCCCGCATCGTGTCGCCCACGCTCGCGGCCGAGTACGCATACGTCCTCCGGCCCGGCTGCGGCCGCGTCTACACCATCACCGACGTCGAGGACCTGCACCGCTGGATGGTCGCCCACTTTGCCGCCCATCCGGCCTTTGCCCGCCTCTCGCCCGAGGAGGAGGCTGCCGGGGCCGAGGAAGAGGACGGACAGACAGGTAAGAACGGAAAGGACGGAAAGGACGACACATCCGATCCCTGTATTCGCGTCATGCGCACCGCCACCGAAGAAGGCAAAAAGGTCGCCCGCAACAAGGGCCAGAAGTTCGTCGCCGTCTTTCGCCGCCTCGAGGACCCGCCTTGGCCGACAGACACTTTGTAGAGAGAAAAAGAGTGTATACGACAAAGACGATATCATATTAGCATGTATTATTATTATTACGGCCGAGGCCAGGATTACAACCGTGTGTACAGGGTCCGGTTATATACCCATTAAAGAGGACATGCTTCTTTCCTATGTGCGTGTGCTTAGTCATCCTCTCAGCTCAGCGTGAACGAGTTGCTAATGCCAGTAAAAGCAGAGATCGACCCGACCAGCGGCTTCGAGTCGCCATAGTACTTCAGTCGGTATGTGCCTGAAGCTGCCGTGGCCTCCGACTCCCAGCTCAGCACCACCTGGCTGTAGCCCAGCACCGTGCTGGTCCGCTCCCATGTGTAGACCAGAGACCAATCCTCGTCGCTGCGCACCTGCGTCCAGTTTCCGCTGCTGCTGTCGTGCTTCTCCACCGCCGCAAACGTGTCCTCCAGCCGCAGATTGTTGCGCGGGTTGGCCCCCACAAACGTGGCGTTGATCACGTCACCCTTGGCGTAGCTCGACTTGGGCTGGTCGATGCACTCGCCAAATGACTTGCCGCTGGGCGCCGCATCGAAGACGACCGATGTGATGAAGCTCAGCGAGGTCTCACGATTGTCGGGCGGCGATGGACCGGCGTCCGGTGACCCCGTCGCGTCGGCCGCGAGGTAGTGAAGGTTGCGCAGCGTCAGGTTGATGTATGCCGGCAGCTCCCACTGCCCGTACAGCGTGCTGGCGCCCTCGTACCGCTGGATGCTGTACTCTTCCGGTGTCGCGCAGTAGTGCGCATACACGTTGGCCGGTGCCCCCAGAACGACCACCGGATCGGCTCCGTCCTTGAGGATCGTGCTGGCTGCCTGCTTGTGCACGGCTTCCCGCCACCGCCGGCCCGACATTGTCGTGGCCTCGGACGCCGACACGATGATAATCAGCTGGCCGATGCGCATCGACTGCATGTCCACAATGTTGGGCGTCCATGCATACGGCTCGTCCATCTCGCCAACGTCCAGCAAGATCGGCTTTGGGTACTGGCATGCCTTCTGCGCAGCCGTGGGCGTGCGAAGAGCACCCGAAACCACAGACCACAGCGGATTGGCAGTCGAGCTTCCCGAATCGGCCTGCGTAAAGTCAAACGCTCCAGGGCCGTCTGTCGTCCCGGCGGCAAACGAGTACCCCAGGCTAGCAGGACATGTCTGCACTTCCGTACCGTTAGGCAGCTCGAACTGGAAATAGCTCATGTTCTGGTAGAAGTGGAAGGACTTCACCGTCGTTCCCACAATCGGAGTAGACGACGTAGCCAGAGAGTCCTGCTGATATTAGCGAAAGGCCACAACATGAGAGCTCGAGTTTTGCCTACATATATAGTCTTGGCACCGTCAGACTGCTTCTTGCCGATCACGTAGCAGCTGGAGACGCCGAGATCGAGCTTCTGAAACTCAGGGCCGCGGCCGTGGCACGACTCCGACTTGCCGTCGGCACACGTGCTGTTTTTATAGCTGCACATCTGGCCAGAGCCATCGTCGCACCAGGCGCCCAGCGTGTTTGGCGTCGTGTCGCCGTACGTTGGCTTGCGAGAAAGCCGGGCAACAAAAGCCTTCGGCTGCGTCTGCATCGTCCAGCATGGCCTTCTCAAAGAGGTACGACGCTACACCCTTGTTGTCGCCCGTCACGTGGGTGTTGTTCTCTAGCATCGAAGTGCCGTGTACCGGATACCACGACAGCACGCCGATGTTTTTCAGGTCAGATGCTCGCTGAAAGCGCAGCAGCGTCATCTCCGTGTCGGTGGTAGTGCTGTACTTTGCCCGCTCTGCAGCCGGGTTGGCCATGTATGAGTAGAGACTGCGCGAAAGGTTGCCGTCCGTGATGTTGGTTTTGCCCACATCGAGATAGCCCTGGCATTGGTGCACTGGTCAGCTTCAGCTTTTCTTTGGCTCATCCCCCTTCACTTAAGGCAGGAATGAAATACCGTCGTCAGCGACTCGTGTGCTCGCTGGATCGCCAACACACTGCCATCAACAATGGCTTGGTAGCTCTGCTTGCTGAAGCCGAGGCTGGTGATTTGCGGGAGCAGGTAATTGAACCAGGCTCCCGGCCCGCTGTGCTGGTGAGTGCCCGTCACGGCCACGTTGGAAGCCCCGTACATGGAATAGTCTGTGCCCAGGGCAGCCAGTCCCTCCAAGATGCCCAAGCGGACGGCAGTGTCGCCCGACTGGGTATCGATGACCAGATAGACGATGCGGTCGGACGGGGTGGAGACGTCACCAACGATAAATGCGCGCGCGTAGACCCGCTGCCGAAGGCCGGAGCCGATCTGTGACAGGCTGGCATAGCCTCCCAGATTCACCTCGACCACCGGGCCGGTGATGTCGGCCTTGCCAACGCCGATCAGATACTTGTCGCCAGCCGGAACAGACCGTGACAGCAGAGGTGGTCCGAGATTGGCGTCTGAGAAGGGGGACGACGACAGCGGCAAATCGGCAGCAGACGAAGCCCCTCTCGGAGAGCTGGCAGACGAGGCCGGCTTGCCAAGTTTGCACACTGAAAAGAAGACCAGCGCAAATAACGCCGCAGCTGCAAGGGCCGTGAACGCGGCTCTTCGCGGGTTGGGCGCCTGGTGTCTTCTTTGCTTGCCCGCATCCCTGCCACCTGCCAGGTGCATCATGGCGTAGGCGTATTGCGGGCCCGACATGTTGGCAACTTGTGAGTGAGAGCTGGAAGCCAGATGCTGGTTTCCGCTATTTCAAATCGAAAATAACAAAGTCCACAACCTGCTTCCTCGTGCTGGTCTTTCTGCCAGCTGATATGCAGAAACGGCGTAGTCTTCGACAACTCCTGTTTTCTGCGTCCTCTTTCCTTGTGTGGTCGGAAAGCAAGGCTCGAGCTCGATACAGAACTTGTCTTCCGGCAAAGAACCACAGATGTCTCTGCCCTTTATAAAGTCGAAAGCCTAAAAAGAGGCACCGCACTCGGAAACCTCAATCACCTCTCAATTCCGTGCCCCCCCTGGACAAACGTCGTAGGAATCTTTTCATTGTGGGTGCACTCAATGGGCTGCTGCCGATGATGTCTTGTTGGACTGCTCACTTGGGAGGGGGGGCTCATGTGTGATCGGGTCATTATCTCGGCATGGTATCTGACGGTTGTATTAGATAGTGCGGAGTTTAGCTGGACTCGAAGTCGACATACGCATCCAGCCATCTGGCGTTGCCAAGATGCCATGTGCATATGTCCCAATGATGGGTGCCTAGTTCTGTGGTCCTGTTCTGGGATTGGGCCATGCCAATGAGCTGCCAATCTCCCGGTCGCACGGTGGCGAATCTATGAATCGTTCGAGAATGGGATTGGCTCCCTCCTGCTCGGTTGCCACACTTTGTGGACACATCAAGGGGAAGCGATGTTTATCCATTGTCCTCGTACATATGCAGGTGCCGAAATTGAACTATCGACAGTTCACACAACGTGACGCCGATCCCCCCTTCATTTTCTCGGCTTTCCTCTTTCGCTCCTTCTCTGTGCATGCTTCGACCCGAACCCTCCTTCCCGCAGGTTTTATGAGCTTCCTTCCTAATGGGGACATACAGACAGGCATAGAGACTGGGAAAGCGGTGTGCACTCGAAGGCGAAAACTGCCCTTGGCTTACAACACAGCAATCCAGCTGACATCATCCTTCCTGGAGTCCAGCGGCCATGCAGCAAGCCTCTCATACTTCCCTACGGAGTGGCAATGATAGCTAGCATAAAGAAACGAGAAGTGGCCGTATATGAGATGCAGATCAAGCGCAGATTGTGCAAGTCGCTCGAGGTCGGCATTTTGCTCTCCACCTCGGCGTGCTTCGTAAGATACAACCCGATATAACGAGCCTCGGCATATCGGCGGACAATCCAAGCGAGTTCTAAGCAGCTGAAAATACGAGCTGCAGCCGACGCATTACATGGGTGAAACATGCAGGTGACTGCAATGTTCAAAGGCTTTCATTGAAGGCCTAATGCACGAGGCTATAAGAGATAGACTATGGAAGTGTTGAATCAAGTAAAAGGTCCGGCAGGGTGGTTGAAAAGGGTGGTGACCATCGAGGGAAAACTGTCCTAGCACCAACACTCAACTGACTTGCATACGGCCGTATCTTGGAGGGGTTGCTCTGTACTATCTCTGATTTGCTTCATGCAGCAAGTCCCCTTATCAATTCAGCAATTGCTTGATTAGTCCGTTAAGACGAATATCAGTTCAGTTGCATTGCCCAATCGTCTGCCACCTCTTCGGCAGGTATTTCTTATAAGCCCGGGCTACATCAACATGAACATGTGTATAACTATGTGGACAAGTGCCGCCCTCATTCTTCAAATATGACCAATTCCAAGTGCACGTTCCAAACGGATGCAACGCCGTAAACTCCAATCCGTGACAAGAATCAAAAGACCAGAAAACGTCGCCCAGACTACGTCCGCCTGACACTCGGTGGTTTGAACGGCTGTCGCAGCTTGTCCAAGGGCGCGACGCCGGCATTTGCCTGTGCAAAGCTGGTGTTGTGCAGGCTTGCTGCTGGCCTCGTGGCTGTCGCCGGGGCAGCCGTGCCGACACCGGCGTGTTCGTTGGTTATGTTGTGGTTTTCCTTTCCGCGCCCAGCATAACCGTAGCCACTGTCTTTCGGCTCAGGTCGGACGTAGTGATTATGAAATCGCGTTGTCTGCGGCACAAACCGCGGCTGTGGTGGCGGCGGTGCTTGTGGTTCGTGCAGGAAAACCGTGCTGTCAGGCCGTGTCGGCGAGCTGGAGAAGTGTGCGTAGCGCTTGTCTGGTCGGCTCTGGTCGGAGAAGTTGCTGGCCGAGCCGGTCTTGGTCACTGACGGGTGGCCGGCCTTGATCTTCGGCATGATCCCTCCGAGCCTGCGGTTGGTCAGCTCTGGAGGAATGCCTGCCGGCACAACCACTGCCCTTGGCTGGTGGGCGGCCAGAAACCCAGATGGCTTCGGGGGCATCTGGGTGCAGTCCGATGCTGCTGCACTGGTGAGACCAAAACTCATGGTGATCGTCTGCTGGCTAGCAGGCACTGCTGCACGCCTTTCTCTCGCACTGGCCTTTGCTTGAGCGCCATCAGCAGCAGCAGCAGCAGCCTCGGCAGCCAAGAGTGCTGTCTGATGGGCGCTGGCCGTCGTAAATCCAGGCATGGACTCCATCGTGGTCGAGTAGCCCCGTTGCCAGGACACAGCCCCAGCACCGGATCCGGCGTATATGCCGCCCGTTGCTTCGAACGTCTTCCGTCGCTTCGTTCGTGGACCACCACCAGAACGGCCGCCATACTCGTCTTCGTCGCGATACCGGACCGCGGCATCGAGGTCGATGGGATACTGGTCGTCCTCCAGCCGCGATCCTATTGGCAGTGTCTTGTAGATGTCACTGTCTGAGGGTACCTTACGGCCGAGAATCTCACCGATTTCCTCCAGGAGGCCTCTGTCATACGACGGCCCCTTTTCCGCGAAGCAGGCCGACGGAACAGGGCAGAGAAACATCGACAGGTCTTGCTCGTAGTTATCGCGACCCTGGTCGTCGTTCTCGCGCCAGTGAATGCTGCGAACGGAATAGCTGATGTTCAGCAGGCACTTGGCTCGAGTCATGGCCACGAACAGCAGACGGCGCTCCTCGTCCGTGTCTTCCGATCGGCTATGGGGCAGCGAGCCGTCGTATGCAGCCGGAATGAACACTACAGGCCATTCCAGACCTTTTGCCGCGTGGATCGTGGATATCGTCACCATTGGCTTCTTGTCATCCTCAGACGCCTTGTCGGCGTCCGACACGAGACTGACGGTAGCCAAGAACTTGCCCAGCACGCTCGTCTCCTTCTCCTGCTCTTCGCCCTCGACCTCGGGCAGCTGGTCCTCCTCCTCCAGCTCCCCGACCTTGGCCATGAACTCGCGCGCAAGGTTCTTGAACTCGTCCACGTTCGCCCATCGTGCCTCGTCTTCTGGCGCATATGTCTTTTCGATGTAGTCCCTAAAGTTCAGCCTGACGAGAATAGACTCGATGATTTGGATGAGCGTAAACGTCTTCTTGCGGGGCTGATCGTCTCGAGTCTCCTCTCCCGTATCGGTGTTGGCTCGAATGCCGTTCACGAGGCCTAATAGGCCCTCGTTGAGCCTCTTCTCCGCATTCTTCAGGTTCACCTGGACTTGGCGGTCCCCTCGGAGATACCCAGTCACCAGCGTCCAGAGGCTGATCTTCTCGCACTCGGCCTGCTCGAGCATGGACTTTAGAGAGTTGACGCCAACACCGCGTCTCGGTACGTTGATGACTCGTGAGAGGGCCTCGTTGTTGTCGGGTTGGTAGATGACGCGTAGGTAGTCGAGAAGGAGCTTGATTTCTGCTCGGTCAAAGAATTTCCTCCCTCCTGCGATCCAGCGCTCGTGTCAGTATGCTTCACGCCAGAGGTGAGCGAGGGATGGCTAACCTATCATGCGGTACGGAACGCCCTCTTTGTTCAGGGCCGCTTCGATCGGCCGCGAGAGGGCTGCCGAGCGGACTAGAACGGCCACATCGCTGTGGTCGAGCAGCTTGCCGCACATCAGCATGGCCCTGCGGATCTCCGACACGATCCAGTTGGCCTCTTTGTGGGCGTCTTCGAGCCTCCGGAGTACCGGCCGGGTGCCCTTCTTATGGACCGGCAGCAGGCTTTTCTGGTAGCGTTTCTGGTCTTGCTGGATGACCTGCAGGGACGTGTCCAGGATGGAGCGCGACGAGCGGTAGTTCTCCTCGAGCGAGATCTCGTCGGTGCCCGGGTAGTCCTGGAGAAAGCGGAAGAGGTTCTTGATCTCGGCCGACCGCCAACCGTAGATGCTCTGGTCGGGGTCGCCCACGACGGTGATGCGGTTGCGTGCCTGGGCGAACAGCTTCATGAGCTCGAACTGGATCCCGTTGGTGTCCTGGTACTCGTCGATCAGGACGGCCTGCACGTTGGCCACGCAGCCGGGGTGTAGCCGCAAAAGGTCGGCGCACTTGACGAGCAGGTCGTCGTAGTCGAGCAGGTTCAGCTGGTCCAGGTGAGCCTGGTATTCGCCGTAGACCTTTTCCAGGTTCTTGACGGGATCGACGCGCGGCACGGCCGACGGGAAGCTCGGCTTCTTCGGGGCCGGCTCCTCCTCTGTCAAGCTGCCCTTGGACTTTTTCTTGCTGATCCAAGAGCGCGCCCCGGCCGCGTCCAGCTGGACCTGCAGACGCTTGATGATGCGGGTGAGGATGGCCTTGGAGTCGGCGTCATCGATGATGCTGAACTTCTGGCTGAGTCCGATCCGCTTGCCGTACGTAGCCAAGTATCGACGGGCCACACTGTGAAAGGTGCCGAGGACGATTCTGCGCTCGCGGCCGTCGCACAGGACCTTGCCGATACGCTCCTTCATCTCGCGGGCGGCCTTGACGGTAAAGGTGGCCACGATGACGTCCTGCGGCCGGTAGCCGAGGGCGTCGACAAGCCAGACCACGCGCGATGTCAGCGTGTGCGTCTTTCCGCTTCCGGGACCGGCCAGGATGGCTACCGTGTTGGCCGACGAGACGACGGCACGGCGCTGTGCTGGATTGAGCGAGTCCAGAATGGAGGTGCTGTTGACGCGGGCCGGCTTGGGGGCAGCCGGCGGGGCCCGGGAGCGAACATCTGGCCTGGGCTTCTGCTCGCGTCTTAGAGGTGCTTTTACCGTTGGCTTTGGCAAAGCCTTCACGCCATGGTAGACCGGAGACTTGGGAAAGCCGTCCGAGCCTGAGTCTGAGTCCGAGTCGGAGCAGAGGTCGATAACAGCCGTTCCTGCAGCCATTTACGCCGGGTGTCGTGGTATCGTGGTGTGGTTTTGGGTATCTTGTATCGTTCACGCTTGAAGTCGCGTCTGCGTCGATCGCGACAGCATGTGACTTGCCCCATGATTGCACGTGACTGTATGTACTGTTTATTTACCGCAAGACTGGTTAACCAATTGCTTACGTATTCATGTGGCCGAAATCCCGGACTATGATCAGCAGTTGTGATGAGTGATGAGCAACGGTTACGGGCGCCTAAGGCTCAGTCTAAATGCCGTGACAGTGACGGGTGAAAGGCCTGTGATGCATGGTCGTCACCCCTACCACACCGTTGAGTTACGAGCACGAAGATGGGAAATAAGTGCCGGTCATATTGACCACGAGACTTGCTGCAAATAAGCGGCACAACCAATGCCGGTACGAGGTCGTCTTTCCAGCTCCGGAAGAAGGTTTGTCACCTGCAGGAAAGCACACCTAAACCTGGTCAAGGAAACAAATGTGACGAAGAACGCCCCACCGGCAGGATGCACACTATTGTAGAATACGTCGTATATCAGCACACCAGCAAGCACACCAGCACACTTGGTCTGGTCACATCATGGAGATGAGGACTTGGGCGAGCACGGGATTGAGTGGCTCGATGGCCATGAAAGGCACACCCGAGTGCATCTTTCAGGGGTAACATTGCAGGATGCTGGAGCGACAACCGGCGAGCGAGGGAGCGATGTGATTCGAAGCATGAACGGCAATCTGAGCCAGGGATTCTTCTGGGAGAGGAGGTGATGGCGGGGAAGAAAATAGCAGGTGGGTCTCGGTTGTACAAGCGGCCAATGACAGACGGGCAGCGAAAAGGCCGGGCGCTTAGAGTTTGGGGGCTGGCCAATCAGCGGGCACAGCGACAAGCACAGCTGCCGCCGGCGATGCAAGCGGTGATTTGGACGCACGCCTGGACAGCTCTGAGAGGCTGCCGTCGGCCGTCACACATGGGCACAAAAGCAGGGCGCGGGAAGGGCAGCGCCGATCACAGCAGGTCCGGACAGACATTGGCTGGCGGCAGTGACGAGGTTGTGGGCCAAAAGGGCCAAAGCAAAACGGCTGGCAGTATCAGCAGCCGCTGCGATGCAGCCGTATATACTCTCGTGGCCGAGACTCGGTGCGTTTTCTCCATTCATCGTCCCCTAAATCTGTTTCCTCGTCACTTTTTGCGCTGCTGCCCCTGCGGCTCCTGTTTGTCTGCTACGCTCCTGGTGCCGCATGATCTGTCTCACAAGGTCGGGCTCTAGGATGTGGCGATCGCCATCAGAGGACTGAACGGGACGAAGAAGAAACAACAACGCAGGCACCTTCGCATCCTTATATATTGACCACACCTCCTTGGCCCCTCTCGTCGGAACCTGACCACCATGCGCATGAGAAATTCTCTCTCGACCGTCGTACTTTTTGCTTCTCCAACCACAGCCTTTGCATCTGTCATCGGTTCGCGCAGCCTGGACGCTGCCCGGACTCTCTTCGACAAGCGCGACACCACCTACCACAGCTCGCTGTTACAGGACGACCGTCGTCTCTCGGGCCGCTCGCAAAGCAACACCAACTATCTGCCGGCACAGATCGGAGGGCTCGTCGGGGCTTACGCAGCCAGCCTGGTCGTCGTTGCGGTGCTCATCCTCCTGCTTTCGAAGCGACGACGAGAGCATCTCGACACGGGTGACGGCTTTCTCTACTTTGAGAAGACGATCGGACAGCCTACGCCGGAGACGCTGCAGCTGCAGGACATTGAGGTCCCGTACGCAGTTCGGACCCCGTTAGCGCTGCAGACGGATTTCGGATCAGCCAGCAAGACATACGTGCAGCCGCCTTCGTGTGGGAGTGTGATTCGCGGAGTGCCCGGCATCGATCCGTTTGTGGACCAGGAGGTTGTCTCGGCCGACAGAGAGATGGCACAGTCACAGCTGGAGGAGATGTACAAGCACGTGATGGAGCAAGAGGAGGCCAAAGCAGCGGGCCTTGTGCTGGAAGAGCCACCGTCACCGCTGAGTCCGGTGTCCAAGGCGGGACAGAACAGCGTGGTTGTGGCAGAGAGTAGTCACGTGACAGCGGACAGCAAGCACCGCAAGGGGCTGTCGAGCGTGTCATCATCGATGCTGCTGCGTCGGGAGAAGGGCAAGCCGCAAGGGCTGACGCTGAATCTGGCGGGCAGCAGCAGCAGCGGCAAAGAGGAGCCGCGCAAGGAGTCACGGACGGCGTCTCTGCTGTCGGCGCTCAAGTCGCCACGGCGAAAGAAGGCGGCGATGCAGGGCGTCAACATCTCGGCGCCGATCATGACGCCCATGTCGGGGACGTTTCCACGTAGCGGCCTGGAGAGCGAGGAGCTCGGCGCGATCCCGCCGCGACACTACGCACCGGCAGCACCACCGGTGCCGCCGACACCCGACATATCGCCCCGAGGCATCGACCAACGACTCGGCATGGGCATCGTGACGACCAATCTGGACAGCCAGGGACAGACAGACCCCGACTCGGCGGTGTCGCAAGACTCGACCGCACCACTGGTCGGACTGCCGACATCACCGAAGCCAGGCGTCTCGCGGTTCCCGTCGCTGGCCTCGCTGCCGACCTCGCCGCGGGCAAGCGGATTCGCGCGGGCCAACGCGCCGTCTGCTGTGCGAACGGGTGGCACGCTGCCGCTGCGGGCCTACCAGCCGTCGATCTCGTCGCCGTCATTTGCGACGCACAACCAGACCAAGCAGACGGTGTTCGAGCGCACGATGCCGCCGACGCCCGGCGGCGCCCAGACGCCGTGGACCGGAGCACCGGTGCCGTACTCACCCTATCAGCCCTTCTCGCCCGTGATCCCGATGACACCCAGCCTCGTGACCAGGGCTGACCGCAAGCGGATGAAGCGGCTCGAGCCCAAGACGCCGACGATGGAGATGGTCCGTAGCATCGACGACACGTGGTGATGGCGATGATGTGGCGAGACGGCATGACACACTGATACCTCTTTTTTCTTTTTTCCCTTTTTGTTTCGCGCCTTTTTCTGTTCGCTGTTCGCTTCGCTGTTTCTCCCTTGCAACGTCTCCTTTTTGTCCGGCCCCTTGGCCGCGTCTGTAGACAATGAAGCAACGATATCCATTACGTTACGGCACAGCAAAATACGAGCATCGTATGGACATCTCGTACGGATCGCGATCGCATGCTCGTAGCTGTGCACAGTGCCGACGCACAGGCATAATGGCTGCACGCACGGCGGGGCCAGGCCGAATCAGGGCGGTCTTTACGGTGCAGCCTGGACCATCCGCGTAGTAAGGGGGGCAAATCCAGCGGTCCACCCGGCGGGGCCAGCACGGTGCGAGCAGGCGCAAAGAAGAGCAGTGGGCCCTTCGGCCGAAAAGTCTGACGGGCTTGGCCTGATTGGGAACTAGCGTAGTGGGTTTGCACGTGAGAGAAGTCGGTGTCGTGGGTGGGCAGGCGATAGTACGATTTGGCCAAACAGTGGGCTGATGGCACTATAACACTTGGCTGATTCCCATTGCTGTCCTGTCCAATTCCCGCACATCGTCGATTTGCATTCCTATCTCGTACGACTTTTCCCGACCATCTCATTACGCCCTCTGCGCTGCGCTGACGCAGGAGGCCTGGACGCCAGAAACCACTTTTATTTCCAGTCAACGCTGACAGGGCCATCTTCCTGTCGGCTGCACGCCCCCCCCCCCCCTCCCTCCCCATCTCGATAGGACGATTGCGGTGGTTTTCCTGGCCACTGCACGGGGGACGCATTGTTAAGCAGCTGGCTGTGTGGTGCAGCGTTGCACTAACAACCAGGGTTCTTCGGCCTGAGACCTGGCACCACCTCGGCCACACGCCCCCCCCCCGTCGTGGACCCCGTTTTATTCTTGTCTCGCCAATTGTATCGGGGCATTCCGAACGGTGAGGGAGCGACCCTCAGACTCGGCCCTGGTCAGGCCACTTTTGGAGAAAAAACGGCAGTCAAGCCAACGGGCGAGCGAGGAGAGAGAGACGTGTGAGTGCGTGAGTGTGTGCGTGCCAGCCGATTGCGAGAGAGAGAGAGGGCGCACGCGCGAGCGAGGGGCCCTGCAGCATGGCAGACCAGCAGCATGGCGACCCTGTGTATGCGGGTCTGGACTCGTTCGATGTATCTGGCGCGGGAAGCACCGCAGAGGATGACGGGTCACTTGCAGCTTTGATGAGCAACATCAGCCAGCAGCATCGTCCAGAACAACGCAGCAGCAGGAGCAGCAACAACACTCGCACCAACAGCAACGGCAACACGAACACGATCGACTCTACTGGCGCGAGCACAGACATAAACAGCCGAGAGCGGAATACACAGGAGACGAACACGACCGTAAACAGCACCAGCATCAGCACCAACACCAGCAGAAGCACCAGCACCAGCAACAACAGTCGTCCGGACATTGCAGCCAACTCCAACGCCAACACCAACGCCAACGCGGAGGCGGATTTGTCACTTGCGTCTGCGCCGTCGACCATTGGCCAGTCGCCGCTGTCGTTTTACCCAGCCGAGTCGTCGACGTGGGGATCGTCCTTGTCGGGCACGCCGAGCGGGTTCGAGTACGGATCGCCCGGATCGTATCTCGGCTTCTACAGCCCGCAGGCCCAGCTCGCACAGCAGTGGCCGTCGACGTCGGTACCCTCGTTTGCGGGTGCACTTCCCGAACGGCCTCGAGGAGCGGATGCTCAGGCGGAGCAGCAGCAGCAACAGCAGCAACAACAGTCACAACAATCACCAGAAGAACTGCTGAGTCAGCAGCAACTACAGCAGTATCAACTACTCCAGTTCCAGCAGCAGCAGCAGCTCCTGTTTCAGCAACACCAGCTCCTGCAGCAACAGCAACAGCAGCTCAACCTGCCGGGGCACTTTGTCGGACAGCGACAGTTCCGTCCCAACGTATCACCCGAAGTGCTTAGCGCACTGACACCGGCACAGCAAGAGGCGCTTCGAAGCATCGCAATGCCAGTACATCTCCAGTACCAGTCGCCGAAGAGCGAGCCGAGCCCGCAGTCGAGTGCGGGCGGCGGGCTGCCGTCATCGCCCGAGGGCGCGAACGGGCCCGAGAGCAACAGCAACAATGGGAAGGGGCTGGGGATGGGACGCAAGCGCAAGTCGTCGGCCGACGATGACGATGACGATGACGAGGACGACGAGGACCAGCCGCAGCCGATCAAGAAGACGGCACACAACATGATCGAGAAGCGATACCGGACGAATCTGAACGAGAAGATCGCAGCGCTGCGCGATAGCGTGCCGAGTCTGCGGATCATGACAAAGAGTGCACGGGGCGAAGACACGACGGAAGACCGGGAAGAGCTGCACGGACTGACACCGGCGCACAAGCTGAACAAGGCGACCGTGCTGAGCAAAGCGACAGAGTACATCCGGCACCTGGAGAAGCGGAACAACCGGCTGCAGGACGAGAACGGGCAGATGCTACAGCGGATCTCAGCGTTTGAGAAGCTGTTCATGCACGGGGCGCTGACAAATACAAATTTGGTGAGCCCGATGGCGCAAGCCAATCCGGCGATGGCGTTTGGTGGCGGCGGGCCGGCGGACACGTCGAGCTTCATGAACAACGCGGCGATGGCAGCACGCGGAGGAGGTGGCGGTGGTGGTGGAGCGAGCGGGCTAGGCGATCCGCAGGGAATGATCCCGGTGCCAGAGGAGATGAAGCGGATTTTGCAGGCGCAGGCGGCAGCTGGACGGCCGTATCCGGTGCCTCAGCAACAGCCGTTCCCGGCGACGCCGTCGGTGCTTCGGCAGCAGCAGATTCAACAGCAGCAACAGCAGATTCAGCAGCAGCAGAGTCGATGGCAGAGTGCGGGACCGTACCTGGGCAAGATGATGGTGGGTTCGCTGGCGGGCCTGATGATCCTAGAGGCAGTGCGGGAGGAGGAGCAAGACACGTCGGCGCTCGAAGGCCGGGGGCTGCTGGCGGTGCCGCTGCAGATGGTGCGACCGATGGTAGCCGCGTCGGGGTTGGGGAAGGGGATGGGCGGTGCGTCAAGCGGGATGCACGTCGGCTTTGGCGGGATGTACATGTCGATGGGACAACTGGTGTGGACGGCCAAGGTGGCAGTGCTGTTGGGAGTGCTGCTGTGGGCATTGCTGCCAAGAATGTGGAGGAGGGGAGGAAGTGAGAAAGAGAGAGTGGAAGAGGAGAGAAGTGGATGGTATGGATGGACGACAACATCGACAGCGACATCGACAGCGACATCGACATCGACATCGACATCGGCATCAACAGCGCCCTCCCCCATCCACACACGCCGCGAGGCTTGGCTGACGGCGAGCCAGAGCGTCTGGGTGCCGCGGCGGGACAGCTTTGTGGTGGAAGCGGCAGCACTGGCAGTCAAAGCGGTCAGGGTGAGCCTGCGCAAGGTGTTGGGCGTGCAGGGCTACCGGCAGCTGACCGGACAGACGACGGAGGAGGACGCGGGCCGGGTCAAGGCTTGGGATATCGCACTGGACGCGCAGCTGGGCGGCGGCGACGTAGCGATCAACGGACGGCGACTAGCACTGACGCTGCTGGCTTCACACATGCTTCCGGACACGGCCCAGAGGCGGATGTTGTGCGCACTACACATCCGAGTGCTGCAGCGGGAGGTGGGAGGCGGATGGGCAGACGGGTTGGGGGCTCGTCTGGCGAGAGGCCAGTGGGAAGCAGCGAGAGAGGGTGTGGAAGAGGGCGAAATCGAGATGGAGAACGACAACAACCATCTCCCCACACATCTCTCTGTCCTCCTTCTGCAAGAGTGCGACGACGTGCTGAGCGAAGACGTGGTCCGACGGGCACACAATCTGGCCTTCAACCGACAGACCGACGACAACGACGACAACGACGACGGTAGCTTGGATGCCGTGGTGGAAGACGCGGCCGTTCGATCGCCTCTGGACGCGGTGGCAGCCTGGTTTGCGAACCAGCTGGTGAGCCGAGTCCTGGCCGAAAGCGTGGAGGAGACTGAGGAAGAGGAGGACGAGAGGGAGGAGGAAGATGAGGTGGAAAGTGGGAATGGCTTCCACTTTCTTCCTCCCTCACCCCCCAAGATCTCCGGTGCGGCCGTGATCGACCTCGACGTGGCCGCACGAGCTGCTCCAGCCGGATCGTCAGCCCAGGTGCGCGCGTTGGTGGCGCGAGCCGTGCTGGTGGACGAGCGACGAGGAACGAGTATTGCCGAAGCTCTGCGAGCGCTGCGATCGCTGGACGGAGGAGGAGCAGGCCCAGACACCCACCAGCTGTTGCTGGCGCTGCGCTGTGCCATGGCCACGGCCCATCTGCAGCGCTGTCCGGCCTCGCCGCCGCCACAGGACGTGTTGGCGTCGGTGGACGAGATGCTGGGCGGCGGTGGTGCTGGCGGAGTGTCTCTGCTGGCCTGTGCGGCTGCGTTTCGGCTTATGCTGACGTTGCAGTCACGTGAGGGCGCGGCGGACCGACACGCCGTCTCGCTGGAGCGGCTGGCCGGCGCCTTGCGGCTCTGGACAGGTGGCCCGGCCGGTCGGCGATGCGGGCTCGGCGCTGCAGCACGGCGCAGCATGGTGCGGCGCTGTCTGGCCGTGACGCGCAGCATCGTCGGAATGGACGAGGATGTCCGCTTCGTCGGTCGGCTGGAAGACATTGTGGACGAGGTCGAGGACGAGGTCGAGGACGAGGACGCCATCATGGACTACGGCGCTACCCCCGACGACGACACCGGCTATGGCAGCATGAGCGAAGACGGCCGGCTCGTGGACGTCTGCTAGACGTGTGATGGCAAGGCGTGGGTTCTATATTTCCATATCTCTCTTGGTGCCGATCTACATCTGGTTTTCTGGTTTATTTTTTATTTTATTTTTATCTCGTCTCGATTGTTTTCCTTTTCCTTCCCTTCCCTCTCCTTACCTCTCATGCACGCGACATAAAAAGGACAGATCCCGAGTCGTCGTTCCGGCTGGGCACAAGGGCAGCGGCCGGGACAGGCAGCACCAGGCGTTGTGACGGGAGCGAAAACGGCAAAGAACATGGGTTGTCCATAGTGCGGTGTGATTATGTCATGTGATTATGTCATGATGTGTGTACTGAGTATCGGTTTTAATATGTTGATTACATGGTTTGAATTGGATTGTTCCCGTCTCTACCAGTCGAGTCCGCCGCCTGCTGTGATTGGTGCAGCTGGCCGTCGGTCTATCGTCTTGCTGGCCCGCCGGCCGACCAGACTTGGCTGCAGTCGGCGGTCGAGTTCGGCCAGCTGTGGCGGGCCAGCCTCGCCGGCGCGCAGTCGCCAGCGGGCTGTGCCGAGAGCAGCGTCCAGCTCAGCTGGTGGCGGCAGGCAGATGGCGATGGTCTGTTTCTCCTGTTCCGGTTTCGGTTCCGGTTCCACCCGGACAGCAAACGTGGCCAGGCTGAGCCCGCTGGCCGGGTCGCTGCGACAGGCGCCCGAGCCGAGGTCAAAGTTACGCTTGTGCAGCGGACACGAGACCCAGGGCTGCTGGCGGTCGGTGGGGTCGTCGCCGATCAGCCCGTCCGACAGGACAAACGCCCGCTTGTGCGGACACATCTGCTGGGTGGCGTAGTAGTGGCCGCGCACCCGGAAGAGGGCCAGCTGGGTGTCGCCGAGCTTGACGGTCGTGGCGGCCACATCGGTTGTCGAGGAGGTCGAGGCCGTGCCGGTCTGGCGATCGAATGTGGCCACGTCGAGGACCGGCTGCCATGCGAGGGTGGACCAGCTGTTGGTGAGCGCAGCAAAGTCCCTGTCCTTTTCCGGGTCTTTTAGGCCCTTTCTTGGGTCCTTTCTTGGGTCCTTTCTTGGGTCCTTTTTCGGGTCCTTTTCGACCCTCCCACCATCCACCTCCACCTCCACCTCCACCTCCATCCCCCTCTTCTCAAACACTGGCCGCTCTTGCTGGCGCTCCGTCTCTCGCTCTGCCTCGCCCGCCAGCCTCTCTTCCGTGTTGGCAAACTGGCGGAATCGCGCCAGCAGCGCTGGATCCCGTAGCGCCTCGGCCCACTCGTCAAAGAAGGACCCGACCAGCTCGGCCATCTGTGCCTCCAGCTCGGCCGCTAGGCCCAGCCGGTCGTGCACGATCACGTCGCGCAGGTAGGCCACGCCGCCCGGCAACGCCTCGATCCAGCGTGCCGTGCGCTGCAGCCGGTCGGCCGTCCGGATGTACAGCGCCAGGTACCGGTCCAGGATCGGAACCACGTCGGCCGGCGCCACGTCGCGGGCCAACAGCTCGGCGTGACGCGGTGTCGCCCCGCCGTTGCCGCCGACGTAAATGTTGAAGCCTTTTTCCGTAGCGATGAGACCGAAGCTGTGCTTAGTCAGCATTTTTGCCTCTACACAAACAAAAGAAAACACAAAAGAAAACACCTACTCCTTGCTCTGTGCTTCGGCACACTCCCGCACGCAGCCGCTCGACCCCCCCCCTTGATCTTGTGTGGCCCTCGGATGCTCTTGTACCGTTCCTCTAGCCGGACAGCCAGGCCGACGGCATCGCCCACGCCGTACCGACACCACGTCGTGCCCACGCAGCTCTTGACCGTCCGCAGGCTCTTGGCGTACGCGTGACCGCTCTCCATGCCGGCGTCGACGAGCCGCTGCCAGATCGCCGGCAGGTCTGGCCGCCGCGCTCCAAACAGGTCGATCCGCTGGCCGCCCGTAATCTTGGCATACAGCCCAAAGTCGCGGGCCACCTCGCCGAGAACGACCAGCCGCGCCGGCGTGATCTCGCCTGCGGCTACCCGCGGCACCACGCTGAACGTCCCGTCGCGCTGCATGTTGCCGAGCCAGCGGTCGTTGGTGTCTTGCAACGCTTGGGTTGGTCCTCGCATCACGTGACCGTTCCACTGGCTCGCCAGAATGCTGCCCACCACCGGCCGACACACCTCGCAGCCGACACTGTCGGCCCGAACCCCGGCTGCCGCCATCACCTCGGCCAGCGTCTTGAGACCGCGCACCGCCACAATGTGGTACAGGTCCGCACGACTGTGGCGGAAGTGCGCGCACACATCCTGCGATACCTCGTTTCCCAGCGCCGCCATCGCCGTCCGAAAGATGCTCGTCACCAGCGGCACGCACCCACCGCAGCCCGTGCCCGCCTTCGTGCACGCCTTGACTGCCCCCAGGCTCGTGCAGCCGCCGTCGCGCACCGCCGCCACCACTGCGCCCTTGCTCACGTTGTGGCACGAGCAGATCTGTGTCTCGTCGTCCAGCTCGTTCGCTCCGGCCTCATCGCTCGCTCTGGCTCCCACGATCAGCTCGCCCGGCGCTCGGTCCAGCTCCTTCTGCTTCGTCACCATCGCCACCAGCCGGACGTAGTCACTCGTGTCGCCAATCATCATTCCGCCCAGCAGAAAGCGACCGTCTGCCGTGAAGATGTACTTCTTGTAGATGCCCCGAAACGGATCCTTGTATGTCAGCGCTTTCACCGCTGCCGTTCCTGCTGCTGCTCTGGCCTCCCCGCCGGCCTTGCCTCTCTTCGCCTTCGCCGGCAGTCCCATCGGCCCGTCTCGGTCTGCAAAGAAGTCGCCAAAGCTCGCCACCTCGACTCCCAACAGCTTCAGTCGTGTGCTCAGATCCGGTCGCCTGAAGCTCCGCACTTTGTGCAGCTTTGCCTGCGTCAGGTTGAAGGCCAGCACATCCGCCATCTCCACGCCCGGCCCGATCAGCCCAAACGTCTGCCCGTGCCAACTGGCACACTCTCCCACCGCATACACATCTGCTGCACTCGTCTGCAGGTCGTCGCCCACCACCACACCACCGCTGCTTCGTTCTGCGCATTCGATTCCAGCTGCTCGCGCCAGCTCGTCTCGTGGTCGCACCCCGATCGCAAAGCATACCGTCGACAGCGCCAGCTTCTCGCCATCTTCAAACTGCACGCCTATCACCCGCTTCGACTCTCCCCCTTCCCCTTCAATTCCCTCTGTCAACACAATTTTCACGCGTTTGCGCAAAAGCACCTCCACTCCCAATTTCTGCACACTCTCCACCACCATCCCGCCTCCCTCGTCGTCCAGCTGCCGGCTCAGAACCCAGCTATTCCGCTCGATCACCACCACCTTGTCGAACCGCCCCAAGTCTATCATCGCCTTGGCTGCCTCCAGCCCCAACAGCCCTCCGCCCACTACCGCTCCCACGCCGCTGCTCTCATACCTGATGAGCTTCTCCAGGTCGGCAATATTGCGGTATACAAACACTCCCTGTGCGTCGTGTCCCGGCGTTTGTCGAGGAAGCACCGCATCCGACCCTGTCGCCAGCACCAAGATGTCGTATCCCTCTGCACTTCCGTCCTCGCACATCACCGTCTTACTCTCCGTGTCGATCGCTGCTACACGCTTGCTCGTGTGGTACCGCAGCGCCCCGTCTGCGATGCTTTCGTACTGTTCCCGCGAATGTGTCAGCCCATACCTTGCAACTCAACAAAAGCCGCTCCAGCTGGCTGCTATCATACCCAATCTCGTCGGTTCAGGTACAGCTTCTCTGCTTGTCGATGCCCGAAATATGTCGTCAGGCCCACCCGATTATATGCCAGGTGCTCCTCCTCGCCAAACACTACAATGTCGTAATCTCGCGCTCTGGCGTCAAGCTTCAGCAGTTTCTCTCTGTCGTCTCGTTAGAAGCCCATTGTTAACCCGTGCTGACACAATGATCGTCCACTTACATGAAGCTGATGCCCACCATTCCTAGCCCCACGACAACCACCTTCTTCCTCGTATTTGTAGCCATAGAGTAGGAATATAGGGAGCGATATCGGTATCTTGTGCCAAGCGAGAAACGACAAAGACCACCTGGAGCAGCCAAACTGATCTTGCCCTGTGTCTCGCTATTTTTTTTTTTTTTTTTGGAAAGCAGAGCACCGAAAGATTGAGGGCAAGCAGATTGGCGAAAGCAAAACTGATCAAACAACCTAGCCGGAGGGAGACAGATGTGGCCGAACAAATCTGTCCCTCCAACGGCGACATTGGTCTACCACCACCCGAATCCACTGTTGCTGTCCCGGAGATCTGCATTTCCGCCCTAACAGGAAAGTCTATTTTCATTTCCCTCCATGCTTGCTTTTCCGTGGAGGGGCCATCCCTCTGGAAAGCATAAACCCGCAGAGTCCCCGGCGACCAGACAGCCGTTGTCGTAACATCATCTCATCGGCAACTATACCATGTACAGCTAGTTGGCCAGGCCCGCCCAAACAGCCACCAACGAGCCAATGAGCACAGCCGCTGTCAGCCCGCGGAGAAAGCATTTATCGCCTTATCATGGGACACCAAACTCTGCACTTGCGCATCGCATTATTAGCCGCAAGTCCCGGAGAAGCTTGTCTGAGGACATCTCGAGCCGTTTGCCGTATCTTGGTTCGTCAATTTTATCTTCAGGTCATCCAAAAAACTAAAACGTCCTCATCTCCCAAGGCATTACCGCCCTCGATCATAACTTAAGTATGTGTAATCCAAACTGACGCCGAACATATGAGGAAAATGTGCTACTAAAGCCCAATCATAGCTAAAATGCTGCCATATCGTGTGGCCTCCAGAAGAAAAATCAAATCCTGACAGATAACTGGAGTACCATCCCGTAGAATGCCAGTACCTAATATGCAAGAAGCAAGAAAAAAACATAACAAAGCTTGCTTACCACTCCAATCCAAGGCCACCTGCTTGGATGACCAGCACGCTAGCTTTGAGCTTCGCATCCACCACCCGAGCCCCCGCCGTCCCAATTGTTCGGGCCAAATCGTAGCCGGACGACGACTCGGCCGCCACAGGAGCATCGCCAAAACGTGCGTGGTGACGACCGAGAACAACAATGTCACCACCATTGCGCGGTCCTTGTCCCACCACCTGGCCGGCACGCACCATCGCCTCGTCCAGCAAAACCGAAGCGGACCCGTTGACAGAAACGTCCACAAACTTGACCCGCCCAGACAGCTCGCTGGGAAGGGATGACTGAAGCATTGATAACAGACCAAGATCATGTGCAGACAACTCGTCCTGAACAGCCATCGCCTTCGATTTTGACATCGGTTCGTCCGCAGAGATGCTGGCACTGAGACTGGCCCCCACCACTTCGGGTCCATGGCTGCCTACTGCGCCCTCCCCGTCCGTGTTGAACATAGCAATGGTAAGCGATATGTTTGTGTTCTTGGCCAGCTGCAGAACGACTCGGAGAGCGACCCGATCGTCCACACCACCGAAGAAAGGAAAGAATATCCGATGAGTCTTGTTCGCTACGGGCAGAGTCGCCGGCTCGCGATGGCTACGCATTGACAAGAGTGATACTGTGCGTGTGAGACTGGGCTGTTCATGGCGGGAGCCAGAGGCAGTGCCAAATCCGTTGTCGATGAAAATACCCGTGTTGCACACGGCCTTGTCCATAGCTGCATGGAGGAAGTCGAGGTGGGCACGGTCGTCGAAGCGAGTAGTTGACGAGCTCATCGTGAACAGAGCCGACGACTCGTCACTGACAAGCCCCCTTTCGCCCCATGGGATCAGCACGAAGTCCGATTCCATCTCGGTTGCTTCCGTTACCAGTGTCTCCGGGAATGAAGCAGCTGGCGAGACAGCTACTTGACCCGAAACCGCCAAGTCATGCAGTTGAGAGAAGGTCCGAAACGTATTGACAACAGGGTCATGGCGGGTAAATTCATTCACTTCGGTAACTTGCATAACCGAAGACGTCCGCTCAGTCAGCTCCAGCAGCCGAATACCATGAACTTGCAGATGCCGGCGTGGAGCCGTTTCCGTCTGCATTTTGCCGTCTTCAGCTGCTTTGCTATTCGGTCCGTCAATGTTCCCCAGAATAGAGATGAACGTAAAGAGACCAGGGAGACTATCCAGACGCAGGTAGACGAGCAGGCGACGAACTTGGGTCTGCTTGAGCTTGTCGAGAGACTCCCGCTGGCTGTCGTCCTCGCTGTTGATGGGATTTCCCTCCCAGTCGATTTCGCCACGTCGAAATTTCTCACACTTTTGCCGGTAAGACAGAGGGTAGACGAGTCTGGTCAGAGGAGTCGTCGACACAGTTGTGATGAGTGCCATAACGACAAACATAGTAAAGGTTCGCTGCGAGATAATCTTTGCTTGAAGTCCAATATTCTGTACGAGGTTAGCAGAGCTCGAGGACTAAACAGAAACAACACAGACAGGAAGCTCGACGTTACTCACCAGCACAATCAATTCGACAAGACCCTTGCAGCTCATAAGAACCCCAACGCTGCAGCTTTCTCGCCAGAACATGCCACAGAGGCGGGCAGAGAGAGTACCACCGACAAACTTGCCGACGAAGGCGACGGAAATGATACCAATTACATAAGCCCAGGTGATGCCGTTGTTGAGCAGGCCAAGATTCGTGCTGAGCCCAGAAAGGGCAAAGTAGAGGGGCAGAAAGAGGCCGGAAAGGAAGTCTTCAATTTTTTCCGTCAATTTGACGGTGAAACCTCCGTCGTGTGGACAAATGACACCGACAAGGAAACCACCAAAGATGGGATGGATGCCAATGATGCCGGTAAACCAGGCCGACGTGAGGACGAGCAGAAGGGTCAGGCAGACCATGGATTCGGTGGGGCCATTCTGCAGGCTTCCGTTGCGACGCAGAACCCAGATGAAGCAGGGCCGGACGCCGAAGACGAGGAAAAGCGTCCAGCCGAAGACGCAGAGGAGAGCCCAGAGGGCGGTCAGGCCGCTGCTGTTGTTGACGAGCGAGACGCACAGCGCCAGCAGGATCCAGCCGACGACGTCGTTACCGACGCCGGCCGCCAGCGCGGTCACGCCGACAATGTTGTTAAGCAGCTTCAGCTCGGTCAGGATGCGGCAGAGCACCGGGAAGGCGGTGATGGCGAGGGCGGTGCCGATGAAGAGGCCGTAGACGCCGAAGCCGATCGGCTCGGTGCTCTGCGCGTCGTCAAACTGCTTGTACAGCCCCCAGGCGATGGCATAGCCGAGACCAAAGGGCAGGGCCATGCTCGCAAGCGAGACCCCGACGGCGGCCCGCCAGTTCTGGCGGAACATGCCCAGGTCGACCTCGAGCCCGGTGAGGAAGAGAAAGATGATCAGGCCCAGATTGGCAATGTTGCTCAGGATCGGCATGCTCTCGGTCGGGAAGATGTTGGCCTTGAAGCCGGGGATGCGCATCATGACGGACGGGCCCAGCAGGATGCCGCCAATGACCTCGGCGATGACCCGTGGCTGGCCCAGATAACGGAGCGGATAGTGCAGCAGGCGACAGAACACAATGATGATGACGGCCTGCACGATGAAGAGCAGGATCGGGTTGCTAGCATCGTATACAATCGGGTCGAGGCCGTCCAGGACGCCGCCCTGGGCTTTTGCGCGGGTCGTGGACGTGGCCGTGGCCGAGGACTTGGTGGCCGAGACCGTCGTCAAGACTGCCGACACGACGGTCGCCGTCACCGTCGCCGTCGCCATGATGGTGCACAAATGGGGTAACGATGAAGAGAGAGACAAGAACTTCAAAAAAAAAGATTATGTCAATCGCGACCTGTCAGCGGCGAGTTTGGCCACAGCGGGGAGGTCGTCTGCTTGTAGTGGCGAGACGTCAAACTTGTCGCGTGCTCGTACAGCCGCGATCAGAACGGGGGCGCCTGAAGTCGAGTCGGTTGAGGAGAAGAGGTCAGAAGTAGGTTGGGAGACGAGATAGGATACTGCATAGTAATGTAAGATCACTATCTAACTACATACGATTACGTTTGCCTCCGCCCGTCGCTCTTTCCCTGCGAAGTCACAGTGCAAGTACTCGTAGGAGAACTACCATGTGGTACTAGGTATTGGCGAGAAGGCGCTAACGACTGCAGTCACGCTAAGGTTTTTGTTTTTATTACCAAGACCAGCCATTTCTTTGATCAGAGGATCAGCAGGACCGCCAAGGCCGCGCCTACCCTTTGTACGCCGTCTGGGAGAGGCTCTGCAAATGTACAGTGTGCCAAAAAAGAGAAAAAAAGAAAGAAGAAAAAGAAGAAACGTGTAAAATAAAAAGGCATTTCTTCAAGTGTGCTCGTGGCCACAGCAAATCGCAGCGATACACAGCGCAAGCGGCAAGGCTATACGGATATGGAGCAGTAGCCACAGGTGGAATAAACGATCTGTTCGTACGCGTATCCCCACCAGGTCCAAGCTCAGCCAAGCATGGTCCGTTCGCCAGACCTCTCCGCCTGCAGGCAGAACCAGGGTTCGAGTCGTCGACCTGATAGAGGCTTGCAGCAAGCAGGATTCTGCAATGCACATGCGTCGCAAGCTCGCAAGTAGACAAACCCCCCGGATTGTCTCGGCCAACCATGTCTTACATGCACCGTACAATCAGTGGGTGAGCACACCATCCCTGCTATCGACATCCTCGAGCATAGGCCAATAGCATGCACCAGATGTCCGTGGGCTGCGGTCGGTGAGCGCCTGCTGACATGGCTGCTTATTCTTGTGCACAAGGGAACATCATCACGTACGGAGTACACTTGCCACATGTAAGCTGTCACCCGTAAGATGCGACTAACTAGAGCATGCAAAATACTTCGAACACTTCACATGCATATATGACCGTTTCTCATTCTCCCACCCCCAACCGCCCTCCACCCACCCCCCCTTGTATCTTATCATATCTTACATCCATATCAATAGTTGGGCATTAATCCTTCCACCTGCCGAATTATGATTGTCTAAACAACCTCGGATGCTCGTCCTTCAGCCGCCGGCCGCCTTCTTTTCCTCCCCATTTCCCTCGTAATGACACAATAAAACGCCAATGCCTATGCCATCAGGATGTACATAACCCCTTCCTAGAAGGCCTTTTCCGTCTTCCACCCACTGTCAAGCTGCTTCTCCTCCGGTCGCAACAGCGTGATCGAGTTGCGTCCAAAGGGCCCTTCTTCATGTAGTGTTGGGAGGGTTAAAGCAAGTCTTGCGATGGAAGGGAAGAGGCCAGAATGATACCGAGAAAACAATGATATGAGAACCCCATAGCCCATTTACCCCTTCTAGAAAGAAAGATGAAAAAAACAACGCTCTAGAGGAGATCCAAGGAAGATAGTGACGCCGGAAAATCAAGACCGAGACATGAGACCTCATCACGAGGCGTCGCCTCCCCGCCCCTCAACGGGTTGGCTCTTCGAAGTTTGAACATGAAAAGTGAAAAGTGAAAACCAGAGAGACACGAATGCCCGAGGATGAGTAAAAAAGCAAACAGGGACATTCCGCCGAGAGCTCGTCTCGCCAACAACATCGCAGGGGCATGCTCAACGCCATCCAGGCCCAAGGGTATTCCCTCCTGTTCGAACCTACCTAACAATGAAAAAGAAAATATATGAGGGGAAAGAAAATCCATTTGTAAAGATCTGGAATTCCAGGGCAAAGATAGTCAGGGGAAGTGGAAAAAGCGCACAGGGGTATATGGAGAGGAGGACAGACATAACGCGCAAAGTCCTACCTTTCGTTTTTTTATTCGTTTTTTCCCTCGCTCTTTGCTTTTCCAGTGCCAATCGAAATCTGAAAAGACGATAACTGTGCATAACTTTTCCTTGCTGTATATAAAAATGTCAAAGTGATGGTCGTGGCGGTGTGCCATGTCGATCATGGCTATGTGAGAGATCGTCAAAGGGTGCTCATATAGCTGCCTTGGGGGCAACCGGTTCGTGGAAGGCGTCTTCTCATGTTTCGATTTTCAAATAGACGGGTGGCCCGTTCCCGGCTCCACGATGTTGTCAGAAAGGTTGATGAGGAGCTGGGCCAGGCAGCGCTTCGTGGCCGCATCGTCACGCAGCACTGAAGAGAAGGTGGCGTCGCGAAGAGGTTCGGGGAGGCACTGGCGAAGCGCCTCACGGGCGCGGGCGTTGTCAGAGAGTCTGTCATGTTAGCAACGTGCGTACACAAGGGTAGCGGCACGACAGGACCAATGCAGTAAGACATACCGCAAGAAGCAGCGCACAACATGCTTAAGGAGGCGGGCCGTCTGCTGCTCGACCAGCTGTGCAACCATGTTGCTAAGAACGGTGCCGACAGCATAAAACCGCTCGTAGGTGGCGCAGATGTAGTTCAGACCATTGTCGTCCAGCAAGATCTTCTGCACGATGAAGATGGCCACCGTCTTGCTCAGCTCAGAGCCCGTCTCCATAATGCGCAGGCATAGCGGAATGATCTCCGTCGTCAAGAGAAAGTTGATCACCTCGGAGGAGTCGTTCTTGACCAGGGCACCAATCACGCCCAGCGACGTGAGCCGCAGGTACTCAAAGGGCCGCGACTTGGACGTCGTGTTGAGGAACGGGTAGAGGAACAGGGGAATGTGCGCTAGAAGCGAATCAGCCATGGCCGTCCTGCTACGGCAGACGCTGCGAAAAGGAGGGGTCAATGCTCACCGCTGAGGAAGAGCGTGCGCGTCTCGTTATGCGAGGCCACACACTGAAGAAGCGCCAGCGCGTTGCAGACCCGGTTCGAGGCCGCCGCCGTGAGCTGTGACGGATTGAGTAGCGAGTAGACCGAGATGATCTCCTGAAGGAGCGAGGTCATGACACCTAAAGATTCGTGGTCAGCATGAAGTGTCCTTTGATCTCGTTGACCGGCTTTTGATTATGGAATTGGACCCACCAAATGAATGCCACAAGATAAGCGCCAGCTCCGGCACCTGTTCCCGCTTCTTGCTCAGCTCAAGCAGGGCCGCCTCACGCGTGTTTTCGTTCAGCAGGTCCGCAATGTAGCCCATTGTACGGCGGTTGTCCTCCGACACAGTGTCAAGCGCGCCGTCAGGCGCATGACCGCCACCACCAGCGCCCGCACCCAGCGACCCGGCACCACCGTGAGGACCACCGGCAATGCGGCTGTACTGCTGCTGCTGGTGCTGCTGGTGCTGCTGGTGTTGTTGATGCTGCTGCTGCGCCTGCTGGTGCTGATGCTGCTGTTGCTGGTGATGTTGTTGCTGCTGCTGGACGGCAGCGGCAGCAGCAGCAGCTTGGGCTTGGGCTTGCACCTGCTGTTGGTGATGATGCGGGTGCATCCAAGCAGAGTCTTGGGGCGTGTATTGGTGGTGCCCATAGATGTGTGTATTCGGCATCATGGCTGGCACTGCGATCTCGCTCGTGGCGAAAGTAGGGTGGGGAGAGGCGGGATGGGCTCGTCAAACCGGGAATAGCTTAAGATCGGTCGCAGCAGAGGCTGGGCCTGCTTCCGTAGTCTCGTCTTGTGCGGGTAAGGGGGCTTGCTCGAATTGATCTTGCTCAGCCACGGTCCTAGTCCTGGCTGTCGCTCTCTTTCTGCCACGTCTGTCGCCCTTCCTCCGTCTCCGCTTTTTCGCGTTTCTTTATTCTCACTGTCCGCGGGTGCTTGCAGCTATCCTGGTCTTTCTCCTTCCGCTGGTCGTCTTCCGAATAGGTCGAATGCGCGTCAGGTCAGAAGTGAAGCGGGGCTTGTCGTTGCTCTCGGGAAAATCGGGACTAAGAAAGCCTTCAGATTGGAGGGGATAAACGTCGAGTTACGGAAGGGTCAGTGGCGTATCTGGTACTGTGTGCTCGGCCTGCCTTTGAAACTGGAGGTGCGCAGAGGAGGGAATAAATGTTGCAAGAAAACACTGAAAAAGAGGATCGCAGTAAGCACGGCTGGCAAGCAGCTTTGGTACGAGACGTGTGAGGATGGAGGTGGCTGTCGACGTTGTGAGCTTTTTGTTGCGGTAGGAAGAAGCAGAAAGAAGGAGAAAAAGCAACAGTTCTGGTTGGAGAGATCGCAAAGCCCCAACGCACTTGCCGTCCAGTGTACTTTAGTGGATAATTCGGATAAATAGAGAAACGAGGTCACTAGCCAGCACACGTAAAGGCCGCTTTCTGCCCTATTCTCCATTATAGTCTTATAGGTGGTGCACGGACCACCTTCACGCAATTACTCGTAGAGACACCGAACCATTCCGTCTACATCCGTTTGAGTCACATGACCCTGTTAATACCGTCGCACCCCGTCACTAAATCAAGCCGTGAGTGTTAATGCCCAATCTACCCAAAGTCATATGTCGAAGCAGCCCGAGCTCTTACCGGCTGCTCATGTTTACGTTATGGACAAATCAGTAATGACATCAAAGTGAGATTGTCGTGAGGTTCGTTAAGACTAAATGAAAAGGATCCAAAACCAGAGATAGCATGGCGCGGAAGAAGGATAAAAAGACAGATGGAGAAGAAGGGGAAGAAATTACGGAAGGGGAAAAAGGGTAAGTGGTAAATACATAAAGAATGCCGATGCCATGCTATGCCGCCCAGGAAAGTCCGAATCGTCGGGATGCTCCAATGAGCCCAGGTCGTGTCTTCCCTCGGCCCAGTCTTTTCCTTGTCGGTTTTCTATTCCCTAGCTTTCCAGGATGTCGCACGGGCTGAATTTATATAAACGAGACAATCCGCAAAGGAGCCAGGCCACACGCCTTGCTAGCAAAAGCCGATGTAAGCACAGGGTGGCTAGTGGACTGCGAATAGAATACGAAACACTATGTGGCGAAATGCCCGACTGGAGACCGATGTTCGTGATAATCCATATGAAAGTGGGCGTAAGTGTGTGACGATGTTCGTGTATGTGCGTCAGGGAGTGAAATATATGTAATTGATCGTGAATGGTGGAAGCCGTTATAGCCTCAGCTCGCGAAGAATGTGGTCGGCCATGCTCTTGTATTGCCAAGTGTTGCCGCTTAGCCGCTTGAACTGGATGCCATGAATAGAGATCATGGGGACCTTGACGATGAATATCTCAAACTCCAAGACAAGGTTGCCTCCCATGTCGCTGCGCACATGAGTTGTCGTCTCGCCTGCGGCCATGACCCGCCTGCCCGAGTCACCGCGGATCGCGCGGGGCTCACTATCATCGGAGACATCCGAGTTGGAGTACTCTGCACTTCTGCCCGGCATTCCGGGAGTCCGCGGGGTGGTCGGGCCTCTCTCCAGATTGTCACGAACGTCAACACGTTCCCGTTCACCCGGCCGCAGAGCGCTGAAACTAAACCGCCCTCTGTGACCTGAATTCGCCGGTGGACTGCTAGGCCCATCAGTAACCTTGTTGAGATCGATGCTTGGCGAGTGGCGACAACTGAAGCCGCCCTTAATTTCGACGTAGTCCACGCCTAGCTGCTTCAGCACCCTCTTGATGTCTGCGCGAATCTCGCGCACAGGTTTTGTCGACGTGGTCGACACACTGAACAGTCCTTTGAGATACACTGGCTTGTCGAGGTCAAAGTCTGTGAGTCGCTCATTGGAGACTCCGCTTTGCTCGCCAAGATCGGCGTCTGCCTCTTCTGGGACGTTCGCTTCCCGACTGCGCTCTTCTTCCAGGCGAAGTCGCCGAGCCTGGATGCTCTCTCTCCGAGCATGTCCGAGCGGCTTCGCCCGTAGAGACACAGAGCGGCCGCCGATACGGCCGGCTTGCTGCTGTTCGCCTTGGCCTCTTTCGTTCGCGGCCGAGTGATCGGACCCACTGGTCTGGGGCATGTCTTTCACAATTCTACTAGCGGACCCTCCTATCGGCCGGCGCCGGCTGTACTCTGCTGAACTAACGCTGGTCGAGCGGTCAAGGCCCTTCTTGTGTCCATCCACGTCATTGGCAGACAATGGTGGGCTGAGAAGATCACTGTGTTGCGGTTGGCTGCTGCCAGACCGCCACCGGGGCACAGACACTTCGTCATTGTCTTGGCGGGTGCGCCGGATGCTGAAGCTCTTGCGAGGTATCGTCGGAATTTGTTGGCTGCTCTGTTGGCTTTGCTGGCTCTGCTCGGCTGGCGAGTGAACGTGGACAACGGGGGGGTGTGAGCGGTCTTTGTCAAGCCGCTCAACGTCCTTCGGGCGCCGTCGAGTGCTGAAACGACGCAGAATACCGGCTGCCGCACTTTCTTTCTTTGGCACGTCCAGATGGGGCTCTGGTGGCAATGCCGGCGATAGTAGCACTCCGGTCCCGGCAGCAGCAGCAGCAGCTTTGCCCTTGGCTTCTTGAATCTCATCCTCCCCGTGGGTTCGTGAGCGGGGCCGTGTTCGCCCGCCAGTCGTCTTCTCGCCTGGCATTTCGTACGAGTTGGTGTTGACGTGTGCTTCCTGAGGCGGTGCGATCTCAGGAACGGAGGAGACCTTCTCCTTCGCTGGAGGCATAGAAGCTTGGAGTTCCAGCTGGTCCCGTTCTCTCTTCTCGCGGGCCAGATAGTAGATAGAGATCAGAGGGCTAAAGGCATTCAGGGGGTCATTCCCAAGAGGCAGTCCTTCAGCACTGGGCGTGGTCAGGGCATCTCGGCTGTTGGCAGAATTGCGTCGCTTATAGAAGTCGAGATTGAAGCCTCTCTTTCGCTCTGCATCTTTGGGTGTCTGAAGGAGCTCCTTTTCCTTTTGAAGTAGTCGAACATTACGCTGGTACTCCTCAGAGTCGATAACGCGGGTCAGTTGGTCCTTGATCAAGGTCGGAGCGCCAAAGTTGAAGCCGGTCATGTCATTGATTACAGCCTGGTCGAGCGGAGCTGTAAGCGGATCCCGGCGCGGCAGATAGTTATCAGGGGGCCCGCTGTAACCCTTTGTCATCCAGACATGATTCATGACCTCATGCATTGTTGCTCGCGATCGCGGATCAGTGACCAGCATCCGAGAAAGAAGGTGCTTGCATTCTAAAAGTCACAGATCGCATTAGAAACAGACAAACGTGACTTGGAAACAGACAGAGTAGCTCACCAGCTGACAGCCAGTTAGGGTAGTCGACTAAGCCCTTTTTAATCTTGGAGTGCAAAGCAGGGATGCTCTGGTCGTCAAATGGCACCTTGCCACACACAAGGACGTACAGGACGATGCCAAAACTCCAGATGTCGACCTCTGGGCCAGTGTAGGCTCTGGCTTGCAGGAGTTCGGGAGCGGCAAAGTACAGACTACCACAGAAGGTTTTTAAGTGGCTGCGAGGGGAAAACAGGTTGCTCAAACCGAAGTCGATGATTTTAATGTCCCCTGTTTTACTGATCAAGATGTTTTCGATCTTGAGGTCCCGGTGGACGATACTGTTGCGATGGCAGTAGTCCAGCGCACTGGCGATCTGGCGACTGAACTTGCGAGCCGGCTTTTCTTTCAACTTGCCATGCGCAATGATGTAGTCCAGCATTTGGCCGCCGTTGACATATTCGAACAGCATGTACCAGTGGTGGTTGGTGCGTACGACATCACGAAGGCCGCATATGTAGGGATGGTCTAGGAGAGTGACGATGGCCGCCTCTCTGGCAGTTCTGATTTCCTTGGACTGGTCTGCCCGCTCTTTCTCGGCGCGCGAAAGATGGCCATCATCAGTGGAGCCTCTTGGAATGATTTTGCATGCGACCTACAAACACCGAGTTAGAAAAAAAAGGCATTGGGGAAGGGGCCTATGTCAGGCCAAGACGGAAAGCGTACCACTTCGTTGCTGTCTTCTTTAGTTGCCAAACGCACTTTGCCCATGCTGCCCGCACCAATGACCTTGCCAAGGATCCATTTACCCGAAGGTGCGGGAACTGTGGTGCGCGGCTTGCTTTGACGCGAGCTCCCCGACGGCTTGGTCTCAGTTTTTCCCTGGGGTTGGGCGTGATGGCTGCTGCCGTTGTTCTGGGCACTGGACACGCCAGCGGACGGCTGCGTCATTTCAGCCGATGGTGGCTGCGGTGGGGGAGGCACTTGGGAGGAGGCCTGTCGCGAAGAGCGTTGGCTGCCGTGCCGATGCGGGCGTGACGAAGAGTCCGCGGCGTTTGATGGAGGCGCATATCGGACTTCTCGGCTGGAGCTGCGGCGATGGTGACCCGTGGTATCGGGATCGTAGCCATTTCCGTTTCCATTTCCGTTACCCGAGGCATAGTGATGAGACGATGTGTGATGATGCTGGGAGGCAGCACGAGCAGGCGCGCTGTTGGACTGCGAAGAGGCTGGACGAGATCGGGTAGATTGGGATCGCGACATGGTGCCGTAGAGCTTTCCCCGAGGCGGCGACGAAACAGCAGCCTCGGCGCTGGAAGATACCGCTGTGGTCATCTCATCACGAAGCTGTCAGCGACGACAGCAGCCGATGGTATGGACAACGATGTTTGAGGGGAAGAGGAGATGAGGAGCGACACGATCGATCGATGCGATTGCCAGGTGGTGAGATGGCGAGATAAAAGAAGACCGTCGCAGATCAGAAGAGCAGGGAATGTCGCAGATTAAGAGCTGGCTGGACGTGGAACTCGATGAGGGGGAGGAATGAGAGAGCCGAATGTGGACAGAAATTTAATAGGCGATTAGTTTCGGGCAACGGCAACGATGACAAGCGCAGACCAAACCCCCCTGTTGGTGGCTTTGGGAGAGCGCTCTTTTTGTTTTTCTTGTTCCTTTTTTTTCGCCCAAGGTCCCTTGATGCCCGATTGATAGTAGCTTTTCAGGGGGCGACCGGGGTTAGAGGGGGAGAGGGGGTGTGGTAACGAGGGGGAGTACCGAGAAAGATAGGAGGCGGGAATAGAAGTCACCTAAAACGAGAAGCAAGACAAGAGTTTGTCTGTGTCGGCGAGCGACAACAAGCAGGAGCTCGTTAGCGTGGCAGGAACGTGTGGGCTAGTGGGCCCAGACGCGCCTGTGTATCTGTATACGAGTATTCTGCGCAGTGAAGTTGCAGGTGCTCTACGACGTACGTCGTAGCTTCTAGTGGAATACGACTCTTTAGTTGACAAGAAGTCCGCCGAAAGCAGCCTGTTCGCCAAGGAACAGTTGTGCGCAGAACGCAGATCGTTCTAGGGGGGTTTGGGAGGAATGCGCAGCTGCGCTCGGTATGCACAGGGCGGCTGTCAGACAGCCATGGGAGCTTACCGGGACCTGTTCAGTCCAGGGAGGCTGCCGTTGATGTGCGAAGCTGAATGGCCTAAAATGGGCTTGTGTTCATATCCGCAGACCCACACCGGCTTTGTGATTACTCAGACGGCTGCTACGACGTATGTACAAGCAAAGAAGCCCGATCGGAAAAGGTCCGACCTGGCCAGAACAGCAAAAAAAATGCGGCAGAGGCAGGTACAGATTGTGAAACTGAAATTGCTGGACCAGGTAGCCGCCCGGCTGAAGTTGAGTGGACACCTGGGCGCAAGGTTCTAGCCGTGTGGAAGAACAGCTCGCAAGGGTGGTAGCGACTAGTCCAGGCCTGTGAGGGACAAAGTCATTAATAAGTCAAGAATGCGCGCAGCAAGCCAGGTGCTGGTTGCGGTTTTGCCCAGAATCTCGCACAGCCCTACGAATAGGCTACCATCACGATTGCATTCGTGCATATTCTCACAATCTGTACTCCGTACCCAGCACATGCAGGACCGTCTTCCCTTTGCCTAATTCGACTATCACGTCGTATAACCTCCAATCCGCATTCGGCCGTCCCATCCCTGCTTTTTAATCGTTACGCGCAGTCCAAATATAACTCGACTCGTATTGCTTAGCCGGAGATAAATAGTACTTGCTCTTTATCTACGTCGTACTTATGCACGGACTGCACATTCCAGGAGCCGGATCTGGCAAGACACGTGCTGCCTCCAAAGCGCCAAACCATCACGTGACTCGAAGCTTGTTGGGATTTTGTCGTCAAAGCTATTCCTCTGGCATTTACAGCGCGAATCGCTTCTGTACGCCAGCCCGCCTGTCGTCTCGATGATACCTACAGGTCCACAATGTCGAAGAGGTCTCGTGCGATCTACGAGGCCGAGCTCCAGGCGTTACAGTCCCCGTTTGTCTCTTTCGGCACGCCTCTTCCACCCCTCGACGACGATGTGCGCGACGACGGCTCCTACGTCCCGGTCTGGAAGCAGGAGGTGAGGGATGAGAATGGGCGGAGGAGACTCCATGGCGCCTTTACCGGTGGATGGAGTGCTGGGTAAGCTGGTTATTTGCTCGTTGCATTCTCCTTGCTGCTGTGAACGTGTCCCTGCGCCTATGCTCTCGCTGCTGACAATGCCTGACATAGCTATTACAACACTGTTGGCTCCAAGGAAGGATGGACCCCCTCGACGTTTGTGTCCTCGCGGGCAAACCGCCGGAAGGACCAGCCAGAAGCTGTGCAGCACCGCCCGGAGGACTACATGGACGAAGAAGATCTTGTCGATGCCGAAGAAGCGAGGAAAATCCACACATCGAATGCCTTTGCCGGACTGGGTCTGACCGAAGACGACACCGTCCGCGCCAGCTCGACAGGTCTTGCCGGCCTATTCCGGGTCCAGGGCGAAACCATGGGGACACGGCTGTTGAAGAAGATGGGCTGGAAAGACGGCCAGGGCATAGGGCCCAAGGTGCGACGCGCCGCGCGATTGGATGTCGGCAGGCCGGGGGATAGCAAGGGAACACACCTATTTGCGCCCGAAAACGTCGTTGTGGTGCGGCTGTTGAAGAAGACAGACCGCAAGGGTTTGGGATACGAGGGAGCAGCAAGGCTGTCCTCATTGGCACCGCCGTCAAAGACGGCGAGTGGGCGGCGTGTTGGCGGCGACAGTGACGAGGACAATGACGGCGACGACAGCGAAATGAGCGGCTTTCGGAGTGGCTCGTTTGGCCGATCGAAATCCATAGCGAGCAAAAAGACGGAAAAGAAGGGGCGCAGCGGCGGCATTGGCATGGGCGTGCTCAACGACACAGGCTCCGATGATGAGGACCCTTACGACATGGGGCCACGAATATCGTTCAACCGGGTAATTGGCGGAGACAAGAAAAAGAAGAAGCCGACACAGAAGAAGATTGGCGACGTCGATAGCAGCGCCGGGGTGGCCAAGTCCAAGTTTGCCTTTTCAAAGCGTCCTATGGCGCTTGGGAATACTTCTGGCAATGCCCGTTTATGTCATGACGGCCGACCGCCTCTGGCTGGCTTCGTGCTGGGACGCGAGTCAGACGCGCTGACGTCCGATATGAATTCTGCGAGCAAATACCCACCACCGACGATCCCGGCCGGTTGGACGTCGTCGAAGCAGGCCAAGAGTCGGCAGGCCAGCTGCAGCTACGTCTCTACGACCGATGCGGCGAAAGCGTCGAGCATGGACCCCAAGGCGCGTGCGGCCGTGCTTGGCGAGGGCCTGCTGCCCGGCAAGTCTGTGTTTGACTTTCTGTCGCCGGCAGCACGAGACCGCATCGCCGCAGCGACGGGGAGGACCGACCTGCCCGAAGCCCGGAGCGAGGTGCCGGCCGAATTTGCGCTGTCCGACGCGGAGAAGCTGGAGAATCTGCTCCAAGAGGTGCCGTCGCTGGATAAGGCCACCGCGGTGGCAGCAATCTCGCGAGGCGCCCGTGGTGGCGGGCCATACCAGGACAACGAAGCCAAGCGGTCCCGATATCGTGCTTATCTCGAGTATCACGCCGGCATCGCGAGTGCACTTCCACCGAAGCCGACCAAGCTTAGCAACGACGACTGGTTGCGGGAGTTTCACGAGTTTTTTAATTGCGCGAGGATCTTTAAGCCCATGTCCGGCCTGATGGCTTCGCGATTCACGACGTCCTCGTCGGCGAAACAGCCATTGGCCAGCGGCTCAAGCGGCAAAGCCGACGGCAGGACCAACCTGGTGTCCAGACCGCCGCCAAAGGCGCAGGATCCAGCTGAGGAAGCGGCCAGCATGGGCATGTACGGACCTCTGACGCGGTCGGTGCAGGAGTTTTTCCCAACACGGCTGTTGTGCAAGCGACTAGGGGTAAAGCCTCCGGCCATTGTGCAGCCAGACCAGGACGTAGACATGGACATGGGACGATCTGGCTCGTCCGCCTGGTCGTCATCTGCTACGAGCAAGCCCAGCTACAGTAGCACATATGTGCAGGGCAGCGCCGGGGTGGCTGGACAAGCGACTCCGGCAACGGCAACGGCTGCGGTGTCGACGTCGAACACGGATGTAACGGACGCAAAATTGCCAGAGGATGCTTCGATCAGGACCAACCGAAACGAAGCTCTAGAGGGTCAAAGGGCCAGCGAGGACGTATTCCGGGCGGTGTTTGGCGACAGCGATGACGATGATGACGATGACGACTGATTGCCCGTGCTTGATAGACATGTACAAAAACCAGTAGAAATCGAAGTAAGTGACAACAATGAGCAGATTAACGAGCGGGTGAGTAGAAGTGTGGGATGCCGCATGCAACGGTGACGAACAGCGGTTTCTTACTGGGACTCTTGGCAGTGATTGGCTTAGCTGGGGGACGGGCGGCTAACAAACCCCCTAATCCCTCGGCGCTTGGGGACCAGGAAAGCACGGACCGGGCAGACTAACGGATGGGGAATTAAGGGGAGAGAAGAGATGAGGGAAAGTTGAACGGCGGCCTTTACAGGACGATCGTAGTGCAGTGGACAGGCCCGGTAGCTCCTTCTGGGCCAGTGGTGATTTTGCCCCCATCCCTTTCGAAATTGCGTTCAGAGACAACATAAATAAAAATTACGACTCGCAACGCAGCTCATCCGCAAAGGCCATCACCAACCAATCCGTCTCGGCCGTGCTTCCTGACAGTGTCCTGTGCTCCCTGTCGCCCGGCAACTTCGATTCCTTGTCGACGCTCCCAAGTTTTCTGCCCTGTCGCTTCTGTGGCCTGGCTCGATCTGCTCTAATTCTGTCCATCATCAGGTTCTTCCCAGATGACCGCCTGAATCAGCTCATTTCTTTTGTTTTGCAGACAGTGAGCCTCTCGGACTGCCCTCGTGCTGCTCGCGCCCTCTTCTCTGCCCTTCTCGTCACGCGCGCCGCAATCTACGGACCGATTTGTGACGACATCCCCCATACACATGCTCCCAAGCATACAGAACGGCAACTACGACGTTATTTGTGGTCTGTGCGGATCCATCTGAGGGAAGCAGGCTTCTCGCGCTCTACACGTGTGCTGTCGTCGACCACACAGCCAAAGAACGAGTTATTTTCAGCAAAAGACCCCGAGCCAACCATCCACCGTGTCCGACCTCAGGCTTTCCAATAACTTGACGGGGCCGTTGCTGTCCACCGGACACTACCCAGAAGAAGCCACCGCGGCTGTGACAGATTGCTACGCCCTTGCCATTGGCCGACGCTTTGCCAACGACGGAGAGATCTCGAGTAGCAGCGCCTCAAAGGCCGTTGCCGCCGCTGCCGAGGACGACGAGAGTGTGGAGATAGAAGAGATAGAGGAACGAGGAAAAGCGAGTCTTTGCGCTAGGATCGACAGCCAACAGCTCAGTCCTCCTCCACAATATCCATCACCGGGGAGCTCCCGTGGCAAAGCCGAAGATACCGAGAATCAGGCGCTGCCTCCATCGACACAACCGCCTCCGTTCAGCTCGATCATTGGAGCCCTTTCCAGCCCGACTTCGCCAGCAGCTGCACCAGCCTACGCCAGTAGTGCTTACCAGCAAGCATCTTCATCTTCGTTCACTCTTCAGGAGGAAACTAAGCGAGCCCTACCTGCCGACACTAAGCGGCCAGGAGAATCATCGGGTTGCAGCAAGGACGACGACTCAGAACCACCACCAGCATACGAGGAGGGCTTCAGTCCGCTCCTTTCGTTTACGTATCTGATGGCGGCCGCCGGAGGAGCTAGTAGCATTCTCACGCAGGTGCAACAGGGGGGACCCCCGGTCAGCAACCTCGGTGGTAAGAACGGCGCTCGATGGAACGGGTCCGAAGGCGTGTTCGATTTGTGCTGACAGACGGTGACATAGGCGAGGTAGGTGTCGATGAGACGATCGCGATGGACCTTGGTTTTTCGTTATTTTTTTTTTTTTTTTTTTGTTTTTCGTGTCTCGAGAGTATGAACCAGGCTGACTGTCGTATAGGGGAACACGCTTTGTCCTATCAAGGGACGAGCTGCTTACGCTCCCCGAGTTTGTGTTGCTGTCTCTTTTTCCGAACGGCCTCTTTCCCGAGGGCCATATGGGCGGCTTTGGAGAGAGTGATGCCATACACGTCGATGTATGTTTCACTCCCGCACGCGGACGAGGCACGGCGAGCCAGGTGGCTAACTCTGCTTATGTCTGTAGTACGATCCAGCATCTCTCCAGTACATGCTCGACTTCTTCCGCGGTGTAGCGCAGTCCATACCGTCGGATGCGCCCAGCGCGTCTCCGGAGGGCGATGTGGGCGCGATTGACCCGCTGGCCAACCGAGAGGATGCGTCGAGGCGGGCTGGGATCATCGTGCTACGCGAGGACCTGGACTTTTACGCGATTCCGCCGCGGGCGAACATGCAGCAGGCGGAGATGATTGAGGTCAAGCGGGCGGCTGCGCAGGCTCTGCTGAAGCAGAACGGGATATTCTCAGGCCTGAAGCGCAGCGACGAGCCGGGCACGACCGAAGCACATCTGATCGAGATGCTCACGGCAGGGTAGGTTCACTTGTCTGATACTCACCTGTCACTTCTCGTAACTACGCTGACACTAGCAGTGGATTTGACCACGACGATGCCTGGGGCCATCGTGCTGGCGAGCCGAACAAGGCAGTGATCTGCAGCCTGGCGCTGGCACGACTGCGGTCGGACATTCGCGGCAACGAGATGAGCAGCAACGCGGTGGGCATGGCGCAGAAGCTGCTGCTGTTCTGGCGGAAGCCGGCGCGTCGCTGCTGGTGGGAGGGTGTCGATCTGGAGGGTGTGGAGGGCGTGGAGGGCACGCTGAAGGTGTGGATCAGGCGGGTGTGGACGCTGGAGATGAGCGTGATAGGGCTGCGTTGAGATGCCGAGAGGACTCGACGACAAAACGAAGCAGTGAGGCGAGAGAGCGCAGAGAGCTTTCATCTTTTTCGAATACCCCCCTAAGTTTTTCCCCCAACATGGCATCAAGCCCACCCAGTTACTCCCCTTTCCCCCTTTTTGCCCCTTCTTCCCATTCCCGTTTTTTCTAATTTTCCTCATCATATACGGCTGGACGCCATTACATGTTCCAGAGCGATTCCCTTCCCCCAGACACGCGTACTTTCGTTCTTTTTACCGTGCTCACCCTCTTCTTTGTTGGTCTATTGGAAGTTTTTGTTTGATCTTTATTTATTTTTGGTTTGTATTCAGACAGGCGAGCATAAAAAATATACTTGTGGTTGGACGTTGACAGCAGGTGTTCAGGCGTGAAATGTTACTCGTTACCTTGTAAAGGCTGCATGGTGATGTCCTCATGTATATGTGTCGTCTGATGAAGCGCTCGTGTGCAATGTAACAAGTATCACACGATCATGAAATCAACATCTAGGATTGCCTTTTCCATTCGTGTGACTGGTCCGGCCTGTAAACAAGCGGCCAAACTGTACAGCGACATGTTTGATGACGCGCCAGTCAGGGTCGCAGGGGTCGCGTAGGCGAGGGAGGAGAAAATTGTTGCGGCGAAGCTGCAGGGAACCCAAGGGTTGGGCATAGAGTAGAGGGGAGATTTAATGGAGAGAAGAGTAGCGAAGACTGGAGTAGGAAGTAAAAGATTCAAGCGTCCTAAGAAGGTGGCAGTCACAGGATGTTGCATTGCATATGTTGTGCCTTTCCTTGGAGCTTGTGAAGAGTAAGACGTATGTCGACGATCTCTTCAACTATTAAAAGATAGAAATTGAATGCGTGTGAGAGGGTACGGAGTAAATAGATGGAGAACTGCTGAGGCTAAACTGTCAAAATGGTTAATCGACACGGAAGCTTACGTTGTAAGCCGTAGGCTTAGGCCTAATTTTGACGGACTGTGCACTATCAATCTATAAAGTCAGTGTTTTGCCACGTCCTACTCCTGTTATACATCCCTGTTCTGGCCAAGCCATCGTGGTAGCCTTGCGGTATGTTCGCTGTGCTATGATACAAAGACGACGTAGCGGCTACAGAGTGGCATCATACTAAGGATTTCGCCAAGACCTAGCTTGGAGGTAGAGAGGCAAAGGGGTATCGTGCAGCCAACTGTTGACATACGCGGGTTTTGTCAATTTAGGCATACGGCTAGCGACGGCCTCTTATAATAGTGGAATACTAAAATAGACGTGTAAAAAGAGGGGTTCACGGTAAGGTATCTTACATTCACGAAGCACTTCAACGCATTCAGCGCAGCCAGTGCATTTAGCATATCTGGCTTGTTCTCGAAGGAGTACTTGTCGGGGGTTGTGGTTGGGGTGGTGATATCGGCATGTTTAGTAGTCGTCTTATAGAGTCCGGCATTCTTGGTCAAAATGCCGAGATGCGCTATCAGCCAGCCAAGCAGACCGATAGCCGATCAGCAGCTTTTGAGCACATCGTGATTGATCGAGTCCGCTTGAAGAGTACAGTCGAAGAAACAACCAACGACCGCCATGGCCAAGCCGACTGTGCTGCTGGTCGAGTCGCCGTGCCGCGAAGTCGACCCTGAGCAGTGGGCCCGCGTGCAGAACCGCTTCAACCTGCTGCACTACGACTGCGACACGGTCGACGAGTTCTGCCGGCGACTGGCGCCGGGCGGTGCCTATGCGCACATCGACGCCATCGTGCGTGTCGGCTGGCTCAAGGCCGGGCCTTATGCGACGCACCAGCTCTTCTGTGGCCGGCCAGTCGGCCTCTTCCCGACCTCGTTGAAGCTGATCTGCTGCACCGGCCACGGCTTCGATGCGGCCGACATTGCCGGCCTGTCGGCACGCGGCATCGTCTATGCCAACGCGCCCGACACCTGCACCGAGGCCGTGGCCAACACGGCCCTCTTCCTGGTCCTCAACGTCTTCCGGTACTTTTCTCTGGCCGAGCACGCCGTCCGGGCTGACCGCTGGTTCGACAGCCGCCAGGTCGGGCCCGTGGCTATCGATCCTGTCGGCCAGGTTCTCGGCATCGTCGGCATGGGCGACATTGGCTTGGCCATTGCCCGCAAGGCAGCCCTGGGACTCGGTATGCGCATTCACTACCACAACCGCAAGCCGAGACCGGCGAGAGACCTCGAGGGCCTGCCCGACGGTGCCGTTTACCATGCTTCGCTGGACACGCTGCTCGCTGTCAGCGACTGCATCTGTCTGGCCTGCCCGCTGACCACGGACACGCACCACATGCTCTCGACGGCGCAGTTTGCTCGGGCCAAGAGCAGCGGCCTGCGGCTCGTCAACATCGCCCGCGGTGGTCTCGTGGACGAAGATGCCCTGCTGGCCGCCGTGCAGGCAAAACAAGTCGTCGGTGTCGGTCTGGACGTTCATGCAAATGAGCCCGACGTCCGGCCGGAGCTGCGGGCCAACTACTGGACCACATTGCTGCCGCACATTGGCGTCTGCTCGCGCACGAGCTGGCTGAACTTTGACCGCCAGGTTCTGAGCAACCTGGAGAACTACTTTTACGGAGACAAGAAGACGGTCACGGCCGTGAATGCAGAGCTCCTAGAATAGACAGATAGATATACAGCAGAAATTCAGTTCTCTTTTGCCAACGTTTCAATGTCCCAGGCGAGCGACGAGATCCCAAAAATCTCGTCGTTGGTCATGCCCAGAGCTGAAGGACTGCGTTCTGAGTAGGGCAGCCCGAGAAACTGCCGGAGGAAAGGGTCTTCGAGAATCATGGTTGGGGCCGTGGATGACGAGGGTGACTCGCCCGGAGGGCTGGACGTAGACGGCAGAGGCTGCTGAGGTGTCACCGTGCTCTCGGCCGCACGGAAGACAGCCGAGGGAGACGACGACGATGGTGATGGGCCGAGCAGGACGTGGGGATGGTCGAGGTCGGCCGTGGCAGCGGCTAGGGGATGCACGCTGGCGGCGAGGTTGCGCTGCAGGGAGACGAGGCGGTCGAGAAGTTCGCGAGCCGGCAGGTTCCCGTCGTCGGCCATGGACTGAAGCAGCTGCAAGGAGAGCCCGACGGCGTCGCGATCGGCCGAGCTGTGACGGTTGAGCAGGCTGGCGAGCACGAGCACGAGCGTGGACGAGAAGATGTAGTGGGCGTCAAAGTAGCCAAACGTGGCGATGGCCCCATCCATCCAGAGCTGCTTGAGCAGCCGGTGGGATGCCCGGGCGGCCACGATGCAGGCCTCGCTGAGGGCCATGACCGTGGGCGAGGCCGAGGGTGTCTGCTGTCGCACGTAGCCCCTAAAGACAAAGAGGAGGACCGGTCGCGTCGTCAGGATGACACACTGGTTGAAGTGCAGCCGCAGCGACGCCACCGGCCGCGACACGTACGATGGCGTCTTGGTCGGGCCTGGACGCAGGTCGGCCGGCAGCGACGCCTCCCACTCCTTGAGGCTGGTCAGGATTTGGTGGATATCGCGGATGAACGTGCGCTCATGCGGCCGGTGGATCTTGTAGGCGAGATCTAACAGTCGACCGGTGATGCGGGCGAGCCCAATGTTGGCCACCAGGTGGGCTGCGTCGAAGAAGTCGTCGCGCTCGTCGGCCGTCAGCCCGTCCATTGATGGCAGCGGCGCGTCAATGTCGGCGTCCTTGATCATCACCGGATGGCCTAGCTTCGAGCTGCAGAGCCGGTCAAACATGTAGACTGTCCACCAGACTCGCCGCCGGTTCTCAATCTCCACCGCCGGCGTCTCTGCTCCGTACGTCATGTTGCGATGCAGTCCCAGTGCGACGCTGAGCCGCAGCGCCATGCCTGCGTAGTTGTACGCGCTGTTCTTGCGGTTGAGCGCGTGCGAATAAAAGGACTATTAGTCAGCATAAGACAATCCGACAAACGACTGCCAACACCAGCGAAGCAACAGACCATGAGCAACAACGTCTCAATGTACTCAATGTCCGGGTCCTCATAGTGCTCCTCGAACAGCTCGACTGCCTGCAGGTAAAAGTGCGTGCCCGGGATGGCCTGCTGCCCGTCCGTCGTCACGGCCGACTTGCGCAGGTACAGCTCGCCGAGTGCAAAGGTGATGAACATGCGGCACAGAAACCGGCGGTCGGGCGGCGCGGCTGAGGGCGTGCCATCGTAGCTGACACCAGATCTGGCGCTGCGTGCGTACACCTGGTCAACCTTTTCGAGAAACGACCGCTTCCTCACCAGGTGGTAGTCCTGGCCGACGAACTTTAGTACAACCTGCGCCAGCAGAGTGGCGTAGGACTGGCTCGGTAGTGCTAGAGCTGGCGCCGCTCCAGATCCAGTCCGGAACTCATGACAACCATCGATCATCGCTCGCCGCAGCGTCGGATGGTTGAACACGGCCACCTGTCGGGGGGCTGAGGGAGCGGGAGAGGATGGCGACGAAGTCGTGTTCGTGCATGTGGACGTAGATGCACACACAGCCGACTGGCTACTGCCTGATGACGTCTGAACGTGGTGCCAGACAAGATCGGCAAAGGCTGTGCAGGCTGCTGCGCCGACATACACCGGCTTCGGCGCCGAGGCAAACTCGGCCCGCTGCTCCATCACTGGGTTGGCCACCTCGGCCGCCATGGCCGCGTCGTCCTCTCCGTCCTCATACGCTGAGCCAAGCTGTGGCTTCTCTATCGCCCGCTTCAGCCGCTCCCGTTCGGCCTCGAGATTCTTGATAAAGCTGGAACGACGTGCGAGTTGTCAGTCGACCAAGCAATCCACGCCTCCGCTTCAGGGTCTGGCTACCTTTCCGACACCGTCACCTTCTTCTCCTTTCGTGGATACACACACTCGTCGGCCTTCCTTGACCGTATGCATCCTCGGCACGGCGTGCCGCCCGAGCACTTGATCTTGTGCGTGTGGCACCGTCGACAGGCCGCACTGCTGCGTCGTGAACGGGCTACCGTCGGTGCACCACCCGTACCGCCGGCGGTACTGGAATTGCTGCTTGAAAACCCCGACATGTTTATGTCGTCTGTCCTGTCGGAGACCGGCTGCCGTGCTCGGCCTCTCAAGTCTGATCGGAGCGATAAGACGTCGGAAAACTCCATAAGAGGTCACGTGAGCAAGTTGGACCCGCTGGAACCCAGGATCTCGCAATGCGAGTAAACAGCAACGTTATGTTGCCAATCTCTCTCCGGTTGCATTGATTACTGCACTATAAATGATGTTACGCGGACTTCAGAAGGTTGGAGGCTATAGTGGTACGGCCAGAGTGTTTTAGATAAAAAACGACAACATAGGAAAGGGACTACAAACTGATGGCGACGAGAATTCGTAGGAATAGTGTGAGAAAAAAAGCCTTTCTATACCGAAATATTGCTTTCATTTAACAGCAGTTATATTTAAAACCCCATTCTATACAGATTTATCTACCGCACGCGGCGTCGCCTGGTACCAGCAAAGGAGGCGTGTCCACTCTTCTCTCTTATAGGAACCTGGCTTGCTAAGATCAATGATTGCTGTCTTCTGTACGTGAACGCGCCAAGTCGCCCCGTCGATTCTCGCATGCAAAACACGCACGCTGCAGTCTGCTATGAATATAATAGTAACCTGTCCAGTGATTAATTGAGAAGTAAATGAAGAAGATGAAGAGGGGTTCATACGGGCATAATGTGGTGGGCCTTGTATACTGAGTTCCGAACCTGACAATGGGTCAGCTGTACAATAGACATAAGCTCTATGGCGCTTAGCTCTCCGTGGGCTGGTAGCGGCAAGCCCCGGCATACGACGGCGTGAATGTGAGGAAATGAAGTGTCCGAACAGTTCAACAATCCGTCGGTATCGAACTGGAGTCCATTTCTTCGCCACCGCAGTTCTTTTACCGAACGGCTGGATTCATCCCCGTGAGCATTGTAGACGGGGAGGTCTGTGTCGTTAACGTCTGAGCTTGAACAGGCGTAGCGAAGAGCTGAGCACTTTGAGATACTCATGAAGTTGGAGGATGTGTTGATGTGCCTTTTTGACGCCGGTGGAAACGGAGGATGCTCCATGATCGCGGGATGGAGTCCCTGATGTAGTAATAGCTGCCATTTTTTAGTTAAAGAGAAAGGCAAAGAGGAAGAAAGGTTCGTGTTCACGGTGGGGTAATATGCCGTTGGTTGTTGTCACAGCAACAAATACTGCCTATCGTGCCTTACATTCTGCATCTGATTACCTTCACGGAGTTGACAGTATGAAAATAGAGCAATTGAAACTCACGCAAAACAGTATTGCAGTCATACTCAACCACGCGCCCACGCAAAATTATCACCACCTCCATTGAAAGCTTTCATTTCAACCTATAGAAGTCGGCATCCGATCTTTGTTTAGGCAGACTTCTAGACAATATTAGAGATAGGGTATTCTAATGTTTATATAGCTTCAAAGAATACAAATGCCAGCCGTCCTTCTAACTATCACCAGTTCTTATTTTCATAGAATTTTGAGGATTTCAAAAGGAGTGTGCCAAAGCTATATCACACCTTAGTTCACAAACCCCCGAATATCTATAACTTTGATCAAGAGACGGGGAGGGAGGTCTGCGATCAGCGCTCCAAGCATAGAAAGCAGCTATCTTCTACAAAGTTAACAAAAGTAGCAGTCGATGATGGAAAGCCAAGGCTTAGAATATATATATATTTACGACAGCGTTCACAAGGAATCAGCGTCTGGAATGAGCAGTTCCTTCTGCTCCGTATTCTCTAGAAAAGGAGAGTAGAACCTACCATCTCTAAACCTGAATGGGCAGACAAAGAGTTTCTTCAAAAGGTCAGGGCCCATCAGCGATGGGAGACATCAAGTTGGATGGAATACTTAGATTCCATTAAGCACAAGACAACGCGGTAGACGCACAACAATCATTTGTCAAGCTTGGGAACTTATTCCCAAGTGCGGTATCAATAGCTCTCTACAATCTAGGTCTAGATCCAGCCCATCTCCATGGCTGCGTCGAAACTAGACTTCAGTCAAATAGGACCAGAAGGCAGAGAGCAACTGAGGCCACGATGGCAGCAGCGGCAGAAGCAGTGGGATCAAAAAGTGGGACTTTCACGCTTGCTACCTCTGTTACGCCCACACCCGCTCCTCGTGCTCGCCTACCTAGCGGCACAGCACATGCGGATGCAGATGACCTTGCAGATGACCTTGCTGCTGACTTTAGCGATTTGGACCTTGAGGACAGTTCTCCGATCACGTTAGGCTTGTCTGATGCAGGCACCGACTCTATCAACGAGCTTGAGCAAACGTCTTCCCTTACAGGAGAAATCGCTCGTATGGTCCCCGCGGTTAAAGATGAGCAGATTGTCAACATGGCTCTTATCTTGTTTCTAGATGCACTAGCCATTCATTGCGAGGATGTTAACGGTGGCTGGTCCGCACATCGCCACCCGTTCGTATTCAAGGACAAAGACAGGACCAAAATATACGAGGCCAGGGTCGACGGCTGCTTAACCAACTGAGGTGGCGAAGTCTGTGCCATTCTAGAGGTGAACCCATTTCTCCGGTACCAGAGCGAGGAGATCGCATCCGGTGTAAAAATGCAAGAGGGCGCCCAAATGGCGCATGGATTCAGCAATATCCGCCTAGCGAACTAAAAAATGTCGCAAAATTAAGAGACCGATGAAGTAAGATACAAGTGTTATTTGAGCCCTGATCTATTGTTTCTAGATTGGAATAAATTGTCACTAACTGAACGGCGTCTTGCCTTCGTTCTAGGCGCCTACTTATCTCGCAAGATCGACATGAGATCTATGTTACCGTCGCTACTTTTGACGCGGAGTATGTGGATTTCCTTCTCGGAAATACTCTACATTCATCTTCCTTTCTTTCCATGGTGGATCATGGGCCCTTCTGTGTGGGTGTATGGACTCACATGGAGGCACTGGGAGAGCCTCTTAGCGTTTGTAGTAAAAACTTGTTTTTCATGATTAGACAGCGGGGCCGTACTGCTCACTACTAAGCTGGGCTGTGATGAGCGTGGTTACCTCAATTTCAGTCGTTTTACCAATGTCGCATCACTCAGTCCATTGGGTGGACGGCGTCTGAACTGGTACTACATAGATATATGTGCACACTACGACACATACTTCCGCGTTTACTACATGCCGAAATTTGAGTCACATATCCGAACCCGCGCCGACGTAGGGGCGACCGAAAATAAGGGACAAGGAATCAGCTGGACTGCGGTAAGGCAGTCCGGCTGCCTCCGCCCGTCATGCTTGATCCTAATACTCCTCCCAGAAGCTTTGCTGTCTATAGAATGCGTTTAGGAAGTCTGACTATCCGTAAGGCTTTTGACAAAAAGCCAGAAAGTGTAGCAAACGAGACAGAGAGTGGTATTTTCCGTCCCCATGCTCGCTTTGGGGCAGAATTTAAGCAACTGCTGTGGCTTCTACTCCGTGCACCACTAGTCTGTCACGCACGTTCTGCGTGATCACCAGTGTAAGACCCGTACGGTAATCCTTGTGGGATATTCGTCCGGACCGGTTGCACGTATCGTAGTAAGCTCTAAGGCCTTCAGAAGATCTAGTGATGGTATTTCGTTCGGTGGTTGACTCATTGAAGACCAGACTGTGCGCAGTATGCGCGCAGATCAGGGCTTCGTCTTATCTAGTAATTTCGGCGGCCGAGGTCAAGTCAGGTGACCTCGGGGAAATCCACACGCCCCCTTCTTAAACGAAATCGTCCCCGATTTCTCCATATTATATACAAAAAGGTACTCCCAAAACAGTGTGATTTGCTAGCAATTTGGGGTACCGGCCAAGTCACTCGTGTGTTTGGCCGGGGGGGGCAGGAAGATAATAATAGGGGCGGTGAAAAATAAAACAAGGAAAAGTATAAAAAAATCGTTACTTACAAGCCAGCTTTCTGGCTCCAGCGTCTTCGGTCAGCTTCCAGCATCGTTTTCGAGCCATACCAGAGGCTCGGGACGGGTTCGTGATCCCAGACGTACGCCGGGAAGACGTTATCGGGATGCTGCGGATTCGGGAGTCTGGTGCCGTTGGGCGTGCAAAGCTCAAGGCGGCCGTTCGGGAGCACCTGGGTCACCTGGAGCGGTCCTTCGTAAAAAGGCTCATGCTTGTGCTTCCGGGGTCGGGCCCGGAGCACCCAGTCTCCGATACCGAAGTGACGAGAGGCGGCTTTGTCAGCTTGCAGGAGGCCTCGTATGGCCATCCGGACGTGCTTCAGGGAGGCCAGCCGATCCCGAATACCACCAAGGTCCGTCAGATCACGGGCCCGCTGTTCAGCTGCTTCCGCCTCCTCTGCACGGGTGAGCTCCCGCACGTACTGCGCGTGCGTTGCGTGCACGGGAGGCTGGCAGCCGAAGGTCAGGAAGTACGGGCTGTAGCCGTGCTCCATAGGGCGGTGGCGGTATATGAGAATCGCCGTACTAACCAGGTTCGGGATTGTAACGCCGGGATGGGTCTGCATTAGCGGGTACAGTATGCCCTTTAGGGACCGGTGGAAGCGTTCGATCCGCCCGTTGCTTTGCGGCCGGTACGGGGCCGTCGGCAGAAGGGCGATACTTAGCTGCTTGCAGCGGGCACTATATGCTCCGGTCTCCGAAAAGGCAGTGCCGTTGTCCGTGATTAGCTGCAGGCCCGTCACCATAATCTCTTTTGGAGCTCCGTGGCGCTGGATTATCGTTTCTAGCAGCGCCAGAGCCTCTGCTGCGGAAGGTGACGTGCATGGCCGCACCTCCGGCCAACCGGTCGCGTAATCAACGGCGGTGGCTAGGTAGATCGGAGTCTCTCTCTCCCGGGCCAGAGGGCCGGTGAAGTCGACTCCCCACCGGGAGAACGGAGCTGCCGGGGGCGTTGGCTTCAGCGTAGTCTCTAGGTTTGGCCGGGTCTTATTAATCTGACAGCTTGCGCATGTCAGACTTACTCGACTGGTCAATACCAGGAGATACGGATGCCAGTAGCGGCCATTAGCTATCCCAAGAAGCACACCGGCGCCGCAGTGGCCTTGCTGCTCGTGCAGGGTCTGGAGGCGCTGTAAAAGCTCCTCCTGATCCAGTACCTCGAGCGGGCGGTCTCTGTCCTTGATGACGTAGAGGGCGCCGTTGATGATCCCAAAGTGGGCCTTGATCCAGGCCAGTGGCAGTCGCGAGTCGGGCTTGATATCACGCAGCAAAACGTCCATGATCTCCTGGATATCCCATGACGTCAATGTCTCCAGACTCGGCCCTGGCGGGCTAGGTCTAGGAGCCGGCATGGGCTTCTCCAGTGCTGGCGGTGCCAAGGTCCCGTTGGCCGGCCGCCGGAGGGTCTCCGGCGGGGGTTTCATCGGTTGCCACCGTGGAGGGTGGGTCCCGGTAAGGTCGATTGGGTTGCCCTTATAGCTTCCCGCGCGGGTCAGATCTATTGGCTCATCACGGTCTCCGATCGAAGTCACCACTTCTGCTTGCGGAGGGCGTGATAGCCAATCAGCGACGACGTTTTCACGGCCTGGGCGCCACTTGATGACGGGGCTGAAGTGCTCTATTTCGTTCAGAAACTTCATTAGCCTCGGGGTCGGTTCAGCCTTCGTCCTCATGCCGGCCAGGCTCTCGTGGTCTGTCAAGACGGTGATATCAAGGCCTTCGATCCAACTGCGCCACTTGCGCAGGGCCACGATAATTGCGAGTCCCTCCCTCTCCTGCGTTGAATAGCGTTGCTGCGTCGAATTCAGCGCGTGGCTCATGAAAGCCACGGGGTGAAGCACGGTACGCCCTGTGTAGCCGACTTTTGGGTGCGGCTGGTACAGGGCGGCGCCGATATATCTAATTGACGAATCAACTTCGATAATAACAAGCCGCCAGTAGCTGAATGGCTTCAGCAAAGGAGCCGTTGTCAAGGCCTTTTTCAAAGCTTTAACGGCCTCCTTCGCCGCGGGGCTGAATACTATTATCGTGCCAGGTCGAACGTTGCCCACGAAGAGGGCTTTGAAAGGGAGTGCGATCTTGAGCGAAAAGCTTTATGAATGCGCGGGGGTAACACACGGCGCCCAAAAAACTTCGAAATCGGAAATCGGAGGCTTTACCGGCCAGTTGACGACTGCAGCGACTTTTTCGGGATCAGTTCCGCAACCCGGAAAATCAACTATCATGCCCAAAACTTTAACGCTATTCCCAAACCACCGGCTTTGCGGGGGTTGGAAGAATAAAAGGGGCCTCTCTCCCGGGTTCGGCGCCCGTGCTTCTGGGTTATTTTTGGGAACCTCCCTCCGTGGAGGTTGGCGAAAATGGCCACAGGCCCCCCAAAAAAAAACCTCGGCCCATAAACGCGCGGAAGTCTTCCTCCCTTTTATCTCCTCCTAAATCTACTTGTTTGGGAAGAGGGTAAAAGGGGGGCGTGTGGGTCCAAACCCAAAAAAAAGGGTTAGTAAGATTTTTATATTTTTTTATTCAGGGGCCCCCCCACAGGGGGGGGTGTGAGAAAAAAAAAAGAGGGGGTTCTTT